CTTCGAACTTAGGATCAGTTGTTGGTCTTAAGGGCAAATCGCGCTGTGTGGTTGTGCCAGCACATAGTTCTAGCCCTCTGTAGGGGTCTGTGTGTTCCGGTTTTAATTTACTTTGATTCAAAAACCCCAATTCTTGATATACCCATACGAGGCAAGCTCGTTACCGAGATTTACCGTTTATTGTAATCTCATCTTTATTGTTCTTTCTCACTACACATTCCCTTTCTACTTAGACTCTTCTTTATTGTTTTATCCTTTCCTTTATTGTCTTATTCCCTACCCTGCAGGTACTACACGTTAACGAGCTTGCCTTGTTTTTGTGTGAAAGAGAAAGGAAGGAATCTAATGGGCACTCCAACCAACCAATCTAATACACAATATGCGAGTTCACTGCTATCAAATTTATTTAATAGCAAGGGGTAGCGTTGGCGAAGGTTCCGCAAAGCTTTGAGAGCTAAGTAAGAAGCTTTAATCAATCAATTTGAATTGTTCTACGGATTTGTAGAGGGAGCAGACGGACTAGACGTCGAGCCCGCCATCATACGCAACGTCGCTATTCAGTTAGGACTGACATTTCCCTTTGTTTCCTTCGATCATTTCCACTCTTATTGTTCTCTAGATTACTTACACGCTACTTACTTACATTTTGAGGTTTCATATACACGTCGTAGCCTCACGCACAATGATACGTATCATTCAGTACTATATTTACTACCAATGTACGGGACAGGATCCCAGTTTTTACAACTTACAAGCTATACTACTGTTTTGGACATACGACGAACACTCGCACTACAGATTCGATATATTCCTTTGATTAAGGTAGGTTCAGCACGATTTGTGCTTTGATTGCATTGATATGGGTATATCAAGAATTGGGGGTTTGAATCAAAGTAAATTAAAACCAAAACACACAGACCCCTACGGAGGGCTAGAACTATGTGCTGGCACAACCACACAGCGTGATTTGCCCTTAAGACCAACGACTGATCCTAAGTTCGAAGAATACCCAACAACTGGATATACTTCTCGCAGTCACAAGGAGCAGAACACAATGTTTCTATACTCACAAGTGCCGGGCCTGAATGGCTGCTAGCGAAGAGGTTTCAGTCTGGCGGGAGTGTGTCTTTCCTTTTTACGGATTAGCACTGCAACGTCGTCCCAAAATCACTTGTATTCCAGATACATCGGATCGCTATTTATACATACAGAATATAGAGTCGCACAGTACAATTTAATACCATAAACGTTCGGAACCGCAAGAAAACTTCTACAATCGGTCAGATACTATTTAATTTGAATCTTCATGTCCTTATTTGGTCCACAATGGTTCCAAGATTCAAGTATACCTCCAAACATAGGTAGGTACTTCGTTATTCATTTAATTTGATTGTTTTTGGAGAATGACTCGAATGGTGTCCAACTGCCATTGCTGTTCAACACTTACTTTGATCATTTGTCACCTCGTCCGGAGGCAAATCAGCTCTCCTCGATTCTAATCCTATCAATTTGATTCATCTGGATTGAACTAATTGCTTCTCTCTTTCAATAGACACCCATTGTGCCTATACTCTATTAAGGGAGTTACGCATAGTATTCATTTAATTGCATTCTTCAATATTTTCTACGTCAGGACTCTTTGACATTCATTTGATATGTCTTCGGAGCCTTGCAGTACTTTGATCACTCTTCTAGTCATTTTCCTCAACCATGCAACCTGATTGGTCTATTAGACTAAATCGCAGTCTTTTAGATTAATGCATGATCTCGTTCCAGAAGGAGTATTTGATAATTCCTGAGTTCTAGAAAGTTATTTTGAGTCAATCCTCGGCTCATGGTCACTTGAGTAAGTTCTTCCAAACTCCTGCCAGTGTAAGGTCCAATAAGAATACCCTTGGTATGTCATACGTGAATGGTCATCCTTCGGATGTAGTCCGAGTCTGGTATAATCCTGCTTGACAAACAGGTAGACTGCTATCCGAAGGTAGTATCGGGGATGGGTAAACTAACCACTTGTGGTAGTATGGGTATATGGTCCCTTCAACTTATTAGACTGATTCAGTATTGACTTTGACTGTCAATCTGGGTCTCAATTACAGTCCTCTTGATACAAATCTATACGTGAAAATGTCACAATTCACAGCATAGACGTCTAGCCAAAATTTAGGCGTGTCATTGGAATACTGAGTGGCGGAATGGAGCACTGAGGCATGGACTTGACAGATCTATTGTTTATTGTAATCTCATCCTTATTGTTCTTTCTTGCTACATATTCCCTTTCTACCTAGGCTCTCCCTTATTGTTTTATTCTCTCCTTTATGGTCTTATTCTCTACCCTGCAGGTACTACATGTATAGCTTCTAGTAGCTAGACTGGCACTCTGCCCCGATGCGCCAAACTGTATGTATAAATACTGCCTGTACGATACTGTAGTTCCTCAGTTTAATTATCCACTTAGATCACCTTAGATCCTTGTCTCTCGTTCTTTAAGTCTTCAAGCTTGTTGCCTTGAAGTTCTCCTTACTCCAACCTCAGGACTTTGATGTCCTTTGGTTTGCTCCTTGTCATCGGCAATACCACCGTTCCGGCTTGGCTGCTTCTGGTTCTCTTACTTCTCTACCCTCAATCTCTGGGGACTAGCGTCATAACGGCAGTGTTGTTAATAACTTCACTACTGTCCCATTTGACCCTCTGCTCTTAGACACCTTGTGGCCTCTGCCCTTAGACACCTTGTGGCCTCTAGCACAGCTCCACAGTGTACATGATCTTAACAGCTAGTCCCCAGAGATCAAGAGTAGAGAAGAGGTAACTAGAAGCAGCCAAGTTGGAGCAGCGGTAATGCCAATGACAAGGAGCAAACCAAAGAACGTATAAGTCCTGAGGTCAGAGTAGAGAGTACTCAAGGGAAGGATCCTTAAGACTTCAGAGAAAGAGAGAGAGTGATGATCTAAGATGATAATTAAACTGAAGAACTACAGTATAGTACAGGAGTATTTATACCTACGAATTGGCACATTGGAGCAAAGTGCCAGACTAACTACTAGGAGCTATACATATAGTGCCTTCAGGGTCAAGAATAAGACAATAAGGAGAGACTAGGTTGAAAGGGAATGTGTAGCAAGAAAGAACAATAAAGAAGAGATTACAATAAATGGTAGATCTTGGAATACCAAGTGGCATGGTCCTGACAGTATCCCCCTCTTAGGCTTGAGCCCTTGAAAGCTGACATCACCAAAGATTGATCCCATCAACAAAATATTAGTTGTTGAAAATTTAAATTTGAATATACCTGTGGGCCGCTGGTTTAATCAAATAAACCTAATACTTGGTTTTTGAAGCATATAAAAGGCCCAGGGTTTTCCGCTGTGGACCTAACTTTTCCCTCAAAAATTTCTAAGTCAAAAAATGTCTGCCAGCCATACCACCACCATCACCACCACTACCAACTGCACTACTACCTCCGCCGGTCCTTCAACCTCGTGCCCTGTACCCCTGCCCCCTGCCAGTCCCGCCGAACACAACAATGATGAACAGGAGTTGTTAAGATCATGTACACCGTGTAACCGTGCCAGAGGCCACAAGGTGTCTAAGAGCGGGAGGTCAAGTGGGACAGTAGTGAGGTTATTAACAACACCGCCGTTACGCCGTTAGTCCCCGGAGATTGAGAGTATAGAAGGGAGGAGCTGAGTAGCAGCCAAGTCGGAGTGGCGGTATCGCCGATGACAAGGAGCGAACCAAAGAACATCTAAGTCCTAAGGTAGAGTAGAATGTACTTCAAGGCGTTGAGCCTGAAGACTTAGAGAAGGGCTAAGTTGGGAAGGGAGATCTAAGTTGATAATTAAACTGAGGAACTACAGTAGCATACAGGCAGTATTTATATCTACGGAGCAGTGCATCGGTGCGGAGCGCTAGACTAACTACTAGGAGCTATACGTGTAGTACCTGCAGGGTAAAGTAAAAAGACAATAAGGAGGGACTAGAATGAAAGGGTATGTGTAGCGAGAAAGAACAATAAGAGGTGGATCTTCGGAATACCGAGCGGCAGAATGGAGGCCCGAGGCATGGACTTGACAGGAGTGGACCAAGGAACTAGAAGTTCTAAGGTCAGAGTAGAGTACTTAGAGGATAGAGAGAGATGAATAAGGGTGATCTAAGTTGATGATTAAACTGAGGAACTACAGTACAGTACAGGAGTATTTATACCTACAAATTGGTGTATTGGAGCAGAGTGCCAGACGAACTACTAGGGGCTGTGCATATAGTACCTTCAGGGTAGAGAATAAGAAGAGACTAGGTAAAAAGGGAATGTGTAGCGGGAAAGAACAATAAACAGTAGATCTTGGAGTACTGAGCACCAGAGTGGGGCACTGAGGCATGGTCTTGACATTGACAGCACTCTCCAACTAGTGTCCTTGCTCTCGTGAACATCCAGGTTTTGCAAATGATGCTTGTACTTATAGTGTAACAGGTTCCATTTCTCATATTAACTTTCATTTGCGCTGCCTACCTTGTACTATTTGGTAAGATAGGGATGAAGCCATCTCTTGTCAAGGACAACAAGGAAATGTCAGGCAAGAGCTTCATGTAATCATGCAAAAAGCTCATCACTGGAAAAATCATGAGATGTGTTTAAAACCATATGTATATAAGTAGCCACTTTACGAACGTCCCATATAAAAAGGGTAAAATTTATGTTACATCCAACGCTGATGGTTACACCTACATGCAACTTGTGTAATACATGAATGCAATGAATTGGAAGGAGCATTCGAGAAATGAGTGTTGGGGTAATGAAGAAGCAAGTGGCTGTCGAAACAGCGAGTATGAAGGTATAGATGAACAATGCAGGGTATAGAGACAGATCTATGCACAAAATAATAAGAGCGAACAACCAACGGCAAAACCCAAGTTAACGATTTGAAACGTAGGAGAACAGTTAAGAGTGGGAACATCGTGAATATCATATTTAAAACGCACAAATCAGCACTGAATCAGTGGCATCATAGATCATCGAGTTCGTCTTCACTGTCATTGACTGAAAATCGCAATCTATCTGAATCCAAGCCGTCTAAGCCGCCGTTAAGATGTAGTGTGCCACCTGCTCTTTTGCTCCGCTCAAGGAGATCATCCCACTTGTCATCCTTTTCTTTGGCTGAAAGAGGACCAAATGTACGAGCATTTGGACGCTGTGAATTTTCGGATCGGGGAAGACGAGAAGTTCGTATTTGAGCGGTAGTCGACAGGTGATGGGCAGCTGGCGACGTTGTTGGTCTACTCGAGCTGCTAATGGTCCGTTTTCTGACATAATTATTTGATGAGGATTCCGAAGGACTGGAAAAGCCGAAGGATTTACGCATGCCTCGTCTAGAAGGAGAGTCCGCATCGGGTTTGACGTATTCTTCTTGCGGCTTTTGATGTCCACTGACCGAAGTAGTAACGTGTGTCGTTGGTAGTGGGGGAATGGCAGGACTCCATGTTCTACCGTTAGATGTTAACGAGGCGGAGGAAGCCGACGCCGCTCTTCGTGGACTTTTTGAAGGAATGACAGGTAGAGAAGAAAAGCGCGACCCGGCCGAAGCACTTTCCCTATACGCACTGGATGTGTCAGTGGATGCGGAAGTGAGAGCCGACCCACTGGGTTTTGCTTCTCGAGACGGACTACTAACTGAATTCGAAGCATTGATTGTGGCGATTGTAGGTGAAGGAGAACGACTACTTTCGTATGCAGTAGGCGGACGCCGTGAACCTACTTCATCTATGTTATCCGACCCTGTCCGACGTCGAGGTACAGGCAATGAAAAGCCGGCTTTTTCCTCCTTTGGCGTAGGGATAATCGTCCATTCTTCTGTAAGAGCAGGTTTTTGTTGATTCTGAGTTTGTAACTTGAGATTGACCTGGGAACGTGAGTGGGAGATCGAAGTATTTAAGGATGACAAAGAATGTGAATAGTTCGTGCTGTTGGAGGAATTCATGGGTCGCGCGTTCGGATCGTCCTTGTTCCGTTCTAGATTGAGATGAAGCTGGTACAACTCACTCGGCGGAAGTATGTGCTGCTGTAGCTGGAATGTCTTTCCAGGTGCAATGGGAACAGGAGGTATCTGCTCGCCATATGAACTACTTGAACTCCGTTGACTCTGGGACCGATTGAAGAACTTGGAAGAGCCGATATCGGAAGACGAAATTGGGGAAGAAGATCGTGTGGCAGTTCCCGGCCTTGTACTCGTCGAGGGAATCATAGGAGCTTTTATAGACCCAGCAGAAGATAGCTTTCCGTACGGACTCTGTATCGTTGTTGAAGTGGCATTTCGTTTGTGCAGCACTTCCGTCACATCTTCCCCGCCTTTTCGCGTCATTTCCTTCGAATACACAGAAAGATCCTTTGGAAGGGCAGGAACAGGTGGTGGTGGTGGAAGGGGACTAGTTGGAAGACTTGCGCCATTGTCACGGTAGTTATCTCGGAGACCACCCGTAGAAATTCGCTTCATGAGATTCCAAATTTTGTTCTTACTACCCGAATGACTACTGGAGCTGGTAGGACTGGGCTGGGGGCTTGACGTCAGACTCGACTTAAGTACTGAAATGATTGTCAGTCTTACGTGAAACTGGGTTAAAATAAGCAAGGTACACACAAGAAGTACGAATTTCTCCATCCTGGGTCAAGACAGGTCGATGAATTGCTGGGCTCTTCTTCGGAGGCGAAATTGCGCCTTTGGTAGTAGCATATTCATCTATTGACAATCGTAAACTCCGTTTATCTCCTCGAGAACCCGACGCTCTGTTTTCATTCTTTGGCATCACACGTCGTTCATGTAAACTTGGCATTCCATGTTCATGGACAAGTAAAGTGGGTGTATTGGAAACAGGGCTGATATCTAAGGACGGCCCTCTTTTTGGTGCACCTAGTCGTCCACTCATTTTACGAGACAAGGTTTTACCAATGCCAATGCCAAAGGCGCTCGATGTTTTCGAAGGTTTACCAACAGTCACAGAAGCACTTCTCTCCCATGTCTGGGTAGAAGGACGAGGAATCTCGCTTTGTGGACTACTGGATGGTTGACCCAGTCCGAGGCCTACACCCATGCTTGACGAAATCCCTTCTACCAAGTTCGAAGTGCTCAAAGAAAAGTCGGGGGAAAAGGTATCTTCTATTTTGACGCCTTCAGCAGCTACAACACGCTTCGAGCTTCCGAGAACCGTGTAATAAGGTTGTGAAGGTTCTTCATCGAACGATCTAGCTTCATTTAAGAGTTTTTCTGGTCGTGAAGGAGATTGATCAGATGACTGCGCCAAATGGGAAGAATCGTGGATCATGCTGGCCGCGCCTGAGTTGGGAACAGAAGAAGATCGTTCTCTGGGGTGTATTTGCATACCGACTGAGGGCACGTCTTTCATAAAGATACTTTGGGAGTGCGAAGTAGTTAGTGAATTGCTTTGATTGTAGTGAGAGGGGGAGGCTTGATCTTTCAATGCACGCTGTTGTCGGTCGTCCTCCTGTTGCCATAGCTCTTTCTCTCGTTGCTTCTCTCGTGCCCGTTCGTTGCGTTCTCTCTCCCTCTTCTTTTCCCGCTCCTGTTGCTGTTTGTACGCGATCATAATTTCCTTCGCTGGTGTTGTTCCGGATGAAGTAACGCCATCATCAGATGATATTCCCGCAAGGCCTTGTTTCAACAATGCAGAATGCGGGATGAGACTCCGCCGTTTATCCTGGGGCGTGGGCGATGAGCCTCTGGAAGATGAAAGCCCTACCGCTGGAGGCAGCAAGCTTCCGGATGAAGCTGCCGGACGAGTCGCAGGAAGTATGGAGCCCGTGTAAGCAGGTGCAAAAGACGAGTAAGGAAACTCTTTCATCTTAGAATCGTCAGAAGGCGAAGCAACAGATGTTGCTGACGGATGCCTCTTCAGAGTATTTCTTGTCTTCTTTTCCGCCTTGTCTGTTCCTTCTTGCCCCCGAGTCCGGGACCAGGATGCACTTCGTACCAAACCACCAAGCCCTTTACGCTCCTTCGTTTGCGAACTGTCTGTAGATTGAGACGTTGTCGGACGACTATGAGATAAAGTTCGCTCTTTGAGTAGCCTTCTCTCTGCTTCCCATTCCATCTTCCTGGCTCGATCTCGCTCCCGGCTACTCCCGAAAGGTGGTGCACACTCAGCATCAGACTCGATCGCTCGTCCCCTACTGAAAGCTTCAATCCTCTGTTTTTCATTTTTCTCTTCGATCCGCTCAATCCTACGGACTGGTCGTGATTTCGTTGTGATAACACCGCTTTCGCTCTCGCTCGCGCTGGAATTTCCAGTAGGTGCAGGTTTGGAGAGAAGACGCTTTAAATTGACCGTAGGTGGGGACGAAGCCGGCGGGGGATAGGAATGTACCGGTGAATCGATAGGAAGGCTGAACGGTGATGACGGAGAAATATCCGAAGACATCAGACTTGTATTAGACGTGTATCGCTGTCCGTAAGATGCTTCAGGAAAAGAATGTGAAGATGGCATATCATAGGAGGAAGGTGAAGTCATGACATTCATCATGCTAGAAAGCTCAGTGGGATGTATGTGGTTCATAGATCCTTCAGTACGAGACGTGGCACGATGAACTACCGTTCCATCAGTATGCAGCGGTGTCGGAGGATATTCGGAAGTAGTGGCTACCGGAGCCATTCTAGTCTTAGTGACCGACAAATTCGAATCTTTGGCTTGCAAAGGTGACGAGCCTATAAGGAGGTAATGATTTACATGCATCATCAGATGAGACTGATATTTCTATACACACCTTTCGCAGTAGAAGAAGCCCTTGACGACCCGAGGGATACTCGTGTAGAGGGATTTACGTGCGCGGAAGCAGTCAATTTTGGCGTTGGATGTGCCGTGGCTATTGAAACGAAAATGTAGATTAGCAATCACGACAGCAAGTCGATGTCATCGGCATACTTACCATGCAAGGACACACGGGACGTCGACCCTGACACACGGGAAGTAGAGGCAGTCACATCTGCGTTTCCAGACGGTGCACCCGACCTCAGAGCTGAGGTGGACACACTCGTACGGAGATATTGAACTGCGGCGTAGACATCAAGTGAGTCGGGAGAGAGAGAGGACGATTGAGAAAGGGGTGCAAATGAGGATTGGAGCATTGAGTGTTCTGAAGGAAATTCCAGGGCAGCGATGGACGCAGGATGTATTACTTCTACAGAGGGCGAGGAAGACTGGGTAGTGGTAGACGATGGATACTGCGGTGTAGTCTGCAACGTAGGTGGATTGACAGGAGACGGGGGACCGGCAGCGACGGTTTTCGTGGACACCAAGGAAAAACGGGAAAGAGTAGAACCTATCGAAGATGCGGATTGTGACCGATCTTCCGAAGAGCCTACCACGAGTAATTGGTGAGTATCGAAGAGAAATGTAGCCAGCAAAGAAGAAATATATATATATGCAGTATATTGTTCAGATGAAGGGATGTACGATAAACCAAAATGAAAAAAAGGTAAGCACCTTCCGTAACGGCAAAGCTATTCCTCGACTTAGGCACCATGTTGAATCCAAAGATAGACCCATATCCGGATTTCACTGCAGTTCTATCAACTGTAGAGCTTCCTCCGGGATCGAAGGAGGCATCAGTATTGACAGGGGAATCTGTAGATCATGATTTACAGTAAGAGCAGGAAGCGGGATGAAAATCAGCATTCTATTCACCTTCCCAAACACTTTGCAGTACGTTGACTTCTTGAGGAGACAAGCCTAAATTCTCTGAGACTCCCGAAGCATTTGAATCTGTATTCTCGGACTTGGCATGCTGACTAGGTTGTGCAGGTTGCGTTTTCCGCTTCTGTTCTGCCTCCAATCCCGATCCCCTTAGATTGTGTCGACTGGTGCAGTCATCGACGGGTTTTGTGTGAGCCGGAGTTATTCGGGACTTGACATTCGGGCGAGTTGTTGGACGAGATTGTGGCCGGGGTGATGGTGTCAGAGAGGGGGAACTTCGTGGGGCTGCGGAATGAGTAGAGCTCGTATTGAGAGATTTAGTGCCTGCAGGCGTCGGTGAACTCCGGTGAAGTTTCGTGCTAGGATTAATGCTCGACATAGTCCTGAGACGAGATGGAATTACAGTGGGAGTTGTGGGCAATGTGGTCGAAATAGCGCGCGGTCGAGCGATACGAGAAGGAGAGATTGTAGTTGGTGAACGAGTGGACAGCGTCTGCTTAGACGATGAAAGAAGCCGAGTAGTAATTTTGGGGTCGTTCTGACTATTATATGTGCTGCGGGATGAACCTGCGGGTGTGAGAGATTGCACAGGCCGCTGGATAGGAGAAGAAGCAGGATTAGGGGAAATTCTGCTTGCAGTCGCCGACTGAGTAAAGGAAGTTTTCCTGGCCGGTGCAGGAGATGGTCTGGCACTGTTTGAATCGGCAGTTCCGTTTCGGATCCGTTGTCCAAAACCAATATCCGGCCTCGTTCTGGCTGGGTTCACACGTGCATTGGTAGGTGGTCCGGAGGCCATACAACAGTGACAGGTTCAGACTCTAATTATACAAAAGGAAAATATGGGTATGGTGCCCGAAATGAGAAAATTGTGAGATAGCTCGTCATGGAAAAATTCTGCCACATACCGGATTGAGGCCAGGAACGGATTCAGGATGTGGAGTGAATTTCAAGTATAGTGATTATGTATTCGCGGAAGACAATATTTAGAACTCGTCCAATAAACTGGAGGATTATAAGGCAAAAGTTGAAACGATCGTATGGAAGGAACGTCAGAGTTGGATCAACAGGTAAAAAGTTGGAGGCATAGCAAGGTATTGGAAAAGACGAATAATGAAAAGCACCGAGCGGTCGGCGCAAAAGAAGGGACATCATCAATAGCGTGTTTGTGAATTATGTGTACACTTTAATTACCTTATTAGGATAAGTTGACTTGACGACCACTGACCGGCCCGTACTGGCCTGCTATTCGGTAGTTTACTATAGACGATTACTTCCGAGCTCACTCAGGACTCTTTGATGGTTTACAGCTGGTTTATTACAGTGTGTCTATGAGCTCGCACAATAGCCAATACCTTTGCAACGAATAACGGTATGACCAGATTCCAACTGTTCGGTGTGGAACTTCGCGTCGGTAAGTTTTTCAGCAACCCATATCGCTGTCCTAGAGAAACACTTCTGCTAAGATTATCATTGACAGATGGGATAGAAATGAAACAAACCTTGTATGCATTTGAAGTCCTCCTGCATTCCCACAGAGAACCGCTGATTCACCTTCAGCTAAAGCCATGAAGATGATGATTTGATCTTCCAACCACTTCAATATGAGGCGCGATAAGTACGAGAGCCTAGTGGAGAAAGGTTCGTGAAATTGACCTCGTCCACACAACCCCCCGCATTCAGTCCTCGGAGAAGATCTTGTGCCGCTTTTTCACCCAAGAGAGACGCATCGGTTCCTTTGTTTCCTACTGCGCTGCCTCCGATAATTCCACCACCGTCGAGTTCAGCCCATAGAACAACACCGCTACCAGCACCAACGGTGTTTTCGTTACGCTCTCTTTGACTTTGGATTTCAATAGGGATGTTTGACATCTCAGCAAGTCCTGTCGAGAGGACCTTTGTTGCTCCTTCTACTATACTCGGGCCTATATGACCAGGTAGTTTGGCAAAGTGTGCAATTCCTGTTGCTGAAGAGTGAGGCAGTCATAAGATAAATAGGAAACAATTATATGACCTTTGATACATCGAACGTTTCCGCGTTCAAGTAGACTGAAACTCTTGAGGCGTTGAGCTAACGGAGTAACGCTGACTACCACCTCGCCACCACCTTTTGGAAAATACCCTCGTCGTTTCACCTGCAGGTCAGCCGTGATGCCAAAGTGACGCTGCACGAATGGAAGAAAGACATGTTCAGTATAATCAACCTGCGGTGCCTGTGTAGCATTCGTGCCGCCTTTCAACGTTAACCTTGACGGGATTGTGGAAGGTTGGTAGGTAAAAAGCAAAAGTGGTAAAGCAATTTGCAGAAGAAGAGTAGTGGATCCAGCGGTCACAGAATCAGCGACAAAGTCACCAGGTGTTTTCAGGGGCCCTGGAGTAAACTCGATTTCTGTCGAGCCATTAGTCGCGCCGGTGAGTTCTGCAGACGCGATTTCCGCCGCGAGGTCTAGGCCTGAGCAGAAAGTAAGTAGGTAAATCAATTCAAAGTTATAAAGAGAGGCAGAAACGAACCTGTTCTATGCTGGTTCTTCAGTCCGGGAGGTTTACGACCATTTCTAATCTTGTGGATAGAGATTGGTTTACCCAGTAACGCGGCAAGAGCTACCGAATTACGAAGAATTTGACCTCCCCCTTCCAATATACTTCCATTGATAGAGATGCTCATGATAGAAAGTGTCAACGAACAAGCAAATAATAGACGTCTACAGGCATGTTGATAAATGTCATGGATTGAGTTGAGTGTAGCGCCCACCAAGAATTTAGAAAGAGCAATCGCACGCCTTGTTCAAGTTGAATTTGCTCTCTGTACACATCTCCTCCTTGATGCATGATGTCCGATTCCAAGCGCAAGGAGATCGACGCCTTCTTCAATTTTTTTGCTGCTTTTGACTTGACTATTCCTGTCGCTACCCTTGCAGACCTTAGTGATGGACAGGCTTTATTTGAGGTATTGGCGGTGGTGTGCGTATTCTTGAACAATATCTTTCGTGCAACTTGTTTCCAATACACTCTACTTTTAATAACTCTACACAGAGATCCTGATTACTTCCGCCCAACCACTCGTTTCTCTGCCCAAGACTCTGCCAACTGGGTTCTTCATTTCAGCTCGCTGAAACGGCTATATCGCCTAATGACACAGTATTTCTCGGACGTGCTCCAGAAACCCACTAGCGGGTTAGATGTACCTGATCTACAAGCTATGGCCAAAAACGCAGATGATACGGCGACACTCGTTATGTGTCGATTGACCATTGCTATTGGTGTTCAGTGCGAGAAGAACAAGGAGTTCATCGACAAGATTCAGGGACTAAGTCAAGTAGATCAGCATTATCTCATGAAGGTCATTGAACAGGTGCGCCGTTCTCAAAGTAGGAGTGAATGTGGACTCACTGGGACCCAGGTTATGTCGCGCATATCTACGTCCAATTCATCAGATATTGGCGAGGCTAGTATGACTGAGTACATCGTTATTCTTACAGGAATTCATACAATTTCTGAATAATGCTCGTAGGGATGATCACTACTATCGGATCCAGTTAGAGAAGAGCGCGATACTCAACGAGAAAGAGACCCTGGAAAAGGTCTACCAAACGTTACTGGACGAGCACCGGCAGCTGCAAACCACGCACGATGACATACTGTCAGAGAGGGGAGATCTCGTGGCTCAGCTCAAGGAAGCAAGAAGAGAAGTGGACAACAGAAGGAATGACGGAAGAGCAGATGTGATGTTACGAGCTGAGATCGACCGGTTGCGAGCGGATCTGTGAGTGTCCAAGATCCTCCCGTGTACCTCTCGTTGATTGTGTGGAGTATATCAGTCAAAAGAGTGAAGACAATCTGGCGATAGCTGAATCCGAGCTGGAAAAACAAACCGCCGTCGTAACGGATTTGACACGGAAAACAGATGACTTGCAATCCAAAGCAGATGAAGCAGCCAAGCTGAAGGATCAGCTAGACGAGTGAGCACGCATTCCTTCTTTCCGTGCAGATACTCATAGATACATATTCATAGATATCGACACTACTCTGAAAAATTGAACAAAGTCGAGAATGTATTGGAAAAGTACAAAAAGAAGCTTCAAGAAGCTGCTGAACTCCGTCAACGCGTCAAGGTATGCCTCTTCAGTCGATCATTTATCACCCGCCCTGGAACCTCACTAAAATCTCACTAGACCCTCGAAAAACAAAATGCTGATTTGGTCGATGTAAATGCATCCATCGAGGAAGAATACCGCAAAGTTGCTGCATTCAAACCACTCATGGAGTCATATAAAGGCCAGATTGTTGATCTTGAAAATAAAGCATCTACGCGTACACAGGAATTGGAGACGCTTAAGTTTGAGCTCGAGCAGGCACTGACAAAACTGAAGATCGTGTCCGAAGAACGTGTAAAGGAATCGGAGACCATAGAGCTCTATCAAGAACGTGTCCGAGAATTAGAATTAGCATCCGATACGCGTCTACCAAAAGCACCGCGGACGAGACAAGATTCCGTAGAGACTACCGATGCTTCAGGGGAGCCTCTGTCATCAGCTGTAGAAGATGTTGATGATGAGGAAGACGCGCAAGCCATGGGTCTGGGTGGTGAATTGCATGACGCGGAATCTGGAACGACGATGACCGACTTGAAGCTTCAAATTCGGAAATTAAAGAGGGAGCTGGAGGCGGTGAGAAAGAATGAAGCCGATGCGAGTAGGGTTCTGGTGCTGGAAAATCTATTGGATGATGCAAATAGGATGAAGTCCAGATATGAGGCGGACTATCTAGCAGCTCATAGGGAAAAACTTGTATTGCAAAGAGATTTGGAAGAAATTCGAAGCGGGAAATCGATGGGTGACGGGTACGTCCTCAGGTTGAATGGTTTTCCCTGATTTCATGTTTACGCCTTTCTACAGTGCTGAAGCAGCGATTGCCCTTCGGCAACGCTTGAACGAATCGGTGGACCAATTAGACGCGATCCGAAAAGAACACGCTGAGCTAGAGGTAAAATTCGAGACTCAGAGTAAAGAGCTAACCATTGCGAAGTCGGATCGTGAGCTCTCATCTTATGTCCCTTGACCGAGCACGATCTAATCCTCATCGAATAGTCACCTTGGTGAACAAGGATCAACTCGACATTCTTGCCTCTCTTCGAGACTCGGTCAATGAAGACAAGGCAGGCCTGGAAGCGGACCTTGAACGGCTGCAGAAGCAGAATAAGGATCTTGTCGAGAAGAACCGAATGCAGCTAGAGCAAGTGAATGTTCTGCTTCTCGAAAAAGTCAATCTACAGAGCGAAGGAATAGGCCAACGCGAAAAAATGCTTCAACGAGAACGAGATTTTGGGTAGGTAAACGCACTTGAGGAACTTCGGGCTGGTGCTGACACATCTTGACTAGCGACCTTCGTGCTTCACTATCTGGCAAAGATCTACCGGAAGACATCAAACAACGTCTATTGGCTCTACATGAAGATAATGTGATGTTGAAAGAATCACTTAAGACCTCCAATGAAAAGTTGACGAAAGCGAAAACTGTAAGGGCACAAACTGGTATCTGACAGAGTTTCACTTAAATCATGTTGCAGTTCATCAAGAATCAGGACAAGTTGTATAGAGAGGAGCAAGCTGGCAAAGGTATTGCAAATGCTTCTGTGAGTATGGCCCATTCATGCTTCCGTGACTGAGCCTTATTGGCGATCTTAGGGCATTTTCGAAGAAGCCGAAGTTAGTATGCGGTCACAGATCAAGATTCTCGAGGACGAATTGGAACGCCAGAAGGTTCTTCTATGTGTTGTCATTGTCTTTCCGAACCTTCTGAACTGTGTGCAGGTTCTGCTGGCTGAAACCAAGAAACGGTACATGCGGGAGGCGGAATTGCTGATGAGTTACATACACAGTATGGGCATGAACACTATGCGAAGCCAACTAGGGCAGCGTCCTGGGAAAACTGCCTGGCTTACCTCTCAGCGAAACAATGTATGTCGTTTCCTTTTGGAGACTTGGTGTCGATTCTAACGTGGAATCATTCAAAGTCCCGTCTTCAACGCACTATCTAGAGGCTGGTCATCTATCGCTTCGTACGGATAACTATACCCTTAATTTTGGATATCTACTGTATGCCTATGTACAAAACGCACCTAATAATAATATGCAGTAATGAGTCTGTGCCGGTGGTCCGGTACATCATTTGAGCTCCGACTCAATAGTTGCTGCTGAGTCATCAACCAAAGTCTTCTCTTTAGTCTCTGTGCACTCAGTGGCTTTGGAGCCTCAAAAGCGCCGCGTCGCCTCCGAGTTCAACCACCATACATCCTCCACCCAACCCTCCCGCTATTCATCTACAATTCCGCCCCCAAAAACGGCGACCGGACTCGGAAACGCAGCAGTCCGGCGCTCGGTCACACCGTCGAGGACGAGCTCGCATATGGATAACTCGTCGACGAGTACGACGAACATCCATACCATCGTCAAGGCCCAGATAGTTTTCTTATTGTCGACTTTAACGGAGGATAACTATGAACGGAATCAACTGGAAATTCGATCAGTGCGTCTCTCCGTAAAATAATCACGTCCAATATATCTTCATAATTTTTCTTTACTTCCTCAGCTTTCGGAGCAACATGGCATAGATACGTATCTTCATTTCATCAGGCGCTTGATTGCCCATTCGCACTCGCGTCTGTCGTCCAACAATAATTCTACGGCTTTCGACACTTCAAATTCACTGACATTCCGTCTGCTTGTTCAAGAAACTCAAAGACTCGCACGAGACCCATATCTTGCTGAGCGGTTTCGCGACGGAATTGACAAAGGCGAAGGAGAGGTCTTCAGGAGTTTCGACTTCGTTCGATTTGTTGATCGTGTGGGACTACGTCCTCTTGAACGATTAGTCCTTGCGGCTCCGATTGTTTCTTCCCCGACCAGGAAGGAATTCGGAGCGCAAGCACAGGTAGTCATCAAACAGGAATTTGAAAATGCAGTCCTCAGTCTTTGCCATAATCCTTCCTTTGACCTTGCGGATTTATCTCCAAACCAAGTCACCAAGCTCTTGGGGAATCTTCTTTCCGATCCCCCCGCAGATTCTCCTGTCCTGGATGCTTCTCAGCGACAGGCTCTCATAGTAGCTGCTCAAACAAAGTACGGCAAAGATACAGTTGCTCCCATGTTACAACGGATTCTGCCTAATCTGAGGTTAATTCTCCTTCTCATGTGATCCGTCAACGCCAACTCTAAATTTTTGACAGTCTACCCTCCGGCACAACACTTGTTCAAGCCCTCATGCAGCTTGGCCCCGACATCACAGGTGACGCTGACGTCGTCCGTGCGCTCCTGGCGCGTTTTGGTGTTACAGATGCTGCGTCACCGCAAGACGAACAGGTCATCGACATTATGTCAAATTTGAGTCGCAAAGCCACTGAAGGCGCGGTCCTCTGTGATGTTGCAGCCTTGGTCCGAGCTTTGAACAGTTTTACTAACGCGAACATTAATTGGGCAGCCATAATCAAATCCTTTGATATTCCCGACCGACACGGTGTTGACACGCCAACCCTCAAACTTCTCATTGCCATCCTCCTGAACTGCTCTCGTGACACCAATCCTCACGCCGTGACTGGATTCTGGTCTATCTGGTCCAATGCCCTTTACCAACTCCGTCTCCTTGATGCCTTGCTTTCCCTTCCCGGCGACACATTCAACTTTGTTCACCTACCTGGCCGCCGAATTGTGACAGTTGAAGATGTTGCTGTTGCTAGTCCTACAATCAAATCCCTTGCCGCCAACGTTCAAGGTCACACTTGGAATTCGCTCGATCTTTTTGAGGTGTTGGTGAAGTTGGCAGATTCAGAATCAACTGAGATTCGAAATTTTGTCCGCGAGATGTTGGACAAAGCTATCAAAATCAGCGCTGAGCTTGTGCATATGGGTCTGTTACAAGTCCCGGTGAGCAAATGGAGATTGACTAGACCATTGGACATCCTGTATCTCATGTGTGTATTTCCAGGATGCCCCTTGGAATGAGATTCGCCTTGAGTACTCTCGCAAATTACTCGCCATGTTCCTCGCTGGACATCCAAACCATCAACTTGTTTTTATGCGAATATGGCAAATACAACCGACGTATTTGACGGATGCCTTTCGAGACTTCTATCAAGAGAACCCCCTCAATATTACCCGCATCCTAGACGTGGCACAGGATCTCAAAGTATGTACCTCTTCCTTTCATATACGCTGATCTCATTTGCTTTGTTCTTCTTCCCAGATCCTCGAGGCGCTTTTGGAAGTTCGCCCTTTTGGTTTCGCACTGGACGTTGCCGCTCTGGCGTCGCGAAGGGAGTATTTGAACTTGGACAAATGGTTGATGGACAACGTTAGCAACCACGGCGCCGAGTTCTTGCATTCAGTATTGATGTTCTTGGAGGAGAAGATGCAGAGTGAGAAAACGATTCGGCTCGCGGATCCTCAGCCCGAATCAAGAACTATGCCTCTGAATCCAAACACCATCACTATTATTCTGAGGATGTTACGGAATAGGTATGTCATACAATCCTCGCTAATACGCTTATAACCCCTTGACGGTGCATTCATACATAGTCAAAGTCAGATGGCCGATGATGATAAACATTTCTGGTTGGAAGTCAAAAATCACTGTCTTCAAGTCCATCCTCGGCTCATGAGCATGATGCCCAACTCGGAGATTGAGCCGGGATATTCCGTTATCAACTACTCCACTGAAACCGAGACTGAGGTGGACGGAATTTACAAGCAAATGTACGACGAAAACACCACTATCGACGAGGTCATCGATATGCTCCGGCGATACAAAAATTCCAATAACCCCCGTGAACACGAGGTCTTTTCCTGCATGCTCCATTTCCTGTTTGACGAGTACAAATTCTTCCAATCATATTATCCTGCGCGCGAGCTTGCCATGACAGGCTATCTTTTTGGAAGCCTAATCCAACATCAGCTCATCGACTACATACCTCTTGGAATTGCCATTCGATATATCGTGGATGCTCTCAATTGCCCTCCTGAGACTAATCTTTTCAAATTTGGGATTCAGGCGCTCACTCGATTTGAAAGTCGATTGCATGAGTGGAGACCACTTTGTGAAACGTTGGTGCAGAACTCGAATTTGGCCGAAGCAAAACCGGACTTGGTTTCAACCCTACAAAAGGATCTCGCCGCGACTGCAGATGGGATTACCGGAGATGTTCAGGTGCCTTCAGTCGAAATCACTCCCGTGTTCTCTGCCATTCAGCCAGATGTGATTCATGAGGTCGTTACATTGCCAGCGGAGGAGATTCACGATAAAATCCTCTTTATTATCAACAATCTCGCTCCCAGTAATTTTAACACCAAGCTAGAGGAAATGCAAGGGTTATTCAAGGACGAATACTCCAGATGGTTTGCCAACTATCTTGTCGATCAGAGAATTAGTACGGAGCCCAACAATCATTCCCTTTATCTTCGCTTTCTGGATTCCCTCAACAGAGAAAAGCTGTCGAAATTCATCCTCCACGAGTCCTTTGTCAAGTCTGCTAGCATGCTCAACTCAGAGCGAGCTCTTCAATTTGGTACAGAGAGAACAAACTTAAAGAATGTCGCGATTTGGTTGGGCCTTATCACGCTAGCAAGGGACATCCCAATCAAGCACAAAAATATTTCTTTCAAGGACTTGCTCATTGAAGGCTATGAATCTGGCCGAAGTATCATTTCCATCCCCTTCGTTTGCAAAGTGCTTGAAGGTTGTGCGCACTCCAAGGTGTTTAAACCCCCTAACCCATGGCTCATGGGAGTAATGAGCCTACTCGCTGAAATTTATTTCTTCGCGGACGTCAAGTTGAAGTACAAGTTCGAGATTGAGGTGCTGTGCACTTTACTTGACATCAACTTAGATGCCATTGAACCTTCCACTATTCTCCGTACCCGACCCGAATCACTTGTAGGACCTCTTCTTCCCGAGTATGTCACAGATATCGATTCCCTGCCTATCGGTCTGTACGATCCTACTGGGACAGGTGCTAATAGTGTCGGCCTGGGTGCGGAAGGAGGCTTGGTGGGTGCTGGAGATGGACAAAATATGTTGTCTTTGGGCTCATCGAGCCCCTCGGATCCTTCAAGGGCTTTAGACCCCCACATCGAAAGTATATTATCCACTTTGGCGAATATTGCGCACGTCAACTCTCAGCTAAGTCCTTTAAACACTCAATCCGCCTTTAAACGAGCGGTTGCCCTCGCTGTTGAGCGTGCAGTGCGAGAGGTTAGTGTACTTCAATGGCAGTGACCAGTCGTTCGTCATCCCTGATTTTTCTCCTAGATCATATTACCTGTGGTGGAGAGGTCTGTCACAATCGCCGGTATATCAACTAGAGAACTTGTTGCAAAAGATTTCGCCACCGAGAGCAATGAAGAGAAGATGCGCAAGGCTGGTCATCTCATGGCACAAAAACTCGCAGGAAGTTTGGCCCTTGTGACCTGCAAGGAACCTCTCAAGAGCAATCTTGCCCTGCATATCCGTCAATTTCTCGCGGAAAATTCGTTCGCAGATGTATGTCTCTCTCTTGTCTCGTCCTGACTCCTCACAATTACTAATTTGCGGTTCGTAGATTGCCCAAAACGATGCAGTTATATCGATTCTCGTGTCAGACAACCTCGATTTTGCTTGTGCAGCTATTGAAAAGGCTGCGATGGAACGCGCCGTGGCCGACGTAGACGAGGGTTTTGCTACTGCATACGATCTGCGCCGACGACACCGTGAGGTAAGTAAAGTTAGAGGTGTCATCAGCTCTCTTCTCAGCTTTCATCTAGTTACGCCTGGGACATTACGTCGACCAGAACATAATAGGACCTGCTCAATTCAACATTTCACTCCCCAACCCTTTGCGCATCGGCACGAACGGAGTGCAGGCTAACCAAACAAGTGTTTACGAAGACTTCGGTATGCTCATCACTATAATCCGCCTTTCTCTTCTGATCCTTTCCATCAGGCATAGATGCGAAAAAGCGAATAAGCAGTAGACCCAGCTCGACAATGTCGTTCTCTTCGCCAGCTGTATATCCTCTCACACCTGCTGCTGATTCAGTTCTTGGTTCCGTTCCCAGTCATCAGGATGCCATGGATCGTTTCAATGTCATGACACGAGATTTGGAAGCACTCTTTGCTCAACTGCCGGTTAATTCTCTTGCAGTCCTCCCTCCAAACCATGACGTTCGATACCTCATTCGCAACATCCTTAATGCTGCTAACCTGGGAGAGCGTCAACGTACTCCGCTGCAGATGTCGCAGAAGATAGTCCAGCTTTTGTACAAAACATCTTCATCTTTGGGCAGAGAGGTCTATGTCGCTCTGTTACAGCAGTTGTGTAACGCGTTTGAAGATGTAGCGAAAGAGGCAATCACATGGCTCTTATATGCTGAGGACGAAGTAAGTCGTCGATTGTGTTCTTGAATAGAGAGTCGATGTTGATATACTCCCAGCGCAAATTTAACATTCCTGTCACCGTGACCCTCCTACGAAGCAGCTTGCTGGATGTTGGCGCATTGGATCAGGCCCTCGCGAAGACCATGTACATGGGCTCAATGGGTCCACGCCCTAGCTTTCTGAACTTTATCTCTGGTTTGATACGAGAGTGCCTGTCCAGTGACCCTCCCGTGGCTTCGCAAGCCCAATTTAAATACTGTATCGAGATGCTCACAAATACGACACAGGAAGGGAATGCCACTGATCAGTATGCTTGTCTCACTCCATTTTCCATTTGATTACTTACTGTGCCTTGTAATAGGGTATCTAAACTTTTGGATGATTTACGAGGCGTCAGACGTCCACCAATGGCAGCACTTCCTGACTCACGTCAGCCTTCTACAAAACCTGGGATCGAAAATATGAGGGAAAAGCTTCTAGGCTGGTTTCAGCAATGGATCAATATCTATCAACGATCGCATTCTCCTGAGAAGAATTTTGTCCCCTTCATTACTCAACTCACCAAAGCTGGTATCGTGAAAGAAGACGATACCTCTTCCCTTTTCTTCCGGGTATGTGCTGAAGCCAGCGTCAACAGCTATCTAAAATCAGTAGCGGCGGGGGAATACGATTATGCCTTCCAGGCATTGGATGCGATGTCCCGTTTGATTGTTTACATGATCAAATATCATGGGGATCCTTCAGGTGGTAATGTCGATCAGGCCAAAGTACACTACCTATCGAAGATCCTCTCCATATTTGTCCTAGTCGTGGCCAATTTCCACGAGGAACAGGGTGTCGCATTCCAACAAAAACCATTCTTCAGGTTTTTCTCGAGCCTAATTAATGACCTACATTCTATGGAGGTCCATTTGGGAACGGCGTACTTCCAATTGCTTTTCTGCATCAGGTACGTTTTTACCATTGGAAAGCTTGTCCTTGACCTCAACTTTACTCAGTGATACTTTCATATCTTTGCAACCAACTAATTTCCCCGGGTTCGCATTTTCTTGGATGTGTCTCATATCTCATCGTTTGTTCATGCCGAAGTTACTTCTATCCGAGAATCGCGAGGTATTTCCAGGTTTATTTGCATCGTTTTAGATCTAATATCTCTTGTAGGGTTGGTCAGCATTCCACAAATTGCTGGGCTCCCTGTTCAAATTTTTGGCTCCATTCCTAAAAGAAGCGGATCTTCAGGTTGGTGCCAGAGATCTTTACCGAGGGGCCCTACGACTCCTTCTGGTCTTACTACACGATTTCCCTGAATTCTTGAGTGAATATTACTTTACTCTTTGCGACGTAATCCCCCCTCGATGTATCCAACTTCGAAACATCATACTCAGCGCATTTCCCCCTACCATTATCTTACCTGACCCTCATCTTCGCAACGTTTCGCTTGATTCTATTCCGGAGATGGGCCCAATACCACCCATCCTCTCAGATTTTACCTCCGCTCTCAAAAACACTGACCTTCGGGGTCACCTCGATCAGTTCCTCCTGAACCGTGGCTCGCCTTCTTTCCTCCTGACATTGAAGGATAAGTTCCGCTATCCTGGAATGACAGACGCAATGCCCGACTCATACAATCTTTCTCTCTTGAATACTGTTGTGATGTACATCGGTGTTTCCTCAGTTGCTCAAGCAAAAGCACGAAGTGGTACTTCCGTATTCATACCCACGGACCCAGGAGTTGTTTCCCTCCAATACTTGGCGATGAACATGGACGTTGAAGGTTCGTCTCTACTTCATCGCCTTGCTATTCCCACTGACCGATATATTTACAGGACAACATCATCTCCTTAGTGCGATCGTACTTCACTTGCGATATCCAAATGCGCATACCCATTGGTTCAGCGCCCTCCTTTTGCATCTGTTCTTAGAAGTGAAAGATGATAAATTCCGAGAGGTGATGACCAAGGTCCTACTCGAACGCTTCATCGTTCACAGACCACATCCCTGGGGAGCTCTCAATACTTTCATTGAGCTACTCAGGAATCCCAAATACGAATTTTGGAACAAGGACTTTGTCCGGATTGCACCTGAAGTCTCATTGCTTCTCGAAAGTGTAAGCATCATTTTGGTCTTCATCGATAGCTTCGAAGCTGACTCGAATATCTCTCAGGTTGCAACCTCGATATTCCAAACACAGTAGATGCCTCTTTTCCAACGTCCAATTGCTATCTTCGCAATATCTTCTGTTTTCATACTTATTTCTGGGTTTTTTTCCTCATTCTCGTCTTATCCATTGTGCACAAATGTATTGTAACAGTATTATTATCTCTTGTTGAACGCGCCGTTTTCAAGTGTTGAAAGGGTGTATTCACGTCTTCAAGCTTTTGGTTCGAACGCAGACCAGGATTGAATTTGCCACTCGGAACATTGAGCAGTCCAAGCAAATTCCATGGCTAACAAGAAAAAATATATAAAGGCTACATACTGTGGAAGTCGAGATAGAAGGAATGAAGTCGGCAATTCTAATTTGGGATTGGAAAGTTTTTGGAGAGCACGGAGGACTGGAAAAATCACTCGATATTTTGAGAGAAATCAGAGAGAAATGGATAACATTGATTTGGAAAGAGAGTTGTCAGTGACCCGGGCAGATGTTAGGAAGAGTGGGAAAAGTTGTTCAAAAGGCCGAAGAATCTATGTCAGTTGTTAAGTTTCGAAAGGTGCAAGAAGATTGGTCAGCGAGAAGGGTTTTTTGGGTGATGCAATGAAATATCGAGGAGAATGGGCAAGTTTGTCAGACGTGAAATTGGCGAAGGTTCAAAGTGTGCAATCTGGGCGTTGGCGAGATCTTTGAAAGGAGCAGCGGCATCATCACAGGTAGATGAACAAAGTTGAATGATGTGGACGGCAGTGCTACAGACATGGTGCCAATGAGGGTCAATGATGGAACGTTGAAGAAAGCAGATGGAGTATTGCAGCTTATTGCAGTTGAGGCGGGGCCCGAAGACCACGCTGTTCCTGTACCAGCCTGTACCATGGGAGCTCAACAGGGTTCCGACATTGATAACGATACGTGATCCGTCTGGGCAGTGGGGACTAAGTACAGGGGACTATACCGGACCACATCAGTGACTATCAGTAATCAGTGAGTGAACGTGTTCTCATTTCAAAGCATTCCAAGGTGCGGTCCGGTATTCTCCCGGCCCGTTCACAGATTCTTGTGGCAAACGTGCTGTAATTCCGAGGGAATTAATCATTCTGTCAAAGTTCCTTCGATTTCCTTCAGTTGACCTTCACCCATTGAGTACTGAGGACGTATACATGACGCAGGAGATTTTGGTAGTGGGCTTTGGTGCAGTGGGAGCTATATGTGAGCTCCAATGCTCTCTACTGAATACACTCTCAGTTTCGTACTTCCGATCAGATGCCTATAGTCTTCATCGGACTGATAAGGTGCGATTAACAGTTGTGGCGAGGGGAAATTACGAACTGATTAAAGGTAAGTATTCTGTAGCCTGCAGGAGAGGATAACTTGGGGATTATCTTCTGATGCCGCTACTAGAACATGGAATGTACATCAAAAGCCAAAGATTTGGAAATGTTGAAGCTTGGAAGCCTCATCGAGGTATATTACTTCCGAATAATCCAGTTTAATACGGCTATGGCAGCTGAAAACAACACAGTGGTCAATTCTATCTCAAGTGCTGCAGATAGACAGTACTCACATGTTATTCTTTCAACAAAATGTGTTCCCGAAGTTATCAAAACACCAGATCTTCTCAAGCCCCTCATTTCTTCTCCTTATTGCGATCAATTCCAACAGCCCGTTTATGTCCTGCTTCAAAATGGCCTGAACATCGAAGTGGACCTTTATCGTGCTATCAAAGCACTGGGAAAACCTGAGGAGCCAGTGATCATAAACACGGGTGTCTATGTGTTTGCAAATTTAATCTCGGCAAATGTTGTTGAGCATGGTCCTTTTGTGAGCGCAAATTCATGGAGAGAGCTCCTCATGATCTTTGACACTTACCCTGGAACCCAAGGCAAGGTTAGATATAGGTATTTATAGGCCTCATGACTATACAACTATGGTCAATTCGCCAGCTGAGCAACAGGTTCTTGAAGGGCTGAAAGAACTGTTCCATGTACGAGCACTATGTCTTTCTTTAGGCAATTATCAAGTGATTTTTCCTGCCACAGAATGTCGACATCAACATATATCCAGAGATCCAACGCAAAAAATTCGCGAAGAATATGTTGAACATAGCATATGCGGCGTGTGCTTGTTTAACAAGGTGTGCGATTTCGCCGTTGCTATATTCTGTGGGTGGCTCACTGTTCGTCAGATGTTCTCTCACTTCCTTATTCCGTCCTCCTCCCACGAACGTCCCTTACGAGCCGTACCTAGACCCAGTAACTGCTGACCGCGTAAACCTCTACACTCGTAAATGGATCAAAGATATCTTGGATGAGTGTGTCCGTTTGGGTGTGTCTTATCTCTCGACCTACACATTTCACCGTGCTCATGCAACTATAGGCCGTGCAATGGGGTTCCCTGATTCTGAGGACGGACTGCCCTCGAGCATTGTCGAAAACAGCATGAAGACATCTGAGAAGAACTATTCTGGCCCAGATTCAAATCACAACCCAAGCACTCTGCTAGATATCGAGAAAGGAGCCCCCATTGAAGTCGAAGTTATTTGGGGCGAAACTGTACGTTTGGCAAAGGAGAGGAATGTCGATGTTCCTGTGAGTGTTTATGCCTCATGTTCAGCTTTTCTTCAGCTTTTCTTATATACTCCACAATATCAAGCGCATTGAAATGGCGTATGCGATGTTACTCTTAGTCCAAAACCAAATTCTACGCCAGATCAACTCTTCGAAACAAACTTAGAAGTAGACCTGATACTATGAATATACTCACCATGTAGGCTGATATTCACATAGTAGAACTCCACGACATAGCCTCGTTCCAATTCCACTCGCTATCCCAAAGTCCAGCGGCAATTACATTTCCCTCACCCCGCCCGTTATCTTCTCCGATAATAATCCAATCAGGTACCGGCACACCAGTACGGATAGGAAACAATCTCGCTGCTCGCTCAAGACCAACGCCCACAGGATCAGTAGACTGTAGAAGCAGCATTTTCGCACACGAGTTCATTGGATGCGGATGGAGAAATAAGATTCCTAGAAGTACTAATCAGACAACCACAATTTCTCAGCCTTATACTACATGCCTTGTCCTGGCTGTAGCTCAGGTCCGTTGGGACTGAATCCATCTACATGAACTCTTGTCATGAATTCTTTGACGTCGATGAAATTGTTCTCCGTGACGAAGTTTGTTTTGCCTTGGTGTAATGCCGTCTGTAATTCCAAAGCAGCCTCATTGCCGACTACGATAACGTTGCCTTTGCTGAAAGCAGATGCAAATTCTGGTTTTAAGAGAGCGATGTTGACCTCGGAATTGATCATGATTTCACTATCTAACCGATGATACACAAGGAGGTCATGAGAGAGGCGGAGAGCAATAGACATCGCGTGTGATGGCGTCTCAGTTGGTCCCGACTCTAGGTCCAACACTGCATCAGGAACGACGAACACAAGTGGAGCTGGTCCCATAAATTCCGAGTGGTCCACTGAATTGGGGGAAGATAACACAGTCTGCATGCGTCCTGAAAGTTGCAGTGTATTCCGCGAGTCTGAAAGCTGCAGAGCACATCCATCAGATACTAGCAAGGTAATGGCACAGACATATATACATACTTTCCATAGTTTAGGCCCGACGGCCTTGAAGTATATAACTTGTGCCATTTCAAGGATCCTCGAATCCAAAACCACTTGCTTTCCGTCGATGTATAACTGCATATCTTTTTCGAGAACGCCAAACAACTTGGGATCAACGGAAAATTCGAGGATATTCGTGGTCTTTGCATTCACTAGCATAGCGGAAGATGATGACTGCTCTATAACGTGGACGGAAACACGTCCTAATCGTCCTGGAATGGAAAGTTTCTCTATATGCCACCCTTGCATGGATCCGCTTTCTGCAGGTACAGCGACTGTGAGGCTGAATTTTTCCGAATAAGTGACACATTGGGGGCCAAATTCGGCTGCATCAAGCAATTGGTCAATGAATGATTGAACTTGATCATTTTTGAAGACTGTAGGAAACCAATGAGGCTGGCCTCGGAATTCCAGAAATCTCCAATCAGATTGAGTTTACTTCAGCAGACGTAGATGTTACGAGGATACTCACTCGACGCGAGACGTGTTGTAACCAACCCCTTCTAGGTTCTGCAAAACACCAACTAGTTCTCGTGAATGCCAAACAGGAACATTCTCGTCGTCTCCACTAAGAAACGATCAGTGTTGTACACACGAAACAAGGGGTTAGAATACCCACCCATGAATAGCAAGGACGTCCTTCCCGCGCAGATTGCCCACAAACAGGTCATTATCATCCGGTGTCAACGAAGTCTGAAGAATAGCCTCCAAGAAGGGATCGGCAAAATGCGCCGAACAAGACATTGTCCATGGGACGTAGGCTTGAGATTTTATGTAGGCGGATGCGGGAATGACTACATAGGTAGAAGAAAAAGCGAAAAGAGGAGTTGAGATCGATAGCGCGGGTTACATGAGGTTACATGCCTCCCAAAACGCGATCTGGGAACCGCTCTGCAATATACCAGGCCCCTTGACCTCCATTGGAATGACCCATCAATATAGCTTGAGGTTTTCTGTTCGGTGTAGTTGAGGGTATGCCCCATTTATTTTTTCCCCAGGTCGTTGATTCGGAACTTTGAAGAATATCTGTGACTGCATCTAGGACTCCCCATGCATCTTGGGCGGAGGGTCCGTGCCAATCAAGGCCCTAACAGCAACGGAAAGCAAACTGGGTGTCCTAATATGTGCTTTGATGATATTCCATACTCACCCAAGAAGTCCTTCCACTTGGAATCACCACCCAGCTCCAAACCTGTCTCGGAAGGGCTTGCGCCCAGAACGATTCCGAGGGACTAGGAGCGAAGATATCCACCCCTGCTCCATCTAAGAGATGTCACGGGCAATGTAAATTTACTTCAAGAAAACGCACGTACAACTCACGTAAGGCTAAGATTGGCGCACGTCGTTTATCCGATGATTCGGGCGGGACCACCAAAAAATTGGTTGGTATTGAGTCCGAAACCCCAAAGAAGTACGATCCTTTGAAGACAGGATTAGAGCTAGTCGGGCTCGGGTCATCCCACATTACGACATGGGTAACGGCGAGAGATAGTTCCAAAGTTATAGTATCTCCTGAGTTATGTTGAATGTAAACACCTGCGTCGTCTCTTTGTAAAACCAGTGTAACGTTGATGGAGGTAAAGGCAAGAGGTAGATCTTTATGTTGCCTGATGCGCAAGGGCAGAATACGAGCTTGAGTCGGGGCAAGGCGGAATTTGGTTGAGGGAAGATTCAATGATAGATACTACATGGCGAATGTTGAGATTGCAGTTGAGGAACGAATACGAACGCATACTTCTTTGAGGGGATGCGTGATTTGGGCATCATAAACAGACCACCAGCCATCTCGAGCTCTTAGTCCAATCCCGATAGCATCACCAAAAGTCCAGCCAGATACAACATCTGGCACCACATCCTGTGTCGGTTCCCACACAACCTGCTCAATATCAATGTCGAGTTCCACTTCGAGCTTGATGGTTTGCGCCGGGGTATCCGAGTTACGCTGGACGCGAGGATCTCCGAATAAACGTATCTAAGACTGATCGAAGTTTGAACGAGGTTGTGAGAAATTTGAACTTACTTCATAATCGCCACTGACAAATATATCGTACGTCGTAGGTTTATCGAAAGACGGCGCCTCTGGAAGTTCAACGACGCGTGGTAGAGCGCGTTCCATATCATAGATATTTCCAGCATACCACCGAGGCACCTTCCCGGTTGAATTTGAAGAAATTATCGTGAAATAAGAACCTCCGACAAGTTTAATGCGAAGATGGGGCGGTCGTGTATTCGAATTGGAGCCGGAAACTGGGTATACAGTCAAAGAAGTTTTGAGTACAGCATGGTGTTGAAGTGCAGCCCATCCTTCGCTATCCCTCAGTGACTTCCACCGCACAGACTCCGGAAACGACACTTCCAATATACCACTGTCCTTGTCTGCCCGGGCTTTACTCCATGTGACTTGACCACCATCGGCATAAGATGAAGGATATGTGGCATTCAGGTCAATGGGAACCTTCACTACCGGTTGGCGGATTCAGATGAGAGAAATGGAATAGCAGAAATGGTCAAACCATCGATAGGGAAAGAAGGCTCAAGAAAATGTTGTTCTCGAGCGTGAATAGGGAAGGGGCCGAGGACATCCCATTCTTTGGATAGCTCTATCATCCATTGTGATTCAAGTAAAGGCATTTGGAAATTATATGCGAGAGATGGTAGCAGAAGTGCCGCGATAAAACACGACAAAAGCATAGAAGTCGTGTTAATGGAGGAAGCTTTGAATATCATGTGTTTTTTTATCTTATCTTATCTCAAAATATAAAATTGGCTTGGGCGCTCGTAAGTCGTAGTTTGCGATAATCATGTCTGGCCGTCAAGGAGGAAAGCTCAAGCCATTAAAGGTCATCACAAATAATCTTCACCCGGAGTAATCCTCTTAATCAACATCTATAGGCTCCCAAAAAGGAAAAGAAGGACGAGGACGAGGAAGACAAGGCTTTCAAAGACAAACAGAAAGCTGATCAAGCTGCTCTCAAAGCAGCGAAGGATAAAGGTGTGAAATGTTTCCTCTCAAGTTATGCTTCATACTGACCCTTCATTTCTCATGCAGCTGCAAAGGGTAAGTGACTGTGATATACTTCTTTACTCACAGATCGACCTTTCATCTAGGTGGAGCACCTGGAGGCGGAATTAAGAAGTAAGTAAAGGTATCATCCTCAGTATGCACCAATAATCTGATATCTTTTACTTAGATCTGGCAAGAAATAGACTGCTGTCCGTTCCGCGCCCATATCTCCTCCCAAGCCAGCCCACTCCTACTAGAGCTCTCAACTGCCTTTGTACTCGTGTCACTGCCACATGTGTATCAGACTATACTCTATTTCTTGGCTTTGTCGGCCTCTTATCGATTTGCAAATGCAGCTCAACTGCACTCTACTATTGTTCAGAATCTCTTGGGTATGTATGTCCTCAAATAATTAGCCACATGCACTATACATACGGCTTTCCCAAATGGCCGTTACTCGTCAGCGGCGTATGAAGAAAATTTGAGCCTTCTTGTTCATTCATGCTAAATTATCGTTGAGCGATAAGTAAGTACACATACGTGCAAGCAAATAGAAGTCGACGTTGTAAGCAACATCAAGTCGAAGAGAAAAGTTGTAAAAAAACATATTGATTGCTGTTTATATAATGCATTCAGATTCAAGACTCGGACAGTCACAACAAACGATCTCAATCCCTGCCTCTACCATCCAACTCCCTATGTTAGGCCCTCTGCAAGGCCTCCCGCCGAATAATCAGTCGCAACAGAGTCAGCAACAGCAACAGCAACAGCAGCAGCAGCAGCAGCAACCGGGCCAGAACAATATTCCTCCGCCGCCGCCGTTAAATGGCCAGGACTACACTCTTTCCAGTGTTTTGCATTTCTTGCAAACAGAATGGAGGCGCTATGAACGTGACCGCAATGAATGGGAAATTGAGAGGGCAGAGATGAGGGTATTTTTATTCTTTTCTACTCTTACCCCACAGTCGCGTTGATAGCTTGTCAGGCCCGTATTGCCCTGCTCGAAGGCGAAAGACGTTCCTTTGAAAATGTCAAGCTCGACCTGATGCGTCGTATAAAAATGCTTGAATACGCCTTGCGTATGGAACGGTTCGTTGCCAAAACATCTTCCGTCCAACGCGTCCTCGTTTAACACGTCAACAAACCGGGTTTTTCTATTAGGTCAAAGCAGCTCAACCAGCCGGCGCCTCCAGCAAAGCTGGCTTTGATGCAGGCTCAGACTTTGAGAGACGACTTGTCCAAAGAAGAAAGTAGCGGAAGTTCACCTCGGAGTGATGGTGCGTGCTTTTTTTCTGTTCTTGTGCGTTGATCTCAATATGTTCTTGGTCAGATTCTCCTCTTCCAGATAGTCGTCCACCAAATGGTGCACCTTCGATAGGACCGTCTGGGAGACCAGGTTCTTGGACCGGACTTAATTGGCCAAGCGGTCCTTCCGCTAATACTCTCGCAGGAATAGGCAAACCGCCGCCAGGCCGAGATCCAAAAAGTAGGGCACGTAGTCGGGACTACTTGAAGCAGTGCGTCAATTCTTCATTCGACATATCTTTCTTTCGTTACATGCTCAACTTTCGTTTTCCGTGCACACGTCACAGGTGTCTTCAAGAAATCCAGTATTTAACTTCACCACAGGCAATGAACCCACTTCCCAACCGACCATTAATCAACCATTCGACAGTGCCGCTCTCATTACCCAATGTCCCTTCCTTTGAGCAAATGGCTTACAACGGGCGTCCCAGGAAAGTCCTGCCAGAAGCCGGCTCATCTTTACTAAACGGAATAAACTTGATCTCGGGGCCCTCATCTGCTCCTGCTACTGGTCCTCTGGAGCGAAGTAATCCGCTAGCAAGTGGCATGATGCAGCAGCACATACAGCTGCAACAGGTCCAGCAACAGCAACAGGTTCAGCAGCAGCAGCAGCAGCCACCTTCCACGCAACAACAATCGAACGGAAACCAATCTCAGCCGATACTTCCCGGTACCTCTCAGTTAGATAATAAAGGTTCTGAATCCGAGCCGCGACAGTTGACGATGATCTTTCGACCTGATGATTCCGGAGAGTGGAAAGACAAGCTCAGGCAGGCACACGAAGCTTCTGAACAGCTTAGGCTTTCCAGAGAATCCCAGGCTGCCGGAGGTTCCTGGGAAGGACGAAGAGAGTTTGAAGATGAACTCAAAGAAGACGAGGGAGAAGTCGATGACGATGATTCTTCAGTAGTATCCGAAGGCGATGGAAGTAAAGTATGGAAAGCCAGACGGACGCTCAGAAAGTTAGTTGCATGATTTCTGCATTTCATTTGTTCAATTTCCTCTCGTATCGTTTTGTTTATTGTAACAAACACTCATCAATTTCTCGTATCTTAGTCATCTCGATGCTGTTAGGGCAGTTGCGTTCCATCCCCATGAGCTGTGCTTAGCTACGGGAGGTGACGATTGTACAGTCAAGATATGGCGAATGGATGTCGCAGGCCTAGCCTCATCTACGTGCGTATGCCTCTTCCTCAAAATCAATCTGATTGTAAAACCTTTGCTTTCCTTCGCAGTTCCAGGGTCACTACGGAAATTGAGCCACAGATCACTCTAAGGGGACATTCTGCTGCCATCACACGTTTGATACACGCGCCTTCAAAACGGCTATTGTATTCTGCCTCATTAGACTCCTCAATACGAGTTTGGGCTCTGCCGTCTCCCTCTCATACGACATATGCGCCGTATGATGACAGCACATTTAGAGGCCACCTAGTAGGCCATACTGATGCCGTATGGGATCTGGCTTTGGCTCGGGATGAGAGCACGCTCATCAGTTGTGGCGCAGAGGGAGCGGTCAAAGTATGGGATGTCGGTGGACCTTCGCCTGGCGCACTTAAGCTAACTTGGGGTTGGCTTGGGGTGGATGGCATTAGTGACGCACCGACGGATGACAATCGCGACGCTCCCGGTGCAACGTCCATTGAGGCCATTAAGAGCGACCTTAAAAAGGTCGCAGTGGCATACCAGAATGCTGTAGTCAAGATTTTTGACATTGAGACTGGTAAAGAGCTTTCGAGATTAGGAAGTGACATGAGCTATGGTACGTTAATTCATTTTGTAGCTGTATCAACGCTCAGTTTTGTAACCCTTGTATTGTTTCCTTTTTTCAGATGGTACGCCTGCGACGCAAGTCAACTGTATAACGTCACATCCAACAATGTCATTACTGGTTACCGCCCATGAAGACAAGTTTATCAGAATCTTCGACATCATCACAGGTATGTCTAGCAATTTTCAATGAACCACGAGTTACTCACTCTGCCTTGTATGTACTCACAGGTCAATGCACACACTCGATGCAAGCTCATCTTGATGGCGTCACATCGATTTCAATCGACGCATCAGGTTTTTCCCTTGTATCTGGAAGTCATGATTGCTCCATCCGATTCTGGGATCTTCTCGGCTCCCGGCAGTGCGTACAAGAGATCACAACGCATCGAGAGAAAGCACGGGAAGGCGTATTAGATGTCGAATTCCATCCAACACTACCATTTATGACCAGCGCCGGTGCGGATGGTGTGGTAAAACTTTACGCTTCGTCGTAACACTGCTTGCTTTCTTCATTTGTACATTCGCAGTGGGGGCTGATCATCCGTTAATACTTCTGCTTAATAAGTAGCTTCAACCCACCTCTGGATTGCGACGGAAACTTTCAATGATTCAATTTTACATTCTGCAATTTTTTTCAATCATTTCATGTTCATTGCCTTCAGTTCCTTGTAAATACTTGTTCCCGGTCACGAACGTCATGATTAACCATCGTGGTAGTCTAAGTCGACACGAAACTCATACCCGCATAGATTGAAACAGGGACGATATCTCATTGCTTTTGCAAGAGATGGAAACAAATTAATACATACACATGTACATAACATGTTTCTTTCGACGAATATGTTGACAATGTGCTGCGATGTTACCGGAGGCATCGACGTCAAGTCCTCTGCTTAACTTGGCAACTATGGTTTCAACGAACAGAGTACTTGGTATCTCAACATACTCTTCGGGCTATGCACAACAAATGTATTGTGATAATTATTGACTTTGCGGATCCCACTATGGATTGTGTAGTACTTTGGATCTAGTAAAGCCCTTATATTTTTTTTTCGCGTTGGTCTGAGCTTGGTATCATTTGCCTCAATCAGGCTCTTTATTGGAATTGTATTACGAATTTCCAGGAATTTCCCCTCAGAGACAAGAGGAACAATTTCAATTATCATAAACAACACGCTTCCCTTCCACCAACTTTGACCAGCATCGCCTTTTTCCCTTCAATCTCTTTGGGCAAGTCGGAACGTCAATCAGCTTTTCGCCTGATAAGAGAGGGAGCTGGGGGTCACAGCAAACACAAGGCCAACCTGTCAAGCGGCGACTCACCTTTAGACACAGAGAGTCAGTTGAGCTCTTTTGCCGATCGTCCATTTACTGCGTGTATATTAACTCTCTGGGGCTCCTTAAAATAGATAACCAACATTTCCCCTCGAAAGACGCGTTATTCTCTCCTCTATGGATGATTATGGCCCTGCTTTTGCTCTTGTGTGTGTAGGTTCAGGTGGCGGCCCCCTGGAATCCGACTTGTCTGGGTAAAGTGTCAATTCTTTGAAAAGCTCAAGATTGTTAATGGGGGATCATTCAGGTACCTGCTCAAACCGTATAAGGAAGAATGGGACGCGGGTATCATTGCATTAGAGGCGGGTGAGTTATCCTTCCACTACATGTACCACCATTCGAATTCTCATCCGGAGACTAGGTTCAGGCCAAGGAACTTTGCATCGACTCTTGCAACAAGAACCAGACCTGTTCAAGACTCAGAGTAGCGCGACCCGGACTTATTCCGCTTCCGAGATTTATACCTTCGTGCGGTGAGTTTTCAAAACGATTTCTCAATATCTAACCCCGTCACCTATCCTTTTCAAGGTGTTTTCTGATCACTCACGCGCATTTGGATCATATTTCTTCCCTTGTAATCTCTACCGGCTCATTCGGAGGTCCACGGAAACGCGTCTACGGTAATAAGGAAATGCTTGAAGATCTGGAGGGAATATACAATTGGCGAGCATGGCCGAATCTCGCTTCCTACGACGAGAACGACGAGGACTTCAAACTGTTGTACTCTCCGTGAGTTTTCTGGGCATCATCTTGAATTACCTACTGATGACCTTATCTGTCCTAGCCTTGTTCCGAATGGAAAGTATCATACCGTCTTCCCAGATATATCTGTTCAAATTGTCCCTATAAACCATGGTACCACTGATATAGGGCCTTATTCTTCTTCCGCGTTCTTCATCCGTTCAGACTCCCATCCGTCCAAGCGAGAGTTCCTGTTCTTCGGAGATGTAGAGCCCGATTCGGTCACTTCTGCTACACCGAAGATTATCGATGTCTGGAGGAAAGCTGCTCCCATGATCCCGAATACGTTATCTACGATCTTCATAGAATGTTCATGGCCATCTGGGAGACCAGACGACATGTTGCATGGTCATCTTAGTCCCGAACACTTGAGGGATGAATTAGTCGTGCTGGCTACTGAGGTATACCACTCCCGGCGTAGCAGCTCTGGCGGTGGCTCCAGGCCCAAGAGAAAGCGGCAAAAACGGAATCCCTCAGTGTCTGCTGACGAACTGCGAGGCCTTCTGACTGGTGTTCGAATTTACATTATCCATTGTAAAGAACAGTCAACGCAAGTCGAAGGTCCTCCAACACGGGAACTCATTGTTGGGCAGGTCAGAGCACTCGTTCAAACGGCTGGACTGGGCGCAGAGATTCTATCTGCCGAACAGGGAATGCATATCAGTGAGCGTTTCATATTGTATTTATGCTTCTATCACTCACTGCCCAACTTTCGTAGCTATTTAAGCATAAAACTCATCAAAATACTCACTCGTCCCGCATACATTTATTGGAGACTGCGAACCGAGCTTTTTGCTCTTGTATAAATACGCCTTGTAGCCATAGTTTTTGCTATCGTTGCTGTTTTTGTTTTCGTTTGTGACCTGTAGATAGATAGATAGATATGTACTGCTCAAAAGATGGACTGCGAACTTCGCGATGACAATCCACTATTGATCTGAAATTGTAATATCTAATTTTCAACAACATCCTGTCTCCTATCTTGAACTGCGCAGTAACGCTAAAGCCAACTCCTCCTCATCTTCGAGTGCCGGAGGCCGCGCGACCTTGCTTCGTTTTGAGGGTCGCGACTCTTCTTCTGACTCTGACTCGGAAGGGAGGTCGAACTCAGGAGACACATAGCCATCATCAGATGGTTCAACGTATGCACCGACTTCACGTCCACCTTCCATCTGTTAACGAAATTCAATGTATGAAACATCAAAAATCAAAATGAGATCTTACTGCTATCTTTTCTCGTTCTTTCCTTTTTCGTTTCTTTTCCTTCTTTTTCTCTCTGGCGTCATGTTTGTCCTGCACATCCGCAATCTTCATCTTCCCCCGTTCCGCCTCGGCATATTTATTTCCCTCCTTTACTACACCTTCAACACCTCCAGTTTCCTTCACCCAGTCCTCTGCGTCGGCAACTTCTCCAGCCTCACGTCCAACCCCACTATCATCGAACACGATTTTCTTCGTTATAGGCGCATTCAGTAGAATCGTACGTTTAGCTTTGCCAAGTTTATTTTTTCGCTTGGACAAATTTTCCAATGCAACTTCCCTGAGCGGTACATCAACGAGGTCGTGGTCTGCACGTCTAAGCGTAATGAAATCGTCTTCGTCGGAAGCAACATCTTGATCAATGAGTTTAGAATAGTGCTGCGAAAGGACGTCCTGGTTCTTGCGCTCGAACATCCGGTCGTACTTCGTTCTCACGCCACCAGGCTACGTTTGGCGTAATTAACTCAACGAAGAATCCAAGCGAATTTGCGGAACGAACCTTGGTTGATTTAGACGGAGGTTCCTCTGTCACTGCTGCTTCGCTTTCATTGCCACTTCCATCCTCCTCATCACTCGACGGATGGATATCACCATCATCTGATTCTTCCTCATTTTCATCTGCACTATTCTGTTTCTCTTCCAAAGCCTGTTGCTTCGCAGCATTTACCCGTCGATCTGTGTTTTTCTTTTGCTTTGCCACTTCCTTGCTCAAGAATTTGATCTTCGGAGCGCCAGGAAGCCCAAGAGACTCTGCAAATTCGTTCGCGGGAAGTTCCGCAACTTTGAATATTGATTTATCCTTGTGTAAATGAACTGAACGGAGATACGACACGAAAGCCTAAACAGATGTTGGCGGAGAACAAGGCACTCTGAGAAAGGAAATTTTTACCCTTTGACCAAGATATTTGATTTCAGGCTCTTGGAACGCGAGCTTTTGTAACTGGTTCTGAATATCTTGCTGTTTGCTGGGTTTCACCTTTATTTTCTGAACCTCGATCCCTTTCGCTTTCAACGCGGCAAGCATACCTTCCTCCTCGCTTGGCATCAAAAACAGCAGACCCTTGCCTCTGCTTTCATATCTGGCTGTACGACCTACACGGTGAATATACGTGTCTGCATCCTCCGGCGCATCTAGTTGCAACACCCAGTCAACGGAAGGAAAGTCCAACCCTCTTGCGGCAATGTCTGTAGCGAAAAGCACTGCATGTTTCGACTGCGTAAATTTATTGTACATGGTTAACCTCGTAGTTTGTTTCTGCTTTCCATGTAGATGAATGAGCGGCATTCCGGGGTGCATTTTGCAAAAAGTTTCGAAGATGAAGCGAACTTGCTTACAGCTAGATGCAAAGACTATGATTTTGGATTGAAGGTGTGATTTTATAAAGCTCCATAGGATGGAAAGCTTTTGATCGAGGGTGCAGACGAGATAGTGCTGTTCCAGGCTTTTGGGTATGGATGAGGAAAGACCATCACCTACATTGACACCAATTGAAATTGGGTCTTGAAGACTGAGGCGGGCAAGATCTTTGACAGAACGAGTTTGGGTCGCTGAGAACAGCAGAGTTTGTCGAGATTTTGGGAGATGAGAAAGAAGGGCGGAAACGGTTCGGGAGAATCCCATGTCGAGTATTCGGTCTGCTTCATCGAGGACTAAATATGGAATAAATGAATAGATGGGGATCTATATGCAACATCCATACCTAGCAGCTTCAGATTATCAGATTCAAAACCAACAGTTTGGTCCATATGTTGTAACAGACGTCCCGGAGTAGCGACTAGGATATTCATCCTCGATAACCGTTCTCGTTCATCTTTTAAACTTTTACCACCAATCACTAATCCAGCGGAGAAGGAGTGATATCCTCCGATAGAACGAAGGACTTCGAAAATCTGGACAGCCTGCAATGAAATAGTCAAACTTCAGGCAACGACGATCCAGAGAACAAACAAACGCACCAGTTCCCGGGTTGGGGATATAATCAGAGCTCCTAGCCCGTCCGTAGGTCCCCACCTTTGTCTGTACAAAATTTCGAGAACAGGAATAAGGAAGGCAAGAGTCTTTCCACTTCCAGTACGCGCAGCTCCTAGGACATCCTTTCCCTTGAGCGAGACGGGGATACTCTGCGCTTGTATATCGGTCATGTCAACAAAGAAGGCTTTCTTTAAGCCTCGTTTGGAATTTTCAGAGATTGGTAGATCAGCAAAAGCCTTTAGACCTTCTGGAGCTTCCTTCACAAGAATACTTAATCAGCGCATAGTCCTCGAAAAAAAAAGACTTGGGAAAGACTTACAAACTCCATAGCTTGACGTTCAAGAGTCTCGATACGCTGGGTCTCAGATAATTTCTTCGCTTTTGTAGGTCGAGCACCATATTTTGAATCCTTCTTGTTCTTTTGCTGCTTTCTAGGGCGAGAAGGGCCTGCAAGAGGTTGGGAGGTCATGGTGGATGTGAGGAATTTAGGGCGCTTATTTCCTTTGTGAACTCTCGCAATGGCTGCTCATATCCCAAGCATTTCAAACGAGCCGAAGGAGAGAAACCGACAGTTGCTGGAGATAATGGCAAAGAAACTTTCGAAGATGTCGTCCTTCGAGCAATATGCGAATAGACTTGCCAATTGGGCAAGCGATCCGAGAGCGTATTATGACGATGTTAAAGAAACTGTATGTGTTGCCTTCATTTAACTCAAATATCTGCTTAATGGCAAAGTCAGATAATCAAGCTGCTGGAGGTATCATACCCATATAGATCCTCCTGGCGGTCATGGCTCTGACACCTTTCACCAGCGCGCGCTCCTCACAATGCAAAATGAACTGCGTCTAGATCCTCGACTACCTTTCAATATCCATCTGTATTTAGACAAACCTTTCATCGTTGCGTACAGGACTTTGATACAGACCGTGTACCGCTTTCGGGATAAATTTCCTCGTGATGGCTTGCGCCTCCATTGTATGTTGGTTCCCTATCCATTTTGTATCGATGTTCGAATTGTAATCTACTTTCAGCGCGATTGCAGGCCTTATATATGACCACCACACCTCCGGATGAAATCATAGACGTTGAGGCAACAAACTCGCCTGATTCCTCCTCCGTGGCTCAGTTTTCTGGCACTGTATCCTCCTCCTCCATCATCTCTACCCCAGTTGATCCAATAGTATCCCCCTCCTACTACGCCCATCCTCCTCAATTGCCACCACTTCTTGTTCCTTCACCAAGCGCACCGTCCATTTCGTTGAAGGATTCTATTTCTCCATCCTTGCACTACAATATCGTACCTTCCATGGCTTCCTTCATGCACACAGCCAATTCAGATCCAATAAACTCTTCGATCTCTGTTACTGCCGCTGATCCGGAGCCTTTGTTAGCCAGTACAACTCCTCAACCTCCCGCAAAACCACCCGCCTCATCTTTACCTGAAAGACTACAAAGCGATGAATCCATCTCCGCTGTCGCTAAGCCCCGAAAGAAAAAGAGGAAAAAACTCAATTTATCTGAAATGCTCGATTTGGATCAAGCAGACCAAGTCGAAAGTCCTACGGGACCAATTTCAATTGTGTCGAGCGAAGGGCACGATTTGAAGGTTGAGGCGATGGCCTTAGATCCAGCTGTTAAGTCTTCAGAACCAGATTTTCCTACCCCTGATATGCAAGGAAGCTCTACGGTAGGAATCAAACGCGCACGGTCAAACTCAAGCTCTAGAATGCCTGGCTCGCATTCGCCAAATTTCTTAGACCGAGTGTTGAAATGGGAGTCACCAATCGACCGAACTGAACATGAACATCGCCCTTTATCTATTGAACCTCATGAATCTGCCGCCGCTCATATCACCTCCGCTTTGGTTGAAGACAAGGACAAGGATAGCCCTGATGCTGAGGATGCTATGGAAGTCGATATAGAACCAGCTCAAGATAATGGGCCTGAGGATGAGATCATGATGGACGTGATCAATAATAATCTTCAGACTGTAAGTCGCTCCGCGCGCTGTATACCTTACGTTTTGTTTGATCGTTCCATTAGGTCGAAGCGTCGCTGACCACTTCTGACAAATTGGAATCTGTTAAAGCTGTTGAAGTACTGCCACCTACACCTGATGAAGCTAATGATGCATCATCGACAACAATGGCCCTGAACGATGCACCTCAGCCTATAATTATCAAAACACCTCACAAAGTCTCTCTACCCGAATTTTGTATGTAGCGAATCCCCTCGATAAAACGTTCGATCCTCATAAGTTGTTATTTTTCTAGCCGGATTTAGTAAAACACTTAATACTCGAAAGCAAGAAGGTCTATCGACGACGGCTCAAATCGCAATGCGCTTCACGGTGGATCGAGAACAGCTCACTTCACTCGAGAACTGGAATAGAAGAAATATCTCTCCGATGTATGTTCTATCTTGTCTTTTTGAAAATCTTCGACTGCTAATTTGGTACTCAGTCGTGAAGACAGGAAAGAAACACTTTGCATTTCCCTGGCGTGTTATCTTCGAGCAGACATGGCAAAGAACCCGGGAAACTATAATGCCCTGAAATCCCGGTGGCCTAAGAGGCATCGACTAGACCTCAACGTCACAAAACAAGATGGAACTAACAAGACAATACCTCTTAATCCTCCGACTGTTGTAAGTAAGACGGCAATCTGCCCTTGATATATGTTCTGACCCAAGTCATATTCACATCGTCAGTGTACTCCCGATGGATTCGTTGACCTAGGTCCATTCATCAAACAAGGCGAAAACATAATTAAGATATCCCAGAATGGGGATCTATCTGCCTATGTCTTTTGTTTGCATGTTCATGACCCTACGCTTGCTCAAATCCAAAGGCTTAATCAAGTGTTAGATGCTAATATGGAGTGGGAAATCTGGTGTAAATCGGTTTCGAGGCCTCTGAATTTAGAACCGAGCACTTTCGCACTGCATGCATTCTGAAACTTGAGAATTACACACTTACGTGTATCCAGGATCCCAGAAAAATATGTATGCATTGTGAGCTTGAAGTAAAGTATACGTAGATCTCTATGATTGTGTTTTACAAGATTATGTACCATAATGCACAAAATTTTTCTGCGATAAATAGGAAACAGGAAAGTAAGAACTGAAGGAAAATTCGTTTCATGAACCGCACAGGATATGAGCAAACGACATAGATTTATGGAAGGAAATGAATATGGTACGATATCAAAAGGACATAGCGACTAAAGAAAGTGCCGAAACAAATAGAGAGAATTCCGCCAGAATAAGGAAAGAAGACAATTGATATTTGCATCTGTGTGAATATGTGTACTGAGGTTGAGGGATGAACCAGTCAATGAAAAGAGAGTTATCAATGAAGGGATCGGAACAGTTATGATCAAAACGTTGACCAATGCGTACGATTATACATGAGGCTCGAAAAACAGGGGAGGAGATAGTGTGCCACCCAACAGAGCGAGAGCGACCTGAATGAGGAAAGAGACAACAGCGTACAATGACCATACTCGTTGCACATACGAAAAGTTCGGGATTTAGAAACCTCGACCATCGTCACCCTGTAAACTATCTGAGCGGACTGAAATCGGAATACATCAGATCTCTAGTGGTTCGTAAGTTCTAGCATCGAGCACACCTCTAGGTTGACCTTCGCTAATCCCAACTCTGCTGTCCCTCCTAGCAAATCCACCCACTCCAGGGCCTCGAGGCTGCCTAACGACGCCTCCAGGGCTCTCATGTCCGTTTCCACTTGCCGAGTTCATGGTTCCAGCCGACTGCAAGCCAGTGGGGAGGTTAGGCACTGGTGGAACTCCCGAGTTACCGAATGCGCCCCCGTTTGCGAAAAGCGAGCCAAAGCCGCTCGAGCGACGAGAGGGAGACGCGATAGTGGCATACCCTTCGCGGATGTTTCCGTTGGAAGCGCGAGTGGTGAGACGAGGAGCCTGCGAGTGCAGTGTTTTCAAGTCCGGCATGGACTTCTTCATACGTAACGATCCAGGAGCAGCTGATATGGTAGACCCCGTGGGAGTCAGATATGCGGAAGGGGCGCGAGAAAGGGTTGGAGCTCGTTGCGCCTGTTGCTAAAGTAAATTATTCAGAAATTAGAATCGAAGAACATCGGGACGACATACCCTTTGCGGATCAATGCGAGTGACGACAGCATACCTCTCGTCACCCTCGCCAACAGAGTAGTGATAGACACCAAGTTTTTGGGCAATAAGATGGACGACGCGACGCTGCTTGGGCAGCAACATTCTGGAGAACGCCAGCTCGTCGCGCATGCGATCATCCTTGAACAACAAAATACGAGAATAAATCTCTAAAGTTGAAGGGTCATTCAGATCCAATTCGTTCGCTGACCCTTTGTCAGACAAAGGAGCAGGCGGGAACGACTGTGGGGCAGCAGGAGCTGAAGCCAAGCTATACGGAGAAGGCATGGTAGAGATATGTGGAGGAGAATACTGAGACTGCTGCTGTTGGTAAGACCCGGAAGAGAAAGACCGTTGGGGAGAAAAAGTAGTAGAGCTCAGCACATTGCCATAGTCCTCATACCCTGGGGTGATCTGTTCCTTCTCGAGTTGCATGGAACGCATACGACGAAGAGCCTTTTCCCTTTCGATCCGCTCCTTCTCACTGGCCTGGAGAACCTTCTTGTACTCAACGCGTAACTTGCGACCCTGAACGTCGAAACCGTTCAGAGCGACAACGACTGCATCTGCATCTGCTGCCTGACGAAAATTGGCAAAGGCAAGACCACGGAAGGCGCCTTGTTGATCTAGATGGTAGTTGAAAGCGTAAGGAGTAGGGATTGACAAGGACACCTGTCACAGGGATGTGTAAATAAATACAGACACTTGGAGGCTCATCGATGTGAAGAACTCACAATTATGTCAAGCAGTGTTTCGCGCTTGACATTGAATGGTATGTTTTTGATAACGATGGCGGTAGGGATTATTTCGTCATCAGGATTCTGACTAGGCGTAGTGGGAGCAATAGGTGGTGGGCTAAGATGGCTCATAGGGGGGGAACCGCCAGCGGAAGAAAAGTCCGAGTTGTTGTGAGGCGACAGCGAGCGACTATCAGAGGAATTATCGAGCCATTGCTGTGCAACAATGGTGAAAATTGGTGGATTATAAGGAGAAAAAAAAGGGCAGCAACGTACAGAAGGAAGACCGCCTCTAACGGGCTTCTTCAAAGGGGACTGGCCGGTAGTCAGAGGATTATATTGGGACTGGATAGAAATCCCCGGGGACGTAGCAAAATGATACTGAGGACGGTTGCCGCTAGAGCCTTCATAATCGTAAGAGTCGTGAAGACGTTGCTGCTGTGAAGTAAGCGACAGAGATGAAATATCTGGCGGAGAGCTGGTCATTATTGGTCTTGAGAGATGCTGATTGTGCTCGTGAAGATAGCAAGAAGGAAAACGGCGGAGAAATAACTGATTTTGATGAAGAAAAACGGCTCTCTGATTCTTCGTTACGGAAACAAAGGAAAACAGTCGCTTAGGTAAACAATATTAGCTCTACATGACTATCGCTGCCTTCAACGGCGCCAGTATTTCCTGTGCTTCATATGGTAAAATAATCGACGCTGAATGATCCCAGGGCCCTCTGACTCTCAACGTAGTCGGCGACTCTGAGATCGATCCTGAACTTCGTGGTGAGGCGCCCGCTGACAACGGGCTCAGCGAGGCGCTCTTGATCTCCTTCATGACAACGTCTACCTGCAATACGGAAGCTCTTGGCCGACCAGTGGCCCCACGGCTAACGATCATTGGTGGACAAAATGTTGGCCGCGGAACAGATGGCATTGTATGCTTTGGGGCACTGTAACCTGGTGTCATTTTCTTTCCTTGTTCCTTCTATGGTAAATTTCTACACACCTTCGAGGTGGCGTAGGGCCCTGTACAAGGCGCAAAGGACTTGGCGGAGCGCGTCTACCGGGCATGTTTGAATATGTGTTCACGGATAAAACGAGTGTTATGGTTGGAATAAAACCCCACAGGCAAGAATCTGCTGGCATTATCATATATGACCGTCAGCAGCTATTCCTAATGCTGGTAATCGAACAATTACCAGGAAAAAATAACTGAACTCGAACTCTAGCGGTTCAAGTGGAAAAGGTTACCAGAACCACTATGGAGGGAAGCAAGGTGAGGATACACTACAGCTTGCGGTCTGCCTAGACCAGTCAATAAGGCACCCTGGTAAAACAGTCGTCAGGTGAACAAACAAGTTCATTTTACGATTTTGATACAAGAGTGACTTATGTAACCTTTCAATCACTAAGAGCGATGCACGCCTATCTATATCCAGGCGATTAGGGAGATACGTTTACAAGACGCGACTACAAAGCCCTCGATGGTGTTCAAAAACAGAATGGATACACAACAATGTAAAAACACCCTATGCCGAGTCATCCTTAAGTGGTCTGTAATGCCGCATCAGCTGGGCCTTGAAGCCTGCACGAGAGACATATACGGATCAGTTGAACGAATTCATCATGGAGCACAGAACGATGCTAGATTGACACCGCCCACAAAGTGACTGACTGACTTTCTGGATTGTTCCATATGGCGGCAGCATCAGAGTTTAGTGGAGATGCATTATTAGGTTCTGCAAACAAGACGAGATTAACTAGTATTCGGAGCACGGCCAGCGATAACGCACCACCGAGCAAAGACTGAAGAGAGATTAAGATCGTCTGCACGCTATAGACAGCAGACCACTTGTCCTGGATTATCGGACAAGATAGAATTAGCACGCCACAAATTCAAGGGATACGGACCGAATAACGACCAACGTGATACAGACCTGTAGGATGTCGAGACAGATGGTGCCGGAATTGATGTCGACATTAGGGTGGTAGCAAGGCGTCTCAAACTTTATCGTGGGTGCAACATAGGGATAGTTAGGCGGGAAGTGGATGGATATTCTGAAAGCCAGTCCAGCGTAAACCTAATGATGGAGGTTGTGAGTCGTGTATAGTCTACGAAGGATGTAAGAGGGCATATACAGTTCCAGAAGCACCTTCGATTGTGCCCATCCAATCGAATAAATTCGAGTCGGTTTTAGGAAAGGCCGACTATATCGAGGGAAAAGAATTTTCAGAACAGCCAATAACTTGACAGAATGTTTACTGACAATTCCAGGGGAAGACGACATCTACAGCGCACATTGAGCCACTATATCGCAGTATGATACGGCGCGAAGGAGAGAGCAAACAGCGTACCATTAAAGTCATAAGCTCATTACCCAGACTAGCAAAGACGAAATCAAGGCTATCGACTAGGAGTTCCAACACTATCACACAAAAATATTTACCGTTTAGCAACGCTGCCTGCACCGGACTGGGAAGAAGAGGCGGGACCAGATTTGTTGGAAGCGGGAGCGCGAGGAGGTGCCAAAGACGAGGTTACTTGTTCCATTTCGAGATAATAGACGTAAGATAGTGATACACAGAGCGGATTTCAAGAAGAATGGAAAAACTGAAAGTTGATGAAGGAGAAGGTGAAAGAATGGAGAGCGCTTTCGCGCGCGTTTTGAAACAGTCACGTGCTCGATCCGAAAATCCGGGCGCTCTTAGGCGGTGGTCACCATCGTACTTGTGGAAAACCTCTCCCCGAGTCCCCCTATAGCTATAAGCTCTAGGCTTCGATCTGCCGTCGCGTGTAACTACTCACCCACGAGTTGCATAGCTTACATACGAACTCTTGATTTTTCTAACGTTTACCAACTTGAAGAGAGCAATAATTAGCCGGAAGAAAAGAAACTCCCTTCCTTCAAAGCTCAATCACTGGCCCATCATTATTATATCCTTTGCAGTGTCTGGACCAGCAGTGTAGAACCAATAACATGGCTGGTACACGGTGTGAATTGATATCATACGAGAAGATCTTTTACACATTCTTCTTCTCCAGAACGAGTCTAATCTAAGGAAAGCTTCTCTGTACACTGTACTATACAAATCTCATCAAGAGATTGTCGTCACCTAAACGATCCTCTTTCCGTCAGTTCAAGCGTGCGCTATTTCATTCTTCATCTCAAAGCTCCTTGGAAATATTCCGATTGTACGGAATATCACTTCACCAGACTTCACCATTTCGTGGATTCGTTCGATTGTCTCACTCAGTATGATAGGTTATTGTGCAGTTCCCCTTTGCCTTGCCACTCCAAAGCGCGCACATATTCCAACAGCAGAGCTACTGTACTAGCTGCCGGTGTACTGCACACTCCGTCAGATTCGGCTATTTGACATTTTCATCAATCGGCGTGTGCCGGCCAGGTGGGAAAATGATGCGTACTGAGCTTGCAGAAATCCACTCCTTGAACGCCTCCCACAATGTCCTCCAGTAGCTTCTCGCCCACGCAGGCAGAGCTTTCGCTCGTTAATCAAATTTTCAACCAACACGATACCCAGAAGCTTGGTATTCTCACCGGCGACGTCGCTGTCCGTGTGTTTGGAGGCGCCAAATTACAGCCCGCGACTCTCGGCGAGATTTGGAGCATTTCTGACGAGGAGAATAATGGCTGGTTATCCAAGAAAGGTGTAGCTATTGCCTTGAGACTCATTGGCTGGGCTCAGAAGGGGGAGAAGGTCAGCACCGACTTGATTTCGAAACGTGAGTGACGGTATCTATTAATGTGCCGATAAACTTAAGCTTAATAATTGCTCGCGCAAATGTAGCCGGTCCCCTCGCTGTAATCGAAGGAGTTTATTCTATTGCTACACATCACACCGGAATGTCGATTCCAAGATCTCCTCCACCGATTTCCAACATTCCTCCGTTTACTCCACAAGACAGAGCCAAGTTTCTTAACATGTTCATGAAATCAAATCCTAGGGATGGCTTGCTTAGTGGTCAGTACTACTGTTCTGTTCGCTGTTCGCATCGGTCTGAAAGATCGCTCACAGGTGAACAAGCTCGAGATATTTTTGTCAAATCCAGACTACCAAATGACAAGTTACTTCAGATATGGTTCAGTCTCTTCGCTATTTACCTATTCTCTTCTGGAATGTCCTAACATTTCCAAAAATCACAGGAATCTCGCAGATACCCAAGACCGCGGTGCTCTTGATTCTACGGATTTTGCTATTGGAATGTATCTTATTCAAGGTGTCATGTCCGGCCAAATATCTGTCATACCTACTTCGCTACCGCCAGGACTGTACCAGCAAGCCTCTGGCGGCGCTACTCCGAGTGTTAGGTCGCATGCTACTGGCACCAGTATCTCGTACAGTCCCAGTGCCAACCAAACATCGTTCCCGCAAAACAGAAGCTATATCCAGCCTCAGTATACTGGTCAGATGCTCCAACCTCAAGGTACAGGTGGTGCTGTGTCGAAGAAGCCCTTAGTTGCTCCCACAATACCTGCCCGCAAAACCACCAATCCATCTGCTATCGGAAACAGTGCGTTTGGCGCTCAAGCTCGTTGGGACGTGACAGCCGCTGAAAAAGCATCGTCTGATGGGTATTTTGATACGCTGGATACTACGAAAGCGGGCTATATAGAAGGCGAAGTTGCTGTACCGTTCATGCTCGAGTCCAAATTGCCCGGAGATGTGCTTGCTCAGGTTTGGTAAGCTGACAAGCATCTGTGTATCACAAATGCTCATGTCGTTCCTAGGGACCTCGCCGACCTTAATAACGATGGTCGTCTTACTCGGGACGGTTTCGCTGTCGCTATGCATCTCATCCAGAAGAAACTTGCAGGAGGAGAGATTCCTCCTAGTCTTCCTCCTTCTTTGATTCCTCCGTCTATGCGCCAACAGGCAAGCGCTAGTATTCCAGCATCACCTTTCAGTCCCGTCGGTCAGCACATGCAACAGGTTCCCGCTCCTGAACCCCAGAAGGACTTGTTTTCATTTGACGAAACCCCGCCTTCATCTGCAGCCCCGTCCGCTGGACTGTTCAATATACCAATGCAACCAACAGGTCAACAACAACAACAACAACAATCATCTTCGGTTTTTGCGTCCCCATCCAACTTTGCATCACCCTCAGCCTTAGCGTCACCTTCTCTTTCGCAGGATCCGTTTGTTTCTTCAGGTAAGATTGATGGAATATATATATAACAACGATAACGATGTTCTGATGTTTTAGCAGCTTCAAAAGATCTTCTAAGTGATGATGACGATCATACCGCATCAGCACATCCTCTGGAAGATCAATCTGCAGAAATCGGTAATACTCAGAATCAACTCAATTCGACGAACAAGTCCCTTGCGACTGCGAAGAATGAACGCATCAGCGTGGAACAGACACTTGCTAATCAGGCCGCCCAGCTTTCCGCTCTCCAAGTCCAGTTATCTTCTGCTAAAGCCGCGTACGAGACGGAGACCAAATTGCTTGAAACGTTTAGAGAGCGTTTCTCCAAACAGACTGCCGACATTGAAAAAACGAGGACGGAGCTCATCACTGCTGAGAGCGATTTAAGCGCGATGCGTGTCGAGAAGGCCGAGATTGAAGGATCGTTTTTGAGAGACAAGGAGGAAGTAAGAGATCTCAATCGAAGAGCATTTGAAGCTGGTCACCAGATTGAGACGCTAAAGGCTGAAATTGAAAAGGCGAAGAAGGAAGCCAAACAACAGAAGGGTCTTTTAGCTATTGCCAAAAAGCAACTTAGCTCAAAGGAAGCAGAACGAGTTAAAGTTGAGAAGGAGCTCGCGGAAGCCCAGGCCGCCACCGTGGCTGCCACTCAGGAGAAAGAAGAGGTTGATGCTGCGCTAGAGAAAGTCACAAGTCTAATACCCGCCACCGCGCCCACTGTCGCTGAACCGGTAGTTGCCGGATTTCCCCACGCAGAACGCACTACATCCGAAGACTCCTTATCCTTTGCTGCCGCTCACGCGTTACCTTCTACTCCCGAAATTGGATCTCCCTCTAGTGGCAAGAGTAACAATCCGTTCGAGCGACTTGCAAAGTCTGATCCTTCCACTCCACGTTCTCAATCACCTTTCTTACCATTCAACAATGCTACTGTCCCTAGTCCCTCTGTACTCAACGGAAATGCAAACCAGACAGCGGAAGCCTCTCTTGACGATCCCTTTGGTTTTGCGCAGGCATTTGAGACTCCCGACAAGGCTCCTGAACCTGTTGTTGGTGAAGCAATAGCTCCTACCCCTGCGGAAGACAATGTCGGAACCCCTAAACCTACCATCGTCTCTCTTGACGACCATGAAGAGTCACCAGCGACTCCTACAACCGCTCACACAGAGGAGTTTGCAACCCCACCCTCCACCGCTGATGGTATTCTCAAACCCATGCGTAAATCTACGGAGGATATAATAAGCTCTAAATTCCCTGACCTCGACGATGTTGCAACGTCGTCTGCCATTCCTTCCTCTGCTACCGTAGAGACCCCCACAACACTCACTCATATGCCCGGACATTTTAGCGAGCCTTCATCAGCCATCCACGAGACCGATCTCGGGGCGTCTTTGAATGAAATTGAGCCGGAAGATTCGGACAGCAGTGACGATGAAGACGAGGTTCCTCTTGCCACCCTCAAAGCTAAAACGGATAGCCTCGAAACTGAGCCAAAATCAGCTATCGTTTCAGCGACAAATGGGCAATCTGTTACAGCTTCCTTCGATGATATATTTAGTGCACCCTCTTCGAACGGTCAAGCTGTCCCTACTGAGACTAAGGACGCTTTTGGTATACCTATTGAGACTCAGTCCAATTCTCCCTTTGGCTCCACCTCAGACTCTCATGTTGCTTCTTCCGCTGAAGCGGGCGTCAATGCGTTCGACGAAGCGATGGGCAAAATTGCTCCGACTACTTCCAACAATACTGCTCAGTTCTCATTTGAAAATGCTTTTGATGATACATTTGACTTTGGATCTGCCAAGGGTGCTGATACTTCTTCCTCTTTTCCTCCTGCACCTGCCAATGGAGCATCGCCTGTAAAGGTAAAAGAATCGGATGGCTTTGAGAGTCTGTTTGTAACGCCTCCCTCGAACGGAGTCACAGCCTCGGTAGCGCGGCCAGTTTCGAGTTTCCTACCAAATGTTGTTGCTTCTTCACCGCCGCCCTCCACCCCTTCTTCAGCCCAGGATCCTCCAGTGGCTGCAGGACCCAGTTTCGACGAAGTATTTGCTGGATTTGACTCAAGCCCTTCAATTCAATTGGGCACGCCAAATACTGTTGCATCAGCACCGGCACCAATTCCTGCGCCATCGCCTATTCCCGTGGCTACAACAAAGACTCCCGGAAGCCCTACCCAGAAACCTTTCCCGGCCACGAATACCTCACCTTCACAATCAAGTGTCACCAGGTCCATTTCGCCACCTCCTCATCGGAGATCACCTCCATTGCGAACCGGATCTCCCAAACCCAGACCTTCCACGGCTTCATCTTCCAAAGAAGGACATGAGAAAGAGAAAAATCCTCCACCACCGCGCCACTCCAAATTAAGTGTAAGCTTTAACACTGCTTATATGATTATATACTTAACCATAATATCTCAGATTCGATTACCTTTCGGAAAGAAAAAAAAGCAGGAAGCAGTACCTCCACCACCTCCGTCCCAATTTTTGACACCGCCTACTGAGGAACCAGAGCAGATTGGGACCCCTGCTGTTGGCGATGATGTAGAAGCTGTAAAGCAACTGACTGCTATGGGCTTCAGCCGTTCTCAAGCAGTGGGGGCACTTGAAAAATACGCATACGACGTGCCAAGGGCACTGAACAGTCTTCTTGGACAGTCATGAAATACTCGATTTCTCAAATTTCTCACTCTACCGTACGTAGCAGATACAATCGTGCCCGCTCATTCACCGTTCTATTTCTGGGATTCTACTTACCACACGCTCGTTTATCAACATGTATATGCTTTTGGAATTCCCCTAACATCTAATGGTATCTCTATCTATCATTGCCTGTGCTGCCCGATAATGAGTGGATCATGTGCATGAATAACCACATGTATTATCTTCACGCCTGTCAAGTCCCCTACTCTGACCAATGTCGAGGTAGACCTCGAGTAGCCAGGTTCAATGCGAATCTTATATGGACATACATAATGTAAGCCTCACGGCATTGTCATTCTCTAAACTTGTTTACAACGCACAAGCTGAAATTCTTTTTTTTTTTTCATTATTCTTAACAAGACGTTATTAGAAGGTCCATACGTAGGTATGTACAGGGATCGAATTTTTCCCCTTACTTCGGAAATTGGCCATTAGTGATTGTGTCATTGGCGAGAGAAAATGTGTAGTTCGCGAAGCAATCGAAATCGAAATCGACTTCTTTGATACGTTGCTTCATGCCAGCGATGAATGTATCGAGCTCACACAAACCGTCCGGGTTATCCCCGCAGCCCGTTATCCCAGTTTGAGGCAAGACACCATCATTCAGGACCCACCGAATGTGCGTCGGAGTGTCAGATGCGGGGCAAGAAAGAACTTGGCCAACGAGTCGGGAAGCAAATGGAGAAATTTCTTGGACCTTGTAGGTCTGTAGAAGATAGATTTGAGCAATGTAGAAGAGGAGCTCCAGATATACATACGCGATTTTCTGGGATGTGGTCAAGAGGAAGGGGGCCTCCAGCAGAAAGGGAGGTGAAGTTCATTGCAGGGAGGACTTCAGCAATAAATAACTCAACTTCAAGTCTGCAACAACATGATATCAAGACGTACTAGCAGAGATGACGGTGTCGTGAGTGGCATCGACGTAGATTGGTTGATTCAGTGGAAAAGTTATGTTGCTACTGACAATTGTCCCATTGACAGTAGAGTCGAATGTGGTGATTCGGGTCTGAGTTAGACGGGAAACGAGCTCGTGTACCCAGCCAATACCCTGGGCACTCACTGCAGGGTTTCCAGGACCGTCACCATACCAAAAGTCCAGATCTGGAGACAAGTCAACATCAATTGTGAAATTAACGGAGGGATAAATCAATTACCGATACCATATGCGAATCCCTTCCATTCATCCTCAGTGAAAAGGTCACAGAAAGCGGAATATCCAAGGGCAACAGTCTGATCAAATCAGGTTCAAATTGAATAGCCAGTGGACTCAAAGAACAGAGCTTACTTCATAAGGACAAAGTGTTTGCATACCAGCTACGTCACTGATAGTGAGGTTGAAGCCGGGGAGGAATTGAGCAAAACGTCTTTGAGCATCAACAAGGTAAACATTGTTCCAAGCCTTAGTGGCCTCGCCCCCAAGGGAACTAATATTGTTATTGGCATTCGGGCATTGATCATAAGGAGCAAGAGTGTTATTAAATCCATCCTGTTCGATCTCGATGACCTGGTAGTAGCTATTTTGGTATGATTGTACACCGAAAAATCCGGCGGCGAAATGGAGGCTGTGCGTCCGTCAAATGAGAATTGCAGAATCCACTTATAGCTCAGATGCACTCACGCAGAATCGACCATACGTTCTATCAAGGGTCAGAATCGGTGACTCCCAATTTAGCACACAATGCTCACCCTCAGAGGTGGTACGCCAGACTGGCAAACCGGTAAAGTTCTTGAGCAAATCCCCTGACAAAAGATTGCTGTTGAGCAACGTGACTAGAGCGACAGTAATTGACGGCTTACCATATTTGACGCGGAACCCAACACCCAGATTAAACCTTGTGGATTCAACTGTCAAAGCAGAGTCAAAGTAGTACGCATAGATACGTACAGTTGCTCGCGGCCAAATGGAGCTAAATAGACTAGTTAGCGGCAATATCTTTGAGTATATCTAACACATACTCAGAATTTCAGCACCAAGCTTATAAGTCCAAGTGTTCAGGAACTCCAAGGGACCCGTGGCAATGAACGTGCCATTTCCAGCTGCTGAGTGCACGCTAGAAGCGAAGGCGGCAGGAGATGATCCACTAGTTGGGTACCTTGCACCATGACGGTGGAGAAGAAACACCTGGTTGATTTTGCATCCTTCGGGAATCCGTTCAGTCGCGTTGTCGAGACCGAACGACTTCACGGATTGCATCGGGGATAGATTAGCCCACGAGTCAACAACATCGAAAGCCTTGCCCTTCTTGTCAGATGTCTCTGGCCTGACCAAAGGGAAATAACCTTTGACTGGAGAGAGAGCAGGAGCGGTGGCAATCGATTCAGCCTCATCACCAGCTTGCGTAAAAAGATGTTGAGCTTGCGATATCTCGGTTATACGAATCAGAAAGTACGTACTGGGTGTGGGACCAGCAAAGCCAACTTCAGATGCATCCGGGAAGAAGCTGTTGATGAGCGAAGCTGTAGCTGTCACATCTGCAGGCGGAAATTGAAACGTAGAGGTAGAACCAGCGAAACTGGAAGCTTTTCCAGGGACGAGGGCAAAACCAATTTGACTGCCCAAGGCTACAGAGACGAAGGCAGAGAGCAACAACATCTTAGCTCGCGCGCTCTTCTAAAAGCTGTCATGCGCTGTATTTATACGCCAGACGCCGCTATCGAACGTGGTTACCCATATTCGCATAAGTCAGGTTGAAAGCATGGTGTAGCTCATGGATAATTGATCATGATAGAGGATAATCTGTTCAGTGAATGTTCGTGAACGGGATGAGGGAAATAGTTTGAATCCAGAGAACGGGTACTTCCATTTCATCCTCTGAATTTCTAGCGAAAGAACCTCTAAAATGAGAGATAATCAATGACAACCGGATGGCGACGAAACGCCGATTATAATTTATCGAATAAAACACGTGCACGGTAATAAATAATATTTTTCGTCATTTTGTCGAACGTTTGCTTCGAAGAATTTCAATACATAGGAGCGCTAGTTTTCCCCCTCGTCCGCCTTTCACTGGGGAAATTGGCCATTGGTGATCGTGTCATTGTCGAGAGACAATGAGTAGTTTGCGAAACAATCAAACACAAAGTCGACTTCCTCGATACGCTGCTTCATACCAGCGATGAACGTATCGAATTCACATAGACCATTCGAGTCGTACCCACAGCCTTGAATTCCGGTTAGGGGAAGGACGCCATCATTAAGAAGCCACCGTATGTGTGTTGGGGTGTCAGAGGCCGGACAGGAAAGAACTTGTCCAACAAGACGGGATGCAAAAGGGGCTATCTCTCGAGTTTTGTAAGTCTGGTATGTCAAGTTGAGCAATGACGTAGAGAAGGAAAATTATGAATCTATACCTGGTTCTCAGGAATGTGGTCAAGAGGAAGAGGGCCTCCAGCAGCGAAGAGAGTGAAATTCATTGCGGGGAGGACTAGAGCAAAATATCAGAGTTAACATGATATCTTCCATATAGAATTCAAGCAAGATGTAAATACCCGCGGAGATGACAGTGTCATGAGAGGCATCAACGTAGATTGGCTGATCGAGCGGGAAAGTGACGTTGTTACCGACAATTGTCCCGTTGAGAGTGGAATCGAATGTCGTAATTCGAGTTTTGGTTAGGCGGGACACTAGCTCTTGCACCCAGCCAATGCCCTGAGCACTCACAGCAGGGTTTCCAGGACCATCACCATACCAAAAGTTCAAATCTAGACATCCATTAGAAAGAATCTCGAATATGACAGAATGTCATTTACCAATACCGTAGGCGAACCCCTTCCATTCCTCCTCGGTAAAAAGATCGCAGAAAGCAGAGTATCCGAGAGCGACAGTCTAGTAAAAATGAAATCATATAAACATAACCAGAGGATAATGAAAGGCGACCTTACCTCGTAGGGGCAAAGTGCTTGCATACCGGCTACGTCATCGATGGTCAGGTTGAAACCCGGAAGGTACTGAGCAAAACGTTTTTGAGCATCAACCAGATAGACATTATTCCAGGCCTTGGTGGCATCATCCCCAAGTGTGTAGATGTCGTTATTGGCGTTCGGGCATTGGTCCCAGGGAACAAGAGTCGAATTGAATCCTTCCTCTTCAATCTCAATGACTTGATGGTAGCTGCTCTGGTAAGACTGTACACCGAAGAATCCGGCAGCAAAATGAAGACTGACACGTATTTCAGCTGAATTTCAGGCAGATAATTTCTGAACCACTTACGCGGAATCAACCATGCGGGCTGTTCAAGGGTTTTAATTGACGTCTTTCAATTTGGAATGAGTGACTTACCCTCTGAAGTGGTACGCCAGACAGGCAATCCAGTAAAGTTCTCGAGTAAGTCCCCTGGCCAAGATATCACATTGAGCCAACTCCACCTCCACCAATGAAACATATGAGCCTCACCGTATTTTACACGGAAGCCGACACCCAGATTGAACCTTTGTGGAGATACAATTGAACAATGAGAAAGTAATAGATGGCTATACATACAATTGTTCGCGGCCGAAAGGAGCTAGGAAATTTTGTTCGTCAGTATGACAGGATGCGGAAGGACTCCTGGAACACGCACTTAGAAGTTCGGCACCCAGCTTGTAAGTCCAGGTGTTTAGAAACTCCAGTGGTCCCGTGGCGATGAAGGTGCCATTTCCAGCCGCAGAGTGCACGTTGGCAGCAAATGTGGAAGGGGACGATCCGCTAGTCGGGTACCTTGCACCATGACGGTGGAGAAGAAACACCTGATTGATTTTACACCCCTCCGGAATCATCTCCGTTGCGTTGTCAAGACCAAACGACTTCACAGACTGCATCGGGGATAAATTTGCCCATGATTCAACGACATTGAAATCCTTGCCCTTCCTGTCGGACGTGTCTGGCCTGACCAAAGGGAAGTAACCTTTGACTGGAGAAAGAGCAGGAGCAGTGGCAACAGATTCCGCCTCATCACCAGCTACGCGTGTTGAACTTCACGACTTTTTTCGGACAGTCAGGAATAAGCACATACTGGGTGTGGGACCTGCAAAGCCAACTTCGGATGCATCCGGAAAGAAGCTATTGATGAGAGTAGCCGTCGATGTCACATCTGCAGGAGGAAATTGGAACGTAGAGGTCGAACCAGCGAAGGAAGAAGCTTTGCTGGGAACAACAGCAGCACTGATTGCGCGGGCTAAAGCTGCAGAGACAAACGCGGAGAGCAAAAGCATGGCGTTAAATTTTTGGGATTATCTTGACATCATCGTTGACCGAGGGCATTCTGATATTTATGACTCGGAGCAGAAGAGGTAGCACATGGGTTTTCCAGGCCATGAGCGAGTTTCGGGATGAGTGTTTTTAGCTATCTGATAATTGATTCTAAAAATTGCCCACGTGAAAGGATAGACTGAGATATCTGCCAGACTCGGTGGCTCACCAGAGACTGGTACAACAGTTTATGCTAGTTTATGGTTGTCTAACTTTGCGAGGAACAAAGTCAGACGGTTTGCAGCCCTTGACAATAACTGGGAACATAAATGCACCCGATTTGCCGAAAACACGTGGTGCCCCGCACACGTTTTACTTTTCCAGTTACAACGTCGACTATATCGACGTCTCCAGGAGGGGGTTTTGTAATCCTAGAAAACGTCCTACGAGCCACATAGCCAATGTAGAACTCTGGAAAACATCGACGTAACTATATGGCTGTTGGTACATATGCTTCTACTACGTGCTTCCAGGTGTTGGTGACATCAAGGCATATCGACAAGTACAAAAGATATCGATAAGGCCTTAAGGGCTTCTAAAAGTCACCATTGCTAGTCCATCGCTGATACAAATTCCACGCTTTCTTTGCATGAACCACCAATCGCGATAATGGTTAAGAAGACTCCGTGATTCAGATTTTTGTGATCGAGTCAAACTCTGTGGAAGTCAATCCTTGAACAGAAACAACGATTTCCATTTGGAAAAAGCCTGCAACTTCCTCTTTACGGTGACAATGGCAAGGAGGAAGTGCCCGAAAAGAAGCGAGATTGATGTCGAAGATGTTCACCACTAACTTGAAAGTACAAGCATCGGATACGCTGTGGGAGAGTGCTCGGCATTTTCAATCAAAGAACAGTCCTAAACAGGATTTACATTCTGCTCTTTCTTATAGTCATGTTGTTCTATCTACAGTTTCGCATGTTCGCCTCTGGGATAAACCCCACTCTCATTACGTTTCAACGCCTTGCGATTAACATCTCGCGTGACGGATGGATATCCGGCAACGGTCATGGTGATATCGAGATCCTAATGATTGACGTGAATAAGTTGTAATTGAAAACGCATTTAGAAATTAAAAACTATAAACTTACTGCTAACAACGACTTCATAACGTGCCTACACCCTGCCTCACCTTCATGAGCCATACCCCAAACATAAAGCCTTCCGACTTGTACAGCGTGTGCGCCCAAAGCAATAGCTTTGAACACATCTGAGCCCGTTCTGATACCGGAGTCGAAGATAATCTTCATCTCTATATGTTACGATACTGTCAGAGGGAACGGATACTTTAGAGTGACGAGAATATCCTTACTATCTCCAACAGCGTCAACAATTTCAGGTAGAACTTCCAAGCTCCCTACAGCACCATCCACTTGCCTTCCAGCATGATTTGTCACGACAATTCCTTCGCATCCGATCTCATATGCCTTCAGAGCATCTTCCGCACTTTGAATCCCTTTAATGACAAAAGGACGACCGCCCGATATCCTTTTCCACTGGGAAACACGAAAAAAAGCAGATATGATCGGTATTATACAGTCCAAACGTCGAATATTACCTACCTGTTTGATAAGCCAGGGCATTTTCTCCCATGTATGCGCCTTTCCGTGCCAAACAGAAGAATCTATCCATTTTCCAGAGTCATTCTTTAGTTCATCTCCGTATTTGCCCATGAATACAGGATCGGAAGCTCCTAATTCATTGCCGGTAGTCCCGGGAGGATAGTAGAATCTACATGATTGCAGGAAATAGAATTCTGAGTCAAAACACTCCGGGGATTTGGAGAACTTACACATAGTTCGCGAGATTTATGTCGGTGGGCCTCCACCCTAGCTGCCAGGTATCGACTGTTAACATGCATACATCGAATCCGGACTTCCAAGCGCGTTCCAAGAGGCTCATGGTCTACGAAATATAGCAATGTGAATGAGCAACGAACAAGAGAAAGGTGATGAGAGTAAGTAAACTCACGACATCATCGTCGTGGCCCATGTAGAGTTGGAAAAATCGAGGAGATTTTGCATTGCTACCAGCACGGACTTGACAGTAATTGCCTCCGTCGCTGGCAATTGACGAAGCACCTGAATCGTTTGCAGCTGCAACGTCTTCAATCGAATTAGAAGCTGCTGTGGAGAGACAATACTGAAGCACAGAGATATTGAAATTAGAAGATCCCACTGGTCTGACAAAATCGGCGCATACAGGAAGACCCAGTTCTCCTGCAATCTTGGCTGGAATAAGTTCGCCCTCGGGTGAGTACAGTTTGTTTATCCCGATGGGAGCGAAGAGAATTGGGGCGGGAATGCGGTGCCCAAAGAGTTCGACTGCAAAATGGACTTGGGTTAATGAAGTTCCGAGGCTTCGAAGCTTTTGAGCAATCCGTACCAGATAAATCGCGAACATTGGTGTCCACGAGCATTCGAGGAATTATACGCCAGGAGTAGAACGCCTCTCTAGCAATTTCGAGTAGAATATATATAATAAATGCACTGTATGGAGAAAGGCAGTACTACAAACCGATTGGCTCTATCGGTCCATCCAAGACCAGCATTGGAGTTTGCATAAAAGTAGGCTCTATCGCTCAATTTCTTCTTGGTAGATTCAACGAGCTCATCAGAGTGCACAGAGAAATGCGGCACTGCTTGGGATAATCAATCAGACAAGCCAGATTTATACATGACTCGAAGACTTTTGGCAGAGACGCACACTTTCCTTCCGTTCCACCTTGTCTGAATATCTCACGTTGGTACAGTGAGTAGTGAGGTGAAGGTCCTTTTGCTTTGTTGGTTGGGTCCATGTTTGAGTGCGTACAGATAGTCAATTTGTGAGCCTTTTATCATGAGAGCCCATCCTCGATATAACAGTGGATTTAAGTGATAATTGATGACGTCATTCACTTTAACCTATTTTTGGGCGCATCTAGTATTATCAGGCGCAGGAAGTGCAATTGAGACCAACAGGAAAGATTATGCAGCAGGATCAGGAAGGGTCCAGGAAGATGCCATGTATATAGGCTGTGGAGGCCCGTTGGTTTTTTTCGCCTTATCATGGCGATGGAGATGAGCAGGATCAGGAACTCGAAGGATCCAGGAGGATACGTATATAATCTGTGGAGGCCCGTTAGCTTTCCCCCTTAATCATGGCAACAGGCTCCTCTTTTGATCCTTCAAAATGATACATACATATACGTATCTTTCCTACAGTACCTACGGGAGGAAGTTTAGGCAGAGTATTATACGGTGTACAAATAAATGTGTCCGGCGGCAGACGTGCTATCTTGCGCTCGACTGGAATGTTCCTCCATCTCCTGTTCGTATTTATACAGACCGACGTGGGTTTGTAGGATAACAATCGTGCAAGGGGGCGACAGAAAATAGACTTGAAGGGCCCTTTCTTTCAACCGAATCAAATTATACACTTATCCAAGGTTGACTGACAAGCTGCTGCACAGACATCAATGCTCGATATCGAACGTCTGAATCCGAATGTGACATGAGCTCCATAACGCGACGCTTTGCACCCAAGTCGTTGATAATCCTGAAAAAGATGGGAAAGTCTGTCAGCGCCTACTTTGCAGCTAGAGATATAGAATACTTTTTTCCCCGTTCGTAATGTTTGACATATTGCCCGATATCGTGCACAGCGACAGCAAGGACGATAGGGTCCTGTGAGTCATTTAGTAGCTGGAGTAGAGTCCTAGAAGAAATAAGAAAGTGAAAAACTCAGTCTGACAGCGAAGGATAAGGTGAGATCAACCATACTTCAACTGCCCATAATCCTTCTCGTTTAATTTTGTCACGTTCTCCTTCCAGAAATCGTCTGATTCATGTACCGGACTCCATGATAAATGTCCTGAAGCAAGTTCCGAGGTGTATTCATCATAAGTGCTGTTAAACCGAGCATGATTAATCAAATGTAATCGCAGACAGAATAATGGCATACGTTAAGCTTTGGAAGTTGGCGGAAAGCTCGTCGCGCAGGTATTGTACATCCTCGACAATGTCTTCATCCGTCCATTTTCGACCACAGAGATTCTTAGCGTAAGGCAGTAATTGGGCTACCAGCATCGCTGGAAGGTTGGCTTTGGGCGCTTTGAATACTAGATTCTACAAACCCACGATGATTCATTTCAGCACGGCTTGAACGGATGAAAGCAAATCATACTCACCCGAAAGGTAGCTACAATGACACGGATGACTTTCTCTTTTACGGCATTTTGAGCAACATTAATGAGCAAGGGAGTAATGTCAAACTTTCTATAAATTCCTAATCAGCACAGCGATTGAATTTCTAGAGAAGAACAAACTTGTTGATCTCCTCCGCGATATTTTGTTCGAACGTTAGCAGCCAGAAACAGAACGCAACTTGATAGCACATTTGAGGTCCTTGTTTGTGTTTGAGAATTTCAACCAGTCTAGATGCAGACAGTGTCATGAGCACTATCACGACAGAAGAAACCCAGGTACAGCCGCACCCAGCAATTATCCCTGGAATAGCCCATACCGCTTGCCGACATTCTGGTCGTGCCAACAATGATTCCAAACATTGCACACCGACGTCATGCTTGTTCGGCGAGTTGCTTTGTACCATAGTAGCCAATGTTCCAAGAAATTGATGCAATTGCGATGGGGCCAAAGGGCGCGGTTCAGCACTAAACACGTGTAGTGGTTGAGTTCAGGAAATGGATGGAAGATGACAGTGAACGGACCAAAGAAGCACGGTGAGTATCTGTGCGGATTTGAGTTGCATGAATTCATCTTGCATATCTAATACTCTACACCAGCGTTCAGAAGGGAAGAATCAGACAACCGAGCTGACCCAAGAAATACGCCGCACCTCGTTAAAGGGCCATACGGTAATTCGGGTTCGTTCTCTGCGGTCCGAGTAAACAGCGGAATTCGTTCGTCATGATCTAATATATCCTCAGAAGCAATTCTATTTTGATCCACAAGCAGACGCACCAGCCAAAGCATCTGCTATAAGCACAAGGATATACTGCATCGTATCCAACCGCTGAAGTTTCTTGAGAAGCCGCAGGTACAGGAGAGCGTATGTCTGGCCATCATTGAGAAGTAGAGACTCTGTCTTTGCTCTGGATTGTCGATCTATTTTCTTGATTAAAGCGAGTTCCTCTGAAGTAACGAGGTCGGCCCGTTGATAGCCCTATTAGAAGACTTTTGAGGATACAGTAGATCATGGGCAACAAAGGCGTGGCACCTCCCAAGGTACAGGCTTAGACCTAATCTTTGAGGACGCATCGTCGAGATAGGCGTTTGAAACGAGAGAGACAGACATAGCAAGGAGATGGAGATCAAAGAAGATGGAGGAAAGGTAAGTCCAGAAATGGAAGTATTGCTCATAACTGACACGTGCCCATAAATAATTATTACCTTTGAATTAATTTCTTGTGGACAATCCAGTTTGCAGACGACTTTTGCCGGGCCATGTCCTCAAGAACCCTCATCTCATTATGTAGAGGGAACTCATCTGGTATGCAACCCTTTCTCGGCCCAAATTTTCTCGCAACTTATCTAGTCTTATAGCCTTTTCGTCTGGCCGTCGAACATTGGCTACCGTAAGAGAAACTTCTACCACCTACATACCATCCTCCCAAGTCCCAATTTCTCACCAAACTCACCAAAAGCCAATACCCAAACCAAAATTGCTTACATCCATCATACTCAACCGTGCACCGATACTTACACCGACACCGACACCCTTTGAACGAGCCTACTACGCATACCAAGCCCGTCTCCGGCGCGCACTATCCAATCCTTTCCCATACGACTTTTATTTCAAACAAGGGTCTATTCTAGAAACCCGGTTCACCCTAGAAGAGCGCAAACGCGAACGGATAGCATTTGGTCGGGAATTCGGGATTGCTGACGACCTAGACAAGGAGAAGGCGGCTGCGAACAGGGCTGCAGTGGAGCAACTGGCTGAGCAGGAGGGCGAGAGTGAGGAGATGATGGCAAGGGTACATCCCTCTGACGAGGCGAGGGATTATAAAAGTCTGGATAGGAAGGGCAAGCGAAATTTGTATCTGTTGTTACAGGAAAATGAGGGCACATGGCGGTTTCCTGAAGGAAATGTGAAGAAGGGAGAGCTTCTTCACCAAGCCGCACAAAGGGATTTGCTGGCAGAGTGCGGTGAATATATGGATACATGGATTGTCAGCCGTAATCCTATTGGGCACTATAGGCCTCCGAGAAAAGCACCTTTAGCAGGGAAACCACAACCAGAAGTACGCGCCCATTTACTGAATCTGATACTTTAAACTGATAGCTTTGTTTAGGAAGTCGCGTTCTTCTACAAAGCTCACATTTTGGCCGGTCAAGCGCGCCCTAACCCGGAGACGGTCAAAGACTTTGCCTGGTTAACAAAGCAAGAAGTTGAATCTCGAGTTTCTGAGTATTATTGGCATGGTGTTAAGGACATCTTGTCAGACCATTGATTCTCGAGACATGTATATTCACTTCGATGTACGAAGACAAAATATTACGCTCCTCGATATAGTCCAGTACAGTCCATCACGGGCTTGCACAACGTTTCTAGTTAATTCTTTCACAACACTACGACTACCCTACAGCCTCTCATACTTAAGCCGTTTCGACCATAGAGACACTTTAATTGAAGCTCTCTGTTTTGAATTGCGAAGACAAGAGTCCAGTGAACAAATCGTTGTTGATGGAGCGGTGGAGCACTAAAATGGTGATTAAGATGCATTGCAATGGTACGTAGGGGGCATTAGACGGTAGCGTAAACGTGATAGAGTGTAGATGTGTAGCCAAACCCGAACGAACTCATTGACTGGGAAAGTTGGCTAAAACAGCTTTGACCGGTGACATAACTCGAGCACTTCCTCCCATGGTGGAAATCACCATCCGAAAAAGGCCTCAAACAGAGGCAGTTATAACTCAGCGTAAATTCTTCAAGAAGACTGCTAGAGGCAAAGTCGTTAAGGGTCCGTGCTAATCTCCCCGCAATCCTTCGTAACTGATAATCGTCGATATGTAGTACTTCGAGAACGGTATCTACGAGATGATGTAGCTTGTGGCATCGAAGGTTGCAGGGAGTGCTCGACAGAAATCTCTAGGCTTCTTCCTCCTTCCGGGGGCTTAGAGCATCAGCTGTTTCCGAATGGACACTACATTCTTCCTGATACCAATGTTTTCTTGGCCCAAGTACCCATTCGTTTTCTTGTATCTCCAAGCATAATCTAAAATCATCTTCAGATGGACCTCATCGAGTCCAGTCTTTTCAATCCTCCGATGATACTTCTACAAACTGTTTTAGAAGAAGTCAGGCACCGGTCTTTGCCTTTGTACAACCGTTTGAAGGCTTTGACGAAGTCGGAGGATAAGCACATATGGGTATTCTATAATGAATATCGCTCGTGCGTGATTTTTATCCTTCAATACTTGTTCGCTGACAGGTCCTTACAAGACAGAGAAACTGCCATAGTTCGTGAAGAAAATGAGACTCCCAATGATCGTAACGACCGGGGTATGTCTTTTTATTTTGCATCTAATCGCTCAATCAAACTCTTCAACAGGTATTAGAACCGCCGCAGCGTGGTACAACACCCATATCTCCCTCACACACACGCCAATCCGTGGTCAAAAACAGATGCCTCATCCGACAGTCGTTTTAATAACCGAAGACGCGGCGAATCGCCAAAAAGCCGAACAATCAGGGATAGTGTCCGTCTCCGGTCTGGATTCCTCTTGGATTCATGTTTCACTTCCTCTGATTCGAATTGGTCAGTCCGCAGGTACGTCGAGGCAATGAAAGACGCGAATGTGCTACTCGATCTCCTCTCCGCCGAGGGGTCCCACAATATAGAGCCCACCAAAGCCGCTGCCGGTCGTCAAGCCCTCTATCCTGACGTCAGTATTCTTTAAAATCTCTGTTCCTGTACCGATACATTTTTCCAGTACCTACCCACCCCAACACTAATCGCTGGTGTAAAAGCTGGTGAATTACACCAAGGACATTTCAATGCCAACCAGTATAATTACTTGGAGGGGAGCGTCCCAGTTCCAGCATTTGACAAACCAATCCTACTAGTTGGACGCGAGAATATGAACCGAGCAGTCCAAGGAGATATTGTCGTTATTGAAGTTTTCCCCGAAAAAGATTGGAAGGCTCCCGCTGATGAAGTTGTCGATCAAGAGGGTACGCTGCCATATATGCCTTAGGCATCTATCAAATGACACTTATACACTATCATAGCTATCCAAAAGAATGATGATGCCGAGGACTCTGGCGAAGAGGGAGATGAAAATGACGAGGAAGTTTTTTCAAAAGAATCCCGCGTCCTCTCTGGCAGCTCCAATCAAAAGCCACCTTCGGAACGTCAGCCCACTGGCCGTATCGTTGGCATTATCAAACGAAACTGGCGAGCTTATGTGTGCCACATCGACAGTACATCTTTGACATCCACTCTCACCACATCCCTCTCCACTCAAACTGTCTTTGCCACTCCCGTATCTCGCCTGCTCCCCAGAATTCGCCTACGGACGCGTCAGGCGCCAACTCTCCTGAATCAGAAGATTTTAGTTACGATTGATCGATGGGACTCCACTTCTCGGTATCCAGAAGGACACTTCGTGAGGGCCCTAGGTCAAGTAGAGAGTAAAGAGGCTGAGCAGGAAAGTCTTCTTTTGGAGTTTGAGGTGCCATATAGACCGTTTGGGAAGGCGATCTTGGATTGCTTGCCACCGGAAGGAGAGCAGTGGGTTGTTCCTCCTAAAGGAGAGTTCGACCTCCAGAACATTTGGAGAGATCGCGAGGATTTAAGAGACGTGATCGTTTGCAGCATCGATCCTCCAGGTATGTTTGAATATTATTGTGAAAGTATTTTCGTGCTGATATTTGCTTCAGGTTGTCAGGATATTGACGACGCTCTCCATGCAAAACTGCTGCCCAATGGAAATATTGAAGCTGGAGTTCGTCAGTCTTTCTCAATCTTTCCTGCGCTTAGCTTTCACTGATACAGTCCCCAAGATATCGCGGACGTATCCCATTTTGTCCTCCCTGACAATCCCATGGACAGTGAGGCTGCTGCAAGAGGCACCACGGTATATCTAGTTGACAATCGAATTGATATGTTACCCTCACTCCTTGGTACAAACTTGTGTTCGCTACGACCCTTCGTAGAACGATTAGCTTTCTCGTCAATTTGGGTACGTTTTGATTGGTTTTAGCAATGCTCTTAATAACGCTCCTCTTCTGTTAGGAATTAACAGCAGATGCCGAAATTGTCAGTGTGCGATTTACCAAGTCTGTTATTAAATCGAAGGCCGCTTTTACGTATGAAGAGGCGCAGATCAGGAAAGATGACCCGTACGCTCACCCGTGGTTTGACTCACAGTAGCAGTTCTAACTGGAGTATTTCCAGTAACTTACACGACGAGTTGACAAATTCTATTCGCCTACTCAACACCCTTGCCATCAAGCTGAAAGCAAAGCGAATGGCAGCAGGCGCTTTGAATTTAGCCTCGCCGGAAGTGAAGATCCACCTCGATAGCGCCGAGTCTTCCGACCCAATCGATGTTGAACAGAAAGAGCTGCGGGAGACAAATAGTCTGGTAGAAGAGTTCATGTTGTTAGCCAACATCAGTGTGGCTAGGAAAATTGAAGAGAGTTTTCCGCAGACCGCCGTTCTACGGTCCGTACACTTTGCCATTGTTCAGAGGACTAAGCTTACTTTTCGCGCAGCCGACATTTACCTCCCCCTAAAACGAACTTTGAGAAGCTGCAAGACATCTTGCGCAAGACTAAGGGTTTCTCTTTGGATGTGAGCAGCTCCGGGGCTCTCGCAGCTTCACTAGACGAATGTGTTGTATGTTTTCCATGCTAGCGGTTGTACTCACATTTACTGACGACATTGATGACTTAGGATGCCAGAGAACCTGCGTTTAACACCCTTGTTCGCATCATGGCCACTCGCTGTATGCTTTCTGCTGAGTATTTTTCCTCGGGAAGTGTGGCGAAGGATACCTTCGGTCACTATGGACTCGCTAGCGAGATCTATACACACTTCACGAGTCCCATTCGTAGATACGCTGGTAAGTCTACTCTAGAGTATATATTGTCTGTTATGCTCAGCAACATTTGCAAGTATAGATGTCTTAGTTCACCGACAATTATCTGCTGCTATTGGATCTACACCTCTTCATGCCACGCTTCATTCTAAATCTCACGTTGAACGTGTATTGGATGTTGTTAACCGCCGACATCGGATGGCTCAGATGGCAGGTCGCGCGAGTGTTGAATTTTACGTCGGTCTGGCATTGAAAGCTAGAGGTGAACAGGCAAGGGCTCGAGGCGAGCCTGATGTTAGGGAGGACGCATATGTCATTCGAACATTTAGAAATGGTGTTGGTGTTTTCGTCTCAAAGTGAGTGACCTTGTAGCTACATAAGAACAATCCTAACCGAGGGTCTGCAGACTCGGAATCGAAGGCCTCGTTACATTCAAACGCGATACACAATTCGACGCGGAAAACTACACGATTACCGTTCCTGGAGCAAAGGAAGAGGTGAAGATATCTGTGTTTGACAAGGTCGTAGTTCGGATTGAGGTAGAGAAGGACAAGAACACACAGAGAGGTAAGGTGAAGATGACATTAGTAGAACCCGTAGATTCTAGTGCATTTTGAACATAAAAAAAGGTCATCCGTTTGGCTATCTTTATGATTGACGCAGTTTTCATCCACCCAAGAAAAAAACAGCTAGTTAGGGGCAGAAATTGTTCTCCTCATATCTGGTCTTTTGCGCGCGTCATCGAATCTTCTGACGATGACCTCGCATTTTGTAGATTGACAAATATGTTTGGACGTAGACTTGACTGCGTCCGAGAAGAGAGCTAGTCCAGCTGCGCGTTCCACAGCTTCCACTGTTTAGAACAGGAAACACGTCAGATCTTGAGACAATTCAAAAAACGAAACGAGGAAGCCTTACCTGGCATAACAAACTTTTCCAATGGCGTGTCGTCGGGGATAGGTGCATTAGGTAGAACAAAAGCGCCCATAGCGAGCTCAAGGATATTCGGAGTCGACGGTGAGGCGGGCTTCGAAGTAAGCACAACTTTTGCAAAATGTGTTGGGACGGAAACGTTCGGTGGAGAACCGATCACTTCGTGAGTCTACCAAGTGAGGTTAGGAAATTAGAAAAAACGCGTTTTACAGAGAAAACGTACGATACGCCACTTCCCGTCGGAGTCTCGGCGGGGAAGATAGAGTGGAACCGTGAAGACGTAGACATCAGAGAAGGATCCTGTAAGACGACGGCACCAATCTTCCAAGTATGCCCAATAATGTCGGTTGAAACCTTCGCCGACCTGAGGAGCCATATTCGATAAATAGAAGGTCTCGTTCATAGCTTCCTACGACATATAGCATTTTCAATTTTGAGCGCAGTATTCACCAATTTCTCGACGCACCTGGGAAAATTTGGCATCAGCAGCAGGAACCCTACAGTGAATAACCGACTTCAGTAAGGGAACAAACGCGAATGTAGAAGACGCACATATGTCCACGGTCATACCCACTTCTCAGGTAATCTGTCAACCGAGCTCGGAATGGGACTGGGATAGTATCGTCTTCCATGAATGTACTCTTTGACCTATCTCCAGTAGCATCCGGAGGCGCAACCAAGGGCGATTTACCCAGAGAAGCCAATGTCAGGTGCTCTGCGGTCTTTAATTATGAGCAGAGGTCAACCGAAAGATGAAGTGCAGGACAGTAAATACACGCACCCAAGCGGGATGCCTAAGTCTGCGATCGTAAGCTGCAACATAGGCTTGCCTTACTATAGGATCGGCAATTGGACCTGTGCAAGATTTCAGTGAAGAAACACAATCATATGTAGTATACACTCACCTGGATTCCCATATTTGAGTACAGCAGATGAAGATAATGAGGTGGCACTAGCCAAGCTGCTTATTTGCGCGTTTCCATTTGCTCCCAAGCCGATTACAGGAGGAGAAACAGTAGCGACAGCAGGAGAAACGATAGTTCCATCTACCGTTGGAGCAATGACTGGGCGTTGAGTCTGCCTTTTGGTAAATACAGCGGCTGTAACGCCTCCACCCACTACGGCGCCAGCAGCGAACAATGCAGCCTGAACGAGAGCACTCATTGGACGAGCCAGTTTCAATTTGACAAAAAACAAAATTGCAAGTGCCTGCCGGAAGCATCCTTTCGCGGCGCTTACTATCTCATTTCGGAAGAGTCAGGCGCGTTGGCAACTCTCTTGTTCTACCTTTGACTATAAAGGCCGTACAGAGGTTGGTTACTGTACTACTGATCTCTCCTTGCAACTTACATGATGAAGCTCAAATTGCTCTCACTTGGCCTCTTTATCCCTAGAGTTCTAGGCTGGGGAGCCGCTGGACACGAAATTATCGCGACCATTGCCCAAATTCATCTTCACCCCAGCGTCCTTCCTGTCATCTGCGATATCCTCAACTACACGTCCACGAATCCAGATGAGCCTCCATGTCGTCTTGCGCCCGTATCCACCTGGGCGGACCGATTCAAATACCGTATGCGCTGGTCAGCGCCGTTGCATTATGTCGGTGCTAAGGATGACTATCCTTCAGAAACGTGCGTGTTTCCTGGTGAACGTGGCTGGGCGGGAAGCAGGAATATCAACGTCCTTGCTGGGATTATGAATGTCACTTCGTTACTAGATACTTGGGTCGAAGGATCTGGTTCTGATGATACGGCCGAGGAGGCTCTCAAATTCCTTATACACTTTGTAGGTGACCTCCATATGCCACTTCACCTAACGGGTAGAGATAGAGGTGGCAATTCAGTCAAGGTGCGCTTTGATGGTCGACAAACTAATCTACATTCGGCATGGGATGGGTTGCTAATCGCAAAGACCCTGCGGAACATACCGAGAAAATATGATCATCCACTCCCGATACCTTCGCTCGAAAGGAATCTACGAGGTGCAATTTACGATGGGTTCATCCGTCAAATAATGTGGGAAGGCATTCTGCATGACTGGAAAGAACAGGTTCCGGAATGGCTTGTATGTCCTTCCGAGAAAGCCGCACCACCACCATCATCCTTTCCGAAGGGATATAAATATCTCCCGTCCATTATTTACGATTATGTGACCCAATACTGGGGCTACATTTCCTCAGCATTTGCCTCCAGTTCCGCTTCAACCGACGATTCCACTGTCTGTCCGCACTTCTGGGCTCAACCCATTCATGCTATGAATTGTGATTTTGTCTGGCCGAAAGCTCTAGACGAACCACCTTACAGCCACCTCCGCGCCTTCGGTTCTGACTCTGACTCCCTCACCCCGCGTCCCAAATCACCTTTACTCGAGCTGGACACGCCCGAATATTGGGGTTACATCGCAGAGAATCATATTCTCCACAAATTGATGGCGCAGGGAGGCATCCGATTGGCCGGAATATTGAACTGGCTTTTTGCAGATCTGGCGGAAGCAGGCGTCGATGGTCGTCTCAGTCAGGACGGACGGGCTGAAGCAAAGAGAAGGGTTAAAGAGCTTTTCGTAAGTTCTCCGGTTTAAATGTTGTCAAGTTGTAGAACGGGAGGAATGTTTGCAAGTTGTATCGATGTATGTATCAACCATTCTTGACTTTTTTCTCGTGGGTCGTTCCCTTTCGAATAGCTCCTCGGTTGTAGCGTAGTACCTTCCTATTATTTGGTAGTATTCACATAGAGATTTAAGTTCCTCTTAGAATTTTGCGGGAGCTTTTTGGCTTCATGTTACGAGTGACGGAGAGTGCAAACAGAGAACCATGATCTATCGAAGCTCGTTATTATTCAGACATGCATTCCTTTAGTTCATCGTTGAGCATACCTACTTTAGTTTACAATATGACATAGACTCACCGGGCACGCGGTGAAGACGATTAATTCCCTAGGTATTTAGATTGCAGTGGACCGAGAGTTCTCAAGAGGAGTTCTATGAACTGCCTCAATAGAACAGAACGAGTTAAGATACCAACACCTCAGCAACAACATTCCACTCCTTCAACGATCTGATCTCCAGGATCTTTGGAACAAGGCTCTGCCCATCATCATCCTCCTTGTCCGCATCATCATCAACAAACTTTTCACCGACTAACAACAGCCTCAGACCTCCCACCATCGCAAATCCTCTCCGCAGTGCAACATAATCCAATTCGAAATCAAGCGTTGCCAGATGTTTCGACGTTGGGCGCAATCCTCCTGGCTGTGAATCTGACGATTCAACGGTATAGGATTTGGATGAAGGTACCAGCTCAATAGGAGGTAAAACAATGGCTGATGGACCACTGAACGTCACCATAGTCATCTTAAGCCTCTTTGACTCGTCCACTTTTTCAAAATAAGGTGGAGGTAAAGATTTCATATTCTCGGAAGGTTTGAGAGGTCCATCTATCGAAGATTCTCTGGTTGCCGATTGTACTTGGGACGCTTCGAGGAGCTTCTGATGTGCAAGTGGGTAGTTGAATGTAGTGTAGGTTGGGGATGGGGAAGAGAAGCCCAGGGAGGATAGAGAACGAGGGCTCAGCGATGAAGAGTCGGGCGGTGGTAATTGTGCGGGTTTGGGGACGGAAAGACCAGCAAAACCTGACGTCGGAGGAAACCCTATATGCTGTATCACCAGAGACAGTTGTAATTTTTGTCGTTGCCTATCTGATGCTAGCAGGGAAGATAGAACGAGGCTAAGCGCAACTTTGAAATTTTTTCCGACAGCGATAGTACCGTGAGCGATATCTCTAACGAGCAAATGCGCTTCAATAGTCGTAGTGGGGATGACGCTAGCGGGCGGTTGCGGTGATAGAGGAATCTGCGAAAATCCCGAAATCACGGAAGACGCACGAGCTCTATATGGTACAGGAGAATTGGATCGTGGTGTCGGAGAACTGGGACGAGATTGAACGAGTTGTGGTGACCTAGGTCGTGCTGGAGGAGTTGCAGATGTACTTTGCCTTTTCAAATAGGGTGGAAGAGCAGAAGCAGGTTGAGGCTGAACAGGCTGAGGTACAAGGGGTATTCGTCGAGTCAGCATAGATGTGAGAAGACGCCCTGGTTCGCCGTACGATGATCTCCATGAAATATCTAGCCGGCCCAGTGGGATGACGGCACCTGGGGAGTACACTACTGGTTCGAGGTGAATAGATTTCGGGCTGAGAATGTAGATGTACTGTCGCATGTCCTGTGGTTGCATCAACGCAGTCGAGCCCATGTACAAAGATTGTTGTTCTCCGTTGACGTTGATTAGATTCGCATCGCGTGCATCCCAGCTCTCTGCGGCCTCGAAATGCATCCGCTCAAACCAAATTGACTCCGGAGTGAGATTTTGAATATGGACTTCGAGAAAAACCTTATCACGTTCGGAAGGCACCATTAGGGCTGAAGGGGATCTGGGAGCGTGTACTTTGGTCTTGACAGAGAGTGGATTCGTAACCTGAACGTGGAGGGAGTCAAATGCACTGAAAAATCTTGCGAAAGCGTCAGAAACTCACGACGAATTTATAGAACTTCCTGAACGTGAGAATATTGGAATCAGAAGTTTCTTCAGACGTAGGCGCAGTGCGAGAGCTCTGTGGATTGAAGCGATAGGAAACGGTGCATGCAAGAACATGTTGACCCAATTCTTTGATTTCATGATGGACGACGTTCTCTAGTGTGTCTCCTGGAGATAGACTTGTATCGGTCCCTCCGATGTCCGCCAGGATCAGTTTCGACGTAGCTGTTTGCATTTCTACTTTCAAAGCGACAGAGTCTATTTCTGTGGTTGCCTCATTATTTACGGACAGACAACTAGAAAAAGTTTCTCCTAATTGAATTGAACCAAATGAAGAAGGCAAAGTCAGCAGCTCCGATGCTTGTGTTAGATCTCGAAGAGTCTTTGGATAGCCGGGAAGTGGGTTTGTTCCTTGTAGAGACAAGATTGAAGAAGTGGAATGTGCTGAGAATGAGGGGGATGACGAGTAGAATGGCTGCCATGCGCTAGCTAATGCGGGCCTCTATAGCTCATAAGTTTATTCAAGAAAGAAGTATGTTCAAAAACTCACAGACACCCGCATTACCTTCAACGATAGCAGATGAGTAGCCGGCCCATCTGACATGACTTCAGAGTTACGGAGTAGCAGAAGAGATTCAAATTGTTGGGCGCTAAATTACTTTGGCGACTTGCTTTGTTCCGAATCCGAGTCAAGTTTTCTGAAGAATAGCTGCCTCATTGCTCGAGTACACCACTGGCCATGGCAGCTCACGAAATTCCACTCTTAACAAACCTACTGAGAACATTGAAAGGGAATGATATGACGGAAAACAGTGATCACAATTAGGAGATGGTGGTTGGTACAAGTTGGTACATATATTTTGAATTCGAAAAATTCAAGCTAACGACTACTACTAGCCCTGAACTCTCTACATATGTAGCCTAGCAATGGGCGCAAAGCTCTCCCCTTGAACTTTGAATTCCCTCCCTCTTCCTTCGAAACTATATCGATAAGAATGTTTCAACCTGAACGGAAAAAGCTCGGTTCAATGCTCCATGTCATCATATATCCTTACGTGCTAGGATCTCTTGACCGCTTTCAAATGTGGTCTTCTCGACTGATATGCAATAAGATTCCCTGACTATCTTGACAAGTACCGTTTAAAACACATTTGCCTGAAGTTGAAGGCACACAAGTAGCTTTGCCCCATGAAACTGCATTGCTTGAACCGTCTGAGCGTAGTGTATACCCTTCTGCTGCTAACGAACACTTTCAGCTCTTCTGCAAGGCTTCACCGATCAGCATGGACACGCCCTAGAATGAGCATCATCGAATCTTTCAATCTTCCGCTGAACCTCAACGAAGCTCTTCCTGGATCCAACGAACCACTTTTTATTGACGTTGGTCGTTTTGTCGTTTGCCTATTCATCTGGTATATTTGATTGATTTAGATGCCTTTGGACCATTTCGCAAATTCGACTGTCGACGGTGTCACTACTTTTGAAAATCGCTATTGGATAAACGCGACATACTACGAGCCTGGCGGGCCAGTGTTCAGTAAGATTCTTGCACTTCGAGGCCGAACACAGTTACTCATGATTTCTGTACAGTCTTCGATTCTGGCGAACAAGATGCTGCTCCTTTGGTTCCATATTATCTGCAGGTGGGGTACCCTAGTATCCGAAGTTCTGCTCCTGCTCATGCTGAAAAATATGTCCCAGGAATATCATGGACTTTCGGCGACTATGCGTCTTGCCAAACGATACAATGGTTTTGCGATCCTTTGGGAACATCGTTTTTACGGAGATTCGCTACCCTTCCCTATAAATGTATGACTTCTTTTACAGTATACGTTCTTTTGACATGCCTTCATAAAGGAGAATACCACAGCTCAGCAATGGCAATTTCTGACTACCGAGCAGGCCTTAGAGGACGTCGTATTCTTCGCCGATTCTTTCAGCAAAAACAGCAGCTCAGCTTCAGAATTTTTGATGAGCTCCGCTTCTGTCAATTCCACTGCTAGTATCAATTTTCATAGTCTACCTCTACATCCCTCAGTGACTCCCTGGGTGTGGCTTGGCGGTTCTTATCCCGGAGTCCGTGGTGCACTTTTGCGTCAACGCAACCCGGAAACGATATTCGCAGCATGGGCCTCATCAGCACCTGTACACGCTCAAGTAGACATGTGGGCCTACTATGCCGCTGCTCAGCGAAGCTTGACAACAAATTGCTCAGCGGATTGGGTAGCCGTTACTAGGTGGGTTTGTTCGTTGGGAGGCTTCTCTTCAGTGTAACTCCATTGATATTTTCCATTAAAGCTACGTTGATAATGTACTGCGAGGAACAAATGCAACCCTTATAGAGGATCTGAAATTTGACTTGCTCAAAGCTCGACTAAGTGGTCCTGGAGGAAATACCAGCGGTGCCGATGGCTTGACAAAACAGCAGGCGAATAAAACCAGTGATGTGGATGCTGCCTCGATCCTGATGGACCCCCTCAACTTTTATCAGGTATTTCGGACTAACCAGTGTTTCTTGCAGCTGAAAGTCATAATGATTGCAGTACTACGGCTTCGTCGACTCGATTTTACCTTTCTGCAACCTTCTCGAGACCAAAAACTTCACCGCAGCTCCTGCGGAGAACGGTATCGTGTCGATTTCAGGAGTTGAAGATGCCTTACAGGCTTTCCTCGCTGCTCTTGCAGAGCTCGATTATGATTCTATCCCTGGGTCTGCAGATGACCCTGTTGCGGACATGTCTTGGATGAGGCAGTACTGCTCCGAATACGGTACGCAAAGAATATGATACGCCTGTTCTCGTGTGTGTTTGCGTTAATGTATGTCCAGGTTTCTACCAACGTGGCGACCCCGATAACCCATTATCCATTGAGACTTCCTTCCAGTCTTTAGAGCTGTTCCAGCAACAGTGTAACGAAGCCTTCTCTGATCATCTTCCGACCTGGCCTCAAGTAGGGAATATCAACAAATATGGCGGGTGGGATATGCAGCCTTCGAACATTATGTTTGCTAATGGCGAATGTAAGTAGACATTCTCCATTGTTGTTTTATGCTCACTCCGTTCTCTCGTAAGTCGACCCATGGCGAACGATGGGTCTCGCATCCATTGAATCAAATGCTCCTCAGAGAAAACCTTCAGTCATTGTTCCAGGGTGTGACGTCCCCTCAAACGCAACGACATTCTTTGGCATAACGTATGACAACATGGTGCACGTTTCGGATATGCGCGTGCTTTTGATTCCAGACTCGAACCACACGGATTTCAAGACAATTGGATTTTACAGTCCAGTGTCACAGGCACCTTTTTATACAGGACTTGGACTTTTCCAGCTGGCATTAGATGAATGGCTGCCTTGTTTCGCAGCCAAGTCCGCAAGGGTGTAGATAATTGGTATCGGGTATACAATTGTTCTTCTTACATTTCCAAAAAGTCATCATCCTCCTCAACCAAAACATCTAACAACTTGAAGAAACTCGCCATCGGAAAGCCAACAACGTTTTGATAATCTCCTTCTACTTTTCTCACCAAAACACCACCCATTCCCTGGACAGCAAATCCACCTGCACGGTCCAGTCCTTCACCAGAGTCTGCGTAAGCTTGAAGGAAGTGCTGTGGGTTATCAGCAAAGTACACCAAAGAGCGCTCGTCAATCGAATGGATCCCGTATCCAGGGGCAGTGAGGATTGGGTATGCTAAAGTCACTCCAGTGACGACTTCACAAACTTGTCCATTGAGATCCATGAGCATTCGCAGGTTGTCTGCCTTGTCCTTGGGTTTCTCAAGCAACTCTTGACCAACCGAAGGAAGTAGAGTGTAATCAGTCTGCGATGTGGATGGCTGAGCATGAGTGAGAACTACTGTGTCGGCTGCGATTACAAGATCTGGAGCGTTGTCTGGATCTTCAGCCTGGTAAAAAATCGTCAAAATAGTTGAATTGACACTCAAGTATAGTACGCACCACTAGCCTTTCATAGACTTCGACCGCTTTATGGCTCGCCGTAGCAACAGGATATTCATGTATATCCGCAAAAGATGCGGGCGAAAGATTTTCTTCAAAAGTAGAGGGAATTATATCTGGCGCAAGTCCCTACTGACGAAAGATGAAATGTCAATGCTAACTAAGAAATGGTTAATCTTTGCACCCACAATGGTTCTCAGAATGTCCCGTCTCCTGGGGCTGTTCGAGGCAAGAACAATTCGTTTTCCTGCAAGTTTCTTTATTGCCGGAACTGGGAGCGCATTGGGAAGAATATGTCGGGAGGATAGGTCGCGAGACATGATATCGATTAGACCGTTAGAGTTGTTTATAAATGCAAGGCAAAGTCACCATCGTGGCATTACATAATGCGTGACTTATCGTCGCGAACTTTCTTTGCAGTCTTTTGCAGTCTACCACCATCGGTGTACCTTTAACAACACCCCCTCGCCATTTCACAAGCCTCTACGCTGTGTCTTTTCTATCTTTAACGCTCCGGATACCCGTCTTTGTCGCCCTGAACCTGTCTTACCCTGGTTCTTCATCTCCTCCAGCCGCACGATGCACTTCTCGTCCTAACCAGAAGTGATATCTAACCCTAAGTTCTTTCGGGCTGCTGCATATCCTTATATTCTCTCCTTACTATGCTCGTACGCCAATTCAACTGTAGAGTAACAGTTCCAGAGGTCGTGTACATGGAATCTTCACGTCGAAAATTCTTCGCTTCGGCTCTTGCGCGAATTTGGTTCTCCAAGTACACAGAAACATTTGCCTGCAATGATTCCTTTCACCATCCTATATCGCCTCTCCGGAATGTGCTCTATTTCGCGTTGTTTTTACCACCGACTTCTCGCACAGAGTCTAGCCTGTGTCGTCTCGGGACCCCTTTCTCCTTCTCTCGTCACCGTACAGAACGCTGCCTTTGGTGGGTGTTCTTTCATGCGAGAGCGGTAGTTAAAAGGGAAGACGATGCCGGAAATGCTTGTACTTGCACTCGCGTCATGTTAGACACACGTGTTGAGCACTAGAGGGCGTCGCGGGACCTTGCGGATAACAAGTGGGAGGAGGAGCATGGTCACGTACATCACGAACTTAGATCGAACCTTATTTGCCTGGCTCAGTGGCTCTCGCACAGACATCTTTGATGTTACAATTGACCATCTTACTCCAGCAAGGATGTTTTCGGCGCCAGGCAATCTGTCTGGTTGATTCTACACTATCCTCTCGGCGTAACACGAAGTTAGACAAGCACACGCACAGGATATCAGCAGTCTAGGTCTCCCCGACCTTTCGCTGGACTCAGCTTGTTCGACATTTTGTCAAACGAGTCATAGTTCAAACCCCGGCAGCAGTTCGACCATCTTTCCTCTGCCGTGGGCCACTTCGATCTCTCTTTGCTCTCAGTCTGTGTCCTGTCATAGCAAATGGTCGGAGGAGAGGTCCCAGAAGCCGGCGTGCATTGGAAACCCGGTTGGCTACAGGGGTGATCAGCTACCAGGGGATCATAGGACGTGGATTGGGTTGACATGGACATGAAGGGTCCCGAACAGAAAAGTACACTTGGAGGAACCACTCAACAGATGACGATACTTGTTGATGGGTCTTTAGCTCCTGCACAAGCTCGATGTAGTGGTACATCCAGCAATTGGCTTTCTGAGCGCGGTCTTCGTGAGTACGACTATTGTTTAATGTTCCTGGTTTACCTCGGCAGGTTTATCCGCCCCCAACTTCGCGTCTTTTCATGACAGAAAGGCCGACTGCGGTGTTATTCGCCACAATCCGAGTACTTGTTCCCACCTCGTTAAACGAGGTTTCGGACAACATCGTTCGTGTTGGGAAGTGACTCTTTGGCAAGCTTTGGTGCTGATCAAGGATTCGGCTCATGCCGGAGTAGGTGTTCTGCATTCTTTTCAGTCTTACACCGCAAAGACCTGCTTGGGGCTCTTCTCGCATTCCTTTCGATTGTTCTTCGTCGCACTAGTTTGTTCTCGAACGCGTTTACTTCCTCCGGTCCAGGGTATGGCTTCTTATGATCCAGCATATGTTGTGCACCTTGTTCCGTGTTTCTACCAAGCCCAGAAGTTCACTGCTAGAATGAAAGGTCTCATATGGACTCGTCGGACGGCCGTCTCCTTCTGTGAATTACCACTCCTTTGGGATGTAGTAATAGAGGTTCTTCCAGCCTCGAGTGCAGTTGGAAGATGTCAGTTGTCCGATAGTTCGTTGGGATCCGTAGTTTTGGTTCAGCACTTTGGCGTGTCGGTGGTTCACAGCTTGGTTGCCTCTTCGCTGGGGAAGACTCCATTCCTTTTTGGTTCCGTTGTAGATGTGATGCATCTAGTTTATGCCCGTACAAGAAGACGAGTGACTGTGAAAGTGGGAAGAACCCTTTGTCAGAGAGCAGTTGACTGGACGTCTTTTTGAAGACGAGGAATTGCGTGGATTCACGAAACATCTCTGCATGAATCTACCTTGGTAAAGCTGTGCTAGTTTCATACATCCCTTCACTGCTCTTCGAGAGTAAGAACGATGGTTGGTTGATGATTCTCAAGTTGCGAGTGTGGTTGGAAACCTACTAGTTGTTTCGACTGGTAGGAATTACATAGGAGCAGGAGCAAGAGGACGGTTGTGGTTTGAGGTCCTTGGGACCACATCGTAGCGGGGGTTGCCTAAACAATGGCTTCGAGAGTGGTTTGACCTGTACCTTGGTTTTCCTTCAAAGGAATAATTGACGTGGTCGTGCTTCGGATGCCGACGAATGTCAATTCTGGGTGGTTTTGGGGAGGACATGAATGTCCAAAGATCCCACTTTATAGGCTTCCATAATTTTTTATCCTGCTTTGCTTTCGTGGCAAATGTGACTTCAGTCGATCTACTTATGTAGTACTCTAGAAGTATGGTAGGTAGTAAACGAGGTATCGAGGGACCGACATCATTTCATATACTCTCCTTCTAATTCTCTCCCCAGCCGTTCCAGTTGCGGGACCCGTGCTCGGACAGAGTTCGCGTACCTATGATCTACACAGGCGTGCAGTTCTATTCAACCAGGTTTAACCCAGCGATAGTTGATGCTGAGCCTGATTAAATTAGTGCTCAGTACAGTTTCCGTAATCCTAACCCCGACATCACTTGAAACCTGGGTTCAAAATATTGAGGCTGGGCATCAACTCATTTACATAATCAAGGCCCACCGCAGTACTCGGAACGTTCATTTTTCTGCTCTTTTCCAAATTTTTCAAATCTTTTATTGGACTGAATCATTACTTAGTATCTACATACAAAGGTGCAACACAATAAAGCATGTATCTGAGAATGAAACTTAAAATTTAAGACACACTGACCTGGGAACCAATTAATTGGACGGGTGAAAAAAAACAAAAAATCGCTTGGTAACTCAATCTTGGGAAGGGGATGTTTTGATGTACCCGAAGCATGTGGTGTTGAAGTAGGCAGTTGAGGCAGTTTTGCAGAGTTGAGGGCGGCATAGAGGGCTTGTTCAGCTTGATGTCATTCTTGAGGTTGAAGTGAATCTCGGGACTTAAAGGTTGAGGTTGAGGGGGGATGATGCAGTCCAAGCCTTGAATATTTTGTATCTTCAATAGACAAGTTGAACATTGAGTTAGTTGCAGGTTGCGTCCTAATTTGAATGATCCTCGTAGTGTTAAATGTTGACCATTGAAAGGGGCCAGTGTTGAGCATTGAGTGTTGAGTGTTGAATGTTGAACGTTTGAACAAAGTTGACGACGTGGCAAAAAAAGACCAAACAATGATCAACATTTTTCGCGTGACCTACAAATGACTCATGGAACATGAAATGATTTGGAGCGGGCGGATTCCTGTGGTGGATTTTTTCGTGCGCAATCAGTCAAAGTAATCATTTATCATACTATCTTGCTGCTACTGTAATGAATCATCTCTACTAAATATTCATAGTCTATCTTCAGCAAACTAGCCTCCTGCCAATTGCATGGCTTGACTTGGAATGTGAAGCACTATAAATTTGAAGCTCATCTGGTCAAAATGGTGCCGTATTAAAGATAAATACTTGCCCTGCTTATCCTCAAAATTATCCTCAAAGCCTTTGGGTCAGACACAAGTCAAATATGTCCTCGCAATGTGTCATTGATTTTTGACTGCCATTCATCCCAAGGGCTAACAGATATTGTATGAAGCGAGGTTTGTAAAAAACATACAGCCTAGTACCATTTACATAAATTCAAACCTGGGTTATAATATGTGAGCCTGGGGACGAAATGAAATTTCATCCCCGGGTTGTTTGACATCAATCAGCCCACGCTTATCCGAAGGTCTGGTTGTGTAGTGCTGTTCGCGCGGCGATCCCCGACTGCATCAGGTATTACAGGGCCTCATTGAAAGACGAACTTTCGTAAATACCTTTACCCCCCGAATCAGGGTTTCTGTTCTTGCTTGAGACCACATAGTCGGGAATCTAGGGGCCACGCTTGCACGGCAAATCCCCGACTCTAAGCAATTTCCTTAAGCTCATACGGTTATACATTGATCTAAAAGTCTCTTCACCATAGGAGAAAGAGTAGGTATGTATATTCTATATTTCGAAAAACTCATACTTTCATGAGCCACCGAAGACTGGTAGAAAAAGAATGCATGCAACAGAGGGGAGTCGAACCCCTTTCCCGGCCAGTTAAAGCATCCATGGGAAGACCGGATCATAACCGTTAGACCACTGTTGCCTCATTGACATTTCACACGTTGTATGTAGTAAAGAGCTAAAAAATTGTCGTGAACTCGCCCCAATTAGCTGCAGGAGGGGGGGTATTGCAGGAGAGCCCGAACCTGGCCTGGATATGTAACAATCAATTAGACTATCTTAGTCTATCTAGACATTCAAGAAGCACAAAACCGTCTATAAGTTCCTCAAAAGCAGAAAGAAATATAAAAGATCCAGAAATAACCCCTAATTGGCGTGTCCGTTCACACCATTCACTGTAGGCGACTGCGGTTCACCTCGTGCACCTATGGCCTGCTGGGCATTCCTACTAAGCACTTCCAGCAACGGCTGAACCCTTACCGAAACCTCATGGGTCACTTTCGTCGCCTTCTCCTGTATCGACACATTCTCCGCCGTCATAATGCTCCGTAGCTCAGACACTGTTGAGGCAAGGTGATTCGACAATTCTGCGTAGGTAGCAGAGGCTGATGAAGCTTGAGCCTGAAGCACAGAGGATAGTTCTGCATATCTCTGTTGAACCTGCGGAGGGAGTTGAGCGGTCGGATCTTTCAGGGTTTTCGAGGCCGAGGCTTGCAAAGAAGCAGAGAGAGAAGTGGCTTGGGATTGAAGTTTCCCGAGTTCAGCGATCATATTTTCCGAAACGGCGTGCAATTTAGCTTGGACATTCGAGAGGGATGATGAAGCCGTGGTACTGAGACTACGAGCGGTCTCCGTAGCGCGTTGGCTATGAAACGTTGTGATAAATATAAATAATGTAAGAAAACGATAGGATCAAATAACATACACAAGAACAGAGTGAGCCTGAAGTTGTGTTATTTGCTCGTTGGAATAAGATTGGAGCTGGTCTCTGAGACGAACGGAAAGCTCAAGCGCACGCGAATACTGCGAAACATGAGCTTCCTTGTCGGCTGAGGTACCATTTTCCTGGGTATTAGAGTCAATCCGGTTAACGGCGACCTCCAGATAATCCACAATCGGAGCAAATCTCTGCAAAACCGAAAGTGATAAGGTTCTGATACAATTGCCAATAGAGAGAACTAGCCTTATCAATATCGTGAGCGATAACACCAGCACTTTCCCGCCTTTCCCTAACATATTCGCCTACATCTTTCTGCCTGTTCTGAACATATCCCATCACATCCTCTGGTGTGGTAGTAAACGCACTAGGATACCTCTTCTGTACTACATCTACAGCTAGATTGGCGTAAGAGTCCGCACGAACGATGAGTGGCGCCAAATGAGTTTGGAGCGGCTCCGTGAGCTTATAGGCGGAATTGGACAATCCCAAAGCTGTAGAGTACGGTGAACGTGTGTATGTGTTTGTAGATAAGGTATCGTTGACTATTTCGAGCGAGGATGAGATAAGAGGAATAGAACTTATTCGGGAGATCACTGTAAGTTCTGGAGGGTGGGTAGAGGGGGACGAAGAAGGCATTGGAATGCTGGAAGTTTCTGTTTGAGTGGAAGACATGGTGGTTGACAAAAAATTTGTTATCTGTTTCGCCACATTTATTCAACGACACTTTCATGTGAAATTTGAGTGAATTTATCATGTGTTTTCGATACGCTCGCGACCCTGGATCGCGACACTGCCTGGCTTGATAACTCGAACATACCAGAATCGAAATAGCTCTGTTCAAAAATGGGTCGTTCGCTGTCGCCTCTTAGAAGCATTCGACGTGAATACAGATTCTCGTTTTCGGGCCTTTTCGGGCCCAGGGCAAGAGAAAGGGATCGATGTATTGTCCATCAACGAAATGTTTATAGAGATAAAGAGATTGCGGCGCTCGTTGTCTGGATCGTTCCTTCGTTCGTATTATGTAAAGAAAACAAGCATTGAATTCAATTCGGCTTCGAAAGTCTTGCGCCGCTTGCATCGCTTCTCCTCCTTCCTCCTCCTCCTTTCCAAGCAGGACGTGACCTGACGCGACATTGAAAATTCTCTTGTGGAAGCCATCGTCTGTATGCGGAAGGCTCTTCAACGTTCAACGTTCAACATTCATGAGGGTGATCTTGTCACTGATTGAAGAGTTAACGGTCGTCGTTTTTCGTCGCAGAGTGCTGTAAATCATCCATGAAAATTTCAAATTTTTTCGATTCTGGCTACGAAGGCTTATTTCGGACTGTACTCTCTAGAGATTTCGAGTTTCTACTTTTCTAATTAAGCCTGTGAAGGCTTACGAAGGCCACTGGACCTGAATGGAGCCGACGGATGACTGGGATTCAAAATTCAGAGCGGGGCTGGATATACTGGTGAGCAATGGGGTGAAGGGTGGATGGGTGTAAAGGTACCTGTGGTGAAGGGTGGGGGATATGGGGTGGTTAACACGGAAGAGGAGTTTGATGTCCTTGTACGGGATTCGGTACGGGAATGGAATGAGTCGAAAGGATTGTTCACGAGTTTTTATGCAATTCTCGCAAACAAGCCTTACTAGAACTTGTATATTGGTCTCCGCAGTACCATACCAGTACATATGTATGCATGGATTGTATTTCTTTTATGTAATTCAATGAGGGAGACATTTTCATGGTCTGTTCACCACTACAATGAACTCTTCAATTTCCACTGCGCCTCAAACCATGCTCTCTGAATTGCAACTTTCAGCTTTACAAGAATGAACACATGATCACAACTGAACTTACAACTTCCTCCTTCGTGACATCTTTTTTCACTTTGAAAACTCCGGGATATCCCCAATCCACAAGTCGAGCTTCAGTTATGGGGATAGCCAGAGCCAGACCCTCAGGAGTTTTTTTCCCGCCAACAAGAAAGTTGTCAGGATGAAAATCACTGGATTAATTAGTGTAGATATACGTTTTGGATAGTACGGCAAAAACTTGCTTACGTTTGAAGGATTCCCTTCTCAACTGCAATGTTCACGACTTCCTCTTCTACCAGTGGTTTGGCTTCTTCCAACCACTTCAATCTGAGGTCCAATCTGGCATTCTCATACTCCGTGGTATCCTTAATCATCACCCCCTTGACCAGCTTCATCACAATAACAGGATACTTCCCATTATCAACATTAGCCATCCCCGAGTCGACGTAAAGACCAACATCTTTCAAGGCTTTCACTTCACCCCAAACTTTGTTATCCACTACACTTTTTGGGTTCCGTAGGCCTCCGATGACTTTGATAATAAGTGTGTCTTTGCCATGTTTCACACCCTTAACCTCGTAATCTTCAAGTAGGAGATAGATGCCTTTATTGTACGCGCCCATATACTTGTATAGGACATCACCGACTACCAAGTCGTTCAGGGTTTTTTCTAGTACACAATACATATTATCATTGAGACTGTGGACTGGTAAAAGACCATGATCATCAGTGAACTCACCAAAGACTTTCTTGTCATCTCCGTCGAGGTATTCATCTTCCCCGTAGAAGCCCAGAATCCAATCGGGCTGGTCAACATTTGAGTTATGGTGATGGATCTAATGAAGAAAATTTTACGTTGCGCTCTCCTCCACTTGGACCCAATCTTTTTATCTTCTCTGAGTTTGGAGCGGGAGTGGGTGCGGCATCAGTGGCATGTATTGTGAATATGACGAGGAAAAGGAACAGAAAGGAAACAATTTTCATAGTAGGCTGCATGATGGCTGATTGCAAGTGAAAGAAATCGAAAATCTTCAGAGAACTTGAAGGAAGGGTTCGGAGAGATCACCAAGAGCAATGAGCAATGAACAGATACAAGAGGAAGGAGAGGGGCTCGTGTCGTTTTCGGAGGTGGCGAATTGCAGTTGTCCAGCGTCGAGGGCAATTAATGGATGAAAGAATCTGAGAGACGAAAGTTGCAGAAGCTCCTCGATAGTTCAGTCTCTGACCAGCAGAGTGAGAGCAGGAGAGAACGGAAAAGAAAATTGCCTTCATCTGCAAGCCTAATTGTTCGTTATTTAAACTAGGTTTGCCAGTCTGGCGTTTGGCCTGGACTCGGAAGACTCGCTTACTTTGGCGACCTGAGGTGTTTGTTTCAACAAACTTGAAAGATGCGGCGGGTGTCCAATTATACAGTAAACGTGATGAAACCCTATGAGACCATGAGACCTGACAACCGCGCTATCTTGGCGAGCATTAAAAAGCGCATTTGAGAACAAGTTGTAAGTTGTCTAGAGACGGGCTGATACAAGAGGTGAGGGAGATTCAGATTGGGGGTACTTATGGTGCCACGCGAAAGGCCCTGACCAAGCCCAAGCCGAGCTGCACGGCATCTTATGACGGCTCGAGAGGCCATAAAACTTGTTCGAAATCTTCGAATACCTGTGTGCGTGTCACTTATTGATGATATCCAACTACTTAGGTATGGTCTGGAAGGTATATGTGAGCTTGAAGGGCATTTGAGACAGTTCTGCAAATAGACCCTGCCTGGACTCTCTATTCCTTGGAGGTGGGGGGGGGGGGTCGTGAGAATCGTGTACCCGATCTGAATCTCCCTCACCTCTTGGGCTGATAAGCCGTACAGTCGCTTTTTTCCCACCCGACTTTAAACATATTTTCGAACATCGATTATTCAAACTCTCTATCTATCTATCTATCTATCTCTTCTGATTTCCGACGGGAAAATGTGTTCCCTCTCAAAAACGTCGAACGGACGAATATACAACTCGTTTCCGAAAGCATACATGATCGGTTACACCAACGAAATATCATCTACATACATAGAGTGTATAGTATTCAATGAAGTTTAAGCACACACAAGAGGTTTCGTTGCGATTTCTTGCGAAAAAAAATGAATAGTTTTCAGGAAATGCGTGGTCCTGAATGTTTTCGTTACATAGCTCTCCCTCGCGGAAATTCTACCATTATTATTTGTCTCTTCAATAATAATAAAAAGGACTTCACATCAGTAAGGACTCACCAAAATGCATTTGAAATACCATCTCCATGTCTCTATACATACTCCCCACTGGTATGATACCCTTCAAGATGTACGGAGCATTTCTCAAAGATTTGCCTCCTTCACCACCTATGCACGTATGATCGCTTTCATTCCTTCTTCTGATGTTTATCGACGGTGGCGTCTGATCATATTTAAGTTCTACCGTCAGTTGTTCGAAAGTTGGCAAGAGCTCAGGGTTTGCAGAAAGATATGCATTCAATGCTTCTTTGAGTTCAACGCTCAGAAGAACACTGTCTTGTTCGATGACTGCACCAAAATATTCTTGGTCAATGATGGTCGCGGAGGCAAGAGATCGGGTGGAATCTGGAGAGAGAATAAGTTTCACACCATTAGTAGAAGCTATGATAGTTTGAACTGAACTTGAAGTACCTTTGAGGACTTTACTTGTAGACCGACAAGATTCTTTATGCTCCGGCCAATGAGCTTTCTGGCACTTTGCGGAACAGTAACAAGCTAGCTGGCATCCCGAACAGAGCATTGGTATGTCCATTCTTTTCTTTGGACACTAAGAAAGGGCATGACATCCGTCGGTCAGTACTCCGCAGTTGTCAGGACATCATCTAGCCTCTGACCTTTCCATTTCTGCACAAGGAATAAGCTTTCAATGAATCCTTAAAAACCTTCTCTCTTTCTTTGAATACACCACTTTCTGCAAGCCTCTGCAGTTTTACCCAATGATCACGCATGCCGAGCTCACGGGGTACATCGATTCCTTCCTTCAAAACCTCCTCCACTCCTTTCACGATACCTCTGCCAACTGAGCGATGTATCGAAAATCGATTCATCTTCTCCAGCATTGCGACCGGCAGATCTATGAGGCTGTCATGTACATTAGACCAATACTCATGGTTGGAAACCAGAATTTGGAATCCACGCAAGACCACCACTAATACACTGTGTTTCAGGGCTTGTGCATATGCGCCTGCCGAATCTCCATCAAGGGTGTCTGCAATTGCGATCAAACACCACTTGATACTCTCCAGATAAGCTTTCTTCATTCTCGCTTCTAGTTTCGACACCTTTGAGGGGTGCGATGAAGAAGGGTACTCAAGGAATTTGAGGGCTGAGATCAAAGGTATAATTGCCGTATTCCGAGCTACCGGTGCGTGTTTACCCATGAAGTCGGATGCGATTAGGCAGACATATTGTGTAAGGTCATTGACATAGTACAGATCTACGCCCAGATCATATATGGTCTGGGTCGGGGACGACGCGAGAACTCGAGTAAGATTCGAAAGACAAGTGGGGATGGTTTCCAGAGGAAGAGCGGACACAAATTTACCGTGGAACTCCTCACCCAAAGGAGCAATAAGTGACCTTTGTGTCAGATGCGCATCACGAAAGATATCATTATCTGCTTTTGTCAAGCAAAAAAACCAGAGAGAGGCAAAAATCTGGGCATATTCGGTTATAGAGCGAGTTTCTTTGATCCCCGAAACGAACAGTGCATTTTCAGGTTGGGATTCAGAATCCAAAAGACAGACGAGTAATTGGAAGATTGCTTTGAGCGAAAGTGCTAGATTGTCGAATAGATTTGAGTAAACATTTTGATCAATAGACATGGCGGCAACACGGAGGAAATATTTTATCCAGCGAGTTATGGGGGAAGCATTGTCGGTGATAATGGAAATGCTATCAGGAAGAGTATTGATGAGAGTCTCAAGGGACTCAAGAGCACGGTTGCACGGAGATAGAAGTTTTTCTGATGGAAGTGGCAAAACAGCCGGAGGTGCTTTTCGCAGCGACGACATAACATGCTTGGGCTATAAAACATATGAGTGTATCTGAAGGACAAAGACAAGTTGACATACAAGTTTAGTGGGTTTAGGCATGGCCTTTTTGAGGAATTTAGGATCGTCAACAGTAGTCAAATTTTCCTTTCTTTGTCAGTCAAGTAGAATCTCGTCTGGCTAATACTTGCACGATTGAACTGCGGGTTGAAGAGTGAGCGGGTATGCAGCCTGGCTAGCCGTGTAGTAGACTGTATCAGTAGTTCACGAACAAGATAGGTGAACAAAGCCTGTCACTAGATAAATGCATAGATGTGACCCACCAGCACTACATACTTATGACGTAAAGTGGTCGTTTTTTCTGAAGGTTTGTTACTGATATTTCTCAACTAGAACTATGTCGCTAGATTATACACACACACGTACAACTGCTTTTGCCTGTCGTAGAAAGATGTGCCAACCTCCGAAGTTCAAAACGACCTAATCTTCTCTCGTAACTAGTCGAGAACCGTCAATATCTACCCAACTGCTTCTTCTGGTACTAAAAGTAACAGCATCGTAAACTCCAAAGTAGCCCAACGTTAACTATGATTGCACTCACACTTTTTTTATCTTTTGACTGGTCTGTTGCGTCCGAATCGACGCTTTTTCCTGCAACGTCAACTTCAACGTCTTCACCTCAAAGCCACGGAAGTCCAACTTCAAAACCGGTCCAAGATCATTCTCATCCAGAATCTGTACTTCTTCGTCCTCTTCCTCGTCCTCAAGCAAGTTAGTAACGACAGCTCTCACAACTCGACCGGAAAAATGGTCGCCGATGGCTACAGTCGCGCGCGCATGTCCTCCGAAGGCTTCGTACAATCGTGCGATGATGGTTGTAGAAGAACCTACGTTAGAGGAAGATGTATCGAAATCGTCGTACTCCCCACGCTTGATGGTTTCCAGGAAGACGTTCGGGGCTCCTCGAATTACGAATGAAGGATGGTTTGTGAAGGATGCTGCAATAGCGTCTTTATCCCCAGGAAGATAACGTACTAGAAAAAGGAGCCATTACTCAATCTAGAATGAATTGATTACGCTAGAGACAAACCATGCAGAGGTGAGTTGAACAAATACGCTGCCATTGGTACATCCGATTCTAGGAAATGCCCTTTGTGTGGCATGACAGCCCAGGAGAATTGGTGTTCACCTGTGATATGAAAGGAATACATATTTCTCCAAAAGCAAACAGAATGGATGTTAAGACGGACCCTGGTCTTGCTCAGCATCTGGAGCAGTGGCGGCTCGAAGTAGAGAAATGCGCAAGATATTACCCTGACAGGAAAACCCATATTTCGATTCTGACAATATTGCGAGGCCGTATCCATACTCGCTCAAATCAGCGTACTATAGGATCAATTCAGTGTCATTCAACTGGAAATAAAGTGACTGTTTGAAGCACCTTGTGCCCGCAGACTTCGAACTAGATGAGAAAGAATCAGTATACGATAAAATGGCAAGAAAGATTCATTTACCTTGGCCATGTCCCAAGTAGTATTTTTATGCGTGGGGCGCTGTACATACCCGAATTGTGTTTCGTAATAAGCGTTGTCATTGTGGATATTGAGAGGAAGTTCGACTGCGGTTTGGATGAATGGACAATATTCGAAACCAAGTTTCGACACTCCACTTACACTTGAGGAACTGATGTCGTTCTCGCCAGTCTACATCCGCATCGAATCTGAACATGGACCGAGATCCAGGCTTGACGGTAGCTGGAGGATATGGTATTAAATCAAAAAAAAAATAATCATACGTTGAATCCTCTTACCACCAACTGCATCCAAAGAAATCTAAAAAGAGTTTATTTCAAGGATTATAACTATTGACGAGAAAGATCTCACCAAGACTTTGATCGTGCTTTTGCCGTACTTGACCTGAGCTTGAACAGAGGCACGCAGCGGCCCATGCGCTACCACCGAAATATTTGTGAATTCCAGGGCCGTTGGAGTTTCTAGATGGTGAATCTCGACGTCTACCAATGGCACTATCAGAGAATTTCGAATTTTGACTAGCAGTAATATGCACCCCAAGCATCCCAATAGTTCGGTCGGTCTTCAAAGATGACTAACCCACCGGTGGCACCATCTGCTATCAGTTCACGACTTGGAGAGTTATATATAAGTGTTGTGACATAGCCTGTGGTAAGATGCCTACTGAAGCTGGACATCGATCAAACTTGTGATTCTGCCGTTGGAGATGGTCAATTGCACGCTGGAGTTCCTCAACACGAAATGATTAGAGCCGTTGGTGTATGCTTTGTGATTGGTGAACTAAGCTTATCATGAGCATCAAGGAATGTACGGTAGACTCACCGGACGCGTGTAAGTCCAGACCATTAGCAATAGACGCATCGAGAACGCCGTTATCCATAATCGCATACCCAACTTCGTTGTTGTTGTTGTCGACTTGCGCCACTGCCGTCTTCAATCCGGCCGATGCGCCGTCCAACGGAATTTTGACGATTTCTCGACGATCAAGGAAGGTCGTATTGTAGCCAATGATTTGGTTCAGTGAGGTGTTTGGTTGCAATCTAGTCTCCGGACTCAGGAGAACAGAGTGGGGAAAGAGGACTTGGAAGGCTTCTTCTATCAGGCTTTTGCCATCTTTAGCAACCTCGGCATAGAGTTTTTCGGCATCCTCGTAAACCATGCCGCTGCAAGATCGAATGATCAGAAGAAAACGAGTGGTTTAGAAAATAGATTCTTACATCGCGGAACCAGGAAGTACTAGGATTGTTAGAATTAGTTTACTGCAAAGCGAAAATGAAACAGCTTACCATCATGAACTATATAGTCGTAGCAGAATGAATCAGTGCCCACTTCGTACAAAGCCTTGAATTCCCATACACTGATTGAGTAAAACCTTTTCCCAACATTCGTCAATCTTTCCTTTGGGGTAAGTATACTCGGTAGATTTGGCGATCGATGCCAAAGTGGCAACATGCTAGGATTTACATGGATGAGCGAACATCTCTATGTATTCGCAGTTGTACACACCTCAACATCACGAAGCAAGATTTCCGAATGTCGATTGCCTTTCTTAATGGAGCCTGAGGAAAATCAATCGGTCTTGCGCTTAAATGAAGACCAAGCGGCTTACCATGAGATGTGTAAGTTCCTCTGTGAAACTGTGAAGTCTAGTCAAAACAGGAGCCTATCGATATCTTAGTTACTAGCTACCTCTAGATATAGCTCGCCATGCCTAACGAAGAGAATGTAATATGAGAACACTGGCATGAGAGAGACATATTTAGACAAACCAATTAGGTAGCTTTTTGCCCGCAGCAGTACTTTCCATTAGATGTTCGAAAAACTCATCAACTGAGTGACCCATGTTGATAGGCGGTAAATCCCTGGAATGATTATTAGTCGCCCGTATGCGACGAAGCTAAAGAAGCGTCAATTTGAATGTTAAATAAAATTGGTCAATGCTGACATTTTCCAACATCTTCGCCAAGGGCCCGCCTCCTGCGATGGAATCATGAATACTTCCGTAAGCCGACTAAGAGTAGCCATAATTCGCACCTCCATCGCCATTACCAAAGACCAAAAGGGAAGTATCAGAGGATTCCAAGTTCTTATGATTAGTGAGACCCTTCTGAATGTCTCCAACGGAAGCTTGAGCAGTGTAAGTATCAACTGTGACATTGGTAATCAGCTCGATGTGGGAGACGAAAATCGTGTTCTGAACGTACCAGGAGTCATATGACAGAGTACTTGAGTGCCATCTATACCAACCCAGTTGAATGAAGAGTGGGGAAATACATTGCTAGAAGACATTGTGAGCGTAGAGGCAGAGGAATACAGAGAATCTCGTCACATGTTGTTCCTGATGAGCAAGTTTCAGGGAATCAATAACAGTACAGAAAAAGTTTGAGGCGACCGACCAGCTTAACTTCTGAGTAAAGAAGTATTTCATTCCTGCTCCCCGAATTAATTGCGGATATGCTCCCGTTAAACCAAAAGAATCAGGTAACCACGCCGTCTCGCAGCGGATCCCGAAATTCTCCATGAAGAACTTTTGACCAAATACAAACTGTCTCACTAGGGCCTCACCACTCGGCATATTGCTGTCATTTTCAACCCAACTACCCCCGACAGGATGGAATTTACGAGCTAATACTTGCTCCTTTACACGATCGAAGAGGGGAGGATATAGCTCCTTCAGCCACTTGTATTGTTGCGCCTGGGAACAAGAAAAGCGATGCTCGGGATAACGTTCCATGAGGTCAATCTGTGTTGCCCAGGACCTGGCTACTTTTTGCTGGGTGACGCGGTACGGCCAAAGCCACGCCGTATCGATGTGACAACTACAAGTAAATCATTAGTGTCTGAACATTGACTTCCAACCGTAGAAGACATACTGTCCAATCCCCCATATCTGTGCTTGTTTATCCCCCTCGTAGATGGCTTCACCCTTGTCCTGCCAGTTTTCACCGAAAACAGTTTCTGCCAATTTACGACAACGACGGATGTCAGAAGCATCTCCACTCCTGAAAGTGTTCATGATTTCATTCGCCACGACGAGTGCCTTGTTTTGCAGTCTAGACCTCATAAAAAATACCAAACCAAATTGCTTGAACCGTGCAATACGTACGATGAGTTTCCTGGTAATGAGTCTATGATTTCTCGAAGGGTGGAGAAGTCCCAAAGCAGATGCCACGCTTCCTGATTAGGTACGACTAAATCTGCAGATGAAAGAGCAAAATATCTGTTCATCTATACCATTATAGTGAGCAGCAAGATCAAATTAATAACAGGAAGCAAACGATACATCAGGAGGGGCAATGGTGTCTCCATTCCATGGTACGCCGAACATTCCGTTGCAACTAGATTCAATGATAAACTCATGGGTTCCCTTCATTCTTGCCTCGATAGGAATGATATATTCAACACGACGGTCGCCTCCGAAACCACCAGTGATGCCTTGTAAAGGAGTTCCGTCGACATCGTATATCATTGCTTCGCATCCAGGATCAAATTCAACTGTCGACCATACTTGAGCTCCGAACCAACCGTTCTACCATCGAACTCACACTGGACCCGCTCATACTGCTCCCAATATTCCGGAATGGTGACAGAGACCTTCCACCAATGGTTGGTCTGGAATGTTATAAGTATTTTGCTTGTACACGTGTATCTGGAATCCTACCCCTACAATTATTCATCAAATATTGTCCTCGCGGCAACTAAGATCAACACTCACAGGACGGCCCAAAAGAATCACCCTTCTTTGCTGGTTTAAATTTCTGTTCCATAGCCTCCTCAAATGTTGGTTTCGTGAGGCCTGGGGCACTCCACCTACACAAGATTGAGCAGACGAGTCGCCGTAGTAGACCGGTATCCTCACACTTCGAGCTTAACATGCTTTACATTGTCCAGTCGGTGAGTGAAAAGCACAGAGCTGAGATTCACATCAGAGAAGTGACCACCAAGGAATGTTCCAAGCCTATTCTGCGTTAGGCCTTTAATCCATTTTGCGCCGGGACTGTAATTGAGTTCTGAATACTGTCCTGATGAGCTTTCATGGTGATGATGGGAGCTCATTCTTCTTGCAACTTGTACGCTCTTGTACGTTGTCAATGATGAGTGGGGTAATTTAGCAGCTAACGTCAGCACTGTAAGCTTTAGCGCCCGTTACGTACTTACAAGTACCATGTTCTGTTCTAAAACAGTCTTTCGTTGCTTCAAAACTCTCGAGCGATTAGGAGATCGAGTAACAGGTGCTGCTGGTCCTTTTTTTGTTGGACTTGCTGTTATCTTGATATCAGCTGGTACAATATGCTTTTGTAAATTCGAACAATATTTTTCAGCCTTCACAAACTATTGCGTTGACAGTCCTCTCATCCCACAGTTGATGTTGTCATGCCTTCGCTGGCTTACCCATGGCTCGGCGGACCCATCTGCCTCCTGATTGCTTTCAACTTGCTTGTGCATTATTACCTCGTGGTGACAACAAACCCGGGATTCGTGGAAGATTTACCGCGAGTAGCTGGAAAAGGATTTCTGTGGGCAACACCAAGAAATATGTCGAAGGAAAGGCCCTTGACGGAAGGCGTACGATGGTCGACGGAACTCAATGTTACAAAAGCCGAGTTGACCAAATGTAGAAAGTGTGGACAGCAAAAACCAGAGGTGAGTAATCTTCCCTTGTTCGATATCTCAAGCTGACGCTTATATGTGACAACGGAGAGGTCCCATCATTGTCGGATATGCAATCGTTGCGTCCTGAAGTACGATCATCATTGTCCAGTGCGTGTATTATTCTACCACAAGTGCTTATTGTTGTAATTGATTCGACCTTCAGTGTACGCCTTCTTCAATTCCAAATTCAATCCTCATAATCTTTTGACCATATGAAGGGATTAACCAATGCGTCGGTCTCTACAATGAGCGGCATTTCGTTCTCTTCATGTACGCAAAAACTGTTGCTTTCGGTAATCTCTGACCATGCTACAGGGCATACCTCTGTATCTCCACCTTTTGTTTCTGTGTACTGGGATACCCACAGTTTTTTGATGCATTAGGACTAACGTTCAAGGTCAGTTATGCTTTCCTCAATCTCCCATCCGTCTTTAACTCACTGTTAAAGCGAGACCCTTGGCCACATCATGTACCAGTTCTGATGTACATCATCGAATTCATTTTATCCGGCGTACTATGTTTCGCAGTTGGGATCATGCTCATGTTCCACCTATGGACAATAGGCCATGGCGAGACGTCAGTGGAGTCACAGGACAACGAATTTTATAGCCGAATGGCGAAAAACAGAGGCGAGGTACGCAAAATCCCATGTATGTCTGTCCACGGTATGTCGTATGTTAATCTTGTCTATTCCTACAGGCCTTCGTAAATTCCTATGATCTTGGGTATGTGTCTTATGTAAATAATGAAGTATCTGGACAATCGATTCACATCATAATGATCCAGAATATCAAGAAACCTTCAGCTCTTTTTCAATCTCGGACGAGGCGGATAGTGTGTTTGTTTTCATCTTTTACTGTGCTGGTCCTTAACGCGCAATCCAACTTTAGCCCCTTCTACACTTTAGTCTTTCCTTTCCGTATTCTGCCATATACAGATGGGCGTTCATGGGCTCGCCGCGAGGGACTATCGCGCCATCGTGGAATTCGGATGGGAGAAGAACTCACGGACGAGGAAGATCTCTAAAAATAAGTATACATACGTATTGAGTTAATGATGTAGCTGGTCTTCAGATATTAAATTCTACGGAATAAGTACTTGTTAAGGTAAGTTTAATCTACGGTGTAGTCAGCGAGTGAACGGGGCGTCCAATATACTTGAGCTCACTTCAGTTGATGGCAAACCAACTGAGGGACTCGAATACGCCTGGTCTATATGTACTGTACAGTATAATGTAATTGGGGACGGCGTGTACGGATAGAGACGGTCAAAGCTAGTGTATGTATGTACGGAGTATGTGTCCTAACACAGGCATTCCATGTGTCTCGAACGGCGAGCGGTCCCCTATGATGTTAGGTCTGGACATTACCATACATCCGGAATAGATGGTGAAAGCACCAAATTGGGAAGATGGGTAGCAGAGACCGCAACAAAAGCACAGGAAGATACCAAATGCCTTTGCATTTGCATTGGACTTGAAGACTGATTTGGTCTTCTGAAGGAAGGGAAAGCTTTGCATGTCACTCGATCATCGCATCCACCTACTTACACACACCTTTTGATAAAACCGTTACGATGCAACATCTAACTAAGACAGTATCCACAATACATACATTCACCACTATACGATACTTGGCATTACTGGTACTTGGTACATAGTTTTCCCCGCTCTTGGCTCCGAAATGGTGGCCTGCGGCGGTTAAATCAACTCTCTCTCTCTCTCTCTCCAAAATGCTGACAAAGACTCAGGTTGTACGTTCTCAGTTCGGGTGTGTTAGTGACTTACAGTGGGAATCCCGTACATCCAAGTCAGTTGAGCCAGGAGTCTGTAGAATAATATAGGGTGTTTTGTTGTGTGGGTCCCGCAGGGGCCTGCACTTTTGGTCCACACCGATTTCATTGCGACTCGAACATCGACGTACATCTAGAAAATACGAGGTATAGACTCTAGGTGTTTTCAGGCTTGCGGGCCAAGATTGCAAAGAAGGTGGTGTATGCTTCCTTGGAATTTTTCAACTCAACCTCCGTGCCTTGTACAAGGGCCTCATATTCTTCGACAGTGTCTACGGCACCGTAACCTCCTGCTTCAATCACGGGTCCCTTCATACTCATCCAAAGATCGCGCCACATATTACTGCCATAACCTTTCACCTCAGTAATCTTGTGTGGGGTAGCATCCACCTCCCCACCAATCGTCACCCGTCTTGGATCGCACTGAACATTCACAAACCCAGCCTCCTTGAGAATTACCGGGAGATAAACTGAAAGATCTCCGATAACTCCTTTCCCTCCATACAGCGCATTGATCAAGGATGCTAATTTCGTTGAATTCGGTCCAACACTCCAGGTACTGAAATCCTGCGCCTCAATCTCGACCAGCTCAACCCAACCTCCTGGCTTGACAACTCTGAACAACTCGGCGACAGCTGAACGCCAGAGTGTGTCGTTCATTGCAGCGACCAAGAGGCGTTGATGGGCAAAGGAAAACGTGTCAGTCCAGTCAGGATTAGGGAGATTGACGACGGAGTTGACGGAGAAGTGAACTTCGGATGGATGGGTGGAAGGGAATTGTGCTGAAGAGATGTCAATGCATTCGATATCGAGTGTTACGCCTTCTGTACGATTTTTTTCGAAGAACTCGAGGGCCCAGATTCCTATCAGCGAATCAAGTCGCTTGATCATGGACTGGATGAATGATGATAAGCTTACCGCTTCCTGCTGCGCTTTCTAAAACACGGTCTCCAGTGGTGAGGTTTGTCGGTGCCACAAAAAGTTTACCCCCGAACGCATTGACAATCATGTTATGTTGAGTGTTCAACCTGGGATCATCTCTGAAGTCAGTCTCCATGCTCCGATGGTTCCTTATGAGTGCACTGACCTTTGAGTCTCAACATTGTCGGCTGGTAGAAGATACTGCTTTGAAGCGTAATACCTCCCGGTGGGTTGTTCGTTCATTCTGGAGCGGTGCGCGAATTTGTTTTTCCAACTCCAACTCTTTTATACATAACGCGATATCTTTATCAGTGATATCAGATTGACATGAGGATTGTTCCGTTCGCTTGACAGGAAATTTCAGAGAATGTTCTCCTGCAATTTCTCCAGACTTCAGTTCGAAAAAAGAATTGATGCTATGATAGGCGTGCATACAGGATCCGGGTTCCACGTTGAACAATCAGCAGTCTTTACCGGATAAAAAGAGTATATCTCAACATTACTGATCAAGTTCGCCAGCCCAAAAGTTATGAAAGACCCTAAGCAATTCGCTCGATGACTGACACAAACCTTACACAAGCACCTACCTCCTGTACAAACGCTGGAAGCCAGAAGTTTCGTGCGTTGCATGTGTGAAAGTGCCGCAGAGTGCCGCATGTCAAGAGTGCAGGTATGGGATGTAGCTTGATGCAGACCAGTTAGATAGATGGCATTACACAGGATTAATGGAACTTCGAAATTCAAAATCGTCTTCGGCGCTTCAATTTGGCGCGTGTCGGCTTATCTCATCCTCTCCAGGTCCTCTTTCGACTCCGAGAACACTTGAGTTTGATGGGTTCGGGGCCTTTGACTAACCAGTTAGTACAACAAAAGACAAGGGGGTACAGCAGACGGACGTACAATAGAAGTGGTCGGTGGTCTCCTGGGATCAGAGGTCGCTGGGGCTGGAGACCCACGACGACGAAATGGGTTTCTATAGCATCAGATAGCCATGCTCCTGAGGAACAAATCGTTGGTTCCTACAAGCTGACTTGTATGTGTGCTTCTTGTTTATCCTTTTCTTTTGAAGCGCGAAATGATGGTCCTTTCTCCTTCCCAGAACTCGCTTGTAGCCGCTCATTCGATGATATCTTCCGATTAAGTACTTACTGGACTCTCTCCCTCCAAAGATGTGAGCTGCTGCAGTAGCATTAGGAACTGAGGTAGACAATCGAAGTGAGTGGCGCTCTCGTCTGAGAACCTCTAATGTTCTCTAGACACTGCGACAAAATTTTGAGCCATTCATAGCCATTCATCTGACACCTCCTCCCGCACATACACCATCTGCGCACTATGCATGAATGTAACGGACAAGTAGGAGCGAAGATGTTCTAGCAATCTGTGTGTTTTGTTTCTATAAAACTTTTGACGCTCTGTTCAATCTTTCGCCTCAGGACTTCAGACTTCAGGCTCGTGACTAGTCATAAGGGAAGAGCCTGGAGGATTATTGGCAATCAAATTCTTCGTCAACGCGTCGGATACACGTATAAATCCAAAGCAGAATAGGATGAAGCTTTCTTACGGAAACTAGGAGAGCTTTTGATTTCGGGATTCTGGATGAAGACGGGTAGGGAAATAGCGGAGATTCTATTGTGTATCGTTGATTTACCTACGTTCATACCTCTGGGATATACCGAGGAGATTGCCACGCGACTCTCCATACACACATACCTAATGAATCAAATGCGAGTTCGCGTTTCAACTTTTTTCCCTTCGCTCACCCTTCTTCGTTGTGGTCGAAGAGAGAGATTCTTACTTTCTTCTATTAAACAAAGCTTGCCTGGGCGTAATTTTTCCAATACTCACAACCTCTCCCAGGCCATGGCGCGACGCTTTTCAACAGACTTTCAACGCGATGTATGTCTTTTACCTTTGACCTCGACTATTCTTTTGAATTTCTTTCCCCTCGCATGCTTTTGTAACACAGGCCTCGGAGCATAACACTTTTGTACAGGGCCTGGGCAGCATTGGCACCGACTCAGGCCAAGTGATTACTGGTGGACGAGCAGGAGTTCTACGGAAGCCAAATATTCCAGCGTCGACACCGATACAAACCCCGACACGGAGCTCTAGCTCACCGAAACAACATCGTCCTCTTCAAGACAATGCTCCGGGTCCCGTGCGCCAGCAAAGATTCTCCGTGAGTGGATTTATATGTACATTCAATCTGAGCTTACGCATGCTTGAAATAGAATGAGTATAGACCGTATTCTTTCACGTCAAACAAACATAAGGATAAAAGAAAAGTACATATCTGTTTCCGCTTTATCGAATCTGTTACATTCCTCTCGCATACTCTGCTGCGTTCTCGTCTGATTTCTCTATCGTGTAACACATGTTGATCTTTCTTGATGTCCAACTCACTCAACCTCTTGCTTAGTCCTCTTACTTGGAACGAAATACATCGGTATCAACTCATTTAGACAAATGGAGAACGGAAATTCCAACCAGACCTACGACTCAAGTACCCATCCTTCCGATCATTCGTATTACAACTGGCCCCGCGTCAGCGTCAGCAGTGTCGCAGAATTCGACAAGAATTTTTTCGGTATGTGCAGACTCGGATGTCTTTCGCACCTTATACTTATCATGCTTTATACATAGAGTGGTCGTACCCCTTTCGAGGCCGCTATGGAAAAACTCATGGACCCTGACGAAGCGACTGCATCGGTAGCAAGCAGCAAGAGAGCTATTTCGGATAATTGGAGACTAGGAATTTCAACGAAGCCAACAACCCAAGTACCTATTCCTCCCATCATTCGTATCACAACTGGGCCTGCAGCCTCTGAAGCGCCGCGGAATTCGACGAGGGGCTACTCTGTATGTCCAGACTTCGATGTCTTTTCCAGCTCTTGCTCATAGGTACTTTATATACTATAGAGCGGTCTCAGTCCTTTCAAAGCCGCTATGGACAAGTTGAGGAACCCAGATAAGGTATACTTACGATTTATAACCAGAATGCTTTGGCCTTTCTAGCTCTTTGTCTGCCGTGAATTTCCACTACGTCCTTCCCCAGCAGATCCTATCTCTTCCTTGACTCGCTACCTTGGGCCGTTGTTGAATATCCGTTTGTATTTAGGCCGCCCAAAATGCACAGATGGCACCTCCACATTGCAACAGCTCACAACTTGCTCACCCACCTTCTCCCAATGAGGTACGTTTTGTCTCTGTTATCGATGATTATGTACATACACGCATATCTAGCCCATTCAAACCACACAAAGGGAGTGTTTATTCCAACGAAATTCGCAAAATGATTACCCGTCTTCACTTAACGATGTACGTTCTTGTTGTTCATAGCCACATAGATTGGACACACAGACTAATAACCGTGTTTGTAGATGAAGCTCATGCTGAGAATACGAGACACAGTCTGTGCCTTCCCGCACATCAACGACATCCCCCACAGCCTTGATGATATGCGCAAGTTCAAGTTCACGATCGCAAAAGGTTCGGATATCTACGGACATCTAAAAATGGCTGTAAGTCTTTTGCCTTACCTTCAACATCAACATTGATTTTACTCCTTCATTCTACTAGATGCCCTATCGAGACTGGTACGTCGCTCAAAGTAATACCTGCTTATTGACCAAACAATATATATACATATGTATAGGTCCTCCGAGGGTATTTTCTATTTCCCGGGCTGTGTGCATCAATTCACGACGAATGCTCAGCACTTTCTGGCGTTCGGGCCACATCCTCAACAAATTCCCTCCAGCGATCTTCAGCAGTCCAGATATGCCTCTTCCTCATTCGCAGCTATTAACCATGTCATTCGCTCCCGATTTCAGCATCTCTACGGAACCATATGCGAACTTTTCGTTAACCGGCCAAATGGGTATTTTTGTTATGCTGGGACGTACAAGATGTATGCTTTGGACTATTTAATGCCGAATGGGATTGATATACCGGATTATGTGGTTAGTTATTTCAGACTTTTTATGTACATCTATAATTTTCACTCGGAACCCTCTCTTTGCCAGTCATTATTCAGTATAGCTCATGCTGCTACTCCACCATCCCAGCCGCGAGTGTTTCCAAACACCATTGAACTTGAGGCATTGTACAAGACTGGTGTTCTGAAGGTGGAATGTGCTGCACTGCAACTAGTTGGCTTTGACGAGTCAATTTATCGAGCAGTTAAGAGGGTACAGATGGCGAAAGTACCCCCAAAGCCTGCGAAATACTTGTAGAAACTTGTAGCTGCTATATAACTTGATGAGTGCTCACCATTTACAAGGGTCTTGAGAAAGGTTGAAGCTTGAAATTCGACGAATGAGGGTGCTCGGTGCTTCAATCGGGACATCCCTATTCCGGACTGAAAACTCCTTGTCACTGTTTGACTCCTTCTAGTACTTCGTAAGTTGTGCTACGAATGGTGAGGGAGGATAGGGGATCGGATCTATATCACGATCCGGGGAAATGCTACAGAGATATGAACTGGTAATGGTATGACTGTTGCGGTTAGGTTCATCTTTGTCCGAAAGTAAGTTTGAACTTTCTGAGCCTGTCTGAGCCAGATGCTCTCCAGGTCCACGGAAGATAAAGATCTGTGTCAATGCTGTCCTTTAACCTGCCTGCAACAGCCTGCAACCCTCCCTAGATGGTTTTGCACCTTTCTGCCATCAGACCAGCTCAAGAATTATACCATAATGACCCCCAGATTATTAAGCATCAGTGCGCGCTGAAATGGCTCTGTTTACCATGTACGTCGAACTGGCCGTTGTCTGGTTCGGGGACGGAATTTTTTGAGGCTTTTTACTTCGTTTTCATTACTCCCACTCGCTGGTCGGTGGCTCCTTCGACGGTGCTGGCACCAAAAATCCATTGTCTGCCTCATAAAAGTTTGTCTATCCTTGTCTTCTTTGACTTCTGTGTCTGGTTCTAATCTGTTCTAATGCCAACTAAACGACCAATCAGTTCAACACAGTTCTTTCAAGCATGCTCGGTTGTGCTCAGAACTCATATCTTATTTTTTTCTTTAGTCTTCTCCTACTGTCGGTGGCTGCGCCACTCGTGAGTGTGAACAACTTGAATTGAAAGCTATGCCTCACAATCTCCTAGAAACCAGTCGACGTGGACATCCGTAACCTCAACTCGCGAGTACTCAATTCCCAAGGCCCAAAAAAGGTCTTCTGGCACGCGAAAGTGACCTTTATCCCTAATCACAAGACAAGTTCACAACATCGACTACCACAGAAACCACAGAAAGTCAAAAATGCGATTCATATGTTCTTAAAAATTGTGCTGCCTGGATTAGACAAATCCGAAAGTGTATCTTCCATTCGTATCAAAGCGTCGGACTGGGAGGGGGTCCCTGATCCCAGTGAGACCGCGATTCAGTCCGAAACGGCGAAGGGGGGAGCTCATCCTAATGCAAAGGGAGGAGCACGATATCGTTATGAACAAGAGTTTTGGATTATGCTGCCTCCCATTGAACAGGAGCACGAGGAGAAGCATTATTTAGGTACAATTTCTTGGGACAGTGATGAACGGAGGATTTCCGGTGATATACGCGATGCGGATGACAATACGAAGGTTTTGGTAGAGGTTAAAGATGGTGTCTTGAGTGGGCCTAAGGTTCGTGCTTAGAGCCAATGCATTCATATTTCTTGCTAGACTTCAAAAGCTAACAAAATATCAGCACCTGGTCTCTTTACTCAACAAGAAAGATAAATCCGGACCATAAATGTTAGCTGAAGCTACGAGAGCTTGCTCCGGCTAGCGTAAGTGTTAGATAAGGCAATGGGAGTAGGAGTTATATCATTTCAAAGTTGGGTAGAAACTCTAGTTCAGACGGCCCGGCAGCGACGAGTGGTTACCAAACTTGTGTGCGCGTCAATTAGTCTCTTGCTCTTCGCATCCATCTCAGTACACAAGAATTCACTCGTTCTTTCTCTTATCACTAAGCATTCGTTTTTTGGCTTTATTCATATATCTTCAATGGTCAACATACTCCCTAACGCAGGAATACCGCCACCTATACCAGATAATTTTGATTTTCAGGCGCATTTAGTTATCCCACCTTTTTTGGATACCACAGGACATTCCCTTCGTATTCGTAACGCTCACAATTGCATCGCTGAAACGCACAATGAGGATAGCATGTCAGCCACCGCGAATTGTTGGAATAACAGAACAGTTTTTCCGGACATTGGTCCTCCTCTGTTAGCTCTCTATCCTTACTCGAATGAAGAGCTCGCGTTATTAGCTTCCAATCCTGCAATATGCGATCGAGTAGGACCACTTCCTACCTTCATTTTGATGCAGCTAGAGCGGTTCAAACTTCAGAAGGATTCAAGCCGAATTGGGACGGCAACCAAGGAAACTACAAAATCACTTCCAGTCGCAGGGTCTTTGATCCATTCAAACCCGGTCGAACGCGTTTCTGGTCAACAGCCTAGGACAATCATCCCGGATGTCTTTCTTTACTCCATTCGTCACAAGTTTTACCTCCCAGTCAATTGGTTCACCCATGATCGTCTTAAATTGGCTCAACACAGGCTTCACGATCTCCATACAAAAGTCCACAGAACGGAACCGACGTCCGAGGGCTCTTTGGCAGAGGCGCCGAAGGTGATTGTCTTTGACATGCTCAAGATGATGACACTGTGGGGCAACGACGACGATCATACGTGTGTGTCACCCATGCAGTGGCAAAAGTGTATGGAAAATTACTTGTCAGCTCTAGTAATCCTGTCACCTATTCCTGTAATGCAACTCGACCTCTCTGTTCTTCCTATCATATCGTACGCAGAAGAATTTCGAAAACACGTTGATTTCTTCAAAAACTATCCAGATTTCGAGGCATCATATCCTATCTGGTATAATTTCGAGCGAAAATCACGAAATGAGATTTTGGAAGGTACTCTTTTTAGTCAGGAATACTACGTCCAGAACCTCGTGATTCTTTCGCAGATAAAACTCCTTGCACATTCGTTATCCTCGTCATCTTCCAATAAGCGGCCTTTAGAGTCAGACTCACAAGGGAGAGGAGCAACGAAAGCCCCTCGTACTATCTCAAATGATTCTCCACGTTCCTTTCGGGCTGCAGACTCGCCGAATCGCTCTTCCACCCCAACGTGTCTCATTTGCGCGTCGTCACATCTACTCCGCTCCCATCCAATCACCGCCGTCACTTTCAGTGATGGAAAACCGTTTTATTCAGTCTACCAGGATGGCGAGCTCCGGACTACCAAGCCCCTGGGCAGCTCAAAAGAATCAAAACGCATCTGTATTGCCTACAACCTTGCCAATGGCTGTCAGTACCAGCACGAGGATGGGCGGCTCCATACCTGTAGCCTCTGTGGACGAGAACATGCTGCTCTCTCTCGTAGTGCCGGATGTCTCCGCGTTGTCGACGGTGTCATACGCGCGTGATTCTGCAATATCTGATCCAAGATTCCTGTTGTATAAAGATTTTTCATCTACTATCTTACATCGCACTCCTTTCTCCGACGCTACACCCCTCGAAATAGAGATCTACAATCGTATAATCACACCTTATAATGCTGAGGCCTTTGCCAAACTTCTAGCAGAATGTGGTCTATCTGAAAAGTATCCCCTTCTGGTCAATAATCTTATATCTGGTTTTCCAATTGGTGACATGCCTCCCCTCACAGAAACAGTTATCATCCCAAATCACCCCTCCATCATAGAACATCTTGAATCCGTTTATGATTACATTAATACAGAACTAGAGGCTAAAAGAATGTCTGGACCATTCACCCAGGCAGAAGCGGAGCACATACTCGGGGGACCTTTTTATTGTTCTCCGTTCGTTGTAGTGAAACAGGACCAGGGTCCAGATCTACCACCGAAAGTGCGCATTTGCCGCCACCTTTCCAAAGATGCACAGAATATGGGTTCGGTAAATAGTTTTGTGGACAAGGAAGACTTTCCGACACGCTTTGATATGCCTTCTCATGTGGCCGATGCGGTGAGTCTCTCCTTCATTTTTGATCCATATCATCCATTACATCCCATATCCCACATTATACATCATAATATCAATATCCCTATCTCGATATGGCTAGGATTATCTCTATCCTGTTATCTCTATCTCCCCATATCCCATATCACTTCGCACATCTAACACAGTTATAATATCTGGTATCAATAGATCACATCATCTCCAGAGGGCACCCAGGCCTGTGCTTTCGATATCAAAGCTTTCCATCGTACTTGCCCAGTCATCCCGGCTCACAAACCATACCTGGTCGTATGTGTGGAAGGGAAGTACTATATTGATCATTGTCACCCATTTGGATTACGACCGGCAAGCAGTAATTCAGGCCAGATAGCAAATGCAACCGTGGATATCTGGCAATCCTTAGGCCATGGCGAGATGGAGCCATTCAAATATGAAGATGATATGACGGTCTTGCGTTTTCATGATCCACTTGGTCGTTTCGCGGAAGAACCATACAGCTATTCATTCAATCGGGATGAATGTATGGCCCTCATCGCAGAGTTGGGTATACCATGGCACCCAACCAAGACCGGGCTTCGTTTTGCATTCGATATGGTTTTCCTTGGTTTCTTTTGGGATCTTATTTCCCATCGTGTTTCTTTGCCAGAGCCAAAACGGTTCAAGTTTCTCGCAAGAGTGGTGGCACTTCTGGATAAAATTGAGAGGCACGAAGGTCTTTCTCTTCTAGATATCCAAATCATCCATGGTTCCCTGGTGCACGTATGCTTTGTCTACGTTGCTGGATCTTCGTATCTTCCATCTATCTCAAATTTCATGTCTCAATTTCTCAACAACGGTTTTATCACCCGTCGTGCATCAGGGTCTTTGATAAGCACTCTGAAATGGTGGAAAAACCAGCTATCAATACCCAAATTCTTCCGTCAACTGCATCCTTTGCAGCCACTCCAGGATCTACACATATTCGTTGATGCTTCTACTTCATGGGGCATTGGCATCATTATCGGGACCCAGTGGTATGCTTTCGGTCTTCTACCAGCATGGAAGGTACCAGGCCGGGACATAGGTTGGCTCGAGGCCATTGCCCTAGAGCTTCTCATGTATTTCATCGTTCAACTTGGTTACCGCAATATCCATCTCCTTATGCACTCCGACAATACAGGCGCTATTGGAGCACATGAAAAAGGCCGCAGCCGGAATATCGCTACAAACCTTTGCGTTCGTCGTACTTATCTTATATCTGCAGAACATCTTATCATTCCGAAATTTGTATATATTCCATCGGCTGAAAATCCGGCGGATCCAATATCACGGGGTGTACTAGGCGTGGCATCTTTCCATCTTACCAGATCTTTTTCGTTGCCTGCAGAACTATCTTCCTTATTGTATGAACCTATCCATTAATGTCATCTCCATTTCTGTGTATCTACAATGCACCTATAAGGATGGCCGTTAACGGCAATGATCCTACAATTCAAACTCTCTCGAACCGCAGTACTGGAAAATTAGTCGATCCAAATGCATTGATGGAGTCCGACCTTGGAATCAGGATTAAAATCACACCTTCACCCATCCTCCATGTGGTAAATGCAGATACCAATAGTTTCCAGCCCTTCCCGATCCCAATACATCTTCTCGATATTCGGGCTACAGCAGCACTTTCTCTGCCCAAGAAAAAGGCACGACGCCCAGGACCATCCAACACATTGGCCCCCAGCATATATCGCCCAGTTAATGTTCCTGCAGATCGTCGAGTCTTACTATGGACTACACCATATTCATTACATATGCAATCAAATTGCAATATCGAAATTTCGCCTCGTCTACAAATCAAGATGTTTGAAGGTCTCTTGACAGCTACAACACATGACACTAGACAGTCTTATGGGGCAGGACTACTTCGTTTCAATCAATTCTGTGATGCAGAATTAATCCCGGAGGGGGCAAGAATGCCCGCTTCAGCTATACTTTTGGGTGCATTTGTTGCAGAATTTATGGGGACATGTACCGGTTTGTGCATCCAGAATTGGCTGAGTGGACTTCGATTATGGCACCTATACAACAACGCAGCATGGCATGGTCAGGAGGGATGGCTCCCATCATTGAAGAAAGCCGCAGAACGGAAGGGCGCAGTTTTTAAACGCGCTCAACGGGGACCAATCGAGCGTCACCATCTTCTCGCTCTCCATTCACATCTTGACCTCTCAACACCTCACGGCGCTTCCACATGGGCGATAGCAACTACAGCATACTGGGGTTGCCGTAGATTGGGTGAAATTATCCCAAAATCAGCAACTAAGGTCACGCCGGAGCATGACATTTTCCGTTCAACTCGAATCACACGCTCAGTAGTAGGGGGACGACGAACTATCTCTTTCCATCTACCATGGACAAAGACCACCAGGGAAAAGGGGGGTGAATGTTTTCTCACTGAAATTCCGGGTGATCCATTATGTCCAGTCGCGGCAGTAGAAAATCATCTAAAGGTCAACCATTCACCTCCTCCAAATACTCCATTTTTTGCATTCAGAGAAGGTTCATCGTGGACTATCTGGGTCAAATCGGCATTTATTGCTTGGTTTACCGGCATCTTCAGACTGCATAATCTCGAGGAGGTCTTTGGACATAGTTTCCGTATTGGTGGATCTTTGGCATACCTATTGCTTGGGGTACCTCCAGAGGTCATCATGAAGATTGGAGGCTGGACGTCATTATGTTTCCTTATATACTGGAGAAGGCTGGAGAAGGTTATTCCATTAGCAGTGGCTCAAGCAATGCAGTCGGAATCACGTATGAGGGCATTCGCATCATCATACAATTTGCCATTCACTACAGAAGATCTAGAATTTGACCTATCTTAAATATCATCTCACTTTGCCCATGCTCTGTTGGGGTTTTCGGGTGGACCGGTCAATTTTCACATTCACCCTCAGCGAGCGGTGCTCTGGGAGCTTGGCTCCGTGTGGTATGTTTGGGTTCATGTGATATCTCTCCTTCACACCCTTGCACTCCTTGCGTACTGGATTCGACGTCGATGGCCTGCTACGTATTGGTTTTGGATTTCCTTTCCAAACCAATATCTGTCCGTGCCCCGCTTCGCGGGACGTCTTTTCCCCCGCAAACTACACGATATCATGGACTGACATTGGGTTATTACAGAATACATTTGACCTTTCCCTCTATACGCGTACAAAAGGATATTATCGGCCCATTGCCTTATCGACCAGAAACAACCCCTCCCCAATTCACGCATAGATGGACTGTCATCACCTATCACCTGGTCCCTAAAAGTAGATGAATATGAATTTCAATTGTCATAATCACTTTTGATAGCAAGTATGGAGCTTGCAACTAAATAGGGTTCTGAAGGGTCAAACAACCCTTACTTTCAATGGCTCAAGATCACCACTGTACTCCGCTAAACAGAAACATTCCACATTACTTATGTTTGACTGGGTTTGGGAAGCAAGTTCTCTCAATGTCATTTATTTCTAAAGTGACCTTCAACAGCATGCTTGTGCAACTAATCATATACATGCCATGACATGGGGATATAACAGAGAACATGGCCTTGAGCCTCGTAAGTGGATATGCAAGATGGATGCGTGTGCAGTAAAAATGCGGAAGTAAGCCTTGAGCCTACAGGTATGACGAGGGAATCCTAAATCGATACAGTGGTGTTTGAAGAAGATTGAATGGACAGCTCCAGAAATAGGACATGAGACAGATAAACAGCAGCAGAAGATGGTGAATGTGTAGACGAACAGATGAATGTGAGTAAACAGACAGTTGAAGAGGAGTATGTGTCATATGCATGGAAGATGTGACATGGTCCCGGTTGATACGAGTGGCCTTGAGCCATAGATAACAGAAGTTATAGTTCACCTAGTTGACTGCAACAGAAAGAAAAGTAGAACATAATGAAGAACAACGCCAAGATACGGTGGGGAGTTGAAGTTGTTTCACCGCTTTTTCCTATTGGGCAATCTTTTGATTTGCCGATTGGAATCTGAAGGAGCTGCACCGATAGTGAATAAACTTCCACCTGAAGATGGAGGCGCAGGAGCACCAAATCCTGAACCAGAAGTTGGGGGACCAAAAGAATTGGAGGTCATCACACCAAACCCAGACGACGGTATTCCTGCACTTGGTGTAGCAGGAGATGCTGGCTGAGACCCGAATGAAAATGGATTTGCACTACTCGAGCCTGTATTAGGTGTGGAACCAAATGAAAACGACGAAGACGGGCCAAACGTAGAAGGACTGTTAGGAGTAGAGCCACCTTGAACTGCACTGAACGGATTTGAGTGGGCGGAATTGTTCGAAGGAGCTCCAAAAGAGAAGGTGGGCCCAGGCCCTGTACTTGTACCTGAAGAGGCAGGAGTTCCGAATGAGAAGGAACCTGTCGTAGATGGTCTTGGTGGTTCGTTTTCGGGTGTGCGACCGAATGAAAAGGACGAGGACGTAGCGTTGCCACCCTGAGTTGTGCTCGTACCAAATGGTTTGGTCTCTACTGGCTTGCTACTGAAGGGATTGAGGGTATCTGATGATTGCCCAAAAGGAAACCCACTTGAGACAGGAGCAGCATTACTTTGACCAAACAAGGACGAAGTGGTCGAGGTTACTGGAGCAGAGCTGAATGGAAATCCACCCAACGAGGGCCGGGTCTCAGCCGGCTTGTTCACCTGGACATCCCTAGTAGGACTTTCCTCCATACTCACCTCACGGTCTTGGTTTGGAGGCGTGACAGGGCGAGCAGGAGTGACACCAAAGGTGAAAGGGGCTGAAGATGTGACATTCGTACTGCTCACACCACTTCCGAATGTGAAAGGTGATTTGGTGGACCCAACTCCAGCGGACGTGGAAGGTGCAGAAGAAGAACCAAACGTAAATCCAGTTGCTTCACTGCTATTACTCATACCAGCAGAATCGCCACCAAAAAGAGCTTTAGGTGGCTCGGGCGTTTCGGACGTAGGGGCTGCGAAAGAAAAGGGACTACTCAGACTGACATTACTAGCTCCAAATGTGGGTTTGCCTGCTTCTGTTGTACCAGACCGTGATCCGAACGAGAGCGTGGAAGGCGTCCCGTGGGAGTCTGTACTACTTTCAGAGGTCTTTCCAAAGGCAAAATTGGATAGGCCTGTAGTTTTTGCGTTATCACCGGAGGAGCCAGAGAGGGACGGGTTGTCGAGTTTAATGGTTTCCTTAGAAGCCCCGAAAAGAGACACAGTGGGTTTTGTGGTACCGTTGGAGGCGCCGTGAAGAAAAGTATTCGAAGAGTTGGCATCTCCGTGAGCACTGTGAGAAGTGCCGAAGATACTCGTAGGAGTTAAATCTGATGGCGGAGCCCCGAATGAAAAGGGGGTTGCGTTAAGGACGGTGCTACCCGTTGCTGCAGCTGACGTGGCAGTAGTAGCGAGTGTGCCAAAAGAGAACTGCGCGTTTGATACGGAGCTGGTGGTGTTCCCGACTGGCCCGCCAAACGAAACAGAGGATGACTGAGACGTAGCTTGTGGCGGAGGAATTACCGGAGGACCGAAAGATAACGGTAAAGGCTGGCTTTCGTCCTTTTTGGATCTGTCTATTACTGGGGCCGAGAATGAGGCTAAGGCAGGAGTACTTTCCCCTCCAGAACTAAAAGAAAATGATGGCGGAGAAGTGATGGCAAGAACATCAAACAAGCTAGATGCAGCTTCCGGTCCTTTTCGATCTTCGTTAGAAGGTGGAGGTACAAGTTCTTTGGCAACGGAGACAGTAGTCGGCGCAAAAGCGAATGCAGAGCGCAAGCCTGATGCAGAAGGCATTTGTGAAGTGGCAGGAGATGCGGAAATCTGTGGAGCAAGAGTCTTGCTCGTTGCAAAAAAGTTCGGCACTTTGACAGCAGCGTCAGCCATCACGGTAGAGTTCGACGCACCGCCATTATCCTCTATAGGGCAGGAAGGGCCAAGAGACGCGCCGTATGGAGACCCTGCAGAGGGACTGGACCCAAGATCAATTTCACCGGACAAAGTCTGCGCTGAAGGTGCAGGCGAAGCAGCAGAACTGGTGAGGGAAAATGGCAACATTGATATCGGAGGTTCCTTGGCAGCCGCGGCGGGTTGCATAGGAGGGAGCTGAGACAGCCAGTTAGGAAGACCAGGTTCGACAAACAAGCAAGCAACATACCTCCTTCGCAAAACTAAAACCCGGAGGTATTTCGAATGTAGGAACCTTTTTCGCCGCTTCTGTGAGCATTTCGAGGTCCTTCTTGGAGTCATCGCCGACCTTATCATCCTCATCCTCGTATGATGCAGAGAATTTCTTTATTGGTCTACTGAGGTGCGAGCGTGCGGCTCGACCTACTCGAAGCGACGACTGTTGAGCAGGTGAGGTACTTGGGGGGAATGCAGCCACATTGAAGGTATCTTTCTCTTTTGGAGGAGGTACTGGAAGTTCTGGAACGATTGCTTCCTTCGGACTGGACACCGCCGCTTGCTCAGGAATAGAAACCTCATTTGAGGCAGACTTTCCTTTTACGTCATGATTAGGTGCTTTTACTTTGGCCAATCGCTTCTTTATGCCAGTAGTTCCGGCATAAGGTTTGGTTTCATTGGTTTCTTTACTTCTACCTTTGCCTTTAGTTTTCTTGTCTCGTTTAGTTGGACGATCATGATCTCCCATCAAGACAAGGGTGTGTTTTCGGGCAAACATATCTGTAATGTTGGAGGACGATGCCGATGCGCCGAGACTGGATGGCATTCTGGACCTGATTCGGGTCGGAACTAGAGGCGTTTTGTAAAACTCTAATTCATGTAAAGTTCTTTCAGCTGCGATGGCTTGAGGATTAACTGCAAAGTCGAAGATAATTTGTGTTGTGCTTGTACATAGAAAGATAAGACTCACCAGTAGGCTTTGCGGAGCCAAACAACAAGCTCCGCTGTCGACTGGGAGATCTTGCCTGTTGAAAACCTGATAAGAGAATAGATAGCCAGTGAACGACGAGTTAGACATACATTGCGTTGCGAATCCACAAGTGTTCCCAAAGTCGAAACTGGCTGAGTTTGCGGCTCCGAAACTTGGCTTGGGCCACGGACAAAGATAGGATTGGAGTGAAGTGCAGTCACGGGCGGCGGTTCGGAAACGTCGCGATTTGGCTGTCGACCCATAGAGTGATGCGGTTGTGGGGTCAATGATTCGCGCAAGCGAAAGTGGTGAGCCGTCAAGGGTGGCATAGAATCGCGAGAACCCGCCCTCGTACTGAGGCTGCGTTCAACGGGAATGGAGGAGAACGATTTCATAGATATATCGCGAGATAAAGGTCGGGATTGATTGGAAGGAATAGAGTCTATAGACATGTTCCGGGAAAAGGTGTTTCGCAGAGGAGAGACGGTGGAGCGAGCATTATGGACGGTAGAATCTGGTAAGGTAGTGAATGATAAAGATATCGATGCCGAACGACTGGGAGGATTATTGGATAAGTTATTATTATGGTCCAGATGAAAAGCAGAGCCAGGTGGATCAAGGTAACCAGCAGAGCGTGGTGATGAAGGCGGGTCCGGACTTTGGACTCGCATACGCTTGGCAGGAGCGGGTCCGTCCTCGACAATGTCATTGTTATCAACATCCTCATTGTAGACCAACCTTCGCTTCCCAGATAGATCACTCGGGTCGTCGAAGTCATTGGCGGACCCGGAAAAAAGTCTGGCGAATGGCGCGGCCACAAAATTTTTGATGCTCCCCAGCAAAGATGAATTAGAGCGGACTATAGAGCGCCTCTGGGCCTGACCCTGTCTGAAGCGCTCATAGGTGCTCGTGTTGGACATTGGAATCATCGTGAAGCCGGAGAGTATCACTTCACCGAAGCAGTAACCTTGGGAGTTGGTGAACAACAAACGTCCGTCGCGTCACGGTGACGACTGTGACTACGTGACAATTTCTTTCACGTGCCACGAGTATAAGGTCACTTCGATGAGTAAGATCTTCCATTAAGGACCTTCATCTCTCTTATCATGTCACACAAACGGCCTGCTGAAGGTACGTTGCGCCAATCTCTTATATGACTATGCTTTACCAAATTTTGTTTCAGGGTCCTCGCGCTCTCAACCTTCAAAACGGCCAAAGAGAGCCGCAAATCGGGATGAATATTTCGAAATTCAAGACGAAGACGATGTAATACCTCCTTCACCACCCGACGACAATTCCCTCATCCCTCGAAATGCCACGATCAACTTCAGCGCTCTCACACGCAAGCTAGCAGAAGCAAAACGTGCAGAAGACTTTGCAACATCAGATAAGTCGCCATTAGAGATTCATCGACTGCAGCAAAGCAATCTTGTCTCGCACATTTTCATGGACCAAGATTTCTCTTTCATGCACCTTAAACCCGACCATGCATCTCGCCCACTCTGGATTAGTCCAGATGACGGTCTCATCATCCTCGAAGCCTTTTCTCCCATTGCTGAACAAGCCCAAGATTTCTTGACAGCGATTAGCGAACCTGTCAGTAGGTGCGTTCTGATCACGAATTGCCGTTCATTCTCTAGGTACATATTCCTTATATCGCAGACCGGCCTTTATTCATGAGTACAAACTTACCTCCTACTCTCTGTACGCCGCCGTATCCGTTGGCCTTCAAACGGAAGATATAATTGAAGTCCGTGCGCTTTCGCACTCTGCTCACTCATGTGCTAACGTATGTTACCAAGGTTCTCAACCGTCTGTCTAAGGTATGCAATGTTCGCGAAATTGTGTTTGATTGTGTTCGAATCGCTTGGCAAGGTCCCTGTTCCCGACCCCATCATATCACATATACGGAAATGCACTGAGACCTATGGCAAAGTCAAGCTTGTCCTAAAACATAACAAGTACTTTGTTGAGTCTAGTCATCCGGACATCCTACAAAAGTTGCTGCGCGATGCTGTGATCCAGGACGCGCGTGTAATATCCGTTCAGACTGACAATAGTATCAAGGGTAATACCTTCACCACGTCCAAGGCCCCAGTGAAAGGCAACCTGGTAATTCCAGGGACGAACAAAGAGGTTGACAAGAGTAACGACGGTGTAGCCAAAGGGAAACGTGATAATGCGGATCTCTTCACTTCGGTTGTTGGTGTCGAAGGAGGTGCGTTGTCTCTTCTTGGTTGTTCAAACTTTACTAATGAACGTCTTTAGATGAAATTGACGAGGACGATGATAACGTACACTCATTTGAGATTAATGACGCCAAAATTGACGTACGTCCATCCACCTGAAATCGAGAGTATATCGTCAACACGCTTTACAGGACGTCAAGAAGAGGTGTAACGAGCTCAACAGTCCCATGTTAGAAGAATACGACTTCAGAAACGATACCATCAATGCCAATTTAGACATCGACCTGAAACCGGCCACTGTTATTCGACCATATCAGGAGACCAGTTTGAGCAAAATGTTTGGAAATGGGTACGACATATCTTCTTCCTTGTGTAGCCCATCCTTAGTTACATCATATCAACAGTCGTGCTCGTTCTGGAATTATCGTCCTTCCATGCGGTGCGGGAAAGACTTTGGTCGGGATTACCGCCGCATGCACAATCAAGAAATCCTGTCTAGTACTCTGCACCTCATCGTAAGTCCATAATCTTCCTCTATACGCCATACGTTATCAATCTTCTCTCTAGTGTCTCCGTCTATCAATGGAGAGCCCAGTTCCTGCAATGGTCAAACATCACCGACCGCCAAGTAGCTGTCTTCACCGCCGACCAAAAAGAGAAATTCGCCGGCGAAAGTGGTATCGTCGTCTCTACATACTCCATGGTGGCTAACACCCACAACCGATCCCACGAGTCAAAGAAGATGATGGAGTTTTTGACCTCGAGAGAGTGGGGGTTCTTGCTGTTGGACGAGGTACATGTCGTTCCTGCGGCGATGTTCCGTCGAGTGGTGACTACTATCAAGGCGCATTCGAAGCTTGGGCTTACGGGTGAGTCGTATGGGACATATTTCCGGTAAGGTTCTGATGAGTCGTCTTTTTAAAGCGACATTGGTTCGTGAAGATGACAAAATCGCGGATTTGAACTACATGATCGGGCCTAAGCTTTACGAAGCGAATTGGATGTATGGTTGACCTACCCCAATCTCCTACTTTCACTCAATCTACTTATCAGGGATCTTGCTGCCAAAGGCCACATTGCGAACGTCCAGGTAAAGTCCGATTAAATCTTGATGGTGGTCTATCTTACCCTTTCTAGTGCGCCGAGGTTTGGTGTAGTATGACGCCGGAATTCTACCACGAATATCTGCGCGAACAGTCTCGGAAACGTGCCTTACTGTACTGCATGAACCCAAATAAATTTCAAGCATGTCAATATCTAATTAACTATCACGAAGAACGAGGGGATAAGATCATTGTTTTTTCGGATAACGTGTTTGCTTTGGAGGTGTCTTGGTTTTTAGTACAGCGTTTGAGATTTACTGACGATCCACCCTTTTGCTGTAGGCATATGCGAAAAAGTTGGGAAAACCTTACATCCACGGAGGTACGGGGCAGACGGAACGCATGCGAGTTTTACAGCACTTCCAGCACGATCCAGCCGTCAGCACAATATTTTTATCAAAGGTAGAATTTCGACGTTCTTCCGCTGAAAGTTAAATTTACTGAATTTGGCCAGGTCGGAGATACCTCTATCGACTTACCAGAAGCGACATGCCTCATCCAAATTTCGTCCCACTTTGGTTCTCGACGACAGGAAGCCCAACGTTTAGGTCGTATTCTTCGAGCCAAACGTCGTAATGATGAAGGTTTCAACGCCTTCTTCTACTCTCTCGTATCCAAAGACACCCAAGAAATGTTCTACTCTACCAAACGCCAACAATTCCTCATCGATCAAGGATACGCGTTCAAAGTTATTACAAGTCTCGACGGGCAAAAAGATTTCCCCGGCCTCGTTTATCGAACTCGGGAAGAACAAATTGAGCTTTTGCAATCAGTGCTCATCGCCAACGAGGCTGACGCAGAACCTGGTTCGGACGTGCGTGCGTCTGAGGGCGACTTGGCTGGGACGATAACATCGAAGGACTTTGGTCAGCCTTCGAGGTTCCCTGGGGCACAGAGAATGACGAGCTCGTTGACATCTTTGAGTGGGGCGCAGCATATGTCGTATATCGAGCAGAATAAGTCGATGAACAAGACATTGGCGAAATCGGCGGCGGGTTCTGCGAGTAGGCATAAACTATTCCAGAAGAGAGACCGGGATAAGACTGCTGCGAGAAAGGAAGCTAAGAAGGCTGCGTAGGTTGGACTGTCGTTTGTAATATTATCCCGTACTGTTTGTGCTTCGACTAATAACACGCTTTCAACGAAAGGGACAAAACTATCATGCCACCATCAATAACTTTAAACAATTAATTCTCCCTCTACGCTCTCCCGCTTTAAGCCAAGCTGCTCTAAGACAGTTTCGTAGCGTTCGTTACTCTTCCGCCTTAGATACCTCAGTATCTTTGCCCTGTGATGTACCAACTTTCTTAATCCGAGACGGTTGCCTAAATCCCTGGGGAACTTTGCTAAATGGTTTCCAAGATTTCGGATCCTGTAAGTGAGAATGGCAGCTGCAAATGAATATGATATGCATTAGCGTAGTTCCGACTTTGTGATACCGAATAACACACCTTGAACCTCAGTACGGCCAGGGTCAAACGGATTTTCCTTAGTAGAAAAGGCCACAATGATCCTCCGTTTGTTTTCATAGGCAATTCCATCCGCATCCGCATTCCTCAAATCAATGACCTGTGCAAACGTATTTGCCTTCCTATGCTCCCTGTCCAGCACCACAGTCGCCCACTGCTCAAAAGACTGCATTTGGGGATTCTTGTCATCAAACCTTCTTGAATTCATAGATAGCTCGGGCAGCTGGCGGAAAAGCTTCTCTGCGTCCGTATCCGTCACACCGAAGCCCATCTGCGAAGGCAGGTTTACAGTGCCGACAGGAAGTTTTATGGGAGTCAAGTTTGGAGGAGCTGCCAATTCAGCCTCGTTAACGAGTATTTTGGCCAAATAACAATTGTCCCATGTGCCTTCTTCGCCTTTTCGCGTGCCAAATACAGGACTAGGTCGGTTAGCGTTGGTACGTTGCCATTTTTCTGCTTTGATCTCGGCCTTGGCTTTGCTTGTGAGTTTTTGAGTTTTGGATGCGTTCAGGACGGCAGAGGTATGAATGAGGGAAGAGGTGCTCGGAGACGCGGAATTTCGAGAAGCTGGACGGAGGAGGGACGCGTGAGCTATCAGGAAATCAGAAGCAGTATAAGAATACCGACTTTGAGCGAGACAAGCTCTGAACATTCTGGATAAATGAAGAGACTTCCTAGTGCAAATACAACTCAGCAGGGCGTCAAATTAAAACAGGTGTCCGGATGAAATAAAAAGTCAGACCAAAAGGACTCGAACCTGGGTTATGGGAAGTTTGATGGCATCAAAATCCCATGTTATAACCTCTACACTATTAGACCGTGAGACTCTACTCTTCACCCTCATGGCCAGCGGGAATCCTGGCCCAAGTTCACGCAAGGAGATCGTGAAACGTGCTCTTGATGATGCAGAGGAAGTCAGGATCAAGAAACCCAGAACTACCAATGCAAAAGGAAAAGAAAAAGAGCGAAGCTACGATCATTGGCCTCAATATTTTCACTCGGTAAGCCTCTAAAGTGGCTGCTGACACATCCAACTGACCACCGTATTGTAGCTTTTTGAGGTAAAACGCGCTCAGTACCATGTACTTAGGGCATAATCTAACTAGAGATGGTATCAGGTGTACAAGGTATGCTTAGACTGTTACACTCGTATTCTACATACCAGAGCAATTGCAATTGGACGCGTCTCAGGCTCTAAATACTGTGCTTGCTTTCGTCACGTCAAGAAAACAACTTGCAACAACATTTCCTTCTATCCGGTCCTCAGTCGAGAATGTCACTAAGCAGTAAGTCCCATTTTCACGCGTTCCGAACATCCTCAGACTCACTCGGTTGAAAGGCCCTTGGAAATGTCTCAAGTAGCAGAGCTGAAGTACATGAATGACCTTTGCTCTATAAATGCTAAATCGTTAATCTTTCTGAGCTAGAGCACTGTTACCTGAGATCATCACATTTGCCTACGTCCCTCGCAATCAAATCCAAGTCAATCTTTCCGTCAAGTCCAACGATGAGCCTGATTTCTCCGCGTTTTCGACTTCAAAAGAGTCAAGGCTTGGACTAACTAAAGAGCCAGAACATGTGCTTCTCCTAGAGTTTGCGGAGAGCTGGAAAGGGACTTCAGGGGGGAGCAAGTAAGTTTTTTGATTCGAGTCTTAGTCTTTCCTCTTCGAATATGTCGACACATCTCGTCAGAGCAAGCCCAAACGAATATTTTTTACCCGCGACACGAACACCAGCTGCTACAAAGAAGCTTGTAGAAAAGAGGAATGACAGATTTATAAAAGCAGTAGATGAGTACGTAGATCATGCCTCTCGTGAAGAACTGAACTGCGCTGAGATCAACAGATTACTAGCAGCAACATCATCCGCTGACGATCCGGTCTCCCTTTTACAAGCTGCAGCTCGTGAACATATACCTGTCGATCCGGAACATATCAAACACCATATATTTGTAGACGAGACGATGCCTATGCCCATTCCAAACTCGGAAGATCGTGCATCAATACATGACATCTTCGTCGAGCTTAAGAAGCAGCACTGGTATCAAGATCAGATTGCTGATCATAGGATAATTGGAGCTCGAGAAGGCCAAACAGGTTCGTTTGCAGGTCTTTCAACGATGCAAATCATATCAGTGATACTGTATGCTTAGGATCTTTGGACCCACCGCTATCCGCTACCATACAAAAAGCACTACAAAGCTCTAGGAACATCACATCTCTATACTCCCACCAAACAGCAGCAATCAGTGCCCTAGACTATGGCAAGGACGTAATTGTTTCTACTAGCACAGCGTCTGGTAAAAGTGTTATCTACCAAGTAAGAATCTACATGCTTCATTATCGCACTGGCACTTTGTTCTGATATTCCACTAACCTGAAGGTTCCTCTCCTTCGGTTACTGGAAAATGATCGTCGTGTAACTGCTATATTTGTATATCCTACGAAAGTGTGTCAATTAAAATATATACGGGTCTTGCTCATCCGAACACTTGAATGCAGGCACTTGCTCAAGACCAAAAAACAGCATTAGAAAACCTTTTGGGAACTTGTCCCGGTCTAGAGGATATACAGGTTGGCGCAGATCCTACACAATCGACAAACATCTGTGACCGAAAATCTGTTATCAGGTATCCACATATGACGGAGACACTCCTACTGAACACAGAGCAGGTTGTGATTTTTGCTCGCTCCTAATAACAAGATCTCTAACTATTTTGGCACTGGTGCTTTTTAGGAATACGCGCCTCGGCTTCGGTGATATTCACAAATTTTGTATGTCGAGAACTTGCTTGAATTCATGGATCGGAGGCTAATTTGAAGTGAAAGGATATGATTCACGCTGCCATTCTACCACATGAAGAATTATGGAGAAGGTATTCCACCACTCTCCACCTCTTCAACATGCATTTTAAGGCTTAATTCTACGATTAGTTTTCTGAAGAACCTCAAAGTCGGTTTTGAATTTCTTCTGACTCTCCACAAAACTCATTAATTCGATCCTCCCAGCTCTTTGTCGCGGATGAACTGCATTACTACTCGGGAACTTTCGGAAGGTACGGAATGCATATTTTGCTTGATAGGTCATTATACATTGATTCGTTATAGCCATGTCGCTCTGATTATGCGCCGCTTCCGCAGGGTCTGTGCCGCCATCGGAAGTACGTACATCCATGCATACGACGTCCTGTTTCCTCTTACGGACTCTGCATAACAAACAGACGACCACATACGTTTCGTCTCATGCAGCGCAACCATCGCTAATCCCCTCGCTCACATGGTGAACATCTTCGGCCTCCACCCTTCCGGAATCCAAGTCGTTACCGAAGACGGCGCACCCACCGGTCTGAAGGAATATTTGATCTGGCGTAGCCCGTACGTGGATGAGCATGATCCGGCTCTTGGAAGACAGAGCAGTATAGCAGAGGCTACCGCTTTGATGAGATTCCTCATGAAACGGGGGATTCGGGTGATATTGTTTTGTAAGGTGTGCATGTTCTTTCGGCGCTTGTTTAAACTGAGCGCTAAAACAATCTAACAGATTCGCAAAGTGTGCGAACTAGTGAGTTGTATGCTTGCAAGATTAAAGAAAAAGCCCAAAGTGAATCTGTAGGCTATGAAGACCCTTCGGACTGAACTAAGCAGTGAAGGACGCCATGATATATTGGAAAGAGTTCAAGCCTATCGAGGAGGTTAGCCTCCTTTTTTTTAATACCGCTTACGCTTATTGTGGTGCTTATAATTATCATGTAATTTACCTAGGATACTCTGCGGAGGTAGATCTCTTGTGCTCCCTTTTGAATATCGTCTTAGAACATTGCTGCAGGACCGAAGGCGAATAGAACACGACGCATTTACCGGTCATCTCCTCGGGATCATCGCGACCAACGCACTCGAGTTAGGTGTGGATATTGGCGTACTAGATGCCGTACTCATGCTGGGATTCCCTGTCACTCTTGCGAGTTTTGTGAGTTTCTCTGCTTGTGCTCAACACCAATCTACGATATATAGTGTACACTATGCAGCGACAACAAGCAGGGAGAGCAGGTCGACGCAAGCGTGACTCCCTCGCCGTTTTCATTGCGGAAGGACTTCCAATAGATCAGTATTACCTGAACAATCCAAATGAATTATTCGACAAAGATACGGACGATTTAATAATCGACCTTGACAACAAAATTATTCTAGAAGGTATGTAGGTAGTATTTCAGTGATATTTTTCTCTTGTCTCTAATTCAATTTGTAGCTCATCTCCAATGCGCCGCTCATGAAATGCCAGTATGCCTTGAAGACGAAAGATATTTTGGCCCCTTGTTCCAGGACATTTGTCAAGTCAAACTCCACAAGGATGAGGATGGATGGTAATATATCAGTGAATGATGTTGCGAGATGCTTATCGGGGGATTTCAGGTATCACCCTCATAATAAGTACTTGCCGTCTCCTTCAAAACATATTTCCATTCGTATGTCTGAACATCATGAGTGCGATGACTGTTCTCAGTTGTGTCTTGTCTAGGCGGCGTTCAAGAGGACAAATACGTGCTGGTGGACGTTACGAAGTCAGTGGCATACGCGAAAATTTTAGAAGAAATTGAGATCTCTCGAGCCATCTTTGAAGTTTATGAAGGAGGCGTGGTACGTCGTCGTCGTTTCATAGAGACTTTTACCGAGCATATTACTTTCAAATTTACAGTTCATACACCAAGGACGACCTTTTATTGTGGGTGTGATTGTCTACCAAATTGAATGAGCAAGCTTCACTTAAGGTAAGTGCGTAGGTCCAAGAACTTCACCATGATACCAAGTTGGTGAAGTTGGTTCAAGCCGACGTTAATTGGATCACAAAACAAAGGCCAGTTTTATGTCTAGTTGACTGTTCACAGAAATACTCAAAACTTTGATGCAGAGATTTCACGTATGACCTTTGCCTCTCAACAAAACATGATATAGTATTGTTAATGCTGATTTAGAGACGTGAACGCTTTACAGACGTATCGCATTCGGGAAATCAAAGCTACGCCGCATCGTGCCTATTACGGACGTGAGCACTTGACCCCCCTCTGTATTAATAATCACTGAATTCGACGCAGGTGTAGAAATCTTTTGTCAAGTTTTCGGTAGGCTTCCAGTCCTTTTGCCAGATTGTGCTGATCGGTTTTTTTTCAAGGCTTTTACAAAATGCGGTGAGTCAATTTATATCTCTTACATGACTAGAAATCTATTGAGAATATTTGTAGGCACAATGTCATCTTAGACGTCGTCGACGTCGAGTCATGTCCTTGGATTCATGAGACAGTTGGACTGTGGATGGACGTTCCAGATCTCGTCTTACAATTGTTGCGCGACAAACGTATCAAGCCGGCCGCCGCCATACATTCTGCTGAGCATGCCTTTCTAAACCGGTTCCCTCTGGCCTCAGATATTCGCACGGAATGCAAAGCTGAAGAAAAGGAGTATTTGAAGAAAGAATCTCGCCGAAAACGGCCAGCGAGGTTGATCATGTACGATCCAGTAGGGCACGGAAGCGGTGTTGCAGCGAAGGCCTTTGAGCATGGTATGCAGGTGTTTTCAAATTGATCCCCGTTACTCAAGTACTCCGTAGTGTCAGACATATTGCAAAGGGCCCGGGCTGCTATCGAAAGTTGTGAATGCGAGCTTGGGTGTACCAAATGTATGTGCCCCAAGTATTGTTTATCTTTCAAACTCAACCTTTCGTTTAAAAGGTATCCTCAGTCCTTTGTGCAAAGAGGGAAACATTGTGTCCTCTAAAACAGGCGCACTAGCTGTTCTGAAAGCCATTCTCAACATCGAAATTGACCCCGATAGCATCCCGTTCGAAACTGACGACAGGGCATTATGTGGACATGATTCTATCATTAGCGTGTCTCCTGTCCACAATAGAACAGCTCGAAATGTACCTATCGAAAGTGATAGCATTGTGGTATAGTTTATAAAATCGTATGTATCCATCTGTAAAAGATAACAGATCAGAATCTTGACAGTGGGTCAAAATTACCCCAGTCATATGTGGTTGGCTTGTTGGATGGATTCCGCAAATATTGAACAGGTTTCGACCGAGTAAGCAAACTGCTAATCATTTGGAGAATTGTGCCAGGTCAACACATACCCTCTACCATTCCACGCGTGCCGTTCACTAGGTCTGAATGATTCTGCTATCAATGAGGACTTGCAATGCCTCCCGAGGCCTCCAGTTTCGACGGCATCATCAACTGGATATATTAACTTCTATAGAAAGTCATTGTCATCATCGTTAATCGTGATACATCAATAGTAGTACCTATGCAATACAATGCAGAAAAGTTGAAAAATTTATTGTTCTTCCAATGGGAGCCCCAAAGCCTCACGCAATTTTGTCAATTCAACACAGTTTTTGTGCCCAGGGCAAATATGTTTCCACGTAGAACGATGGAAGTCGACAATGCGCAGAACTTTTTCATTGTCCATAAGGATATTACGAGGGAATAGGTCCCCATGCTGAATCCCAAGTGAATGTAATTCTATGACCTTTTTGAAGAGAGTGTATTTTCTGTGTACTGATATTAGTGCAATAGTATTAATATCAGGAAAATGCATACCTCTCTTTGTTCAGATCGTCAAAACTCTTGAGCCTTTCTCCGCCATGATTGAGGACAAGTGCGATGGCACCCGAGTAGTTGAAAACACCATAAAATCGGGGTGTTATATCAGAAGCGGAGGCATTATGAGTAATATGATGGTAGAATTTGGCCTCCTCTTGAATAATTTTACCATGCTCGCTCACAGAGCTCCCCGCTTCCGGCTCCCGTTCCCAGTCAGCTAGTTTGATTACTACTGGTGTAGATTCCTGAGACACCTTCAACTCTTCAAGATACATCCTTCCACCCCAAACAATCCCAACGGATGACTTGCGAATCTTGTGATTGAGAATAATCCCAATGTTTGTAACCGTTGTAAGACTTTCCTCGGCAATGGTATCATCTGGAGCAGCCTCAACCTGATCTTCGAGAGGCACCAGGATGGAAGATGGAGAAATAGAGTGTCTATTTTGAGTGACTTTGTAGTTAGGACTCGACTGGGGAGAGATTCCGAAAGTAGGATTAGATGGGGTGGTTGGAAGAGAGCTTCCAGTCCCCAATGTGCTCAGGCTCTCAGTTGTGGAGCCGGATGAAGTAGAGACAGATGAGGATGTACGAGCCCTTGCAGAAATGTCTACAGTCGGAGGACTCGAAGGCACCTTTCCAGCATGATCCGAAGGGAATGGAACAGACATATTGCTATCAGTTGCCAGATCAAAATGACTGAAGCCACCATCCGACTTCAACACTTCTTTGGGACAATCAAAAGCCAAATGTAGACCCTATGAGAGCCCAAAATAAGGACACGTGAATAAAACCAACAAGAACTAAACTAACCTTTGCTTGGATACAAAAGGCAGGATGGTTGCGAGCACGTTTGTTCGAGCCACTTTGGGAAGAAGAGCCCTCGGACCTCTTTACACTGCTCAATTGTGTACTTCCACCGTAAGACTTCTCATAACCACTTGATGAACTAGCACCATTGCCCCCAGCTCCAGCTCCGCCACTGCCACCATCCCGCCTATGATCGTAGTTAAATCCAGGACTATCGTCACCTTTCCGTTTAGGGTTCTTCTTCTGTCTACCCTTAGACTTTTCCGAGTTGCTTTCATCTTCTGTATCATTATTACCAAACTTTGTCTCATTTGTTAAAAGGATAGGGTCATCCGATTTAGGAGAGAGCTCCCTTGAGTTGTCGCAAGTCTTCCCTGAGCCCTCCTCTAGGTGTACTGTATCTGAAGGATCCGGAGAGTCCCTCACGGCAGGGAATTCATCCTCCAGATATGGGTCTTGCCAGTTTGGAACACCATCCGAATGATGACATTCAGCACGTTCGGCTGCATCCTGGTAAGCCTTTAATACCATTTGAGATAACCTGAGGATATATCCTGGCTCTTTAGCTTGATCAAGTGGCGAGATGGTCACCATGCCTCCTTCTCGACCTCGTTGAATTCCAAAAGAAGTGTTATGGGAACTGATAAAGCCAAGAGTCAAGTTATGGCGGACCATTTGTGCCCAGCACTAAAAATTATAGTATTAGGACTTTCAGAAGTCAAAACAGCTGGCAAAAGAAAGCCTTACCTGTATAAACATATTTCTCACTGGAAGGACCCAGGCCATTAGCTTGGTAACCAAGCCCTCTACGAAAAATCAAAAGATTTGATTAAAGTTCGCCCGTGGGGCGGAACCTCGTTAGAGGGCTTGGAATATCTGAGTTTAAATTGGCGGGAACTGCGTTATCATTTGTAGAATCTTCTAGAATGCTTATTAATAGCCTTTTTTGGTAACTTACTTTCGGAGATATTCCATTCGGGGGAACGGCCACGTGATTACGCTGTAAACGAACGACGTTGCTTATTTTTGATCTCTTGCTAAAATACCTCCATGTTCTTTGTTGATTGCTGTGTGGTTGTTTCCAATATTGGATCAGCAGATAATGAAGAATCTACAAATACTCTGAAGCTTCCTGAGCCTGGAAGAGTCCTCGCATATCCTCTGCGCCGTAATCCACTCATTGAACGAACGAAGAGTTGATTGTAGAAGAATAATGGCGATTTAATCGATGAATATATGTACTCGATATAGCACATGGCTATTCCCCAAATGGAATATCCCCGAAAGTCAGTTTCCAAAAAAGGCTATTAATAAGCATTCTCGAACATTCTAAGAATGATAACGCAGTTCCTGCCAATTTAAACTCAGATATTCCGGTCCCTCTATCGAGGTTTCGCCCTCATAGAGGGGCGGTTTCCGGTCTACCAGGCCATAATATCATTTAAATGAACAGTGCGTGTTTGGGATTTGAAGTTTGTATTCCAAAGCATTTTCATATCATCATGAACAAGCTCATACCACTTCCCACCATGTGTGGACCCAGCCAGGCTAGGCCGAGTGGTAGCAGAATGATCATCATCCAGGATGCTGGCACCATTGTCCAAGTCAATAATGTTAAGAATGTGCAGGATCTCATCACGAAGTTGATCATCATTGACATGCAATATCTGGAAATCCTCATCAGCATCTACAGGAATGTTAACCAATGTGTTACGATTGAAGAAAGCTGAGTGCGAAACTCCATATTTCTCGCACTCCGGGCAACCTGATGGCCAAAGAGTTGCAACTTTAGTACTAGAGTCTCGGACGAGTTGAAGTAGGAGAAGGAGGGTAAGATATGCCATTGGTTGCCCAAGGAAAAGGTTTTTGCACTCCTCGCTACAGATATACCTCATGAAAGACGGATCTAGATCTTTCACAACATCCCAAATATCAGCACACTCAGGAGGCTGACGATCCTTGATATCCTGCTTGGATCGCATACCGATCAGAATATCAGCTTTGGTCTCTTTCTCGGGACTGGAACCAGCTTCCAAAAGCTCCCAATCTCCAAGACGCTGGATTTGTTCGGGAGTCCAATCGTAAAGTGCGAGAGTAACAATATCACACACAACTCCGAGGACGGTATGTTGTGCTTGAACCACGATATCTTCCTGGGTTGCAAGGGCATGACCAGAGAGACGTCGAAGTCCGTAGTTCCAGCCAATCTCTAAGCTGCGCAAAATGCCATCAGGGTCTTTGCGAAGGAGTTTAACGAGCTTCTTCCGACTGAGCAGATGCTCCTTCAACTGATCCTCCAAACCAGAAGTAGTATCCGAGGGTATACCCAAGTGCATTTCTTGGGGTCGCAAAACGTTTGGGAGGTGCTCATCATAAAAAGATGGCGTCCGAGTAGATTTAGACCCGTTGTGCGTGTATTTATACTCGCCTGGCAGTGATGTATGCGCCAGAAACTCCTCCAGAAGTTCAATATCACTTGGAGGGTCGTTTGAAGCGTCCATTCTTGATCGATGTAAGTGGTTCGCGCCAAGAACAGTTCCAAATTTGGAAACAAAAGGAGAGAAAGTCACGTGGCAGTCCGTTGGACTGCCCGGCGTTCAGAATCAGCTTATCACCATGCTCAACCTACCAGAAGAGCTTCTTCACCTTGTTGCAGGATATCTCGCGTACAGTCTCACCTTCATAGAGCGAGAACTTCCAGAATTTCACTACAAATATGCAACCGAAGAAATCCGTTCACTTTCCCTAGTGTGTCGCCGAATGCGCCGAATTTGTCTGCCATTCCTTCTCGCATTTGTGCGAATTGAATTTGATTCAGGCATAACCTGCTTCAGAGACCAATGTTTAGCAAATCCACGCTTTGCAGGGTCTATAAAGTGCGCAAAACTAAGAACTTTAATGAAGTTGAATGTGGCTTACCTTTCTTCATAGAGCACTTCACGTTAGCAGTATTCACCTGAAAGGATCTGACATACTACGCCAACTACTTCCCCGTCTGCCTCGCCTCTCTTGGATTCATTTCGAGAGTTTCAAAAGTGACGTTTCGCTATTCATTGCCCTGCACTGCCGGGTTAACGTCAGAACAGTAGTCATCGAGTCCGTACACCATCTCACCTCGTCGGATGCTTCCAAAGTCTTACTTCATCGTGGCGAAATATACCATCCTCACAAGAAGCTTTTGTGGGAGTCGCACCTGTCTCGCGGCATGCAAGTTGCGCAGCTAACGATACACCAGCCGCATTTTCTTCACGAGGGTTTCCGCAGGTTCAGTGGCCTTCGAGAACTTGATCTAATCATGGGCCGCCGCCCTGTTACCTTATCCTGGCTTCCCGAGGTCACCTCTGCCCATCCCCAGTTGCAGAAGATCACGTTCCAGGACAGATTCAAACACTATTTTAGTCGTAAACTTACACTCCCATTCATTTCTGACTTTGTTGAACAAGTGTGTCGAGAGGATGGCTTGAATGATGTATTTGACCTTACGAGGCTCGTCGTAAGTCGAAATACTCTCACTAAGCAATCCTCAGAGCAATGGCACGTTTCCGGATTGAAGATAGTAGTGCGAAGCTCGCTGGATCGAATTCTACCTATCATCAACTCTTCTTTTCCAAAGGTTTCAGTCTTGAGCCTTGAATTTCAAGCTCAGGCTACGTATCATATAGTGCGTCTTTCACGATTGTTTTTCTCTTCGTGTCTAACATTTCATTCAGGACAATCTCATTAACATGCTTCGAAGATTCCCATCACTGAAAACAGTGGGCCTCCGCCATGCGTTCAATCACCTTCATTATGGGTGCAAGAAGCCATGGACACATCAATGTGCAATGGTCATCAACCAGTCCAAGAAAACTCCCGCTGCCATCATGGTAGAAGCAGGAATGTTCTGGTACACGACCTGCATTGCCCAGGCTATTTCATCTGTGGAAGCTTTCTTTGTTTACGAGGAAGGTATGATTGGCTGTGATGACTGGACTGCTGTCGGCTGGTATACGGTGCAGAATGTGCCCGAAAGTCGTGCTCGATGTGTCATTGGGGAGCTTGATAGTCGAAAGGGATTTTGTAAACGCTGTGAAATCTGAATAAATGTACGTCTTGATTTTCTAATGTGCTCAGATCTCGAAGATACAGGCAGATTTGTTGCCAGCGGCATCCGAGTGCGATACTTATGTCCGTGTTGGTACAAGGATCAGAAAAATTGTTCAAGATGTACATGAACTAAGAAAAAAACTAATCAAACAGGTTACGCGGGTATGTAGTCGCGAAACTTCGCATCATAGTAATACTTCCAGGGCTAGGACTAAAGTCGACGGAGAAGGATGGGGTTTTGGATATTCAAAAGGATTACCCGAGGAGGCTTTCCGAGTTCCGTTTGTTGAAATTTCTAGTGAGGAATCCCCAATAGTACCATCCCGTTCGAAACTTACTACAGGGCATTACATGGTCATAATTCTATTATTAGCGTCTCTCTGTTGGACACCTCGAAATGTACCTATCGAAAGTGATAGCAGTGTGGTATAGTTTTTAAATTTGTATCCATCCGTATAAGATAACAAATCAGGATCATGAAAGTGGGTCAAAATCACCCCAGTCATCTTTGGTTGGCTTGTTGGATGATTTCCACGACGGTTGAGCAGGTTTTGATGGAGTAAGCAAACTGCTACTCATTGGAGAATTGTGCATCAAGGTCGGAGTCATTGCAGGTTTTGGTGAGGCCGACGTAGAAAGTGCTAGTGATGGATTATGCACAGGTGTAACACTGGGCAACAATATGTCATAGTTGGGCCTCTGAGGTTGCGGCCCACCAGAGAGAGGCGGAACTGGTTGAGATGGAGAGGAGAATGTGTTAGAAGGCTGGAGTGACGCCATGAAAGGACTAGTTGTGTTGGAGGATGTCACAGTAGAGTCGAAACCTAGACCCAAATTGCGCTGATTCGTGGGAGGACTAAACGAGTTGGAAGAAGGAAGGAAGGGCCTAGATCCTCCAAGCTTCAACGATTGAGCGGGTAGACGTTGTTTTAGTGAAGACGAAAGTGAGTGTACCGGCGACATGGTTGTAGACAATGGTGCTGCAAGTGCTGATGGACCGGTGCTCGGAGACTGATAATTGGTGAGTTACATTGAGTGACAGTTATTCATAGGTAATGAACTCACAGTGTCGTTAAAAATACTTCCCCATACATCATCATCCCATGAGGTTTTCCCAGCAGCAGAACCAGCTGACCCGCCTGTAGCGTTGGTCTGTACTGCACCATTTTTACCTCCGACTAGACTTTCAAAATCCATTGACCCAACGAATGATTGCGTTACAGTTGCGCCGTCTACAGCTACTGCTGACCTATCCTCGAGTCTTTGGGAATCACGCAGGAATTGGTTATGCTCTTTCTCCACCCGGTCGCCCAATTTACGGATGACTTCCATGAAGCGCTGAAACTGCCCGACATTTAGTACTGTAAGATTTATCAGAGCAAAACTCAGGAAAAAATGGTGAGCATCATATGACTCACAAGGGCCCATTGACATGTTCCATAGTTGTGGTAGTACGAGCGTGGCTACGGCTTCTCGATCCACCTTGGATCCCATGGCTTCTTGGACAGATAATGTTGCCATCTGTAGGACTATATCAATGATTGTAAAAGAATCACGAGTGAGAATGAACTTGCCATAACAGCAGGCTCTTTGGTACGTATCTTCGACAGCAACGGTACCATTTTCTGCGTGAGGCTGGACTGTGCAACGAAAATGTAAATTTACAAGTTGATATAATTTCGGTTGAGACAGACTTGATCAAGAGTCTTCACCATAGCCAGAAATGTCACCAATGTTGCGACTTTGACCGTAAGAATACGTGTTTTCGTAAACACAAGCTGTCGCATAGGTTAATTCCGTCGCAACTTCAAAACTATTGAAAGACATACAGCGACCCGGGGAAATAGAACGCCCTGCAATTCCGCATAATCTATGACATCACACAAATCAGGAATCATTTTCAACGCCTTCTCTTGAACCTCCACTTTATTCAGCCGACTGGGGGGAACTGAACGAATGAGATTACCTACTACTGCATGATCTGACTCGAGAGCATTGTAAACCAGCGGTAAAACCTCTGCGACATCAAGATCGGGTTAGGGCGTGCTATACACCATAGTGAAAGGCTAACCTCTTCTGAAGACCACTTTCTCGGTTTTGCTTTGTAACATGGGAAGATTATCTAGAAGTGTTAACATGTTCGCGGGAGGCTCCTTGACAGCAAACAACGGAGTTAAACTCGGAAGTACCATGGATGCGAATTGCGAAGATGAAAGGGCATTAGAGATGGCGAAAACGTTGGGTAAGATGTAGGGTAATAAGTGCGAGTCTTTCATCTATAGGACACGATCAGCAACATCGGGATGGAAGTTGAATCTCACGTACCTCCTCTAACAAAGAAGGTAAAATCTTCCTGCTTTTGAGCCCTTCCGAAAACCTGCTAAGAACGCTTGTGAGACCCTTCATGAATGAAATCTTTTCTTCTCGCGTTTTTGCAGTGAAGTTCGAACGGTCCAAGAAGTTCAGCGTTGATATAGGAAGTGATGAAAAGAATGAATCGGAGGGTAAGGACGAGGGTGACGGCCTTCCATTATGATCTCTAGTAATGAGAGATCGTAGAAGTTCTTTCTCAGAGAAAGGTGATCAATATATGAGAGGCGTCGGGCAGGATTCTTCTGCAGATACCTTGTAGATCTGGTTCCATTCTTTCCATCCCAGCAATTGGACGAGCCGCATTTTCTCTAACAGCGGAAAGACTGCCATGTGTCTTGAACGGAGGATTGCCCTTGCAGTGCACAGCGTAGATGACACATCCAAGAGAATACATGTCTGAAGCCGTGACTAGCATTTCGTCTAGAGCGTATTCGGGCGCTATGTAACCTTCAGAGGGTGTTTAAAATCATAGGAATGGGATAGAGGCATACCAGTATAGTCGAACGAACGCTGAATGTAAGTTGGTATTCTTCCGTCAAACATAGGAAACTCCCAACGCGTCGCCGAACCATCTGGCTGTAAAAGTGGTATCGTAAGCCCCAGTCCAGATATTTTCCAATCGCCCTAGAAATAACAAATGAGATGGAAAGTCATTCGAAACGAGAAACGAGGACGAATACAAACAGCACGATTGATCATTATAGTCTCTGGACAGAGATGGGAATGTATGAGTTGCGCGGAAGAGTGGAGGAATGAAAGGCCTTTGCAGATCTGAAGTATGCCTTTTTGTATCTAATTTGAAATTCTCTGAGAGTACGACAGGAAAATGAAGTATTTGACTGACCTCTACTTCGTCCAGTTCCACAAGCGACGCCAGTTTTCCTGAGCCCGGTATAGCGAGTTCCAAGGAGGATATGACAGGCTCCGTAGCAAATATAAGCTCTGACCTTGTTTCTTCGGGCGGCTCAACCATTTCTGTACAGCTTTTCAATAAGAACACATCCACAGTTATGAGCTGAGTATATCGACAGACCCAATATAGATGGATGCCTGAATCGACTGAGCGCTGCGGCCTGTGTGGAAAATCTTAGTGGGCCATTCAATATCTAGCATTGGAAAGGCCTTGATGTGCACACGTACCTCAGCTTTGAGTATTTCCATAGTTCTTTCCTTCGCTGAGGGCCGCAGCCGCTCCATTTCTGGTCCCCGCTTATCAAAGCTCCAGACAGACACTTTCTTGTTTGTTATTTTGTGTGTAGCTCCCTGAACCTTCCATAAGCCGATGTAGATAGATGGTGTGAAGGACGCGGAGGACGTAGAGGTAGAAGGACCAGAACTCTGAGGAGCAGGTGTGGACGGTCGACTTCCAGCATTGGACAAAGAACTAGGAGCAGAGCCAATATGATATGATTGCGAAATGTTCGTTCGAGCAAAAAATGAGGTTGCCGCGGAAGTCGCTGCAGCGAACATGATGATTTGAGGGAACACTGCAACCTACAGGCGTCAAACCAGTGTAGGCGCCTGCGCCGTTCATTATTCACAGCAGTTTCATTGCATGTATGTAGTTTCATTGTAGCAATACAAGAGATCAATGCGAGGTATCATGTACAAGTAGTTTGGTGATGATGTGAACACTGAACAGGTAGAAGGTTGAAGAAAATTCAAATGGACGGCGCCAACTCATATGATAAGTAAAAAAACCCCAACGAAGAAAGCAAAAGAAGCAAAATCCAAAAGGCTAGGAGGATATAACATTCTTTCATAGGCATGGGCCGCACGACGCTGCGGAAGTTAGCAAAAAGGAAGATATGCAGAAAAACCGAGGCAGCTTTTAAAGGTGAGTGATCGAGAGAATAAGTAACAACTTGACCTTTATGATAGTATCCTGGGATGCCGCGTACTTATCAATTTTACTCCCAGAGAAGAGACCTGAGCGTAAGAATCTCATTCCGTACGAACCCTTTTCGAACCTGAAAACAGAAGTCACAACTCGAAATCCGGATGAAGTAGTAGATACATAGAAGTTTACCTGGTGAACTCTGAACCGAAACCAAACCTTTGGATTTGTCGATCTCGATCTCGTCCTCGTCGAGGTCGTGAATGGATCTTTTCGAATGTCGACTCCACAAAGTGATGGAGCTCTGAGCAGATGCATATTCATATTCGCCGTCAGCTTCCGTATCGATAGTGGTGTCGGCGCCCTGGTCGCCGTCAATAACTTCCTCATATTCGGAGCCGTCCCACTCCGCATCTGCAGTGTCATCGTAATAGAGGTCATTGCTTTGATCTGTTTCTGAGGCTTTATGGGGTTCAGTCACCTCAATGGAATCAGTGGAGATGAAAAGAGAGGGTTACTTACAGTGCGATTTTAATGTATCTTCAGATGCTGTGAAGGTCTCGACCTCATTATCATTTTCAGATGCTACAATAAAGCCATGGTCAAATATACGTAGAAAGAGAGGTCAAGGTCAAGCCTTACCAAGCTCATGTGACTCGTCTTGACTTTGAGGAGGTCCTTCTTGAACTCGAGATGGCTTTTTTTGTAACTCATCTTCAACCGTGACTGACGCAAGTTGCAGGTCTAAAAGGTGGTCAGGTGACTCAAATGACAGACAGGTGTTAGCGAACCTTTTTCGTGTCCTTCGGGAGTTTCTTCAGGCTCCTGCGTACCGTCTAGAATTTCAGAAGTTTCACTGATTTCGATGAACGTTGGCTCGGTAGGCTCCTCTACAATCACTTCGCCGTTGACCTCTTGATCCTGTTCCTCAGGCCCTTGAGCGTCGTCGTAAAGGTCATTCCCTTCAACAGCCTCTTCGTTTTCGGCGGCTTCCGTGTCTTGCGGATACTGGTCATAGTCGGATACAGCCAGCTCATCAGGATGTTCGGCATCTCCTTCGTTCGTGAGATCGAGTTGGACCTCGGCCGAATGGTTTTCTATATTTTCTTCACTTTGTAGTTGATTTTCGTTGTTTGTTTCCTCAGCTTGTTCTTGATATTCTTCTGCTATTTCTTCACTATGATCTGGTCCGTGTTCTTGCTCTAGAGAGAGAACATCAAGACATATAAATCTAACGAGGAGCACATAACAGCACCTGTTGTTTCCTGTAATGAGCTTTCATTCAGTTCTTCGGCATTATACTCTTCGTCAGCATCGGCCAAATTTAGACGCATGACTTGCTCTTGTAAAATACGGTATCGGATAATGAAGCGGGGGTTTACTGACTGCAGACGTAGACGCAATGGGCCAGAAAAATTCAAACCGTCATGCAGAACATTGAGGTCGTGTATACTCGTTTCGCGGGCGAATATATTATCCTGCAAAAGTAGCGTCAGCCACCGTAGGAACAAAGACAATTGACAGCATACCTCTGAAATAGTAAGTTCAAGATCATAAGCATCGAGTACTAATTCTACTGGCGATAAGTCAGCGATGCTGGACAGTTCGTTGTCATTGCGCAACGCTTCGAACACAGTTGACAAAGGTTCATAGTAAAGGGTGGGCTGGTCTGAGAGAAGTACAGAACAACTGGTCGGTTCAGTCGTCGACGATGAGGGATCATATTGAGACGGTTGATTGAAAAGACAAACATCTGGATAGTCCAAAAATGCAAAAGAAAGAAGAACTGCAGGAGGTGGATCGATGTAGACCCCTTCGGATATCTCATGAGGATCGAGTTCTGAAACTCGGCTCTCCTCTTCATTCTCGACGTGTTCTACCGGACGTTCAACAGAGCCGGCTACATTAGATATTACCGATTCAGACTGGTCAACAGTGCCAGCTTCGACTTCAGTCGAATCGACGACCCCTTCATCCACAGGCAGGTGATGTATTACTTCCGCTTCCGTTTGTGCTGACCCCTTCGCCTCCTCCGCAGGAAGAACGGCGGCTTTGGTGAGGATATCGTCATGGTTAGAAGCGACTGCGGAATCTGTAATAGTGTTTGCAACGTGCGTGGCTTCAGTTGAAGATACCTCTGCATGCGTGGAAGGCTTCTCCAGCGAAATATAGGCAGACAATGGTTCCGGGGATATGACTTCTTCCAGGACTGTGCTTGTGATAGGTTCCTCAGGCTCCGAAGGACCATTCACAGGGACCGAATCGAAGTCGGAAGAATGGAAGTGTGATTCTGTCGAAGGCACTTTCGGTTCTGCAGCGACGTTGTTTTGCGGGTCTAAAGGGCTTGCAGCAGACTCAACCACAGACGAAGCAAGAGACTGAGACGGTAGCTCAGAAAGGGCAATAGATTCCAGGGTCGAGTCACGCAGTACTGAAGACTGATGTGACGCATCCATAACGACGATATCCTCGGGGTCTGCTACGACGAAATAGCTTGGGGCTTCAACCTCATCAAGCATCTCGTATTCCGGATTCTGAGAGTCTTCATCAAGATAATTCTCCATTTCAATCTCTGCATCCACCAAATCTTCATCTGAGGACCTTGTCGAGGCAAGATGTATGTCCTCTGATTCCATATGAGCTTCTTCATGAAACCAAGGATCAAGGTTGCCATGCATTTGGACGTCAGTATCCGGATGATAGTCAAGCATTGGAGTGTCGTATTGTTCGAAAACAGTGGCCATGGTACCAGAAAGAAAATTTAAGCCTCGAAGCTTTGTGACCTCTAACGACTTGTCAAGCATTTGCTTATCTAAGGATTTTCCACGCACGGACTTCAGCTCCAGTTTAACGCCCAACGCATGGAAACCCACAGCGCCGACACAGAATATCTCGTCAGAAAGGGCTCTAACACAGGCTACAGGATCCTCTCAATTCTAACTCCTCCTGCTTACACTGTCTATGTCCTAGCTCGACATGGCCGCCCTTCATTCTCTATAAACGGGCTGCTCCGGTCAACTTGGATCGGAGGTATCGCAGGTGAGTAATACTCACTCAAACTACTATATATACACACAAATAACCTGCCCCCAGGTGCTACTGGAGGAGCCGGAATTGCATTTGCGCGCTATAATTTCACAAATCCAGAGAAAGTACGCGTGAAGAGAGTACAAGTGGCGTACGATGTACTTTTTCAGTTTCTTCGACCAAACTCGCGTCTTCTTATACACCTCATGACAGACTGGCCGAATACGAGCAGAAGATCATGCCACAATTGGAGGTGTCTTACTCGCTGTTCTGACCCCTGCTGTGTTTTGGAATCGTGCTAGGGTCGCCAACTGTGCGTTCATCCCCTGAAATTGTTTGGCTCTTGACTAAATCGCAATCGCAATATACAGTAATATTAGGCGGTGCTGGTATAGGAACTGGTGTCGGAATGATTGCTCATTGGACCCGTTCCGTCACTGGTGATACTCCGAAACCGTTTGTTCCAGCGTAAGGTACAACCAGAGAGCTACCACTTGTCTCCAATGTACTTGAATTGAGTACTCGATCGCTCTGGATCCTTCTGGATCCTAGTTCTCAGCAAATTTATGGTTGACCATGTCACCTATCAAGTTTATTGAATTCAAGGAACCACTGCTGGTAAAATACGTAGCCCAAAACCAGAAAAATCAAAACGCAATTGAGAGATGAACCACACATCAACACTACAAAAAATTATGTGTTTGTCCCTGCTTGGTCCAATCATTCCGATTGGCTAGACAAATTTTGTCTTAACATAAATGCACGCGCGTCGTGTAGGGTTCAATTGACATCACAGGCGAAGGAAGTGGGCGGAGCAGAGCGACGCCCCGAGCGTAATTAAGCTGTGCATCGCACGGGTTACTGCTAGTTCAGATTTGAAATCACCAAGTTCAATCAATGACAAGCCATTCCCTTTCCGTCTGTACTAAGAATACTATCCGGATCTACACTGTCTCCAAAGATAAAGTGCCCTAAAGCGGCACCCAGCACAACGGAAAGAATGAGGTATGCCTTTGGGAAAAGCAGAGCATGAGCGGAGGGGATCAGATCTGAAATCTAGCTTGTAGGACGTACATTATAAGTCATGAAAACGAGCATGAGGAAGAACGATAGGAAAACGGATATTCCGTACAAAACAGCACGAAAAATGCGTGAAGGCAAGGGAACCGGAACACTGTGTTGAAGATATCGTTATTCACTGGGAAAGTAATTGGAGGCTGAAAAAAGACTAACCCTGTCACCTTTGCCTTGAACACTCTACCGGACAAGAGGCCCTCCTCTTCCAGAGGAATTTCAGGGGAGTTTCTACCGCTAGAACTTCTACTACGGCTTCTCTTGTCCTTGACCAGGGACAGAGCAATGCGAGTGTCAATTAGCTTTTGAAAGACACGGAGATACTCGTAGAGGACACCGAGCGCCACGATAGCCAGACAAGAGATTACGAACGCCGTGTTGGTGCTGATATGCCAGCTGCGAAAGACTATGCAAGTGTCAACAATCTGGGTATTCCTGAGAAGGTCTTTAGTCACTGGTCTCTTCTGTATTTAGGCAACAGAGTCTGATTTACCACAGCATGTTCATTGAACACATTGGCATTGGCATATCGTGGCCGCTATGACCGCTATGGTCACCATGATCCATACTTGCTGAAGGTTACTTATGTAGTGATGAAGATGGGATTATTAGAAAGAAAAGAATGATGCAGATTTAGAATTTGATGGCTTTAAGTGATAAACCACCACCACCACAACCATCACAATCAAATGCCGCTCCTCAGCCACTGGTCCAGCGAGCCGGGGCTTTACCTTCCTACTATCCTACTCAAACGCCAAATAACGCCGCAGCAGGACCTAGTGCCTTGCCCAACCAGTATGCCCCTAATCCCGCTTGGAAGAATGGCTGGACAATGGCTGCCTATCCTTATACTTCCTCGCAAACTATAACACCTTATCCACAGCAGCAATACCTGTATGCGCATCCAAAAGCTGGGTTGGCTGCCTCTACCACTCCAGGGATTACAGCAGCTACTACCGCAGCCCTCAATTTTGCTTCGAGCGTAACTAAACCCCCGAGCCCAATACCTTCGCCGCCAGAACCATGTAAAAATTGGGACTATGCTCTCAAATCATTCATGGAGAGTGTTGGACTGACTCAAGCACTGCGAGGCTTCGAGCGTGATATGCTCGTATTGAATTCCGACTGGGAAAATCAGAAGGTACCTGGCGCATTGCAGGAACTCGCAAATAACATACAGGTATGTATGTTGACTTCTACTGCATGTTCTGGACTACTTACATCTTGTATCAGAAAATCCAACAAGGACAGCTGGAGGAACGGTCTCTTGAGGATCGTAAAATCGACCATGTTCGTCTTTCGAATGGTTCTGAACCCAAGACCCCAACTTCTGTATGTACCCTACCTCCCGACTCGAAGTATATTCCTCTCAACCCCCACTTACAGCTCACAAAATCGATCTCAACGTTTTTGGCCCAGAAACGCGCCAATAACGAAGCGTCAAATCGTGCAGAATTTCTACGGTCACTCGCAAATCTGCGACCTCAAGACGAGGCTTCCTCAGATGCCTCGAATATGGAGTCACCCTCATCTTGCGCCCGCACCGATGCAAAGGCTATAGACCGAAACGCCCAGATTAAGTACGATATCGTCAAAAACGAAGATGGACCTCTCCGTCGCACGATGCGGAGTCGTGACGTTTCTGGATCTACAACTACCACTGTGCTTCCCTCGACTTCCACGTACAAAGGTAAAGCAAAAGCGACAGCGTTCAAAAATGAAAAAGCAGAGGCTACAGTTGTGAAAGACCTTTCTTCGGAACGTCATCCAGGCCTCGACGACCGTCTCATCAATATCGAAAATCATCTTGCCATCCGATATGGTATATTGACCTTCGCAATCCAATTGAAGCATCACTAACGTTAATGTTTTTAGTACCTTATGCTCCGCAGAGCTTATTAGACCGGCTTCGCTTCCTTGAAGAACACATCATCAAGTTAGAGAAAGACTATCCACCCTGGGCTGCTATTCATTTCAACCAACCTAGTCGAAATGTTGGTTCCAGTGAATTTTCATCGCCTGTTAACCTGCTAACACTTTGTCAGTGGCCGCCACCACCAAAACAGACGCCAATTATAGTACCTACCAGTATGAGTCGGCAACCAAAATTGGATGCTTCGTCGTACTTAGCTCCTATCGCTGGCGCTGCATCCTATGCTGGTGGCCTTACAAGAGCCAAAAACTCAAGTCTTCACCGGGCTGTGATGGAAAAGCTCGAGGTGCATAATGCCAAACTAGATCTGACTGGAGGTCGTTAGCTAAGTGTCGAGGAACATCTCCTCACTTTGTATTGGTACATAGTCTACTAATTCGTTACATATTTCCTCTTTACAATTAGTGTATACTTATGTCTGTCACCGTTTCTAACATGGACGAACTTCTTAAAGGTACATAACTTAGTAACTGTCATGAAGCCTTGGAATTGAGTTCTGCATCCCTGCTCGGCAGCCCTATATCTAATCCGTTTTTGAAACAACCATGTCGAAGACCCTAAACATCCTCCACTTCAACGACGTGTACCGCGTTTCACCCCAGAAACTTTCCTCTCGGTCACCAGATACCATTGATGTTACTCAATTCGCCGTTGGGCTGGACAACGTCCGAGATGGATGGCCTCTTCGCGGAGATGGAAAACGAGATGGAATGGTACTTTTCTCTGGGGACGTATTTTCGCCTTCCGTAGAGAGTTCTGTTACTCGCGGAAGTCATATGGTGAGTTATCTTTCCTGGATCGAACGCGATTTTGACTACAAGTTTTTACTGTCACTACTGGATGACTAGGTACCCGTAATGAACTTTCTAAGGCCAGATGTATCCATGACGGGGAATCATGACTTTGATTTTGGTATTTACATTGTTTTGTGCGCTTCGGATTCCTACTGGCTTAATCGATAACCCGTAGGCTATCTTCATTTAACGGAACTTATCAAAGACTGCAACTTTGTCAGTTCAAATTATTCGCGTCGCCTGCGTCTATGGCTAATATGAACCATTTCCAGCCGTGGCTTCTGAGTAACATCATCGACACTGTCACTATGAAAATACCGTTTGGTCTCAAGGAGTTTGAGGTGCTCGAACGGTCTGGAATACGCGTCGGAGTAATCGGGCTTGTGGAGAAGTACGTGCTTGTTCCAAGTTTCCGTACAACATAAACCTCAGGTCTTGCGTTTAGAGAATGGATCACGACTGTTCCGACTTGGCCTCAAAACTTCGTGTACAAGGACGTAAAGGAAGTCGGAATAGATCTTTCGACGCGTCTCCGGGATCCGAATGGCCCATACAAATGTGAGATTATCATTGCGCTAACCCACTGCAGGTAATATCACTTCTAGCTACAGGGACAAGCCGTTCATTTTCTTCTCAGAGTGCCAAACGTACGCGTCCTCCAGGATGTTTATACCTTCATTTCGGACTCATTGAATAATATAGGACATAAAGATCGCGAAAGACCTCTTCGCTCTTTCGCCTTCTGCCCAGCAAGAAAAACCAATCGCTGGTCTTCACGGTGTCGACATTGTACTCGGCGGGCATGACCATATGTACTATATTAGCAAAGGAGTTTCTTCTTGGGAAGGTTATGATGTCCAGCAGCCATCATTGGGAGCGGAACAAGACCACGGCGATGTACTCGTCGTCAAAAGTGGCACCGATTTCCGGGATCTCAGTGATTTCACTTTGACGCTCGAATCCACACCGGCAGGAAGCGTACGCAAGAAAGTCGTAAGTTCGATCACAGGTGGGTTTCGGGTGCCACTCGATTTATCCTCGCTCACATTGATCTAAGGGCGGCGCGTCGTAACTCAACCTGGGTCTAGATCTTCAGAGGAGCTTACGCAGATGCTTCGAAGTCTACTATCTGCAGTCTCGAAGTCTCTCGAAGCGCCTGTCTGCAAGTCGATCGTCACGCTCGATCTAAGGTCAAATATTATTCGTACTGAAGAGGTATAAAGGTCTAGTACTTGAAGGTGTTATATATTTCGCTTACTCACATCGAACAGTCTGCTGCAGGTAATTGGTTCGCGGACATTATTCGTCATGCCTACGACGACTGTGAAACGCTCAAAGGATGCGGCGGTTCCGATGCAGTTCTTATCTGTGCTGGCACACTTCGTGGGGACTCCGAATATGGGCCAGGTGAGCGAAACAGCAGATATGCCCGAACAGAAGAATGACTTTGATTAGGAAATATCAGCTTGGGAGACATACTGGAAATCCTCCCGTTTGATGATCCTTTGGTTGTACTAGAATTGGATGGGGATGCCATTTGGGATGCCCTCGAGTCAGGTCTGTCAACCTGGCCTGCCCAAGAAGGGTAAATATACTTCCTCATCCTCCGGGATATATTCCATGTTAACTCAAACCCCTGTAGTCGATTTCCGGTAGTATCTGGTATGCGTGTTGCGTGGGACTCTCAAAGAGAGCCCGGGCACCGAATTTTAAGCATCTGGCTAACGAAAGAGATGGAAGACAGTATATACAACGGGGGTGGTGGAAGTGGGTATTCCACTCCGCGTGTGGTCGATGCTGAACCGATTCCACGTGTCAAGGGAGGTAGGCAGTACAAGATCGTGAGTAGAGAGTACATGGCTCAAGGTCATGACGGCTTTACTGCTTTACGAGGGCGAAAATATCTTGTGGACGATGAAAGCGGACAGCCGATGAGTTCTATCGTCAGAAAATATCTACTGGGCAAGTTTCTCCAATATTGTTCGCTTCTGTTTTGCCTAGACTCAGGTTACAACAGGTTCACAATACGTGAATAGTCTAGCACGCATGGTCGAACATCCTTCTACAGAGAATCTCTGCGAAGGCACAAAGGATGCTGTTCATCGTGAAAAAGCGCACCGGCAACATCCTCAGCGTCAACCAAATTCCAAGGCTACCTTGCAGTGGAAACATGCAGCTGACTTAGCAGTAAGATGGGTGCGGTCTAGGGCTCATTATCAAGATCACCTCAATGTTGCGACGACGGAGCACATGAGTTCTGTCGATATTCATGATGGAAAACAAATGAGGACCTCTTCAGTACATGAAAATCAACAAAAACAAAACATAGACGAGGATTTGTTGGTGGTTGATCCACGAGTTGATGGCAGATTTGAAGACGTAGGTCGAAAGTAGATGTAATATTCCATGAAAACAATTCACAATCGATGATGTTTTTTACGACCCCATCTCTTTTGAATTCAGTATCTGACATTTATTGGCTGGTCCCAGAGTTAAGATGATCATAAGAGAAGGTGAAGGCATCAGAGGTGGAGGGTAATTGGATGGTGTTATGTGGAATCGTGAAGTTTCGGTCATTCTTCGTGGTCTTTTCGGACCTTGGAAAGGATTTCCAACCATGTGGAAGCGGTTTGTGTCGACGATTTCGAAGAAGTCCGCGAGTTTCAGATGATGTGAGAAGTGAACTGATGGACCGTTTGGAGCTATTTGGTTTAGGATTTTCGGCGTGGCTCCAATTAGTAATGGGGTCTGAGTTGGGATGGCTGGAGGAAGAAGCTGAGGCTACCGTAAATAACTGTAAATAAGTCTATCACTTTCGGAGTTGTTCTGTTAGTTCTGTTCTGGCCATCTTCTATCTCCCCCCGAAATCAATTGCTCAGGCTGTTTTCCTTCTACACCAAACATGACTACATTTCCTCGTACAGATGTTCAAAATCTGACTGCTGCTACAACGATCATATCCAAAGCCCAGGCAAAAGGAGCTATAATTCGGATAGCGGACACCAGAGCCAAAGAAAGATGGCTGAAAATCCTTACCAACGCCCTTCGCGAAGCTGAGATTCTACAATCAACTAGTATGTAATTTGGTCATAATTCTTGGTACTTGTGTGTTTGACTCTTCCCGACTATGTACTCAACAGCCAGTGCCCTAGTCGACTTGCCACAAGGGTATCAATTGATCCAAATACAACGACGAAAAAACAAAACAACAAGCCACGGAGAGTGGTACTCAGCTTTGATAGGTAATAAGAATAAAACTCGAGGATCCATCATATAATATTTCCTGGTCATATGTAGGCTCCCCTTATGCTTCTGGGATATCTGGATTTCGAAGTCCATCCGAATTTGTACCGCATGCAATCTGGCTATTCCTCAGTCCATATCTGGATCACTCAGTGTGCACACATCTGTCCAGGCAGCGCCGAGCTCGAGCTCAAAAACTTCCAGTATCTTCACCTTCCAATTCCAGCTCCACCTTGTGTATTTCAGTGGCAGACCACCCACCCGATCAGGTTTCTAGATCCTCAAATGCAATTCATGCATACTTCAAAAAAGGTGACATTGTCTGGGTTGCCTTGAACCCTAAAATCATAGAATCATCCACTGTCAACATTCAAGTATGGCCTGCTCTCATTTTTGAGATCTGTGCCTCTACTGTGGTGGAGGGAATGGCAAGATTCAAAATCAAACCTCTTGGGCCTGGTTTACAATCTCAGGCTTGCTTTGTACAAGAGAACCACATTCTTCCATTCAAGGCATACATGCCGTCTATGGACTTGATTGACACTCTCAAATCTGCTCTTGAATTACACCAGCTCCCCCCAACCTCATATGAACCACTAATAGTCAATTTTGAGAAAAATGATCTTGTTTTCTCTCAAAATCCATCCTTTGTGATAGCTGCTCTTCCATATATAGGAGCACTACTTACAGTATTTGAAAGAGCAGCCTCTTACGAGGTTCTCAAGCAACCTTCACTATTTTTCCCGGCTCGGCCTGAGAATGTAAATGATTCTGCACTTGGAAAAATTTCTTTCACATCACAACAAAATTTGGAATGTTCCAATTTCATGGAGCTTCTGCGATGGGGAGCTGAGTACATTCAGATTGGAGATCTTGTACGTTTAGGAAGTGCGAGGAAAGATTTGGTGACTTCCCACCACTTTGTCTATCCTCCTTCTGGACCTGGCGAATATTTTTCAAGAATGTTTCCACACTCTTCTGAACTCACCGGCGCATCTTCCAGAGGCCTTTTTCTGAAAATTATGGCTTGGAGATTTATTCACTATCCTCAACCAAATACACCGAGCGCTGTAGGGGTTCTTTATGAAGTCGCCGACAAAGACGCTGCTGTAATTCATGGACAAGAGCTGGAAGGAATGCCAAAGGCATATCATGGGTACAAATTTTGCCCCATAATGAAACCAGGCTACCTTGCTGTTGTACCTTTGGATGACATTAGGGGACGATACTATCCTGCTTCACAAATGATCTCAACTTTCTACGGGCTCGATCGAGCATACATCGGATCAGCTACTTCCATCCAGCTTCATCTACAGAGTCTGGCAGGCTTATGGCCAGATGATTCTGAAGACTTCGAGATTCGAAAACATCATCACTGCTCGGAAGGTCCAGGAGCATCAAACTTGACGGACAAGAAGCAACTGATGAGTTTTCTCAACAAACTCTCCGAAATGATACGACGAAGAGACAGCAATTTCGAAAAATACTGTCCTCATGTCATGATTAAGATGGAAGAATTTGCTCGAGTACGTTTTCTACAAATTCTGTTTGTACATATACTCAAAAATCAAAGTCTGTGTAGCTAGGTGTAGCTCCGAGATTTGCTACATACGGTCTAGGCAATCTAAACAATGGGCGTCAACTATAGGATTATAGAAAAATTGTTTCGATTCCCTTGTCGAAGGATAGTTTTTTTGGTGAGATTTTCTGGAACTGCGGTTAACTTTTGCTTTGGAGTTGGACTGGAGTCGATCTTCTTCTGAAAGAGATGATAAACCATCTTGCCGCCTTGTCGCCAATGCCGCTGAACTTCCGTAAATCCCAGAAATTGCATTATGTCGGTGAATCGATCGAAATTGAGATAACGGGAGTTACAGAGACAAGGTAAAGGAAGCTATAAACCCCGTTTGAATGAGCGCAATCAACTCAGAGTGAATACGTACAGCAACGAATAGGTGACCGCCTTCCAGTAGAAATTTATGTGCGAGACGAAGCATGCGCCCTGTATACCTATTTAATAATAACCAACAGAATATCCGTAGGTAAAGCTTACCTCGATCCAGAGCTTCGGGAACAAAATTCAGTACAAGGCTAAGACTAATTACATCCCATTTTTCGGAATTTTGTTCTTGGTCGAGTAACAGAAAATCTTGTTCTACAATAGACGGATGTCGAGAATTCAAATCTATAGGTTTAGCCTGGATCCACGACGAGCAACCTGCATAGTTATCGGGTTTGAGAGCGCCTACTTCAAGTAATCTTCATATTGTATAATTTAGCAAGACTTTACAATCGAAAGAGGAAAGGTATTCACTGAAGTTTCTTTTTCGTCGTATGCAACTCCTTGTCCTTCAACCAACGGATCAGTACCTTCTCACTTCCGCCTCCTCTATCGGTCCCTTGTCCAATCACAGACATCCTCTGATAGCTCTCCAGCCCACCAAGCTCTCGAATTTCGCGCTCGACATCCGCCAATTCAGTCTTCTTCGATATATCCTGGATAATTGATTTCTGCAGCTGAGTTTGCTGTTTCAACAATACGTGGAAGCGCCGAATGACAGCACGACTTGATTCAGATTTGCTGCTATTCGTATCGGAGGTTGTACCAATGCCTGTTATGGGAGCTTTGCGTTTTCGGGCTTTGGGCATGGGAGATCGGAATAAACATCGGATTATTTCCTTTTGAAGCGACGTGAGCACAAAAATCAAGTTCGCGAGACTACAAGAACAGCGGTGATATCCGCACAAATGAATCGCCTCAAGCAGTGGAAATGCTTTTTTTTTTACTCAACAGTTACTCCCACAAGCAGGAGTGGCTATAAGGGCTGGCCCAAACTCGTTATTCACCTGGCAAAAATTATGCAGTACAAAAAAGTGCAAAGATGAGAATCTTAGAAGGCCTTGAGATGCGAAGGAAAAGATGTAAGTAGTGTCGGATAGCAACGAGCGCCGGTACAATACAGAGATTTCGGAATGGGGGAAGAAAAGGAGACAATCTAACAAAGAGTAATGCATGTAGAAAGAGACATCAATGAGTGGATTCGTCTAGGACCAGTGGTCACGGGCGATTGAAGGACATCAGATTCGGTTGCACTGAGTACGTTCACTGTAGTACACCACGATGGCTGAACGATGTGACCGAAGGATAAGTTTTTAAACGAAGCCTCTGCCACCGCGTTTTGCGTCGATCTTCTTGAACCGTTCGTCTTCTTTCCTCTGTATTGGGCTATCAGATCATACAAATGGACGGATGAAAACAGCAGGTTATACCTTATTGATAACACAAAGGGAGAAGAGAAGAAGTCCAAGAACGATAGGCATGAAACCGTAGGTCTAAAATTGGGATCATAAGTAAACTACCCTGTTCAACCTAGCGAAAGAGATAATCATACACTCCTGTAACGCAAAGTCAGCTACTGTGTCGAACAGTCAGCAATACAAAAAAACATACGAGAACATTTGATTGAGTGTGTAATCGGTAAAGGCAGTAACCTTCGTGACACAGAAACTATCGGCATTGTTCACATCGGAGGGGTCGAGGGCATTGGTGAACGCGATCTGAGAAGATGTGCAGAAAGTTGAGGGTTCAACTGCGTCAGAACCATTGAAATAACCACAGCAGCTGAACTGTACGGAGATGAGACAGGTTATCTGTATAGAGGGCGATATTGTACCTTGTCCTGGATGAAAACACGACTAGACGCAGGAAGCTCCACATATAATGCGTGATAATTGTTCCGCTGCTGCAGGGAGAAGAACCAAACAAAGCTTCCAATGACAAGCACGACAACTGCATCCGCGACAAGGATGTAGTTCAGGATGACAAGACCTATCGTGACATGGTTCTTCTGGATGATAGCGCCGATAGAGAATATGAACGTTGCGACAAGCATGATACCCATAACCAAGGCAGCTGGAATTATGTATTATTAGACAAAATGAGCGCCCGCATAGCGACAAAGATGTACGCACCAGTCAAATCGGCCTTTGAGATGGTCAGATTCAGAAGAATGTCCTGTTTGCGGTAGACAACGGAGAAGATGATCGACACGACTCCGGCGGCAAGCAAGCAGACATCAAAGAGAGCCCAAAACCCCATCAGCTTTCTGGAAACCATTGCGAGAACTTTGAAGGATTAGATCTATACACAGCATGAACAAATGTTTCCAACGATTCTCAGGACAATTTCACCCACCGGAAGTGTATTGTTTCTTGCCAAAGGCGAGACGTTGGTTATATCGACAAAGAAGGGCACTCCCAGAGATGCACTGAAGGTACAGAGGTGGCTGTAGCACCGGGCAAACTTGTACGAGAGTTGGGAGAGAAAGGTAAAGACTGAAAGAAAGGACGCTCAACGCCTTGCACAATTTGCGCAACTGCAAATGCAAAGGGAAGAAAAAAGGGGAGAGTCAGCCCGAGAGCCTTGAAGCCGAAAGAGATGTAAGAGGGAAAGAGAAAGATGGGACTTGCCAACGGGAGCCCAGCCTCAATTGAATGAATGAATGATGGTGGTGATCAAAACAAATTATTGGCGTTGTTATCATTCCACGTGCAATTCTTCAACATCGTTCTGGCTCGTCCTGGCTGAGTTCTGGCCTAACAATCATTGTCATATCCTTGGAAACCAACAAAAACGTGAATTTGTTGATACAACTTTTCGCAACCGCAGCTACTTAACCGGGGTGGCGTTCGTCTACAAAAATAGCCTCAAGTGGCCAACAAGATTAGCCAATAGCTCATTATCCAACGCAGGATTCAAGAATTCAAAGATTCAAATCCAACTAAACCCAGCCTTTAAAATGGTTTGTTCCATGAAGCTCGAGGAACCTTCTGAAACTATACCCTAACGCTCTCCTTGTCAAACCGCGATAAGCATCAACGGAAAGGAAGGTTAAAAGGTGTCTTCCCTTGTCTTCCTCGAGTCTTGCATACTACAGTATTCACCCGGTCGCTTCACAGAAATTACGGACAGGTCTGGATAGATCGGCTAGTATGGAACTGCGGCTTGTTCCTTGCAACGTGTGTAGCAAGGATCCTCAACGGAACCCCTCAGAACCCCTTCCGGTTCTCTTTCATTAACCTTTCCAAACATTTTACACTTAATCCTCCTACGATGCCAATTCTCAAATTTCATTGAAGATGCATCACTTTGGACTCTATCAAATCTTTGGGCTTGAACCCAAACCTATAATAGACGCAGGTAGCTATATATAAAGCAAGTATCCTATTGGCATTGCCCTGCTCTTTACGGTTTACCCAATAATAATGCAGCAGTGCTTTCACTCTCCGCGTTCAGTACAACCTCGTTTCTTCGCGTTGAATCTCCTCATGCCTCTAGCTAACCTCTGTACCCGACCACAAACCGTCACAAAAGATAGCATATTTCTCACCTGAGTCGGTGGAAACAAAATTCTATCATATACTAATGACGCTTGCACTGAATTGAGTTCGGGAACAACGAGTTGTCATTCCTGAGTAGTTAACTTTGAGTGGCGAAGAGTGGTATTTTATGAAGCAATTATTCAGAACCCGGGATAGAAAGATAATAATAAAAAGTCGATCGTATGATAGATGTGAAGCAAGGATAAATTCCAAATGAAGGGTAGAATATCATGGGATGCAGTGATTAACGAGAGGAGTGTCAACTGGAGATATAAAGATGTGGAGTGGTCAATGTAAGTCCGTGTTGGTGTTGAGGATGTAAGGTTTACTGAGCAGCTTTGATAATGTCGGCAGCCTGTGGTCATAAGCATATTCTCTGTTAAGCATTATGATAATAGTTCCTTTGCGTACACTCACCTTCTCGGCAATAGCGTAGACAGTTGCTTGGATGTGTGCTCCGATCTGCATGGGCATGATACTATATGGCGCATTATTCGTATTGGAATCCGTATTGATTATAAGTTCAACGCTGACCTTGCATCTACAACTCGAACATTGGAGGTCCCGTAGACGATCAAATCACTAGCAACAACACCCCCTGCTCCAAAAGGACCAAGGGAAGCAGTACCAACCTGATGCCATTCGGTACTGACGTTGTCGATAATGAAGCTGCATTTACTGCGTGAGTAATCCTTTCACATAGGTTTTTTAATGAATATGTACTTTTCAAATTCTTCTTCTGTGGATACGTCCGCAGAAGGGTTTAAGGGACTGGAGATGAAGCTTGAGAGAGGAGCGATCTGCGTAAGATTACGATTGAGCTGAGCACCCTTCACAAGTACTTCTTTGTCTGTAAATAATTATTCAGACAAACAGGTCTCTACAAGGCAAATTTTTCCTTACCAAATGAGAATTGCAGGTAGGCAGTATCAATCAGAGGGGACGCGAGGGGATCAGTGGTATTTATGTGCTTCAAAACGGAGTCTTTATTTCGGTCAGTTCAACTGGGTGAAAACTCACGACGGAACCACGACTGAAAGGCCTCTGTCAACTCTCCATCAGCTATAGAGTAAATATGTTTCGTTGATGCCATACCGAAGCAAAATTAGCTAAGTTCACAAAGTTCTCCTGATCCGAGGAAGCTTCGCCGAGAACCCCTGGTGTACATAGAATTATTGATGAGAAACTGACATGCACTGAGAATGGGTGATTCTGACCAGCAAGAAACACCAACTCCATTTGTGCCAATTGACCTTGCTGAATACTGTCAATCTGGAGCTGGTATTGTTTGCTGATGAACGTGCTGACATTGGCTTGTGCTATTTCGGTTTGGAGCTGAGCTAGTGCAGTTTGGAGATCATCGTCTGTCCAAAACTGTTGTAGGGGATGGAAGGAGACGGCGGAAGGAGTGTATGTAAAGAAACCAGTGTGGTTGGTGAGGCTAGATGCAAGAGTTGATGCTAAGAGTCCAACATGACTGAAATCGAAAGAACTTACTACTGCGCCTCCTGCGTGGCTGCGTAGCTTGCATTAGAAAAGAGTGTGTCTACACGTTTGCTTAGAACAATGAGGCGGGGATAATGTGGGTGAAATTGCTCACTGATGGTTGGGATGTCGGGATCAGTGAGTAAGAAATCGGAATATATGGTTTGGTGATCCTGTTCAGTGAATCAGTAAAAGTGTAATGAATGACGAGTAGGAAGCACCATACCTGCAAATTCTCCCCGACGTCTGAGTTTGCGACGACAACCGGAATACCCAGAGCAGACAAACGGGCTTCGTCACCAATACCAGAAAGTTCGAGTAATTGAGGTGTATGGAGGCTACCAGCACTAAGGATAACTTCTTTACCCGCCGACACAGTATAGCTGGTTCCACTAGCGGTGAATTGGACGCCAGTCGCTGTAGCATTTCCTCCGTTTTGAGTAAATTGTATTTTGGTTGCCTTCAACCACGACTTTTGAGCATTCATCCGGGAAAGAACTCATGAATACCTACCTGAGCTCCGGTCAGCACAGCGAGGTTTGATCGACCGACATTGGGTAACAAGTAGTCGCGACCAGAATAACTTCGATTTCCAGTCGCAGCGTCGACACTAGCAGCACTATTGAACAGACCAGTCGTGTCGCCATTATCCTATAAACCCACGAAAAACCCATGAGATCAAAAGGGTGATTGACTACTGGAAACCTACAGGGTCAGCATTCTGAGGTACCCCTAAAGATAACAGAGCCTGAGCGTATGGACCCTCAATTTCACTGTAGAAGTTGTTGTAACTGATAGGAAGCGGCCCAGATTTCCCTTCGCCAGCCCCCGTTCCAGAAGGTTCGGTCAAGTTGTAGGGGGTAACTGAAGGCCCAGATGTGACACTTTCTGTCTTCTCAAAGTAAGGGAGCAATCCAGCCCAATCCCAACCTCCGTCAATTCCGAGTTGGCTCCAATTGTCGTAGTCACCTTGGCATCCGCGTCCGAAGATCATGAAATTGAGCCCACTCCCTCCGCCGACCATTTTTCCGCTAAACCAGTGAGATTCATAATGACTGACTAGGTACGAAGGGATTGAATAGCTTACAGGTTGAGTGCGACACTCCTCCCATTGAGAGTGGCTTGAGGAACAGTCTCATACGCCCAGTCGTAAAGAGGGTTGAAGAATCCTTCCCCGAGATAAGCTATGATTGTTCATGAGATTGACTCATAAGCTGTTTGTTACTTGAATCAGGTCAAACCGGGAGTATCAACGTAAGGGTCGCCGAAACGAGACTCTCCAGCTTCAATTACCCCAACGTTTACGGCGGAGTTCTCGCTGAGGCTGTTTGATAACAGTCAGTGAAGTTTTCACGTCATCTCAGAGAGCGATATACCGAGCAGCTACTACAAGACCCGCGGTGCCTCCTCCTATGCAAATATCGAGATATCAGGTATTCTCTCTTCTAGCTACGGAATGTGTACCCACCGACAATCACGTAGTCAAATGAACTCTGTGCGAAAGCGGCAGCATCAGATGTGATTCCTAAAATTGAACGATCAACATTGTACATGCAAGAGGACTCGACGGGAAAGCATCACATACCTGTGACTGAGGTTCGCCTGACCGGTGTAGAAAGAACTTTCCCAAACAGGGCCGTTAAGACGGTCAAAGTGGTATACCGCATTGTATGAAGACCTAAAATGAAAGAGAAAAAAGGAAAGAGAGAAATAGAGTTGATCCCGCCATATTGCAAACATTTTATACTATGCTCTGAATCCCATGTGTGGTTCCGTCAACTCTTCAAGACATCGAGATAGTGAGATGTCGAATATCGGCAGGAAGCTGTATCCAAGACAGGTACGTCGCGGAAGTGGTATCTGAAGCCGAGGAATACATAACAGAGAACAAACGAGAAATCGGTGCGAGGTGTGGACCGGCGCATGTTCATCAAACATCAAATTCGGCAAAGATATATTATCCATTGCGTACCCAACCAGAGCCAGCCTCTTTTAAAGTGTCCTTTTATGTGCCTGACTTTTAGGCTGTAATTGAACGACCTTCGTCGGCAAGAATATACCAAACTATAGATAGGCCCAAGATGGCATCGATGTGATTAAAAGAAGTACACAGGAACAACCAGGAACCCACCTCCTCATCGAAAGCCTGCTACTGCCACCACATAGCCGTCACTCTGGTCACCAATTTTGATTTCGAGTGACACCAAGCGTCTCCAAAAGGGGTGCAAAATCTCTCGCCGATACTATTTGATGCTTACTTCTTCAACATTCATCATCCCATGAAGAAAGCAACACCGACACGCCCACAGCCAATCTCGGGAGCAGCCTCCCGCGTCCTTTAGACCTTCACCACGACAGCTGTTTCTCCTGTACTTACTCTCGCCGATACCGCGGAAAAAGCCCGCCATATCGATCAAAGATATCTCGTCCGCGCCTTCCCCTGAAATACTTTGCACGATAGGCAGACACTTGAACATTCGGCATCAGCACAACGGGAGGAGGTTCGACAGTCATGCTGACAGTAGAATCGATTGGCTTGATCCAACACATCGAAACCGGATTCTTCAAGCTACAATGTCGTCTTGTTATCTATCAAATTTCCTATGATGGATTTTCCTGAGCGTAGCTGAGCGTGCGTTTCAAGGGTATTCATTAGAGAGTGCCGCACTGCTTTTGATAGACTCGGAATATATTCGGTTACCCTACTCTTTGATCTTCTTTGATATTCCAGTTCTAGGAAGATCTAGTGTAGGAGTTGCGTCCTTGAACTTGGATTCGGTTATTCAAGGGACAGTGAAGGGACATGGTAAGAACTGTTTGGGGTGTAATCCCACCAGAATAGTCTTGAGCTGAACCAATAGCGGATTCAGAAGATAAAATGGTATATATAAAGGACCATTACTGCGAGGTGCTGAGATATGGATGACGAGGAACAGTGTTGACGATCATGTGATGCAAGTCGTTTCCCTAAACTCAGACTGAATAATTATTCAGAATTATTCACGATAGAAATTATCGTCGTGAACTAACAGGAACTGACAGTGGCTAGCCAGGCTAGATTCTCTAATCTCAAGTTTCAATCTCGGACCTCTTTAGCTCCTCCTTCAACCTCTTCTTCAAGACATGCTCGCGATGTCTGGCATGATATATTGTCTTGCATAACGTCTACAATTAGTACCGTCTCTCTAAATGTCAGTATATTGCCTGAGCGGAGTCTTGACTTTGTGTGGCACTGAATAAAATACCGCAAAAGTAGACTCGGAGACTGCCTAGTAGCCTACTGCCTGCTTATGATCATGGAAGAAGCTCTCCAAGCAAAGTTGCCGCCCGGAATTTTTTGAGCTTTCACTTGGTTGTTTCTATTTCTATTCTACGTCTTCCTCCTTCTGCCCGTATTGCTATGTACTTATGACTAGATTTGAAGCAGATATCACCGCGCTCAAGTCAATGATCTCGCATCCGACATGAGGGCATGAGTCAGCACACACAGCATGAGAATATAAACACTATATTCGTACACGCAACACACACCCTTTCACTGCTACCACCACCTCTCGCATTTTAGATTCTTTAGAAGAAGGAGAATTCTTGCCTGTATTATATATTCATCATGAGCGACGAATGGGACGCACAAGTTGTTATTGGCTCCAAGAGACAAACTCCGAAAGTCACAAAGAAAGATTCCGACCTCAATGGTACGTGGAATACAAAGTACTGGTACTGGGTGGCAAATTCTGACCTTTGTATTGTACAGCTGTACGTATCCTATATCATTGCGAAATGTGGTAGAATGCCATATTCAATGTACTCTAGGCCCGAAGGTCAGGCGCTGTCGTGGGCACTGATAAGAAGACGACCGGTGGTTCGAACAAGGCTCACCAGGGTACGTGGCTTCTTGTTATCGTTCATGCCTCTCCTCACTCCCTCCACTAGGAACTGACCACCAAAAGATTGCCAAGCTCGATCGGGAGAACGAAGTTGCCCCGCCACCCAAAGTTGCACCCTCTGTCGGCCGTGTGCGTTGACATCCTCACTGTGACCCTGTTGTTTCCTCTACATACTAATATGACATTTTATTCCAGGCCATGGCTACTGCTCGTGCAGAGCTCAAGTTAACTCAGAAAGATCTGGCGCAGAAAATCAACGAGAAGCCGTCGGTTATGCAGGAATATGAGTCAGGAAAGGCCATTCCTAGCGTTCAGATCCTTGGCAAACTAGAACGCGTCCTTGGTGTGAAATTACGTGGTACGGTTTTCTTAACATCCCTACTTACCTTCCATTTAACTTTATTTTCATCTTGTTCAGGCTCACAGATTGGGGAAAAATTGGGAGGGCCTAAGAAGTCATGAATGGCTCCTCTTTCCTCCCATTCATGACTTCTGTTTTCGTAGTGAGGTCGTCCCTGGAATATTGTACTAGATAGTCTTCTTGGATGCTATGCATTTTTGTTTCTCGAAACTTCCATCCGTAGCCATCCGTCAACTTATCGGTGAATTTGGTCCGAGGTCATCAAAATATGGACTCAACGATATCATACATTTTGCTAATACTATGCATCTAGGCAAAGGGCCCCTCACATCAAGGAAATATACTTGAGAGTACATGGCAATCTGGTAGTTTGTAATTCGAAGAATTGAGAGGCAGCATACTTTAGCAAACTTGAGTCCACATGTGATGTGATATGCATCGACTCGCTTCCGTCGAAGAATCGCAGTACCAGTGTAGCTTCAGTAGCTTCTCTTTCCTTACCCTTTCCTGACCCGACCCTTTCCTGACCCGCTCCTGACCCTCGTGTCACCCTGTTCTTAATTATGGCATCCCTCCAGATACTCGTCATGAGCTCAAGTGCTGCGACACTCCTCATTCAATCCGAGCCCAGTGAGATTGCACGGCCGCTCTTGGGCCTTGCAGTTAACCGTGCATACCTCTTAGGAGCTGGGACCCGACCTCCAGCCTTCTCCCAATCCTGCATCTCTCAACACAACATAGTTAGTTGTACATATATTAATGTACATACAGAACGCTCACTACAAATATCAAGCATCACCAAAAGTTCAAAGAGCTACAATACACCGAATGACTCCTATTGTCCACCTTCTGCCGCACCCTGCAACAAGGAACGGTTAAGTCAGAAGGCAAAAGCATCAAGTAAGGAGGAGATTTACATATGAGATATAGTCAGGACTTTCACAAGATTTGTATTCGTTCAGCAGCTCTTCACAGGTTGCCCTACAAAACAAAAATCAACATTCGACCATTGAGTTTAGAGTGTTCATTCCTCACCTAGCATCATCAAACTCCTCCAACCCATTCTCAAACATTTTCTCCTTCTTATACTGCTCCAAGAACGCGTTCCTTCTCTTCAACTTATCGAATTGATCCAACATCCGCTTGAACAGCTATAAATGTATCCAAGATTCAGCTATAATAACTTTGTGTCGAAATAACAACGTACAGATGCGATACTAGTATGGTTTGCAAGCATCAAGCCACTGACACGATGATTGGTGGCGACATAAGGTGAACGTTTTGTGATTGCGACTTGTGGCGACGTCGGACCCCAGGGGATAAAGTTGGCAAGTTGTCTTTCTCGAATTCGCAGAAGGGATTGGTGGACCTAGAGTACCCGGTGACCAAAATTAGAGCAATTGACCATTCTGTGACGTTTGGTACTTACATCAGTAGGATCGACATCCCCTTGTATGATATTGAGAATAGAGATATAGCAAGCAGTTTTACTTGGTGTTGTAGATACCATGCGGTTTTTGGGTTGTAACAAACGTCGCATCACGTCAAGCACCGTCGTGCGTCTTATGGGTTTGGCCTGTCAAACAGTATCATTCAGCAGGAACTGACCTTTGAAGGATAACACACACTTTGTCGATCTGATCACTGGTGAACGGCGTATAGGATGTCATGAGAAAATGACATCGAGGTGTTGGGATGAGCGACGCAATAATGCCGACCAAATCGTTGTTCATGTATCCCGGGTATCGAAGTGTTTGTGTGCTGGCTGCCATGACCGTTGCTACCTTGACAGATAATGAACACTGCTCTCTTGACTGCGGATATTTCTTACTAGTTGATTTGTTTGGTCAAACGTAGGTGTTTGAACATGAAGTCTTTCTGATGAAATCCGTGCCAACGCTCCATTATCTAGTACCACAACCGAATCAGCATGATTCACCAGACGTTTTAGCGTAAGGAGAGAGTTGTATGGTTGGACAACGACATCTCCTTCTTGTGCATTCGGAAAAACACTGTATGTTTGGATGAGTTTCTTTGGAAATCTATCGTTCAATCGTTCTAAAACAAATGAGCCCAGTCCTGACCCAGTTCCTCCAGCGATCGAATGTGCGAGCATGAAGCCCTTGGGGGGATGAACAAATATTTCGGGACGAGATATAATACACGTACCTCTAACGAATCGCTACCCTCAGCCTCTCGGTCAATCATCTCCATTATCTCTTCGTATATCCGTTCTCCAGCAGCATATCCTTGGGCCCAATTATTCCCTGCTCCACCACCATCCTTAGACACGAAGATATTTTCTGGATTGTACAGGTTCGCGTAAGGTGAGGTCAGTATATTATTGATAACCTGGTTTCATCAGTTAATAAATTAGGAACGATAAACACGTTAAGCACTTGCACGAGGCTCAAGGTCAACTAATATTGCCCGTGGTATATAATGTTCATCGTCAGCTTGATAGAAGAACGCGTCTTTTCGGTCTCCAGGCTCAGTAGCCCATTCTTCGAGGATGCCTTCCTTGCTAATCCCATGTTCAGCGCAGAGCCGTTGCCAATAAACCGAGCCCACTAAAGATAACTGAGTATACTTTGTAAGCGATGAGGCCGCAGACATACTTTGATTCCCACATTGACCTAGCTGCACTGTGACAATTTCTCGAGGCATGATCGACGCGAAGTATACGCTGCAATTATCTGTTGGCACAGTGCAAAAAGTAGTCACGTTACAAGACTTTCCCACAATCTCTCTCCAACTCTAAGTCTTTTTTTTCGTTGCCGCTCCAATCTTTCATCGATAACTTCTCCCTCTCAAATATCCTCTAGCACGTCAAGAGAGCTTACAGATAGCTGAAACAAATAACCGATATCCCAAATCACCACATCGAGTGAGCAGAAGTTTTTCTCCCTGCACAACGCAGCTCAACTCATCCAGAGGCTACGTGTAGATCTATCTCGCAAAGAATGTGAGTATACCGCACCAAAGATACTGTACCGATAGGGAAACTTGAGGCACTTGTCATTTATCTGATTTGACGGCTTCTCTTTAGGCTTGTCTGTAACATCGAAGGTTGCAAACATGCCAAGCTGTCTCGAACGAAAAAACTGCATTTCTATTATTATCACAAAGAAGACTATAAACTTCGATGTGGGTTACCTCCATTTTCGTGAACTTACATCGTCGCCTTTATTTGGTTGTATATGCTAATGTTTTCCTCTCTACCAGATAATGGTCAAAAAATCTCTCTCACGCGTCGGCCAGATGGAAAAGTCGGCTGCGCTTGTGGACAGGAACAGCATGCGCGTTATAATTATCAAAAGGTTTATGAGATGTGTAGAAAAAAGATCCACCCTCCAGCGAATTCAACACAGTGGAAGGACTCGGATGATAATTTGATATCTTCAGGTCCGACGCGCACTGGTCCGGATACTTCGATGAGAGTTAGCAAAAGACTTTTGCCGCGGAGAGTTCAGGGAGCGGCGGGACAAGCGAAATTTGAGAGTGAGATCAAGTTAACTAATTTGGAGGTACTGTATATGTTCCATTTCTCTTTGTAGACTTTTACTAGAACAAACGTAGAAACACAAAGATGACTTGCTACGAGAAGTTCAGGTCACCAGAGAGGAATTGGTAGCAAAGCATAATGAGGTGTGTTGCATTTTCCAAACCCAAGTGGTATATCGGGGTCATTTTTTCAATTGCGTGGCCATCAGCTTCAAATAATCCTCAAAAAGCAAGAAATCTCTGAACTTGAAGCTGAACTTAATGCCAACAAGTTACGCATAGGATCTATGGATCGTTTATTCGAGCCATAAGCCTTGAAATTCCTACACCACAACTGCAAGCACACCATCATCCCTGTTGAGATTCTTGGTACTGTAAGCAACTCGCCAGCTGGAGAATGGACGAGGAACTTCGGAAACGTTCGCTTCGTGCATACTCAAGAATACCGTAGAATATGCTAGTATTATTTCATAGTTGTTAAATTACACAAAAATATAGCAGCGAGGGATATGCGTTTGCTAACCTTTAGTCAACGCATTACTGAAAACTTAACGACCCCCCCGTCCAATCCTTTTGTCTCTTGAACAGGACAAATGAAAGCAGCTGCCACCAACAAGTAGAACACATCAAATCAATGATTTACTTGTTTGTACACATGTAAATGTAAAAAAAATGTTCCTGTTCAATGATCAAACTTTGTTTAAAAATGAGCATATCCCGTCAAGATAATTTAGACAAGGTCTTCTTCAACTCCGCGTTTTTCCTTTCAAGAGCCTCCAACTTCCTTTCAGATTCCATCATCTTCTTTAGAAGATACCGAGACCTCCGGGATGAGGGATCTTCAGTCAACCAGGTAGAAGGTCCGTTTTTCCCAATTTCCACCAGCTTCAAGAGCTCCTCCTCACATGACTGGATGGTTGTCTCTGCAATGGACACGAGCCGGTTGTTGAATTCAATTTCCTGAGTGGCTCTGAAAATGGGATCTGAAAGCCCATAAGTAAAGCTGTGTAAATGGATAAGGGTATAAATGGTAATACCATTGACCAGACGTTCGAAGACCCATCGATAGACGGGCTTCCCTGGTCGTATAATAGTAGGGAGACCTGTAGTTATTGTAGTTCAAAGATGAGACGCTTTTGAACAATTTGATTGGCATTTACCATCGCGAGTTGCTATCGTAATCAACTCAGCATGTTCCATGGACCGTAGCGGACTGTCATCGCCCTTAAATGGGTAGTCAACTAGAATTTGGTGATAGGGGACCTAAGAAAACGTATTGTCACGAATACAGACCAACAAAATGTAAGCATTCACTCGCCTCGGGATTCCTCGACAAAAGGTTGAGCAAAGTCCATGCCTGACCCCGTGTCCAAGGGAAATTCTTCGCATCCTCCGCATCATCTCCGAACGCATTCTTCCTCAACTCTCCAACTCCGCGATTGACGATGTCTTCAACAGCTTCCTTCACACCCATACCACTCCGTACTTTGTTTATGAGCTGCAGTGGGAGACCGTCAAACGGAGTGTTATGACCGTAAAAGAGACATCTCACACTTTCGAGATCAACGGACCTACCTCCAAGTCGCTGCACGTAAGTTTTCTCTTCTCGCGACAGAGTAACGTCGACATCGGCTTCATGTAGCTTTTCTTGCACGAACGCGAGAGCACTGGTCTCATCTGCATCGTACAAAGCCACGAAGTTCAGTGGTTTAGATTGTAGCGCTAGTCACAATCGATAAAAAGTCAGTCTACAATCTTTACGCGTGGGGCTTGAAATTCAACCTTTTGCCACTTTCTTCGAGTTTTCCCGGTTATCGCTGATGACAATTACATGGGCAATCTGTTGGATAGGAAATCATTCAGAACATTGTCATTGGAAAGACAAGATCGTGCTCACCTGATTTTCGGCTAGTTTGGCAGCCCACTGCGCAAGGCCATTGAGGAGGTCTTCTCGGGCAGTCTTTCCAGCGAAATTTCGAATCACCACTATAGGTAGAGCCTCCACAGCCTGAATCTCATTTCCCTCGTTCTCTTTCTTCCTTCCGGAATCCGTTAAAGATGGTTTTTGAGCTTGTTTCTGGTCTGCATCGGGGGGAGTGTTTGCCTTCTCATTCAGAGACTCTTCGCGCTGGCTAGCTTTCTTGTCAAGTTGGTCCGTAGGCCTTTCACGCTCTTTCGCTTTGATCTTTTTCGTGATAGCCTTATGTTGTTTATCACTAACGTTTCGAAGGGCAAGGGCGACGGTGTCCAAAATTTGCTGTAGCTGCTCGTCAACAGAACGGCTCAAACCGGCTGCGGGCCCATATCAGACGTCAGTTATCTCTCATTCCAGGAAGGTATTACCTTTTTGACCAATCACGCCGACACTAGCGAGATCGATGAGGTTGTTCAAGCTGTTTAAGAAAGAGAATATCGGCCAATATCCAGTCTGCTTTGCGAGACCTGCCACTAATTGCGCATCGGAAGAAGCCTTGGAAAGCTCACGACAGTCGATGACAAGAGATTTTCTATTCGATCGATTTGAGTCCGAGTATCTTATGTGAAGATTGGGGCATACCTTTCGGCCGACTTCAAAGCAGATGCTATCATCGTGCTTTTGCCACTCCCTTGGGGTCCATGTACAAATGTAACTGTAGAAGGTAGATCTGATAGGTAAGTTTGGATAGCCCTTTCCGCGTCTTCTCTTTCTTTCCAGATTTGCTTATCGACTGGGGGAGCCTCGGACTTGGAGTAAATCCTCTCTAAAGTATTCGCTCGGAGCCATTTGTAAACCTTGAACTCTATAGAATATCATTAAGCATTGATGCAACACAACGAAGTACAGTGTCGTACCTTTGAGGTCAAACCAATCCAGTAATTTCGCTTCAACCATGAGTATGCGAATTGGGTCGAATATCTGCGTCGCATCAGCGTGTTGAGGAGCAGATTACTCGTAGTTCTTACCGTGTATGTAAGGGTCCCAAGCAAGAAGAATAGAACAGGAAGGAAGATCTTGGGATGGTTCGTTATCCAATCTCGAATAACATGAGCTTCAATGGGAGATGTGTAGGATATGCGAAGACGCGTAGGCCCTCCAGAGGTAGGCACTTGCAGACCATATATAACGTTCCGTGCAACAGTTGCAGAATGGATGCGATTAAAGTGTATCGTGGAAAATCGTTGCATGCCAGCAGGTACAGGAGTAGGTTGTGTGAGCTCTTCAATGCGTCCATAAGGCTGACTAGATGTCATGTCCATGTAGCTTTAGATGAGATGTGGTAACATACTCGGAAAAGTCGGTATAGAGTCTCTTCTGGCACGTCAGGCCCTTCAAAAGATACCTTGAGTATCCCGGATGCAGAACGTCCTATTATATCCTATATCACCGGTCAGTGATATACAATATAAGGTATGAAACCGCTCACCTCTGTCCAAGGTGACCCTTTCACCAGCCATACATTTGGTGTGCGAGGTCCCAGCCAAGTTGCAATTCCACCATTCATTCGGGCCTCTTGCCTCAAACTCTCTTCGATAACATTCAAGGCCGGCTCCTCCGCACCCGATGCTTTGTACTTGAATTTAACAAATACACCACCGTCTTTCAGGTGTGGGTCCACTGAAAGTATACGTAGATCGTGCGTTTTGACATTGCTTAACTTCTTCTGAAGATTTGTTAATAGTGTATCTTTCTGTGGTGCTACAAAGTATCGTCGGAGACTGAAAGAATCATTAGAGTTATTATAAGGTGGGTTGGAGAACTCACTCAAATTTGCCCAGTAGAACAGGGAAAACTGAATCTACAAATACACAACCGTCTCGTTCTGGCACTGGGACCTGAGGAAAACATTTGACAATGAGCAGATATTCAAAGAGAAAATGATGACCATGCTACCTGAACCTCTGACTCTGCTATACTAAAAAACTTTACGAGATTTGCTGGAGACCGAATAACGTGATGGCGAGGAACACTTCCAAAAGCTTGTCGAAACATGAGATCTTGGAAGCTCAGAAAAGAAAACTGGTCGACTTGACATCATCGCATAACACGGCCCGCGGGCCGCAGGTTTACCTTCAAAAATGCCATTGCTTGCTTTGGAAATCAATATCCTGCACTACTTCAAGAGCTCAATCGAAGACCATCGACTCGAGACACAAATCTTCAGCAATGATCACCAATTACGAGAAGGAATGGATATGTATTGGCTACATACAACTAACGCTGCCTCGATTTCTCGACTGAGGGACGAATCTATTGATGTACATGTATGATAATATACGCGACGGCGTTTGCCCGCCGCAAAGAATGAATTGATTTCGGGATGTTATAAAAGCCCCACTGTCGCAACAATTGTTGACCTCAACTTTCTTTCGATACCTGTTGCTCTCAAATTCGCTACTGCCGTAACACTTCCACTCGGTGAGTTCGTGCTCCATCGATATTCGCGACTTGCTGACGTTTCTTTCGACCAGTTCAAACCATGCGTTTCTTTTCCGTTCTTTATACCATCGTTGCTGCTGCCAGCGTGGCCTTAGTTTCTGCCCAAGAAGCCGCCCGTTTCGGTATAGTGAATGTCACTCCCACCGGACTGCTCACAGCCAATGAAGTGCGTTGTCCTCCGTTGTACCGCGTTGTCAGCTATGTTTAATTCTGGGCGTCAAACAGAGCATCACAATAAAGTACAACTCGACCCTTGCTCAAAATCAACCTCTTTACGTCGACTTTTATCTGGAGGGAGAGTTTTCCAATGGAAATGCTGCTCCGAACCTCTTGATCTCGAGGAACAATTACACTGCCAATCAAACCATTCTCCTTCAGAACGCAACGGTAGGCTTTGTTCTATTGAAACTGAGCTTGTGTACTGACTCGCAATCATAGGTGCCCAATCTCGATTTGTTGGGTAATGTCACCTACGCCCTTTGGGCTTGGGTTACTTACAACCAAAGCGGCTTGTTGCAAATCGGAGGGGTCTCCGCATAAGTACAGGAAAGGGTGTAGTAGATGCAGCGGTGTCGTTTAGGACCAGTTGCCCTCATGGAACTGAGCTGATATGTACTACTTTCCGCATTCCCTGCCAATATACATCGCATGATTTTGTTCCATCAGATCTTGCGTGTGGATCAGTTGTAGTTGTGATGAGGAGATAAATTATACAGTATGTTCCTCTCCTGGTGTGGAGTGGAATCATGCGACGCCTTGTTTATGAAGTAGTGGGGTTATAATTGTAAGAAAGTTGAGAATACTTCAGCCAGTGAGAGTTGGGGAATAGGTTGGAGCTTGTTCACGCGCTTTCTGCAGCTGACACTGACAGCTCTTTGAGCGGCACTGACATAGCTTCTTTATTTACTTAATACTTTCTTTCAAGTGTAGATACACTTTATCCTTCTTCAACTCCTTACACGACCATGTTCACCAACATTCCTCCAAGCGTCGACGAAATTGTCGACAAGCAGCTCTTTATTGGCAAGTAAGGCTTATTTTACATAATTCATGCTTTCACTTTCTCTAGCATTGACAATTGTTAACCGTGTCGATTACACAGCCTGTCCGCTGCAGTGTCTTCCGAATTGCGAAAGCAACTAGGAATAACACACATTCTCTCCGTCTGTCCCGAATTTCCTTCGACGGGGTTGAATCACTTGACGATTGCTGTAGACGACAGCGAGTATGAAGACCTTCTCATTCGCCTTCCTGAAGCCTGTCAATTCATCCAAAATGCTCTCAGTAATGGAGGCAAGGTCTTGGTTCATTGTGTGATGGGTGTGTCCCGGAGCGCCACCGTTCTTTCTGCGTACTGTGCGTCGGTTTCGTTTCGCAAGTTCCTGCGCCACTCTTTCTCACTGCGAATCCAGTAATGCAATCTCGGAAACTCAACCCGTCTCAAGCTCTGGAGCTGATTCGGACTCGTAAGAGATATCTATTTCCTCCCTTGTTCGAGTCGCCGTTAACCATCGTAACCCAGGCCGACCTTGCGTTCAACCCAATTATGGTTTTCTCAAGCAGCTTGACGCTTTCGGTCAATGCGGCTACAACCCGTCAGCTGAACACCCCGCGTACATTTCATGGAAGCGTCGACAGGAACAAGACGTCACTGTGTTCTTAAACCAGATGATTGACACTATTCCTGTAATCCGACAACAATTATATCTTTGCAGGCACGTACTTTTGCCCTTCCAATTCACTCAATCAAATCTTCCTCTGACCGGTCCGCTCTCAATCTTAGTGAGTTTCCAGACGATGTGGAACAAACCCAGTCCCTTCTTTTTGAGTTCGGTATCACTCATTTGCTCTCCATTTCTCCTTCCACGACCATCCCGAGTCCGACAACCCTCGTCCAACACCACCACATCTCCGATTCGCAGCAGGAACGCGATACGATTTTGCTTGCCCTGCCAGAGGCGTGCAATTTCATCAAACAGGCGATAGCTGACGGGGGTGTGGTTCTCGTTTATTCGGAAATAGAATCCAAGGCCGTTCTTGCTTCGTATGGATATCGTGAGTTTTCTGTGCTATTTGACGAGTTCCGAATACTGAGGATCTATGCTAGTAATGTGTTCTCGTGGACTCACGCCCAAGCAGGTGTATCAGCAGCTGACCGAAGGTAAATTTAACTTATTACCTACCTATGTGAAGCCAACTTACATCTCATCGATTGATATGTAGCTCTCCCTCTCTTCAACCGCACGTCCAACTTCACCCGGCAGCTGGAATTATTCGACGCATGTTCATTCGCTCCGACATCTGACCATCCACTGGTCAAGGAATGGCTCAACTCTGGTGCATCCTCCGGCTGGAATAGTCGGCGAGGATCATCAAATTCGTCAGACGTCGCCGCCGCACTCAGTGCAACTGCTCTCAATGTACTGAGTGACACGGGTATTGATTGCAAAGCCTTTGGTGAAACGCTCCACAAGTTACAGAGTACTTCGAGAACGTCTAAATCACTTGCTAGACTTCAACCCATTGAAGTTCAAAGTTAATGCTCACGATGTTCGGTTGTAATTTCATCCTATGATCTATATGTTGTCACAGTACCCTATACATCTGCTAGTATCGCTTGTAATTGTATGCATTCACGGACTACTTCTGTTACATTATGACTAACACACAACGAGGAAAGGAGGATGTACATAGAGCGACCTGCGAACTAGCACAACCGCATATCAACAACTTCCTGAATAATCGACACTGTATATTGTGATACAGTATTCTTCCAAATTCCCAAAAACCCTTCATGCTTGTCTATCTCATGTAGAACCATGGCCGCAGTGTTGCCGGAAGCGTATGCAAGATAACATGTGAGGACGGAGATCATGTCCGTGCAATGGTCTCGAGGAGCTGTGATGAGGATCCGAGCACCTTGATGCCGGTGTAAATCGTATCCCGTTCCGCACATGAACTCTCTTGATGCAAGAAGCTGCTTTTGCGTCAACAACGGGATACCACCGGAGTGTTCATTATTGTAGTCCCTGTGATCAGTATAAAGCCTGTGTGCTGCCTCAAAAGGCACTTCGTCGACTTCCGAGGTGAGAATGTGCATGCGAAGTCCGAAAAAGTTGGGAGAGTTTGGGGAGATACCCAAGTTCAACACCTGGGTCTCATAAGAATCGACGTGATGCTGAATGTCAGGCGACTCGGATTGGTCTTTCAAGGCACTAAGTTTAATGATATGCGTGAACCTTTCACCGTTGTTCGTTCTCAGCTCTTCCTCTGGAGGAATACGTAGTGAGCTCGTTGGAGGGCCGAATGCGATACGGTCACTCTCGAATGCGATGAATAAACCTGGCAGGATATGTTGCAAACACCTGGATTCGTTCTTCTGCGGCCGTTGATAGCGTTTCGCAAGATAGGAGGCCGGTCGCAGTGATGGTGACGGCGGTAAAGGCGAAGGCGAAGAGATGCCTTGCCCGTAAGGGGGCTGCTCTCGAAGGCGGTACGAATGTCCAAAGGGAGAAGAAGGTTTTGGCAAATGTGAGGATCGTGGTGGTGCTGCCGCTATTTTGGCGTTATGATGGGTAGCTGAGTTTGACTTTCCGGATATGTTCTTCGCGCGGGGCACCGGGGCCCATGGGTCTTTTAAAGGAGGATACAAAGATGATGGTGTGGTAGAGGGAGGGGTACCGGTTGGCGCATCAGTTGAGGAGGAAGACTGCATTGATACGGAGCATAAGAATACTTGGTCCGTTACTTTATATTATGTTCCTTCCGCAAAACACTTGATCGACGATCAGTATAGGAGAGTGGATACGAACTCGAGACCGATATATCCCCCTTTTACACGGCGTCAGCGGCACATTTTGCCTGATAAGCCGTTGCTACCGAAATGAAAATCCAGCAGTTGAAGCCCGCGAAGGCGCACTGGCGAAGGACCATTTAGGTTTTAAATGTACCTACTTCGAATGGTCTTTCATCCATCGGTCGACTACACTAGGTATAGGGCAGGCAGACGATTCTGATCTGGGGTGAGCCTTGTACATCTCCTGGCAGCATTCATACAATTGTCGGAGGACTTTATCGCATTTCTCTGGATGATACGTGTTCTTCCCCAGACAATCCTGAAGATTGCAGGCTAAAAGATGGATAAAAAAATAAGTTTTGAATTCGAATATTGTGAGCTGGATAGTATTGACCTTGGGCTTGACAAGGAGATGGGTTCTATGTTTTGAGTAAGCCTGGAATGAGACGTTGGTTGGAAAACCTGGGCCATACATAACTTACATTCGACATGGCAGAATGGAGATGCAGAAAAGAAAAGGAAGCAGAATGACGTCACAGTGGAAAACTCCCGTGGTCGAACAAGTCGAACCCGGGCCAGCCGGGCCGTTTCCCTGTTCAACGTTCAACGTTCATGTACTCACTTCGCCGGAGTGGTTGTGGAACGACTCCAGGAGCTTGTGGAAAAGATAGGGTACAGAACATAACAAAACAAAAATAACCGTCACCTGTGCGATTCGAACACACGCGGGCAAAGCCCAACCGCTTTCGACTACGAGAAGGTAGCAGGCGATCCCGTTAACCACTCCGGCAAAGTGACTTATGATACCAGATGGCGTATAAAAATATATAACTGTCTATATGTGTATGCATGGTACTCAACTAATGAACCACAAGTTAGCTTACTGGCTACATGCACTCACAACAAGAGCCACGCACGTTTGAACGTCTTCCTGTTTCGTTCATGTCCTTTGTGATGTGGTGGCCATCGAATATACCGGGAATATACTCACCAGCGCATGGCTTGAGGAAGACATTTGCTTCGACGACGCACAGCGACGCACTCTGGTCGCACAAGGCCAAGTCTTCGGATTTGGAAGCCTCTCCTTCCGGGACAACACAGTCTGAGTAATGCAACCCGAACACAGTGTCGTATCGTGATAAACAGATTGATCTGCGCTGGAGAGCGAGGTAGAGATATCTAGGGAAAGCAGTAGATCTATTGGAATAATTCTACGAAACCGTCGTTCTCGTTGCCGAGTCTGGAACTGACAGAGAAGGATGATACATTCGACGCGGAAATAATCGTGACTGCCTTTGAGCAACCAAATACTTCTCTTCGAGTCAGCGAGTTGGCGGCTGCCTGGGGGTAATCCAATCGGTGTCAAGGTCAGAGGCCTGAAGACCGACATTTCTTCTGATGCTCGACGCGTCTCCTCACTCACTCTCATCGTCAGATTCGTTCCTTTCCCTTCCAGTCTGATCACTACTACTCAATATTCGCTCCCCGTCGCTCTGTGTTTGCTCGTCTATGTTCTGCTACGAATTGACGCGTCATCCCAAGTCTTGCTTAACGAGCTGGTTCAATCGCCAGTCCGAGGCTCCCGAGGCCGATACAAACGACCATTATCAGTGATTGACAAGTACTTGTCTATAACATAACACTGAAATTTTTTCAAAAAAGTCTTCAGGTCTTCAGGAAAGCTTCCGCTTGCATAACTTCGAGTAGCTGAGGTATTACATGGACCCGACACCCACTTCAATTCTACCTTTCCCGGCCTGGCTGTCCCCGGGATGTCGATAAGGTGCGGGCTGACATTGGACAGCAACGACTCCGCTCCTCGTTTCGATCAAAACTGCAGGAAACCATTGAATCTATCATTGAACGCGTTCACGTTCAACGAAAACAGCGGTGTTACCCCGGTTATACTCGACTGATAAAGCCTGATATTCTGACTAACTCAGTGCTTTATCGGGAAGCTGGATGGACGGTTCCTGAACTTGCGTACTAATCGTCCTTTTCGGGCGGTACAGTAGTAAGCAAGGCAATTTAACCCAACTAGTCGTGAGATGGGATTGGAAAAAAAATGCTTCCGTGGTATATATATGGCGTATGCGTATGGGGGTGCCATCTAGCAAACTCTACAACTTCGACAGATATGGCTCTCAGCAACGCTCTCAAAATCGAATACAGGCAACTCGGTAAATCTGGCTTAAGAGTCAGTGTACCTATCTTGGGTGCCATGAGGTGTGTTCTTTCTATGGTTCAGGCTGCACATGAAGACACGACTGAGTATGAAATTTCATAGCATTGGGGATCCTAATTGGAATGTAGGTTACGTGTCACTACAGGTGCCTTCACTGCCTTGACCGTGAATTACAGGGCTGGCCGTTAGGTGAAGAGCAGGCTTTACCTCTCTTGAAACACGCTTGGGATAGAGGTGTTAATACTTGGGATACCGCCAATGTTTACTCGAGTGCGTATATATCTTGATCCTCGATGGAAGGATCATCATATCTGATCAGGTTGATGTTTTTAGACGGCGAATCCGAAAGTGGGTGATTGATCATCACAGAAACCCATCATGTTGACTGACTTCTCTCAGGAATCATTGGCAAGGCTATCAAGAAAGTAAGCATTACATTATCCTTCAGAACACTGATGTTTACAAAGATCTTCTTCGTGAACAGTACAACATCCCACGAGAACGTCTCATCATCCTCACAAAATGCTATTTCCTGACCCACGAAGAAAGCTCTGCCAACACTTTCGCCATGGGCTATCTTAAAAACACTCGGGACTACGTGAACCAGTCCGGACTCGGTCGTCAAGCCATCTTCAACCAAGTTGACGCGTCGCTCAAACGTCTCGGGACCGACTACATCGATCTCCTCCAAATCCACCGATTCGATGCCAGTACGCCCGTTGAAGAGACCATGGAAGCTCTGAACGACCTCGTCAGAATGGGCAAAGTGAGATACTTGGGTGCTAGCTCTATGTGGACATGGCAATTCCAGATGATGAATTACGTCGCGGAGAAGCACGGATGGACAAAGTTCATCAGCATGCAGAACCGTATGAGGTGAGATGTTGTTCCAATCAACCATCGAAGTTTAGGGCTGATTCAAAGCTTATCAGTCTCTTGTATCGTGAAGAAGTACGCCATTCGCTATTATTAATAAGAAGTATTCAATCTGATGCGGTTCTAGGAACGCGAAATGCTCGCATACTGCAATTTCGCCGGTATTGGTGTCATCCCTTGGGGTCCGCTCCACGCAGGTGTGTTTGTCATCTCCATCTTCGCACTATGTTTAACTCGCGACTTTCCAAGGTTATCTCGCCCGCCCTCTCGGCACGGCCACACCACGAAACGAAGCCCTCAAGGGTACTGGATTCGACCGTGTCCTCACTTCGACAGATAAGGCCATTGTCAACCGTGTAGCTGAAGTGGCCGAGCACAAGAAGTGGACTATGTCCCAGGTTGCACTCGCCTGGATCCTCACAAAGGTCTCTAGTCCTATCGTCGGTTTGAATAAGGTAAGAACCTATGCGGTCTTCATGGTGTTTATGTATTGATACAATCTTTTCTCTTGTAGCCCGAGCGAGTAGACGAGGCCATTATTGGAGATAAGAGGCTTTCATCCAACGAGATTGCTTACTTGGAAGAGCTGTAAGTCTTCAAAAATGTGTCCTCTTTCTCGTGATGCTGATTTATCGTTTGAAGCTATCGACCATTAAACGTTGTGGGCCACTAGATAGATTCAAAACTATGTACATACTGTCAAAGTAAAACACATTGGCTTCGAGATTGCATTTGTTGGACTTTTAGGCAGCAACTTTGATCCTCTTCAAAGTATCATTGAAATCGTTATCGGAAGTTGCGACTACATACCTCACGAAACTAAGTATGGCCTGGAAGGTCTAGCTTGTCCTATATCATTTTCGAAGAAGGGATCATACACTTATTCAGCTTCAGCAAAATGAATTGTATACCCCTGTGCATCCGCTCAGAGGGTGTACAAGACATTTAGGACGGAGAAACCAAGGACTTTGGTGATGCATCTGGCACGTCTGCACAGATAAGTACATCTCGTCACTTGGTGGGTATAGCAGTGTTCTAAGTATACATAAGTCCAAGGGTCCAAGATAGTCCAGTGCCAGCCTGGTTTGGTCCAAGGTTTTGTCTTCTCAAAGTCGCCAACGTTCGTCTAGGTCCCATTGTGCCCATCGAATCCAGAATTGATATGTAGCCCCGAGTCGTGCTCCGCAGTGATCCTGTGTGATTCTGTGAAGTCAGTGCAGGTCAGTACGGGGGCGCCCCGGGACAGCAGGTGGTCGACTACACCCACTGTCCTTGAATATAGTAGGGCTGATATGTTACTCATGGCTGAAGTTGTAATTGTGTTTGAGTCGCGAGTAGTCGCTTTGAGACATGCGAAGTGAAGTCTCAGCCCTGGTCTCCAGCCTGAGAGCTTCAGAACTTGAGACACGAGATTCAGACAGCACGAGCGTTCCCATTGGTATGTCAATAAAGCATCGAGGATTGCCAAGCAGGAAACTCGAGCCCGTCACCGCCTGGTACCGACAGGTCTTGACATCTTACTCGACAGCGATACCGAGTGAGTTGGAGTGAAAAACGATTTCCAATCTTGAAGGTCTGCCAAAATGGCCAGGTAATTTAATTGAAGACAGGCTTTTCTTTCTCAACGATCATGTCACCGATGTACATATAGCGTAGTCGTAAAAATATTCGTACTTGAACAACAGCTTGTATCTAATTACATCCATTGCAGTACATTTGGGTATCTAACATAAGTTCTAGTAATTATGGCGAAGTCATTGAATCATGGATCTGGAAGCGCTCTCAAGGGGTGATGACAGCACGGAATTTGACCTGACCACTCTGCATCTTGCCGAATGCCTCGTTGGCTTGTGCCAGAGAGAACCTAACAAATCAAAATGAGAAAACAGGAAGCGTGAGGAGTGGTGCGGAACCTACTTCTCAACCATTGCTTTTATGTTATGCTTCTTAGCAAATGCAACTGCCTCCTCGCTGTCCTTGGCATGACCCGAGGGCCAACCTTTGACAGTAGCGCGTTTACCGATGAGAGCAACGGTGCTCAGTTCAAGGTCAGCAACTGAAAGTGCAAATCAGATAACGCACTCAAGAACATGAAACTCGTACTTACTGGCAACAGTAAGCATGGTGCCTCCGACTTTGAGCCCCCCGAGAAGAGTTGTAATAGCATCACCCTGAGGAGCAGTTGCGAGAATAACCTTGGCTCCGCCGAGTTTCATAAGTTCTTCGACCTGGTTCACCTTTGATCCGTCGAGGTAAATATCGGCACCGAGCTTAGTGGCCAAATCCTTCTTAGCGTCGGACTGGGATAGCGCGACAACCTTGAAGCCCATCTGTTTAGCATACTGAATGCCGAGATGGCCTAGACCTGCACAAGAATGAAATCAGCTGATTTTGGTGACGCGTACTGTTAACAATAAGCTTACCACCGAGACCTAAAACGGCGACGAGATCGCCCTTTTTGAGGTCGGGGACATGGCGGAGTGCGTTAAAGGTAGTGATACCAGCGCAGAGGAGGGGGGCAGCTTCAGCAGGGTCAAGATCTTTGGATATAGGAAGGACAGCCTCGGTACGAAGAGTAACGTATTCAGCGTAGCCACCGTCCTGGGAGACACTATTATGACAGATAAGAAATCAATTCAAACGATCAGAAGAGAAACCAACCCGTTGATAGCTTCTTTCGAACAAGTGATGAAGTCGCCCTCCTTGCACGAGCCGCACTCATGACAGTGCCCACCATGCCATCCAGAGCCAACACGATCTCCAACTTTCCAACGAGTTTCGCCAGCAGGCACTGAAACGACGTCGCCAATAATTTCATGGCCAGCTACTCGGGGAAGTGCTGCCATTCCATACTTGACCATAGCATCGCTGTGTTAGATTGCAGCTTAGCTGATGACTCTGCGCACGAACGGAATGTGTACTTACCTAGCACATACACCACACGCGAGAACTTTGACGAGGATAGTACCTGCTTTGGGTGCCTAATGGACAAAAGTTAGAAAAAGAAGGAAGCATTGATGACAGACGCGTTCCACACCTCTAGAGGCTTTTCAATGATTTCAAAGTCACCACCAGCAGATTTGATGACGGCAGCTTTGAAAGTCTTAGGCAGCGAGCTGGTCGAAACACGACGATCGTTATTGAGGAGTTTCTTTATTTTGGCTTTGAAGGACTTGGAGAGCGACATGTTCAGTTCGGGAGTGTTGGGAACTGGTTGGAGGGGAAGAGCAAATGACCTTTGATGCTCGGACCTAATAATTTACCTTGTCTTATACTCTCTTTGCTAAGAATTTGGACAGTCAGCAAACTTCTTGCTTACATATCTCGCTGTTGGGAAAGGCACAGGAAGATCCCGCAAATAAATTCTAAGATTACTCCGGAGTGTAGAAATGAAGCATGATGCCAGGACGACACGGGAGAGTTATTTGTACCGATACGCCCGCGATATCAAGACGCTAACTTGAAACAATTTGATGATCTGCCTTTTTGGGATACCTAGACGAGAATCCCGAACCGTCTTGACGCTACACCAGCATTCGAACTTGAGTTTGAGTTGCAACCAACGTTTGCAGTGTGTTTTCAATGCGTCTTGCAGCAGATGAATTTCCGTGTATCTCGTGAGATTTTTTCTTGATACATCCAAACCTTGGAGAGCGGATGTAATTCATGTCAATTTGGAACCAGGGCAAGGCGTTCGCTGAAAGAAATGGGTAGGTGGCAATCCGAACATGGTGATATTTGTCATGGATTATGTAAAGATAGAGGAAAATAGGCTCGTTCAGGACCTCCTCTTCAAACTTACTAACCGCAAATACTCAATCAAGCTCGAGTATCTTTGGCCGGCCTTGAGAGATACTCACAAGGTCTTCCTCGTCGTGTATGCATTGCGATTCAATCATCCTCCATGATCTCGCATCGTAAACTGGTTGGCAACTGCATCCAATGCAATCGATGACATGGAACTTCCCTCCATCCAAATCCAATCGACCATCCTGTCAAATTTCAAACCTTGCTTACTATTCTGCTATCGTCTTTGAGACTTACATATGGTCATGTCCGCATCGCCTGTCCTACGATCCGATCACCCAGAAACTTGTCCACCTTCAAACGCAATCTTTTCCAGCCCAGATTGGTGTTGAATAAGGATCTCAGCCCAGATCAAGTACTCACGCCACGCGCCAGTCACCGTTCAGAACAAAGTCTATGACTACTCTTCCGCCTCAAACGAGTTCCGAGAGAGTATTCGAAGGAAAACTCAAATGACTCCTCGCTGTGGAAACTCGATATTCAATGCTGAGATTGCATAAGGCTTACATAGCGCTCAAGCTCAACCTCCAAGCTTCGAAAATCAAGTGGCTCTTTCAGGAACTACAAGAGCATCTACACGATGAGGGTTGACTACATATGCAGTATTTAGTGTTGGTTCTACTGACTTTCTATTGTGATCGTAGCTTGAAACTGATAGGCTTAGTCTCCTTGTATCGAATCCAAAAAACCAAAATAGTATTCAAGATAAGCACTACGATTACAGTCAGGCTAGTACCACTTCCGCCATTCTATGTGCTGTGGATAGAGAATGATAAATACAGATAAAAAGAGCGATTGGTTTGTCCAGGAGCACCGTGATTAAGATTACAGAGAAGATATAATAAAAAGAATCCGTATGTAACAAATAATGTGAAGGAGAAATTCTAAAAAAAATAGATAGATATGTATATAACGAAGATTAATGAGTGTTGCGGGTTGTTAAATTTAATTCCCGGATTTGATAATATCAGCAGCCTAGAGAGACCACAAGTAAGCACAGTGGACAAAATGCGTCGGTAAACGACTGAGAAGAAACTCACCTTCTCGGCAATAGCATAAACTGTGGATTGAATGTGGGAAGCAATTTGTAGAGGTATCACGCTTGCGTCAACAACGCGCAGATTTGAGGTTCCATATACAATCAGATTGTCGTTGACAACACCTATGAGCAGCCAAATCATCAATCACCAAGCCAACTTTTGCGGGAGATTATACGTACCTCCAGCTCCTTGAGGCCCCAGGGAAGCAGTACCGACAGGATGCCATTCAGTCTTGAAGATAAAAGTCAGCCTCAAGGTCACAAAAGAAACTAGTAGATAGCCACATACTCCGACGTTCTCGAGTACGAATTGCTCGAAGTCGGCTTCGGAGGTAACATTAGTGGAGGGATTGATAGGAGTCTTGATAAAGCTGGATAGAGGAGCAGTTTGGGTCACATTTCTGGCGATCTGAGTGCCTTTAACAACGACTTCTTTGTCTATTGCAGAAAAGTCAGTGTTGAGACACGGACCATGAATCAACGCCCGTACCAATTGTGAATTGGAAGAAATTGGGGTCAATAAGAGGAGCAGCAAGAGGGTCCGCTGAGCCTATGTGAACTGAACCGCGACTGAAGTGTCGCTATTACGGGGTAAGTATCCAACTGCAAAGAGAAAACAGAGAATTTGCGCACAGAACCGAAGTTGAGAATATCAACGTATTCCGTCCCGCTGGCTGCACCGCCGCCGATATCGCCGGCAAAGAACAAGAGCTCCATCTGTCCGACAGTGCCAGCTTCCAGGTCTGAGAGTTGAATTTGGAATTGTTTGGTCTGCCATTCGCTCAAATTTGCCGCTGCTATCTCACTCTGAAGCTGGGCAATCGAGGAGGCGAGCTCTATAGGCGAAAAGAATTGTTGCATTGGGTGGAATGAGATGTCCGATGCGGTGTAAGTATAGATTCCAGTATGATCATCGAGACTAAAGAGATGTCAGTCTCCCTTTATGATTATGGTGTATCACGGAATCTTACTAGAGTGCGTCCTGTTCCTGCTGGAAAGTGGCATTGGTGTTGAGCAGATCTGTGTCGCTAAACGTCAGTCACAGTAAAAGAAAGAATTATCGTTGTGCGCACTTGTGGTAGGCATTGTCGGATCGGTCACTTCGAATTGGGAAACAACGTGAGTATGATCCTGATATTTATTAGATATTGAGACCCAAATCCTGGGAAAATGCAGCGTCAAGACTTACCTGGTAATTCTCACCCACATCGGAATTCGAAATGATGAGAGGGATGCCATATTGCTCAAGGATAGTAGGGTTGCCAATACCGGAGAGCTCGAGGAGCTGGGGGGTTTGAATAGTTCCAGCGCTAAGTACCACTTCGGTTGTCGCATTGGCGTTGTAGGTAATTCCATCAACAACAAACTCCACGCCAGTTGCAACTGCAGAACTACCAGGTGTCAGGTTGATTTTAGTAACCTTCACGAGCTAGTGTGAGCATCAATTCATCTTAGAAAAGAGAACCGTACCTGAGCGCCTTGGAGCACAACCAAATTGGTGCGAGCTTGGTTGGGGAGGAAGTAGCTGACAGGAGAGTATGTACGGTTTCCGGTATTTACGTCGACACAAGCTGCAGAATTGAACAAGCCTGTTGAGTTACCAGCATCAGGATCAGGGTTGAATGGAACGCCTAGGGCCTGCAATGCTTGCGCGTACGGCGACTCTAGGGGGCTGTAGAAGTTATTATACTGGATAGGCAGAGGACCAGAGCGGCCTTCGAAGTCGTTATTCGTCCCGACGCGACCTGAATAGCCAAGGGCCCCAACAGGACTAGGGGTAACGGTCTCAGCCTTAAGAATGTACGGCAAAATGCCATCCCAGTCCCATCCGTTACTAATACCGAGCTGGGCCCAGGAATCATAATCGCGCTGGGATCCGTGCTGCCACATAAAAGTCAGCTCCTTTAGACTAAACTTAATTAGACGCCGGTCACATACTTGCCAAATCATAAAATTCAAGCCAGAAGAACCGCCGAGCATTTTGCCACTGTTGCAAATGAATTGGGGGACCAGAGAAATAAGCTGGCCACTCACCGACTGATGGCAATATTTCTTTGGGATACATGAGTCTGAGGCACGGACTGGAAGCTCCAGTCATAGTCGGGGTCGAGTAAACCTTGGCCGATAAATGCTGGATACGCATACTGAGGTGAGCATAGCATTGGGAACTTCAGAAAGATGACCGACCGGGAGTATCGACCTTGGGGTCACCAACCCTCAAAAACCCTGCTTCAATAACGCCGACTGTTACATTGGTCATTTCCGTCAACCTGAGAGCAAGGAGTTAATGTCTTTTCTGCAAAAAGAAAGAGCTCAGCGGACCTCGCAGCCAACACCAAGCCTGCGGTTCCTCCGCCTACATAGTTGACAACCAATTAGGGAAGGTCGGAAGCAAGTAGGTGATTACGTACCAACGATGACATAATTGTAGGACTGCTCAGCAAAGCCAGCCGCGTCGGTGGTTAACCCTGGGAAATAAAGTTAATCGTTGATCGCAAGGTTGGAGCATGAATTACCATTAATTCGAGCGTCTCGAGGACTACTGACAGCCGCCCCCAAAACTAAAGGTGTAAGGAGAGATAATCCAAGTAGATACTGCATCTTAAAATGAAGAAGGAAGGAAGGAAGGAAATGTATAAGATACGAAAAGAAATGTGAATGGAGGTCATAGAGAAAATATCCCTTCCTTTTATCCAGCTCCCCCCACCGCCTATCTATCAAGAATAAAACATTTCAACGATTGTTAAATTCACCAGTCGGCTCACCAATTGAATTAAACCTGACTCAAAACAGGTCCACTCTGCAACAGTCTGCACAGGTTTGCAACCACAAATGGATTTGATATGTGGACCATTATTAGGCGATCTACTGTACCATGCCGACTGAAGATCGTTGCAATTGGATCAACGTTTCGCTTACTTTGCCCCTGTAGAAGATAGCTACAGTGCTCGAAACATGGGCGGTATTATCTAGCTATGCAATCTGCAAGTTCAAGTTCATGAACTAAACTTAACACGTTCCCCCGTGCTTCCTCTCTTACCCACTTCCCCTTCTCTCCCTCTTTCTGCTTAAGGGTGGCGGTCCCTGCCACAATTGACAGTCTACTATTACCATCCAAAAATAAGTGAGCGGAAAGCAATGTTATCAGGATAATACATATTCAGACAGGACGGTTACATCGGACGTCTTTCATCTACTTTAGTTCAGTATTATTGCAGCGACGTTCCTAGCTGTGCCTAACCGTATAACCACAGCTTTGATTGTATTGTTTCTTGAAGCTGTAATTACCGACTCGTACTAGCTTCACCGATTATTCAACCAGTCAAATTTGCGAAGGAAAATGATTATCAACCGGTTTTACCGAATGGGATCCTGAAGTGTAGTGCTTGTTTTGTGAAGAAAGTGTACTGTGCCTGGTATGCGGAAGGCGGCAAGGATTCTGGACGTGTTAAAGAACTGAATTACCTGTCCCGCCCTGCACCCGCGTTTTCCATGCCGACTGATGTTCTCCCACATCTCTCAGTCTTATCACTGAGCGCTTACAGTATCAGTTGATTTTTCCTGAGCTCCGCGCTCATAAGTGTCTCATAAACATTGCTTAAAGCTCGATCACGCTTGGCTTTCGCTTCCAAGGGGTCCTACATACATCAAGTTAGTGCAACACTCGGGACTCGGAGTCGAATAGCATTGCGCAGGATGCGGAACCAGGGCCCGTATCTGTAGTGCCCTGCTACTTTTGTCGGCTCCGTCTTACATTCAATGGTTTTGTGGAATTCATTGATGTATCACTGATTTTGAAACTGAAAGTGACAACGGGATTCCAAAGAGCCACTGCAGCGCAACGAATCTCAGAGGACGTCGGACTATAATAAAGCTCCGCACCTTCAGTATGAGTATGCCGAGGAGTCCAGAGTTTATTGATATTTCGGGTTTCCTAATCTAGTTCGTACCCATCTTTGCTAGTAACTGGTAGGTGAAAGGTGATGATAAGTCGAATACATGAAAGTCAGTTTCAAATGCATATGTATCACTGCTTCCGATGAGATTTTTTAGACTTATCGGTTCTTTCTTTTATTTACCATGAAAGTCAACTCAACAGCTATCCACAGACACTGGTGGTACATGTGCGCGAGGACTTACTCCGGGCTTGTCGGGGAGGAGATCGAAGAAGCCACTCTAAGCTATACTTGTACAATCAAGAGTGACGTCTTCACCTCTTGGACTCGGGACCGTCGTATGTCAATGAACGTGCCAGACCATGATTGTTTTTGACTCCCGAGGCCCTGCGGGAGAAAACAATGAAGAACGAAGTGATATAAAAACTCCTAATATTACTTGTGAGCACAAGGTTAGTGGTGCTATCACTATTACCGACAAAAAGGATGAACTATCAATCATCCCCGGCAAGTTGCTGATTGTCGATTCTCGTGTGAGAATTCCAGAGAAACCACAGAAGCAATACTATCATTAGCATTGTTGTATACAGGCTGGCATATTAGCCCAGGTCATCAGATTTTATGTCGATAAGAGCATGCGCACTCGCTGGTAACTTAGTTGCCGCCGTGACGTACCCAAATATGGACTATAAGCGCTGGCTCCATAACTAGCACGTGACATGCACACTTTCCATTTTCGTTGAGGTGGATTATGTAAATAATGTAAAGTTGCTGGCAACGAGCTTCAATCAGGCTTCAATAGGCTTCAGTATTTCGGTACATGCAGGTATTTTTACTCTACTCTAAGCCTGCGGTCTACTTGCTGATAGCGTTACTACCATTACAGTCTTTTTCAAAATGCTCCCAGTTATAGAGAGCAATGCTGAATTATTCTAACATCATCCCTTGGCCCTCGCATTCAATTTTCCTTCAAGCTGCAAGAGGAAAGTCCTATCATTATGATGGGGCTCAATCACTCGTACCAGGCTCAGATGACGACCCGGACAAGGTAGTCAACAAGCAGACCACTGGTAACTATACCGCCAAGGTTTATATTGGACTAACTCCAGATATCAGCGCACATCCTATGTCAGGTCAGGGGATACTCACATCGAAGCGTTCCTTGCAGTTAGCAGCATTCATAGGATTGTGGGTTCCGAGCTGCCACAGCATGTGCACGGCAGAGCCAATAACAGAAACACCGTAGAACCAAGCACCTTGGCCGTTCAAGTAACCGATGTATGCGAGAGAGCCGATGTAAATGGCAGCGAACAGTCGGAGAATAGCGGGAAGATAGGAACCAAAGAGAAGCGCAGTGGATTTGACGCCCGCGCGCTTATCATCATTAAGATCCTGAGGAATTGAGAAAAAGTTGAGTGATCGTGACAGCAGTCAATCACGATTCGTTTACCTGACACGCGTAAATAGTATCGTAGACAATGGTCCAACTCGCAAGTGAGACCATGCCGTAGGCAAGGACTTCAAAATCGTGCCAGGACGTAACTGAACGGCCAGATACGTCGACCCAGGCGACAACAAAGCCCCAGTTTATAGCTAGGCCAAGCCATGCTTGAGGAAGATAAGTGACCCGCTTCATGAGGGGATAGATGAGGTTAAGTACAGCAACGTCAAATACGCCCTGGTAGAATCTTCACCCCAGTTCATCAGTATTGGGATCGAGAAAAGATAGAGAGCTCGACTTACGCTTCCTTAGACTCCAGCATGTATAGAGTGGCGACGAAGGCAAGTGTAAGTGAGATGAGGTAAGTGTAGGCGCCAGCCATTGAAACGGCACCAGATGCAAGGGGGCGAACTTTGGTGCGCTCTGATTATTACACGAGCAATGTCAGTTCTATTGTATGAATCTCTTCTTTGTCTACTCACCAACTTGTCTATCAAAGTCGACGTCGCAGATATCGTTCCACACGCAAGCAGCACTACGAAGGGTAAGGCTTCCAACACCGTAGACCACCAAGCGAGTAATCAGCGCGCTGAGGGGCATGTTGGTCTTGTATGCAGACATCAAGAGAGCATAGGCTGTTTCAAACACCAGTAAAGCAATGAGCCTCGAATTCATAAGCATTTACGGAATAGAGATCCTAACCAAAGGGCCAGAAGAAAAGAAAGGTCCCGACTGGCGCATGCATCCTTGCAAGGCGGTAATAATTGCTCAAAGCAGAGGGCTTGCTGACGGATGTCATGGCTGGAAAAGGTGGTGAGGGAGGTATGTCAGATTAAGCAAGCAAAGAATCGACTAACAACTTATATAGCACACTTCTCACATTGGAACGTTGCAATGCCCAAACTGAAATAAATGATAAATAATAACAAAGGTAGTGAAAACAAGTAGACGGGACGTCCGCGAACACTCCGGAAGCAAACGAGTAGTACAAATGGGCTTACTTCATTAGTTCAAGTTAGGATACGCGGAATTGAGCTTTTGGCCAAAAACGACTCAGCTCAATTTGATTTCAAGTCAGAAATGTATCGAATATTGTGTTCACTGTGAGTATTCGCTCCTTGCACCGTACATCCCGGATCTCGATTTGGGTAGTGTATGTATCAGTTATCCCTGCTTATCCCGGGTGTACCGAGACCTCTTTCCGCAATCAAGCAATTCTTTCAGGAACTTTGCAGATTATCGACTTGCTATCGGAAAAATTGTATTGTTTTGAGTACGTACGCTTCCAAGGATCAAAGAAAATGCAAATTTTGATTGATTTTGTCCAGATACAGATACAGTCTGCAGATTTCAGTCATCGGTGAATTCGTTTGAAACCTGTACAAATACGGGAAGCTGATCCCGCCACGAAGAAGGATGATTGGTCAATCTGTATTTCAATATTCAGACCCGGGTATATCTCTTCCTTTTCCTTCTCATCTCCGGCTTTCATGTAAGTTTCGAAATTTCTCGGTTTGCTCGATAACAAATTGCGATCCGTTTTCACCGTTGGTCATGTAGTAATCGCTTTGTGATAACTCGGTTCGAACTTATCAACTGTTTAATTGACATGTGTGGACGAAAAAGTGAAGTAGCCTCCCGTTATACAGTTGCAATTAACTGTCAAGAAGCATTTTCCCATCATCTCAGTGTGACCTAGACTCCACTGACTTTGTCTTTCTTTGCTTTAATTAACCTTGGCTGCATTTACAAAGTCCCTACCTTGACGCTTTGCTCCACCCACCATGCTCAATCTCTGGGTTCTACTTGCCGCCGCTATAGGCTACGTCGCTTTCAATCTGCTCTCCAGTCGGAAATCCTATCCCCCTGGTCTGTTATACTTATCATCCAATATCCCGCTGCTTACATCTATATCGTTACTAGGTCCTCAGCCAAAGCCTATCGTAGGAAACGACGTCCCTAACTCAGAAATATGGGCTGTCCTTGGCAAATGGGCTAAGAAATACGGTGAGCACACATGCTAGATAGCCCAGTGCAGATCTAAATCGTCTACAGGAGACATCATTCACTTCCGCATTTTCAGTCGGCATTTCATTGTCTTGAGCAGCCTTGAATCCACTCTTGACTTGTACGAAAAGCGTTCAAAGACGTATGCTGGCCGTCCAACTTCCGCTATGTCGGACTTGGTGCGCAACGGCTCTGTCTTGTTCTCACAGCCTGGAAACCGTCTTGAGATCTACCGACGTCTACTGCGAGCCTGGCTCAACCCGGACATTGCCAAGAAGCATTTCCACATCCAGCGGGAAGAAACTAACAACTTCCTCAAGAAAGTAGTTGGCTCTAAGGACACCATGAGTATAATGGCAAGACGGTGAGATCAATCCTGTTATTAGGGAAATCTCACCTCAATAAGCATCAGATACGCTGGATCCATTGCGATTCGGCTTGCTTATGGCGACATACCTGGAGACAAAAAGGAAGAGTTCGCACAAATAGCTGATGAGCTCCTCCAAGTGCAGAATCAGGGTGGCCAGCCCGGTCGTTGGCTTGTGAACTCATTCCCTATTTGTAAGTTTTTGTTGTAATGAAAAGCTGGCAAGTAGTTAATTCCTCTTCTATTAGTGCGATTCGTTCCTGCTTGGTTCCCAGGAGCGTACTTCAAAAAATGGGCGTCTGAGACCCACATCAAGACGAATGAGCTTATTAAGACACCTATCCAAATGATCCGCCAGCAGATGGTGTGTGTCGGTTCCCCCTACTTTCAGTCTGTCTTTTGAGCTTTGTTTAGTCTACGGGAGAAGCTGTACCCTCCTTTGCGACCCATTTCCTTGAAAACACTGAAGGGCTTATTCCTCATCGTGCCGATCGAGATGATATTGTAGCTTGCGCCGCTAACAGCTTCTATGCAGGTATGTCCTTCGGGCTCCAATAATGCATTCTACGTCTCCTTATTCCTCGCCTTATAAATTCGTAGCGGGGACGGAAACCACCTCAGGCTTTGTTGCACTCTGTTTCCTTCTGCTTTCTTTGCATCCGGAAGTTTTGCGCAAAGGTCAAGCAGAAATCGATGCGGTCGTCGGCACTGAGGCCCTTCCCAGTATCGAGCACCGGACTGAACTTCCGTACATTGAATCTGTCCTAAAGGAAGTTCATCGTTTCCATCCCGCTGCTCCTCTCTTGTTCCACGCCACTACTGAGGATGACAACTACAAAGGATATTTCATCCCCAAGGGCTGCACAGTTTATGCTAACATTTGGTGCGTATACACGAAGCCAAACTTGTGCCATATCATCTCAAACCAGACCCAAGGCTTATGCTGCGCGATCCGGCTCATTATGCTGAACCCGAGCTGTTCAATCCCGACCGCTTTATGGTTGAATCTCCTCCCCCAGACCCTCGTAAACTAACTTTCGGACTCGGCCGCAGGTAAGCATCTATTTCCTTGACTTGCATCGTACTGATATATCATAGGAATTGCCCCGGTCAACACGTTGGAGACGTTTCTCTCTGGCTCACCCTTGCCCGAACTATCGCCACTTGCAATATTAAGTCGTGCACTATGGTCGACGGCAAGCATATCGATAAGCTAAACATTCCGTTCATGCAAGGACTAGCCTCGTGGGTCTCTTTCTATATTCCCTAATACATTTTGCTAATATTCGATCAAGTGCTCCCGAACCGTTTTACTGCGATGTTGAGTACCGGTCGCAAGCATACAGGGAAATGTTGGATCATTGAAAGAATAATAATCATGTTAATGGTATCGCCAATTTAGAGTACGATACTTACGTTATTGGGTAATCAAGACACTAGAATATCAGTATCTGCATGGAATACTTAGAGTGATCTTGGGCGTTCAGTTGTGATTTAAGTATCTATAAACGAGAATCGTTGATTCTTAGCAAACACTTGTGAGTGAAGAGGTACCAGAAAACCCATGCAAAGGACCCATTACTTACAAACTTCGGATTTTGGTTGGAGGTCAGTCCAGGGTCAGTCCTTTGGAACGGGATGTATAATCTAGATATTGAATCATTTATTGTCAATTCAACTTCCTGTCGAACATAGATAACCTTCGTTTGATGATTTGTCGGATAATCCTAGGATAATCACTATAGAAATCGTCAAAAACACAAAATCCACATGTCCGATAATATGTAGGAAAGTATGCAATTTCTCAATTGGGCATAGCTGCTATTGAGACTCAGGACTTGAAAAGTTGAAAAATGCTACTTACCGTTCAAAGCGACTACTGTTGAATTTGGCCAATTACATAGATAAAAAGATGAATTGACCTTATCGAACATCCATCTAATGGAGATAACTTGAACTTTGAGAACGAGAACATGTGCAGAACACCAGGGTAGCGTGGTTGGCTGCTGGTAAACAGCGCCCTCGAACCAGCATGAGAAGTCGGAGAAAGAAAGGTGCATGTCCGATAAAGATATGCGATACCCAAGGAGGTAGGTTCAGCGCGCCCTGATAGGGTTCTGAAGGTTTCTTGTTAACAAGTAACCCTTTTAGAATGACATAGTTGTGTCAACGGCGAATCGTGGGCATTAGTTGGTAGATCGTTGGCTATTGTTAATGCGACCGGCCTAAATAAAAAGCCGAAGAAGCAAAGGGAGAATTCTAGGAACATCGAATGAGTAGATTTGTCAAGCGGCTTCAGTGTAGTCAGGAGCAAAGGTCGAATTTCGCGCTCGTAAATGGTAAGATCGCGATCGCTGGAAACGCGATAAGCTTACTGCATAACTTGCACCCGAAAAAACCTCGTTGGATGTATGTAGCGGAGGAAAGGAAGTGATTCGTTATATTCCGTATTCCGTACGTCGGAGCACGAACGTGTATGGAAAGTTCTCTGAACATTCAAGCCAAGTTGTACATGAAGCAAATGTGTCGATAAGGGAAATGACGTGTTGGAAAAAGTTCTGCATTCGAATGAACGATCGTCCGGGCACTGCAGTACTGACCCTCTCGGATACCGTCTAGCAGGCTTGCGTTGTGTCGGTATGTCTAAGGGACCGTCAGTTGTTGCACGAAATAATAATAAATAGTTTCAAGTACTTCTGCACGCAGATACGAATGAAGTTGATTTCTTTACGTGGGATTCTGGACAGCGATACTTTCTTAGCAGTAAGGTCTTGAACCCATTCCGATTCCAACTCATGAAGGCGCGGTAGAGAAATGAAGGTGTTCGAGTACTGTAACTATGTATATCGTGTGCAAAAAGTAAACTAATCCTGACTAATCCCAAATTCTAATGTCGTTTACATAATACTACGCAAGAGCCACTCCTTCACTCGGTCTGCCTCACAAGCTCAGCCATAGCATTTGACCTTGGGACGATGCGACAGGAGAATGGCTTGGGAACGCTTGAAGGACGTGAATACAACCGCACGGGGCATAAAAACATAATATTCTTACCTGACAATTCCAGACCTGTATGCATCAGGTTGCATGATCTCTTTACCTTCCGCATCGAGAGGAGGAAGCACGTTGAAAACCTTGAGAATCAGCGCCATGGTGAAAAAGAGTTGAGATTCAGCAAAAGCACGTCCAGGGCATTGACTAACACGATACGGTGAGCAAATCATGGGTTTGCTATCGGGATCTAGACTTACCGACGTCCAAAGCCAAAGACCATCTGACGGGGATCATGTATCGAAGTGTTTATTGCATCCCCTGCTGCATTCATGAAACGGTCAGGATCGAAAACGTCGGCAGACTTATAAGTGCCTTCATCGTGGCACATTCCCCTGCATTTCCAGGTTAGTTCAACTGGACTAAGTGTCGCCAAATGTCCTTACCAAATATTTGGAATTACTAAGCTCCCTTTAGGCAGGAATTGTCCCTCGAATTCATCATCCTTCTCGAGTCGATGCGCGATACCTTGAGGAACACCCGGATGCCAACGACCTACTTCAATCGCTATTGCTTCAATATAAGGAAGGTTCTTGCGATCATCAAATGTAGGAAGGCGATCCGGGCAGACACGATCGAGTTCTGCCTGAGCTTTTTGTTGGATGGAACGGTGTTTAGTCATTTGAAGGAGGAATCCATAGATAGAAGACAGAGTCTTTGGTCCGGTAAGTCATCAGTATGCGTTCATTGCGACAGAAACATACCGTTTCAACACCACCTGTGGTCATCTTCAGTTTCATACACATCGATTTTTTCAAGATACTCACCTCCATAAGCATCAGACGCCATGTCCATTATAGCTACCTCCGGAATGTCACCGCCGTTTTCATTTTCCTCCAAGTAACGCGAGACCATGCTCGGATGTGCGGTGCCCTCTTTCTGCATGAAACGTCAAAACAAAGAACACCCAGTTCTCCAGCTTCACGTACCATTGCTTTCTTAACCAATTCAAATGCGCCATCAACTTGAATCTTCCTCCGTTCAGTCGAGTCAAGCGCAAACGTCTTCCATCCGGTGAAAGGGAACCAAGTAGGAACATAACGCACTATCAGAGGGTCAATTAAAGCAATCATGGTAATTTGAACGTGCTTACAGAAAGGTAGGACATCCACTGCCCAGGCACCAGGCTTGACTGACCTCTGGAAGTTTGTGCCGGCTCGTTCCCCAATTTCAACCCATTCGTCGCGATCAGAAGTGACCCGGTAACCATAGACAATGTCGAGAATGATAGCGCCAATAGTACTGTGAGAGTGCCCTATCTACACAGGTTCGAAAAAGCGTATAACATTTACTCACTACTTGGTATCAAGTAGCCAATTTTCAGGCGCCTCGATGTATTTCCTCAATAGCTTGTGAGTTTCTCTGATTTGAGTGGGCTGATGGCGATCGATGACGGAATACCGGAAGTGCTGTTCAAAAAGCCTGCGGCGAAGACGATAGTCGGCGTTGTTCCCCATAACGGTCAGAGAGTTTGCGAATCCAGCCCTTGTCGTTTCTTCGATGTCAGATAGAGTTTCCTCGTAACTATGAATACCTTACATTTCCATCATAGGAGGAGTAATGGGTCTGTCAGAGTAAATTGCACCGCGTTTGTCGAGGAGTTCATTTGCAACTCGATACGACCCAATGACAAGCATTTTGGTCCCGAAAACACGTAGATAAACAATTTCTCCTGCACACGACATGTGGTTAGAAGGCTAAATCGTCACTTTACTAGACCTACCGAATCGCTTAGCCCATTGATTCAAGGTGTGCCATTCCTCATATACAGGGATGTCGTTCATGTTTCCGACGATAAAAGACGGCGCTGGACCAGGTGGAAGCTTCAGACCATTGCTCGCGGATGCATAGCGAATGAGCGCAGTGATCGCAATGGTAAAACCAACAACAAAAAGATCCAAGTACGTTCTGTTGCTGAATAGACGTTGGACGCTGTCCACAACGGGGTCAAACTGAGATGCGGTGATGTTTTGCATGATTAACGCAAAGTGATGGGTGGGCCTTCGAGAAAATAGAGCTTCTCAAAGTTGAATTTACCACAGACCAAAACGCCCGGGCCGTCTGCCTTGTTACATAGAGCTGTAGTCAGCCAGTTCGCAGTTTCCCATGTAGCCGGTGCTGAATTATTGCTCAATTCCTACATCACCGGGATGCCGTGAATTGTGAGAATTCGATTTGACTACATATCGCTGATTCCCGATGGATCTTCGTTTTGTATCCGTCAATTTGATTGTACCCCGGAAGGGGGAATCGTGCGATCGAATGTCCTTATCTTCCCCCGAGATCCTTCCCGGAACCGAGATGCTCGCATATCAAATTCATCAATAAACCTGTACCTGTTCAAACCCAGAGTCTGTTTTCAACAAAAAAAATAATCATTGTTTGAGGGATTGACGCCACCACAGCGGCACCGACTATGGATTGAATCGTCGCATCGCGTCGTTCACCAGCCTAATATCTCACACGAGTCAAATTGCAGAGTACATGGTTTCCATTTTGCTTGAATCGGTACTAGTCTAGAGTCCCATCTACATATCTCTAAGATACTGAACATAAGTAAGCTCTATAGTATTCAAATGACAATTCCACTATCTGAACTTGCGGATGAGAAGGAAATTTGTTTCGTGTTTCCTCCGCGAAGCAATCGTCTCTCCCTGACACCCCGTCTCAAGTTTTCCAAGACATCGACGGTTGTCTCCCAAGAGATACACCCATCTGTCACCGACTGGCCATATCTAAGGCCGGCACGTCCTGTTGGAGGGATACTTTGTTTTCCCTCCACTAAGTTCGACTCAATCATCACTCCCATCAAAATATCAGAGGTTGTTTCATCGGATAGTTGCTTCGACTGGGATGTAGAAAATTAGAGCTCATTGTAACCAAAACTGGCAATCATTGAGCTTACAATTTCATCTGCAACAATTGACTGCCTTTCGAATTGTTTCGAGCTATTGCCATGGCTGCAGTCAATCTTGAGAAGCGTATCAGAGAGGTTCTCTATACCCACAACAACTGTAGCGTCACTTACCAGGAGGCGAGGTGTAAGCCCTGCCTTGTCGAGCTGTGCTCCGTACTTTTGCACAAAGTCAGCACTATAATTAGGGCCATTTGAACCTCCACGAAGGATGATATGAACATCCTTATTTCCCTATGTTCATCTTCGTTAAGCGATACGTTGTTTGATCATAAGCTGTTAGAACATTACCTCTGTTTCGACGATACTCCCTAGGCCATTGACACCGACACTGAGGAAGACATGTTCAGCTTGAGCTGATTTGCATGCATCAATTGCAACACCGATATTTCCATCTGTGGAGTTCTTGGAGAGGACATCATAAACCAATTGCTACCAAGTATTTTTGGAAAAGAAATAAATCACCTTGAATCCAGTCGGCATTGACAAGCCTGAAGTCAGTTCGCGATGGATCTGTGACTCAGTTGTCCGAGCACCAATTGCTCCCCAGGACACAAGATCACAAGAGTACTGGGGCGTGATGAGGTCCAAAAATTCGCATCCCGCAGGAAGACCAATTTCCGCTATTTTTACTAGAAGCTCTCTAGCGATTCTTAGACCCCTGTTAATTTGGAAGCTGCCATCCATGTCAGGGTCATTGATAAGGCCCTTCCAACCCACTGTCGTACGAGGTTTCTCGAAGTATACCCTCATAACGATACATAAGTCCTCGGCAGCTTCTTCTGCATATGCTTGAAGCTTGTAAGCATATTCTAAAGCTGAGTCTACGTCGTGGATGGAGCACGGTCTGAAATCAAGTGTCAAAACTATGTTGACTTAACCTCTAGATAGGTATGACTGACCCTACAACTACCATCAAACGGTCGTCCTCTCCATCTAATATGCTTTTCACGGCTCGGCGTCCTCTCAGGACGGTTGCTCTTGCTTTAGGAGTTCTGAATGAACATATCCAGTTTGTCTGTATGCACACGTAGAACAGATGACTTACAAAGGTATCTCTTCGTGCAAAATTTGAGGAGGGATAAGTGGACGGACGAGTTTGACTTTGAGGTCAGACATCATTGGTAGGTTTCGTGACATCTTCTGAGAAACTGGTATCGAGCTGTGGATCTGTAAAGGCCTAGTTTTGAATCAATCCGAAGTCTTGTATATGGTTTGAGTCCGTATTGACCTTATAATTGCAAGTTTGGCTATTTCCTTTTTAGTGAACATGGCGCTCGAATTTTTTTTCATCCCGGTAGGACTGGGATAGACGGGTAGCATACCGTGAATACAGGTACAATGCGATTGGTCCCCTGAATGAATCAATGCATTGGATGGACATTGGATGACGGTCCTAACTTGCCAGCGGTCCCGTTTCCGAGCTTTTGCGTGATTCTTGTATGGCTGTAAGGGGATGCTAATATCAATTTTCCACCTTCAACGTTGTTGCAATTTTGCAGAGTACTTGGCTTCTGAAGAGTTTGTAATTGTCACTGGCTTCTTTCCGTTCATATGGGACCATCAGTGATGCGGCTAAGGGAAAATGTGAAACGGGAAAGGAGGCGTCTTCAGTTTAGTACAACGAAAATCATTAGGCAACATACATACCCCTTGTATAATAGAAATAAAACAAACGTTTCTGGTACATAGGCCGTCGAAGCGCCGACTTTTTGAGCCTAATGTTCCCAGAGCCCTCCGTAAGTTGCGGTGCTTTGAGCGTTATCAATTCACCTCCGACAAACATGGGACAGCGTTTGATTCTGATTCTGAAATGACAGTACTAGACAAAGCGACAGCGGTGACACCAAACAATAAGATTGTCTATACCGAGTGTGAGCGGGTGAGGCGTTATCTGCTATTTACGACAGATTGAGGGAGTATTCAAAGGAAAATCATGATAACGAGTTCCACATGGTGTTCCAGGTCGGTATAGTATTAGATCAGCGAAAACCGAATTCCAGTAATCAACGGCGGGAAGCTTATGGAAAGGATCGTTATTCTAACTTTCGGGGTTCTAAGATATGCAGTGGTAACGCACGCAAAGAAGTATAACTCCATTATCTCAATTACCCACCCACTGCACCTCCCGTAATCCAATGGACAACTCGCATAACTTGTCAATATGTCCAAGAGCTGAGAGCTTCGATGATCGATGTCGATGTACTAAGGGATGAACCGAAGATGAGCGCGAACGGGAACAAATTGAACCAGAACGTGATGCCACAAATGTGCACAGATAGCACACATGCCAGGCGCCAAAGTTTGACGCGTGGGGCCAGATAACCGCCCCAGCCTCCAGGCGGCAACCACCAAGGGCGGAGACTGGCGGAAGAAGCAATGTAGCGGGAAGTAGAATAAGCTCTAGTATCACCAAGTTTCCCTATTGTTGTTGAGCAGTGTGAGGTGTAAAACTGTGTTCGCTGATTGTTGCGGTGGCCCGCAAAGCTGCAGCGGCGTGACGATACTAGCACGATGTCATTGTATGTATACTAGTTCACGAAGGTTTACGAGGAGAATGCTCATACGTACAGTAACCCCTGGCCTCAATGCTGAGGGTCTTCGCAATACGTTATGCATGCACCAATTCCACAACTTAGGAGCCAATATTCAGTCTCCTACAAGTTCCCACAACCTCAAGTGCAGATAGGTGCGGAGGACCACTTTCAGTCACAAATTACAAGATGTATATGATAATATTATGGAGAAAATCTCGTGTATACAGTTGAACTAAGAACAGACCCTTATTTCAATTGTCCTCAAGCACTCTCAGTCTGTTGCTCCTTCTGATCACCTCCACCTTGATTTTGGGCTTTGAGCGCAGGCACGGTGTTCTTCATGAAAATTGCAACCCCAATAGCCTCTAAGGCTGTGAAAGTAAACATAAACCAGAAGCCAGCCGCACGACCTTCGAATGAACTTGTTCCGCCATGATTTTTCTCGGTCGATGTTTGGATGGAAGTGATAATCGCCGACCCTGCTGCCGCACCCAGTTGAAGGGCGCAATTGAAAATGGCTCCAACGATACCAGCGACTTCAGGTGGAGTAACAGCGAACAACGCGATGCTGTTCAAAAAAATCAGTTCATCCACGTTACGCTTCATGGATTGCACTTACTTTGTGGTGGCGTACACGACCGTCGTTCCTGCTGAGCCAAGGACAAAGCCAGGGAAGGCGTACCTCCAGTAATGTGGTTTCGAATCAGCAAACGGAAGCAATAAAGTTCCCGCAATGACGAGAATTTCGCCCATTAGAATAACCCATTTGAGGGAGAAATTTTTTTGGAGAACTATTGCAACCGCGATCATTGGGAATGAGATGACTCCCAGTGGTAAGCTACATGTATATGTTAATTGAGCTAAATGCGAGAAAGAAAAAAAAACTGACAAATGTATAGCAACATCGATCGTTGACCAATCGAAGATGAATTGCCAATACCAAGAAAGTAAAAGTTGGGTTGCGACCCAAAACATGAATGGCTGCAAGGACAAAATAATCAAAATTGTGAAGTTCTGATATCTCCACATCTTAGGTGGTCTAGAGATATAGTCTAGTCAAAATTGACGTTCAAATGGTACGAGGACACTTACACGGCAGCGATATGTTCCGGAATGCGACCTTCCCACTGGAAAAATGCGACAACCAGCACGAAGAAGAGTATGAGGGGTACGAGAACTTTGGCCTCTCCCCAGCCATCTATCGAACCAGTTGTGACAGAGTAGACGAGCAACACGAGCGAGACTAGGGTATTTTTATTTATTTAAATGGATCATCGTGTATTGATACGAACGTCAACGACATACCTGTCAAAGTGGAAACACCAACAAGATCAAGTCGCTTGAATCTCTCGCCTTGGGATAAACTGAGGCCGTCTATAAACGAGATATGGAGTGGCATGATGACAAGGACAGCTGCAGCCATAACAAAACTCAGAATGGTGATGAGGTAGAATATCCATGTCCAGGACACGAATGCGGCTAGAGCTGCACCGATAAAGAGACCAGTGACTATCCCAATAAAGGAGCATTTTCAGATATTTCAACCAGAGGTGCATAGTAAGCTAGTATTTACCGTTTCCGATAGTTGCAGATGCTGCGAAGCCGCCGAGTGCCTTTCCTTGAGCAGTTGGGTCTGGGTACATACCAATAATCATGGCCAATGCGGACGGAATATTTAGAGCCGCTCCTGGTCGGGCTTCAGTTTCTACAGAGAAATATCAAGAAAAAAAGTAATCACCAATCCCCATTATCGCTCTTAGGATAATCAAAGGCACTTGGGAGCGCACGAATCCGCATCCAAGGGAAGAAAAAGACATCAACAATAATCCGAAAATGAAGGCCCATTCTTAATCACTTTGTTAGTTACAGGCCGTTGGCTTTGAAATAGGAAACACATACTAGGATTGTAGAGGTCGCTTAACCGACCGGTCTAAATTATGAGTTTTGATCAAGAAGTGCCACAGATATACAGGTTATACAGACATACCGTCAGTAGAAGAGCAGCAAAAGTCAGCTGGTATGCGCTGATCAACCACACGGAGTTGCTGTCACTGATTCCAATAGCAGCGGATATCGGCGGGATAGCAGCGAAAAGGGCGGAATTGTTGAACGCGTCGAGAAATTGAGCAAAGCAGAAGATGAATAGTAGAATTGACTTGCGCCATCCTGCAATAGATGCAATACTATTCTCAGGCTGTTGAGGTTTGAGTTCGTGCTCCATCGTAACGCTGCTCGAATCCCGTTTTAATTCGGTGTTAGCCATACGAGAAGCTGGTGGTAGTACAGTTGGGAGTTTGAGCCTCTCTTGAACGTCTGGTGAACGAAGTAATAGAGCAATGCAGTGCTTACCAGCTCACTAAGCTAGCGGAAGCTCACTAAGCACCAAAAAGCTCACTAAGCATGGTTGAACTGCAAAAGTCTCACGATACGTCGAGATACTGTCGAGACGGGATCAAAAATGAAATGGAATCAAATCTTGCTTTCCGCGGATAGCTCGGCACGGTAAGATTGAATTGGAATTCAAAATCGAACTCGAAAATTATGCGTTCATCCCCCTGCAACGAGGTTGAACAGATAGTCATTAAATACTTTCAACCCGCGCTCCGCCGCTATACTTTCGCTGTAGGTCTGCCTGAAGATATTCTCAGCATTCTGAGAGGAAGTCGGCTATATGAACGTTCCGAGCTAACTTCCGACCGAAAATGAGCTATACAATGAGATTTACCATCCTGTTTCCGCATTAATTTCTCTGCATGGAACCAATCGCGTGGAGCTCATCGGTTCCTGTCTTATCGGGTACAACCCCATTTGAAACGTGACGTGCCGCTCTTGAGCAAATCCGACCTGGTCGGTTCGTTCAGTATCAACATGAACAGCTTGTTCGGGTTTTCATCGCAATTGTGCCACATATATTATCCAGTATATTTTTTTTCACCTTGGTTTGCAAATTTTTATGTTTCTGATGAGATGATCGACTCGTACTCTCATTAATTCTGATTTCCCTTTGTAGGCGAACAAGATACTTAGATAGCAACTGAGAGCGCTGCATCCTGAATAGGACGCGAAGAATTCAATTGCGATGGCCTCCAATCAGATACGACTATGTAGAGAAAAGAAATAGTTCAAAAAAGCACCCCGTATTTCGCCTTATCGAATTCAACTTCGAACATCTTTCCTTCCAGCAACTCCCCACTCCAGAAAATGTCTACCATCACTTTGAAAGAAAGCTGGAACACCGCTCAGACCGTGGTTCGGGTAAGTAGCTATGCTACCTTCTGCTGTAATACTACAAGCGTCTCTCGTAGATTGAACAACCGGGAAAGTACACCGGACTCGAGAGGATAATGCTCGCTGCTCAGGGTGACCTTCAGCGTCTTCTCAGGTAAATCTGAGCTTTGATCATCAAAAAAGTGCTCAGACTTGATAAATCATGCAGCTCATTTTTCGCGGATACCATCGACATAGAAGTGATCTATGCCAAAAACACTCCGCGGATTGCCCCCGCCGCTCCAGATGCCCCTATCATTCAAACGCGGAAAGTTCTCCTCAAGTGTCGATCCGTCGTCGTTTGCACTGCGACATCCACAGTAACGCTGACCTCCCCTGAATGTGAACGACTCATTCTGGATGAGAAGTTTGCCATCGGACAAACATTTAGACAGATGAAGCAAGTCCCGGCGTTCCTGTTGAAGGACATAGAGCTTAATGAAACTCCCGCGGGTGAGGAAGAGCTGAGGAGAACGTATACCCTCACTTCTCCTGGAATTGAATGCGAAATCTTGGAGGTTTTCCCTTCAAGGGACATGTTCGTGTATGGCGAGGAGTGGCTCGCGAAGCAACGTCTGATTACCAGCATGCGCTGGAGTCCTGAGACCGACGGTTCTTCTTCTGGTTCTGAATAGATTCTGCGCCATAGATGTCCCGTTCTCAGCCGTTCTCATTATAGACCACAAGATGCATTTTTTCTTTCTGTACTATACTACGATACCCCTAGACATGCGTATTTGGACATGATTTTTATTTGTTGTATCTGCATCCGAGTCTCGCGACGAACTTCAGGCGGCGTGTACATTTAATGGTTGTATTAAATGTATCACAGATTAGCTGAAATAGTTGAATATAATGAGGTACAAATCGACCCGGAATCAAGCCATTAAATTCTAAAGTTACTCCAGTCCAAACTCCGAGTAGTATGTATCTTGTTAACGCAATCTGCAACACACCGAAGACATCGCCAGTAATCCCGCCATCACAAAATTTCTTCTTCCCACAAGTTGGATATGTACTGAACGGCAAGCAAGCGAATTTCAGGGAAACACATGGCGCATATAATGGAAGCTTCCTTACCATCAAGGCTCTTTATTGACTTCCTATGCAACTTCCCCTCGATATAGCGAGTATCACAAACACTTGGAGTCAGCTCATGGCACTGATGCTTGATGTGAATGTCACTTCAAGTCTCGCAACAATCAATTGGGACAACCTAAACTCATCTGTCAACGGGAAACTTTTTCAATACGCGCCATTTGCAAGAGCATGTTTCAAAGATGCGGAAGGGGTTGTAGGAGCATATGACGCGAATGCTTGCGCGTTCGCGCAGGCTCACTATAGCGATGGCCGTCAGTCAAACTCATCGCTGTTGAATATTATGTCTAATGCTATCCAGCAGAATACCGCGACACGATTCCTTCATCCTATCAAGGCCTTCAATGGGAGACTTGCCCCTCCACGGGGGAGTCTTGTCTCTTGGTACGATTCACGGCCATCCTCTTATTTACCCTCAACTCATTCATGTGCCAGGATTGGATGAATCCGCTTAATGAAGCAGCTTTCGATTATCCCAAAACTTGCCAGCAAGGGAGTATACCAGCATATTTTGTAAATGTTTTGCTTTCTCGACCTATGTGATGAACTTACCACTGTCTAGCTGGAGGTCCAAAGCGCGTCTGACGTTCAAGACGCGTTCAAGTTCTCTGTAGAGACTGGCGTGGATCTCGTTGTGAAAAACACTGGCGTGAGCAACTCATCATTTCCAGAAAGGCAGGATTTCCTTACGCGCATTTAGCATGAATTCCAAGGCCGTAGTGCACGACCAGGTTCACTTGCGTTGTGGACGAAGAATTTACAAAAGGTAATAACATCTCCACATATTCAAAGTATTTTGCTCATCGTATAACAGATATCATATGAGCCTGCCTGGATCCCTACTGGATGTGAAGATATCGCTCCTCGAACTGCTGTCCGACTGGAGCCGGGAATAACATTCAATGATCTTTACGCATTCGGTGAAGCAAACAATATCACACTACCTGGTGGTTCTACACCTTCAGTCTCTGCTACAGGAGGATACGTCTTGGGTGGAGGGCATGGTGGATTGTCTAATACAGCGGGACTCGGTGCTGACAGGGCTTTGGAATTCACCGTCGTAGTACCCACGGGAGATGTTCTGATTGCGAATGCCTGTCAGAATCAAGATTTGTTCTTCGCACTTAGAGGAGGAGGTGGAGGCACATTTGGTGTAGTAATAGAAACAGTGACACTTGCTTTGCCTAGAACACCTATCCAAGTGTGCGTATTTCGCACATGGATCGACTCCGTCTAATCTGTGCCTGTAGAGTCACCCTGGATGGATTATCAACCGATGTTAACACGACCAGAGCCTTTTGGAAGGTACTGGTGGACAATAGTCTCGTCTGGGCTAATGCTGGATGGGGCGGCTACGCTGCTGCGACGAGCTTGCAGTATATAAACCCTTTACCAATATCAGAAGAGGACGCTCAGACATCTATGCAACCTCTAACAGACTTCGCAGCGCAATTGGGGTTGACCGTAATCCATGAGCAATACGAATCTTTCGCAGTGTTCTATCAACAGATCTTAGAGCCGCTCTACGCAGTAAGCTTGTGGAACCTTTACTCATCTGTGACCTATCTTAATCTCCTTAGATCTCCGGCTTTCCACTGTCGACGTCCTCCCGCCTGCTCCCAGCACAAAACTTTGAAACCCCAGAATCAAGAGAGGAACTACTGGACGCGCTTTTGAATGCTAGTGCAAATCATTCTCTGACATATGTCTTCGCAACAACCCCGTATGCATATAAGGCGGACAATTTAACAAGCGTCACACCCGCATGGCGAGACTCCCTCCTATTGGTACGCTTTTCCCCACAGAAGTTACTCGTGTTTTGACGTGTGCTGTAGATTGAGGTCTTAGATACATTGGAATACAATACGACTGCTTCTGAACAGAGGAAAGTAATTGAGGGGCTCAGCAAGTCTATGGATTTCCTGAGAAATATCACACCAACTTCGGGCACTTACTTTGTACGCCCGCCCATCCTCCGCATTTCCACTAAGTTCGGTTCTAACACATTAAAAACAGAGCGAGTCAGATCTATATGAGCCCGACCATGAAAGGTCTTTCTGGGGAGCCAACTACGAGAAATTGGCAGAGATTAAGCTCAAATATGATCCTCTACATGTTCTGGACTGTTGGCACTGTGTAGGATGGAAGGGGCGCAGCGACCAGGCATACAGCTGTTATCCATAGTTTATGTAGGTTTATGTATCCTGTACAGCAATCATAAAATAGACCTAGCATGGATAACTCAGAAACTTACAGAGAGAACCAATCTGAACTCGGGAATGAACATCATTTGAACTTGTCCAGCTGGCAGGATCTTATCAGTTTTCTCTCCTCCTTTGTAACGCGTTTTCGCGTGACGCATGCATTGACAAGAAGTTATGAGACGGAGAATCTAGCAGGCATCGAATGCGCTCTGAACTTTGAAGAGCTAAATGATGTCGATGACAAACCCGATCCCGCTTATAAAACCTCAGATCTTGGGCTTACTCAATCATCCAACAGTGTCCAACGTTGAAATGGCATTAATGAATACAGGCAACGATGAATTTTGGGTATTTCATACACGATTTTGAGTACATTTTACAAATACTTGGTACTAGCAAGTTACTATCACTTAGAAAGTCAAGACAGCACGGAATTTGACTTGGCCGCTCTGCATCTTGTTATATGCCTCGTTGACTTGCTCCAGAGGGAACCTGAAAGGAGATCCGTAATCAGACTATGTAGAGGAAAAAGTGGAGTCAGCGTACTTCTCAACGATGGTCTTAATGTTGTGCTTTTGCGCAAAGGCAATTGCATCCTCGCTGTCTTTGGCATGACCTGATGGCCATCCCTTGATAGAAGCACGCTTGCCGATGAGGGCGACAGTGCTGAATTTGAGATCAGCAACTGATGACGTTAGAGGTTAGCTATATTTCCAACACTAAAGCATATCTTATACTTACTAGCGACAGTAAGCATGGTACCGCCGACTTTGAGTCCTCCGAGGAGAGTCGCAATAGCTTCACCCTGAGGAGCAGTGGCGAGAATGACCTTGGCTCCACCGAGCTTCATGAGCTCCTCGACCTGGTTCACCTTTGATCCATCGAGGTAGATGTCGGCACCGAGCTTGATGGCCATCTCCTTTTTAGCATCAGATTGAGAGAGTGCGACGACCTTGTAGCCCATTTGTTTTGCATATTGAATACCGAGATGGCCCAAACCTATTTCGGATTGAATCAGATAAGCACCGACGCGTGTCTTTTTTCTCTCTTACCTCCAAGACCGAGGACAGCAACAAGATCGCCCTTTTTGAGGTCTGGGACGTGACGGAGGGCGTTGAAAGTAGTGATACCAGCACAGAGAAGAGGAGCTGCTTCAGCCGGGTCAAGCTCTTTGGGGACGGGAAGAACTGCTTCGGTACGAAGAGTAACGTATTCAGCGTAGGCACCATCTTGGGTGACACTGTTATAACGCATCAGCGGGTTCTATTTATTGAAACAACTTGCAGTACGAACCCATTAATAGCCTCGGAAGAGCAAGTGATGAAGTCGTTTTCCTTGCAAGAACCGCAGTTGTTGCAGTGTCCTCCGTGCCAGCCAGAGCCAATACGGTCTCCAACTTTGAAACGTGTTTCGCCGGAGGGTACGGCGACGACGTCACCGATTATTTCGTGGCCAGCAACCCGAGGAAGGGGAACCATTCCCCACTTGACCATGCCATCGCTGCAGTCATGAGTGGTAAATTACTAGTTTCCGGAAAGGTGAAAAGAAAAGACATGCCTAGCACAGATACCACAGGCGAGGACTTTGACGAGAATAGTACCTGCTTTAGGGGCCTATAACATGATCAGCATATTGGAAGCTCCAAAGCAGCATCGAAAATTGCGCACTTCGACGGTCTTTTCGACGATTTCGAAGTTACCACCCGCAGAGTTGATAACAGCGGCTTTGAATGTTTTGGGGAGGGACATCGTTGAATATAGTACTTGTGATGGTAATTGAGGGAGATAAGAGAGAGAAGTTGATGATAAACGTTATCCTGCTCCAGATCTTATACCCAGTTGGGCGTCTCGTGGAACAGTCAGCAGGAAAAAAAAAACTGGGTTGCTTACACATCTTGAGCTGGTTGAAAGTGTCAGAAGAGAAAAAGAGCGGGAAGGATGATGATAAATTATATGTATAGATAACTCTGATTCCCGAGGAGGCTGAGCGTTCGCACCGGAGGTCAATATGGACCGCATGTGAAGGTTGCAACCTGCCCTGGGCGTGTACATAGGTATGCTAGAGCTCTTAGTTCAGATAGCATACCTGATAGACAGAGATCAGATCATGAATCAGCGTTAATCTCGGAAGCTTTGTATGATCGTGCTGATAAACGAAGCAGATAATCTTGTCGACCAATCAGATCAATTAATGAGATACTCGTTTCCGCGTATCCTGGACTTGATAATTCATAGTCAGCGGTAAGTAACACACATTCTCTCGTCCCTAATCGCACAATGCCAGTACTGTTCACCTCTCTACGCGACGAGCGATATACTCTGCCTCATCTCTTTGAGCGTAATGCCCTTCTTAAGCCTGACGCTCCGTTTCTTCGCTATCTAGATGGGGACGATGAGAATGGGCCAATTACCGATATTTCGGCTCGACAGATCCTCCAGATGGCCAGCGCAACCGCAGGTCATCTCGGACAGCTGGGTTGTGCACCAAGACAGGCTGGGGAGCCCTTGAAAGTCGTGGCGCTCTATGGAACCAGCGGAATTTCCTATTATACTTACTTGGTTGCTTGTCTTTTGATGAACTGGACCGTGCGCATGATCATGTCGCTTTCTGTCTGTTTTAACTCATTCATACTAATACGTAGGTTCTCCTGGTTTCGACTAGAAACTCAGATGCAGCAGTCGAGCATCTACTTCGAATTTCAGAGGCAACCCATATACTCAGCGACGGAATATGGTTCGAGAAAGCTCAAAAGTTGCAAAATGTCACAGCTATCAAGATCGAGGATGTACCGCCCAGTGACAATGTTTGGTCAAGCGCTCAGCTTTCTCCAGAGCAATTTTCCAAGGCATTGACTGAGCCTGCACTTTATCTACATACATCTGGAACTACTGGTAAGGGAATCATAAAAGCCCATCGTGTATTAAAGGCTGCTTACTGTCTGATTTTAGGACATCCAAAACTTATCCCTTTTACGCATGAGTTCGTTGTCTCTGGGATTCAACGAGTGCACAATGGAAACTATACAGCTTTCAAAGGTGCCTCGATGCTGACTCTTGTTCCCTTATTCCACGTATGCCTTTAGCACTACGTTTATAACCTTCGTTCCCGTTCGCCTGATTCGATATCCAATTTAGGCAATCGGATTTTGGAATTTCACCATGATTCCTTTCGCGACAGGCGTAGTTCCCGTGATCGTACACAGTAAACGTCCTATGGATGGCGGGCGTTTGCTCTCAATTCTGAAACGAATCAACTCTCCATCAACTATAGTCTTCAGCTCCCCCGCCACCCTCGAAGAAGTGGCCGGGATCCCTGATGGACCCAAAACGCTTGCCACCATGTCTGGGCATGCGTTTTGGGGCGGAGGGAGTGTCAAGCAAGAACTGGGAGACAGATTGGCTCGTGCCGGCGTTATACTCACCAGCGTTTACGGCGCGTGAGTGTTTTCATGGGACCGTGTGTATTTATATTTGATCTGTCTATTCAGGACCGAATTTGGACCAGTAACGCCATTTCGTTTGAGTTCTGATAATCCAGTCGAAGACTGGAATTATCTATCGTTTCTACCCGAAATCAATGTTCTCCTGAAACCCGTAGATGATGGTTCAGGTCTGAGGGAGCTCCTCATACTGGTAAGAGTGTCTAAAATTCCCTGCCATGTTTTGACTGAGCGGATTCGTACCCAGCCAAGTGAGACAGCCACTACCGCTATACAACAGTATAACCACGAAAATCCCAAGGCATGGGCTACTATGGATCTTTGGTCGCCGCATCCCACAAGGGAAGGACTTTGGAAACATCATGGTCGAATGGACTCGATTGTAAGTACAACAATCATCATACCGTGATCTTTAAATTCAGATTGTCTGTAGACCGTACTTTCGAATGGAGAGAAGACCAATAATAGACAGATCGGTGAGTGAGGTTGTTGGCAATGTTCCCGACTCGTTCTGAATTTATTGAGATTTCCAGAAACTCTGCTGCTACAAGATCCGCTAATTGCTCGTGTGGTGGTCTTTGGAAGCGGTCGATTTTTGAATGGAGTCCTCCTCAGTCCCTCTCCGAATTTATATGACTCGTCGTCGGACCCAGAACGATACCTAGACCAAATCTGGAATACTATAGTCAACGCCAATGAGGTTCTCCCCCAACACTCTGCCCTTGTAAGACAACTTGTTCTTGTCGAAAAAACCGAAAAGCCTTTCATCATGAGCGATAAAGGCACTGTTCGAGCAGTCGAGACCTTGAGCCAATACGAGGAAGATATCAATGCCGCATATGGCCGTCTCGAAGAGGGCGAGGGAGCGCTTGAGGTCGAGCTACCTGACGAAGGAACCCCTGATACATTTAAGGCCTATATAAAGAAGCTTCTCGTGGCAATTTCTATCAGTGTTCCTTCCGAAGATGCCGATTTCTTTGATTACGGTGAGCAAACGCATTGAGAATTAATTTAAATTCGCTGCTGAAACCGAAGGAATACGTAGGAGTCGACTCATTAATTGCAATCAAGATTCGCTCTCATGTTGTTTCTTTCCTCAAACACAAGACAGACTTTGGTGATACAGAAATAATTGGAAACTTGATATATACCTATTCCTCCATTGATGCACTGACGCGTTTCGTCTTCAATACTTCAAACGGCGTTCAGTCCACAGAACACATCATACAAGAGCTGATACAGAAACACACAGAGGGCCTTCCTCAAACAACGGTCATTACGAACGGAGTTGGACAGATCACAGACTCAAAGGCGAACGTGCTTTTGACCGGATGCACTGGCAGTCTTGGGTCCCACATTCTGCTGCAATTACTGAGTTTGAAGAATGTGGAACGAGTGTATTGTTTAGTTCGAAATACTGATACAGAGAATAGCATCCGTGAAAGGTTGATGGTGCAATTCGGAGTCTACGGACTACCGAAAGAGCTCCTTGCAGAAAAAGCTTCATCTATCGTGATTCTTCCCGCCGACCTTAGTGATCCTAACTTGGGCCTGAGTGCGTCAACTAAACAAGAGGTATGTGAAGCCTCATTTCCCGGTGACTGTACCAATCGCTCATTCAAACTGCCAGCTGGAATCCAAAGTAACGCACATCATACATGGCGCATGGCGCTTGGATTTCAACCTTCCCGTCGAAAGATTCTCCAAAACTGAGATTGCTGGTGTACGCCATCTCATAGATCTCTCGCTAGCTCAGCCCTTGCTGCATACTCGCTTCATCTTCATCTCCTCCATCGGCTCAGTCCAAAATCATTCTTCAATTAGCGCAGTCCCAGAGCAGTCCTTCTCCGTCCCTTCTATCGCAGGTTTCGACGGATATAGTCAATCTAAATACACTGCGGAACGTATCATTGACGTAGCTGTCTCCAGAGCCGGATTAGACGCGATCATTATACGTGGTGGACAGCTTTCAGGATCATCGCAGAACGGTTACTGGAATCCCAAAGAATATATCCCGAGCCTATTCAAAACCAGCGCCGCTATACGGGCCTTTCCCGACCACTTCATGGTGAGTTCCCCTGTGTGAGGTTGAGGTGAAACATGCTAAATTAAAACCATCGTAGGAAATTCGCTGGCTTCCGGTAGATATTGCAGGCAAAATCGTGGTTAAACTTTCATTAAACGCGACTAGTCGGGGCTACTACCATCTGGAAAATCCGGTTTCGACGTCTTGGTCATATTTAGTCAATCTTCTCTCATCGCATGCGCAAAAAACTGCTAAACCTACTCCCGTTGAGCCAGTGTCTATGTCCGAGTGGCTTCGACTCATCGTGCAAGCGTCTCAGGTGAAAAGCGTGGACGAGATACCTGCGATTAAATTGATGGACTTTTTCCGCGGTATCGGTGAGAACACTAATGGCGAAGGTGCAAATGCAGTCGTTCTAGATGTACAAAGGACGCGGGAGGTTGCTCCCGAAATTGATGTGGGCGTTCTATCGGATGCGGTATTGCTTTCTTATTGGGATACCGCTTCAAGATGAAAATGACATGTATTATAGTCTGATGTACTTACTCTTGATGTTCGTAGGGTATGTACATAGGGTAGGGTTCTCTTTAGAGTCGAAAATGAATCGTGTAGAACTGCTCACTTCTTCAACTGGACTCCTTGTATTGAAGTAACATTGCCACTTAGCCGCATTAATCAACGAGCAAATTTGATCCCCTTTCAAGTTTAGAGCCCCTTGCAATTGCCCGACATTACACTGAGTGTAGAACTGACACTACGAGATGTTGTGGTACTGAAACAATCCTCTGACCGGAGTAGCAACTAGTAAAGCAAGCGTTCGTCAGCTTTAATTTACATATATACAGTTCCTGGTTGTTCCTGTGATAACTGTCCCGGTACCGTCCTTTTAGCATAGCCTGGCATATCCTTACCGACGAAGATCACCCATTTACAGGACAATAGGACAGAATGGACACATATGATAACTGCTTATCTGGAGTTGAGTATATCGGTAACAAATTGTATATAGACTGTCATATCAGTGGCAAGAAATGTCATAGTGATGGATGTAGATTTTGGCGCAAGATACAAGCCTGAGACTTAAAACCCAAATTCGAAATCGTCGCGGCGGGAAAACGATATGAGCATCCCGTTCCGCACGGCGCAGTCCGTGGGAGTATCAGACATCTTCTCATGCGCCATCACTGATGCGTCTGTCTAGTTCCTACCACCGCGACGTACCTGTCTTGGATACAGCTTTTTGTAACTATTCCGTTTCTAGTGTGCTCAATTCACTGCATTTTCTCTATGTCGAGAAATAGGTTTCTGTGTGCCGCTCAAACAATCGACCGAACTGCATATGGGAATAACAGAATAGTATAAAATGCTTGCAATTTGGCAGGCATGAATCACATCCCCTCTTTCTTTCATTTCTCTCTCATATTTTCTCATATCATATACTATGCGGTATAATACCTTAACTATCTTGGCGGCTCTGCTTGGGAAATCGTTTTCTACGCCGTTGAAGCGCCAAGTAACAGGTAAGTGCTATTTGCTTATCGAATTCGAGTAAACCTCTCAGTCTTTTCTTTTCAGGAATCACATCTGATGCTGCCGCTTTCGCGCAGAGTTCGTTCGACTACGTGATTGTCGGTGTGTATCTCTAGCAGTGCGTATTCAGAAGAAAAGTATCTGATTCCTTATTTCCATAGGGGGCGGCACCGCCGGTCTCGTACTAGCTGCTCGGTATATTGCTCTCTGAAATGCCTTGAAGCCATCACTGACCACCATAAATCAGTCTTAGTGAGGACGGTGCCGTGAACGTGGGTGTAATTGAAGCTGGAGAGACTCGCTTTGACGACGCTGACGTCAATACTCCCGGTTAGATCTAATTCCCATTATCTTCTGAACTAATCTCATGAACGACTACAGCTTATCTCGGGCAAGCATTATTCAACCCTCTTTACGATTGGGCATATGAGACCGTTCCTCAAGCCACCCTCAACGGTAGAAGTGTCTCACTCAATCTGTAAGCTGTTCGATCCCTCCGTGCCTATTCGGTGGGTTTCAACCTTGCTTGTTTAGTGGTAAAATGATTGGTGGCGGAAGCGCTTTGAATTTTATGATCTGGCAAAGGTGCGGAAACTGGCTCGATTCGGCTCGCACGGCCCAGCTCTAATTCCGTAAATGATTTTAGAGGTTGTCAAGGGGACTACGACAATTGGAGCCAGCTCGGGATTGAAGGAGGATGGGATTGGGCAGGATTGCTCCCTTACTTTGAGAAGACAGAAAATGTTACTCCCGGGCCTTTAGACACACCCTACAACTTCACAGAAGCTTCTGGATCAGGGGATGGCGAAGGGAAATCTGGGCCGCTTCCCGTGGGCTACAACAACTTCTACAGTACTATTGAGGGCCCATACGCTCAGGCTCTAATGTCATTAGGAGTGCCGCAGAACGCTGATCCTGCAAGTTTTCAATCCTTATCGATCATTAGCTGTTGATCTTATGGTCTTACAGGATAATGGTGATACGACTGGTTTGTTCAACAGCGCTGCTAGTGTTGACCCTGCGACTGGAAATCGAACTTACTCTGGTCGCAACTACTTGTTACCGAATGTTGGCCGATCAAACCTCGCTGTACTGACGGGTGCTCAAGTAAGTATCCATATTTTCCTTGAGCGTAAACTGAGACTCGTGTTCAAAGGCAACCAAAATACAATTTACTCAGAGCGGAGGAAATGCTACAGCAACTGGTGTCCAGTTTACGGCTAATGGAACCAACTACACTGTGTCTTCGCGCAAGGAAGTTATCCTAAGTGCTGGTAGCCTGCATACACCTCAGTTGCTGGAACTTTCTGGTATTGGTGACGAAGCTCGTTTGACTGCTTTGGGTATCCCAGTTGTAGTCGCCAACTCGGATGTTGGAGAGAACTTGCAGGTAGGGTATCCGCCACCCGTCGTTTTGCCTTTCATTTACCGAACTACAACAGGATCATCAAACATTGAATTCCGGATTCTTGCTCAATGATCCCGATGTCCCGACTGTCGGTGAGCAGTATAAACCACTGATCAATGGATTGTTTTCCTAACATGTGGGGCAGACACACTCTTTTCTAACGCTAGCTTTGCGGCCACGCAGGAGGAGCTTTAGTAAGTCTTTTGCTATTTCATTCAAATCAGACCCTAATCATTTCTTGCACAGTCTCACCAACCACACTGGTTTCTTCACATACACTCCCTCCGCCCTCTCCTTCCACCCTTTACAACAATTCTGGACAGAGGATGAGCTCGACACTGCGCTAGCTCAACTTCAAACCGAAATCACCCAAGCCAATCTCAGCACGTTCATCAACAAACAGTTCCAGCTGCAAATTGATGGTATCAAACAAGGCGTAGTGGGACAAATGGAACTGCTGTTTGTTGCTGGTAAATCATTTCGTCCCATGTCTTTGTCAGGCTCCTCATCATCGTTCTTCGACTAGGGGTTCTCGGTGCATCTTCAACAGATCAGGAAAACTTCGTTGACATGTCCAATTTTGCATCGGTATGACATTGATTACACTATTGACTCTTTTTGCTGATGAACATTCAACAGAGGCCTTTCAGTCGTGGCTCCGTCGTGAGTTTCCATCGAGTCGAACTGACTATAGTAATGCTCAAGTTCGTTAAAGCACATAAACACCACTGATCCTCTTGCACCTCCTCTGATCGATACTGCTTATTTGCAATTCTCGTTCGGCAAGTATAACCTTCTATGTCAAAGACATGTCCGTCTGATCAATTATCTACAGACAAAGAAGTTCTTGTTAAGGGGGCTCAGGTCACCCGTAATCTTTCGCAGATTGCTCCTCTCTCGAGTTTCATTGCTAGCCCTCTGAACCCTTCAGCGAACGTCACCACTGACGAAGATTTCGAAAAGTATGTCCCGACTACGTATGACTATCGGAATATGGATCATTCATGTGATAACCACAGCTTCGTTATTGAGAACGTCGGCACAGAATGGCATCAAGTTGGCACCGCTTCCCTTGGTCCTTTCGGAGAGGGAGGTGTTGTTGCCAGCGATTTGATTGTCTATGGAACCTCTAATCTTCGAGTCGTAGATGCAAGGTCAGTGTTGAATTTCGAGTTGATGCAGATGCCAATTACTAATGCACCATACAGTATCATGCCCATGCAAATTGGAGCACATATCCAGGCAACTGTTTACGCCATTGCCGAGAAGGTGAGTGTAAACACAGATATCATCTTCTCAGGGTTTAACAAAGTGTCACAGGCCGCCGACATTATCAAAGCCGCTCAGTAGACCTTACACACCGTCCCAACGCCGACATGGACTTCTGTTGAAACTCTTAAACTTTCCTTATTTGTTAAGCTAACGCTCCTGTCGTTAAGATATTGCATCTGGACAAACTATCAGCCTTCACTAGGAATTTCTCTTTACCTCTACATAGATCTATCCTACCATTCTACCATATATCAATCTCTTCTTGTAATTAGCATTGCGGCCAATTTCGGGGCTTTATATAATTATCGTGTAAAATAACACTCCTCGCTACTACATACACCTACCACTCAAGAATAACAGACTTCTCTTTCCCATCTGGCTCCAGTGATATCTTCACCTTCACTCCTCCATATTGTACAGAATCTACGAACATAGAGAAAATGTTGCACTCCCATTCCGTCTGCCCTAGCCTGGAACAGCATCTGCTTCGCTCATTGTGAATTCCGGTCAAAAGTACCCCTATTCACAGGAAGATTTGTGCTGAACGAGGAGAGAAGGGAGTGAGGTTGCTATTCTTGCATCTTTCCTGCGTAGAACAACGCATTTGCATTTGGCCATGCGAAGACACCGTTTCTTCAAACAGGGTTTGACGAATTCTACTGCGCCGAAGTCCAACATGCATTAAGAAGTACGAGGTTTGTCCAAAAGTCATGTACTTCAGTGCCGTTGCATCTGGTATATAGGTGACCTTCAGTATTCGATTCGTTGAACAATTCCTTTTGTTCATTCACGTCGGATCCTTTACATGGTTTAGCATTCTCCGAAAATCCTGATGACTTCCACGGTATCAATACGTTACGGTACGTCTCCCATTCATTCAAAAGGTCAAAAATACGTCGCGGGTAGGAAGTCCAAGAATAGTGATGATTCGAACGTTCGAATTGGGCATGGCCGAGTCCGTTATCTGTTGCGCTGTACATCGTGGCAGACAGTTAAGACCAAAATGCATGAGCTGGTACTTGGAGGCGTATAAAACGATCATTGGAGTCCTGAGGTTCGAGAAGGTAAATTAAAGAGGGAAAAATTGCCTCGCAAATGCGGAGGTAAGTATATAAAAACCCCCTATGTGGACATCACTGACATACCTCATGTAGACCTGCAGCTCGAGCCTCGCATCATGATGGCAGCATTGAGAAGACAATTCAAGTAACTTAGCTCGGAATATTATTGGTGGAATCAAAACGGGAATTAAGGACTTGGAGTCTTTGGAAAAAAAGCGACGCGGCAGTTGCTGATGTACTCTTTTTTTTCTGTTCATTCTTTCGTTACATGACGGGTCAAGGAATTACAGCATATTGAACTGTTTCAACAAGGGAGCTGCATAAGTTCTGTCAGATGCAGAGAGTGTCGCTTCGTTTCAAACATTGTTTTGCAAACACAGCGATACTTAGATTGTCATTCGTAAAATATTTAGTGAGGGGGGGAAAGAAGGGCGGACGGGAAAAGGGCCGGTTGCCTGCCGAGTTCAAGGCATCCAAATGAGGAAACAACACTCACGTAAATCTTCCTCGTTCCTGACTTTTCGCATATGAGAATCGTGTTACCCTTCATGATCACTGCATGATCTGCGTCCTGCATTTGTCGTTCCTTCCATCTTTCTTCTTCCCCTCCATTATCCGTCGTCCAGTCTTCTAGGTAAACGCATATACGGCCTCTGGAACTTTCCCGGAAGCCAGCATTCAGGAGCTCATTTACGTAGAAGGAAACCTGGGCTACAGTGTAAATGTTCCTTCGAAAGAAGGTCAAACATCAGCAACAAAATGCTGCTACTTCTGAAAAAGTGGCGATGATAAAGCCCACGAAAGAATCCCCTTCTATGAAGTCCACGCCGCTTTTTGCTCGATTCGCGTCAGCGAACACGATGAACAATGGACCAAATGGTTCGCCGCCGAAGCCTATGGTCTCTGTCCCGATGTCTCTCGGAATGAAGAAAGAGTTAATGCCAAGCGACACTGTAGGAAAAACTGGATCAGGAAGAAAAGACGGTATGCAGAGAGCAGGAGGACAGGCTGGACAACCTTGGATAGCATCGGAGAAGGTTGATAAACCTCTACCGCCAACTTTACCTTCGGAAGGAGTAAGGTCTCCTTTGGAACACCGAGTGTCTACCTCAGGACCGGTCCCCGTAGACCCTTCTCGTATCGGCCGCAAAATCAGCACACAGAAACCTCGTGCTGCGGATACGACGGAAAGTAGAGAGCCCCAAAGTATTTTATCCTCTCGGCCTTCTACTACCACCCGCAAATCATCAATTCGGGATCTGCACTCCTCAGATTCGAACTCATACTCGGTTCGCGTAGGTGTCAGTAATGACGCACCCTCCGATCCAGCCAAAGCTGTCCGGAACAATCTCGTCTCTGGACAAGCTCACCCGACCTATGTTCATGGTCCGACTAGCAGTGCTGCTATCGGTTCTGGCCCTTCGTATCGAGTGAGTACAATTTCTCGTCCATCTCCATTTCTTTCTTTACTCTCCTTCATTCGTTCTCTTCTATCACTTCTTCTCGTGCCCCGGGTGCCTGTTGTTCCTGTCCATAGGCCACTAAGTACGTTCTGCGTGTGGCCACTGAGAAAAAGCGATTACGGATATTCGAGCCCCGGAAACGGATACAGATATCGTTGTTTCTCCAACTTTATTATCCTTTGGCAGTGTGGTTATTCACCGACGATAACGCAGTACGAGAAAACAGCAGCTCCTGGTTCATCTTCGCTCAAATAGGCATATTAGTTTCGGCCACTTGACTGGTTGAAAGCTTGCACTGGTAACACACTTTACGCCAAGCGTAGCTGCGTCAGTGCGTGCAGTGCAACCAAACGTAATGCCGACTCTCCTTCTAGCTTTGTTCCCTTTCCAAATGAAGTTCGTCCGTTCTTACTCCAGCCTTCTCTGGTTCTTGTTAGTTATTCGATGACCCATCGTCTTCGCTCTATCTCCTTCGTGGGGCATTTCCACATTTCACAAGCTTAAAAAGCTTAGCCATTCGTTTGATATGATGCACCGAGTACTTAAATAGTTCTCATTAATACAGCCCTCAAACAACAATATCTCCTCCGCCCACGCTTCAACGTCTGGCCCTCCTCCTTCAAGCTACGTGAATCACGATTTGGTGGGTGTTCTTTTTTGTTAATGGAGGTTTGATGTTCATTGCGAAAATCATTCCCTCCAGTTCTCAGGACAGAACAACTCCTTTTACAACCTGCCCAACGGTGGTTATTCGAACACAAGTATGGGTGCATCTCATTCCTCCGTGGCCCATCCTGGTTCATTCCAGACTCCAGTCAAAGTTCAACCGCAGTTAATGCCAAACTTCAAGTCTCCTCCTCTTGATCATCAAAACGTTGGTCGACGCGCCTCCTCATCCATTCCTAGTTCATCAATGTCAGGAGTAGGCGCAGGGACGAAGAAAGGTCCGTTGATCTTTGCTGCAATGGCTACAGTCCAGCAACCGCAACCTCCGCAATCTACCAGTTATAACATTTCCTCCTCGGCATATCCTTCGCCTCCTGCTGAATACGGACTATATGCTTCCCCCTCGCCTCCAACGAGCTTTCAGATGCAACACACTGCTCCATCGTCCAATTCTAAACGCCATTCTCGTGTCCCCGATCATCGTCTGAGCACCCCTTACCCAATAAACACAATGAAAGCTCAGCCTCCTCTCCCTCCTACCCCGTCACAAAACCCTCCTCCACATTCGTCTACCCTGGTAAATTCCAGGAGAAAGTCTACGTCCCAAAAACCTTCTGCTAAGATGGCCCCTCCTTCCACCCCTCCTCCTCTGCAACAGCAACCTCAGCGAAACGGGATAGTAATCACAGGTCCACCTCCGTCGTCTTCATCGTCAGTCACTCATCATCGAACATTGACGAAATCCCGTCATCCGTTACCACCTGCCACGCCTCCGAAGCAGGTGCAACAACGGCCGACGCCACCGGTCTCACCGGAGGTTCCTGCAAGAGACAAGTCACCTTCGCAAATTGTGACCCCGCGGACTCCTACAGTAATATCTAACGAAGAATTTGAGTCCGCAGAGCGGAGGGTGGCCATACCACTTGATGACGATCCTTTCGCGAGAACTGAAGGGGTCAGGATGCTCAAGCCCACCGGACTTGGGGCCAGAGAGGACCCGCCGTCATCGTCATCGTTATCCTCTTCGTCCTTGCCTTTGGAATCAGAAGCAAGGCCGACCGTCTTAAGTGACGAACGTGATGAGAGCCCAAAGGAATCTCAAGCTCAAACTGTTTCGCTTGTAAATTCTGACGAAACCACAAATTACGATGATGAACAAGGAGACACTTCTTCCAGTGATAATGACAATGTTACACATGCGAACGAATCGATGACAATGGCTGAGCCAGAAGCCATGAACCCTGCCACTGCGATGGCTTCTTCCCCCCGTCTGCCGCCCACTACCCAATCGCCCACGCGAATCCGAAAACGAGCTGAACATCAACCTCCAGTGCCCTCAACGGGTGTATCAACTTTACCTTTGCGACAAGATAGACCCCCAGAACCTTTCCCGTTGATACCCTTTATGTCCGATCCTGTTTTATTGGGGGCATTATTAGGGTACCTCTCTTACTGGGACTGGTGTTGCCTGTACGGTGTGACAAAAAGAGTAAGAGCACTGTTCGAGCACAACGGGGAGAAAGCCAAACTGCTGAAGGAAGAAGTACTCGAAAGATTTCTCAGGACAGTTGCATACACTCGATGGGGAGGGGACAGGGAACCATTGGTTCTTTCACTGAGGGTATGTCCGTATTCTACTCAAAGTTTGATATATTCACAATTGTTTCAGGACTTGCACTCTTACTTGCATGGTGTCACTCTACCTACATTCGAGTATGCGCGCGTCGCGGAACTTTATCTGCAACAACGCAACATTATTCCTTCTTTACGGGATCCCTCTATATCAGATAAGGCACGGATGATGGTCAACGCGACGCGTGCATATAATCGCGTTGTGCTGAGATTGAGGGCTCAGGCGGAATTAATGGCATCAAGCCCGAATTTGAGTAATTCGAATTTGGCTCATCCGATTGGATACGTTGCCTCCCCTCGCTCACTGCCTAGTAACTCGCGCTCTGTGAGTCGGGCGCCCTCACCTAGTTCTTCCTTCACCCATGGCCGTTCCGTCGCTCATGGTTATGGTAGTCAGAACGGCCACGATGGACCTGGAGCGTCAAATCCTAATGTATATATGAATTCCTTGACGGGATTCAGATCGCCTTTATTCCGCACTGGTCGCGCCCCGCTTTTACGTGTGTTCATTCCTTCGCCTGAGGGAGACTGGTTATCAGATGCCAGCGTGCTAGAATGTGAGGCTGAGCTAAAGAGAGCAGGGCTTTTGCCAGACAAAGACAAAAGGGGTAGTGAGAACAAAGGAATCAATTTGTTGAGACTGGGCGATGTCGTGTGGGATATGGCCGTAGGAGACGATGGGAATGCCGGAAGGATGGTTTGGGATGGAAGTTACCTTATCGTGAGCTGTCTATTTATCCTCATCATCTTGTTCGTTCAACGCCTTGAATAGGACCTTGACTACACATACTCACCAATCGGTGATCTGCCTAAGTACATCCCGGGTTTCGCCTTTCCCCCGTCATACTTTCATCGGATCATTCGTACTGCTTCGAGCAACCCAGTTATTAGATTAGATATACGTCCTTGGGGAGCACAAGTTGCGAGCAACTTGCAGCTGCTACAGGAAAGAGCAAGGACCGAAACTCCACAAGGTTCCTATCATAATGTCGTTCGATGGGTGCATCGGTCTTCATTTAACATTCGACCTCCGACCATGCGGCCACAAAGTCGCGGTCGAACTTCCGTCGATTCACATTCAGCTATACAATCACGCATTCCTATACCAAACACCACTCTCTTTGTTGACCCCGGCTGGTACGGCAAGGTTGTTGTTGAGACTGAAGGCACGAACGAAGCTCTGGCCGATTTACAGGATAGATGTGGGCCTGGGGTGTTTCCACCGAGAGCGGGAGGTAGAGTGCCAAACATGAATACTCCTAACGACAAAGAAAAGGAGGAAGCAAAAATGGTCTGGAGAATAATGAGAGAACGAAGGTTTGTGTTTCTCAGTACTGTCTCGTATCTTTCGCTCAACTTGGCTTTGTTCTAGTCGTCCAGGCGAAATATGGATTCGAGTTGTTAACTCGAAAGAAAAGTTGATGTAAAACAGAACTGTAAAGAACGAATTGAACTACGATACCTACTTCTGTCGAATTGTACGGACTCGATACGTGTGTACTTTCTACCCACTGTTGTCATTTCAGAAATTGTTGATTTTTTCATGCGTATCCATACTTTTCCTATATTTTCACAACCTTAGACCAAGTTTATTCAACTTTTCCTTTTCTTCTTTATTATTTCGCTGCCTTACTTTTCCTCTCCATCGTTTCACCGACGATTGGAGCTATCTTAATGGTTATGCGGTGTAATGCTTCATTGAAACATAAATAGGCTCCAAGCTCTCCATAGTACATAGAAAAGAAACCTCAGTCAAAGCTAGGAATATTTGATTTCGATCAAATGTTGATGGTTCGTTTCTATTGCTACAGCTACACAAGAGTACTTTGCACACCATTTTCCAGAGTCTTGAGCGTAGTCATGAGCGATTCATCTATTAATCAATTCAGGCCATTATGCATATCCGAATGACTCTACATGCAGAGACACAGTCGCCCCACCACGCAACAGCGTTGAAGGTCCAGCTACAGGGAATCGAAGACCTTTTCGGACAGCACTAGCAATGGATCGAGACCCGCAAACTAGATTGATGTGCTGTAAATCAATAAAATTATTCTAATAGCAGAACTGTCCTTACCTGTGACCCACATTGATCCTCCCCTAGTTTCTTCCGCTTCCCCTTGCAGCAGCGTAGCTAGTGAAGGCCGGCCCTGCATCATCGTGACCGACCGAAAAGGAGCGAGGGAAGACAGTGACGGGAAATTCTCGATGAGATCATCACATTGGTTTCCGAATGCAATGGTCTTGGGTGCCTTCTCCGAGACTGGTGTTTGTGCACATCCAACACTGGAAGTAGACGGAGTTGCTTCTGGCAATTCGTAGCCTAAATCCGGAACATCGGATCCAGTGACAAAAATACGGACATCGACTTTCAAAGAGTCGGGGGTGATGGAGAGGGCTTTGGCTAGCACTGAGGATATCCAGTTTATGTTTCCTGTATATCTCATCAGATGGGCAAAGGTTCAAATTACGAGGCTTACTGGAATCACGTATACACCAAATGAAGGTGACACGCTTACAGGCACTCTTCCCATTCTGGACGCCTCTGGACAATAATGACTCGGCATCAATACCACAGTGACAAATCTTTCAAACTCTATAGACGTACTCGATAGTATTTAGTAATATCGGAAGTGTGTGAGAGACTCCTGTACCACCTTCGTGTATCTCAGTAAAAAAATCCACGACTTACTGAGGGAATTACCCACCAGCAATGAGCACGATTGTATCGTGCAAGTTCGAGTTGTGACTACAGCCATAAGGTCCATCAATGTATACCTTCACTGATCCCTTCCTGGCTGCTATATCTCCAAGGCGCTTGGTGAACCCTTCTTGAACATTGATGAGGAAGACCAGTTCCTTCCAATAAGAGGATGTGGTAGGGGTCGAATTCAAGTCCGAATCCGTCGATGCAGCGGAGGATGTAATTTCTTTCAAACTCATTTGGGAATCATAACTTGCAATCGTGAACGGATGAGATTCGAATGGGAGTGAAGACACTCCAGGAGTAATAAGATACGCGACTTGGCCTGGGGCCCACTTGAAGTGTGGTGGCCTCTTGAGCGTCAGACGGACACATTTCGGCGTGAGAAGCTCAGTGGTAGCATCGAGTGCCGTTCCCGCGCCTGAGCCAAAACCAAAGTAGGAGTGATTGAATACCACTAATCGAAAGACACGAACAATGCGGTCAACTCCCCAAATTACAAATGAAGGCCAAACGTAGGTTTGGTAGCTGATAATTCAATGGCCAAAGGTCAAATGTTTTTCAAACTACAAGATGATGATGCTCACGAAAACTCCTCAGAGTGACGGTAAGCTCCTACGAGGAACAACCTTGAGGATAATGAGTCATCGTAAAAACAAACATGGAAATTAACTTTGGAACTCACAGAACCAAGACCAGATGGGTGTAAAAGAAGAATTCATAAGCCCGAGAACGTACAGGCCTAACAGAGATTATGCACAAAGACGTTAAGCTCGATGCAGCTAGGATTCCACAGCGTAGCCACGTTTGGTCAAGCTCATCTGCTTCCAACCTTGAGGAATTAGTTAGGCCGCCTGATTCCTGCATTCACGAGAAAGAATATCATACCCTGATGATATCTACGCATCGTCTCTATCAGAAAAATGCACATATTACACGATTACACGGTCTTTGGAACTGACCTTGGCGCCTGCATGGACCCAGACCAAGACAAAAACAACACGTGCAGCCATACGATGGAGATAGTTTAACTGGCATCCGTTGGAGTTCACCTTGCTGTCGCAGTTTAGATGGATGTACTGACCTTTTCGTAGGGAACTCCTGTAATAACTGTACAGTGATCAGAGACAAGTGTATATACCTAATGAAGGAGGCTAGGAACATACAAGTAATGATGTTGTTTTTTGTCCCGAGAGCGGTGATCAAGGGTATCTGGCTGGCGATAAGAGCTCCTGCACGATTGCTCCAGTATGACACATCAAATTTGCCACCAGAGACATTTGTAGCTTTTCGAGACGGATATGAGCTGGAGTACGGATCAAGTTATAATTATGACAACGCCTCACTATTGATGAACGTCCATGTAAACAGCGCAGCCATATACATCAAAGTAAGTATGACTTCCGTCAGATTGAGACTATAGGAACCAAAGTCGAGGGTGAAGCGGAAGGCCACCACACGAAAAAGGTTTATTAGAGCTAGAGGCAAGTTTCGAAAATTTACCACTGCTTTGGAGTGACTAGAGCTCTTTTCAGGGTCCTGGGACGAGAGGCCGTTGTGTCTCGAAACCTTTGAACAGACGAATGATAGGAGACGGGACACAGCGACAAGAGCTATCAAACAGGCCAAGAAGAACCACACCTCGTGTGGATATTCATTGGCTCGTTGAATTCGTATCGCTTTGTCTGGATTGAGAGGAACGGCCGATTTGCCTGCTCCTGTCGTGGATGTAGATAAAGACGTCATGTATCAAAATTTGCGAAGAGAGCAGAGAGGACTAGTGCGGATCCGAGCAACGCTCTTCAGAAATGCCTCTAGTTTTAAAGGACTCTGGTGGAGGAGTACCGTCATCGTAGCGGCGCCAGTCAAGAAGGAATTGAGTAGTTGAGTAGATTTCCCTGGGACACTCAACACATGCGTCTGAAACTCCACGAGGAAGTATTCGATTGAAGGGCAAAGAACGGATAAATACAAAGGCTTGCCAGATAGAAGATAGACGATTTAGAGGCCTGGAAAGGAAAGTAACAAGAGATTAAACGTCATTCAGTTGAGTACCCTACCAGAACGAGACAAAGTAATGTTTCGACATAACAAACCCGTGTCCAAAAGCACAATTTTCGGAATATACGCCGCATACAACCTAAAATCTCGATGTAGCGACTAGCAACCTACAGCATTCACGTCGCTATCATTGAACAATATTGGGCCGGAAGTAATACTATATTGAGTCAATCCACATTGCTTCGAGCTATTCCTGGACAGACCACATCTAATCTGTTGATAGTCACAGTCAGTACACATGAGCTGGCACGAAGAACTCGAATATCGCGCCAAGAACCGTGTTTGAGACGGTGATCAAGAGTCTCAACAACACGGGAGAGGAGGGATCCTCTAGGATATCGAAAACCCTATTATCACCTTAAGTATCTGCGTACTACGCCGTCTTGGACATTGTAGCATCTTCTATGTCTATGGTCTGCAATCTTCCGCAACACAATCTTATCGGATTCGAAAGCAAACTCGCCGCCGAGTCCCCGAATATACACCATTGGCCGAAACGAATAATGTACCAAAGTAGTTGTCATGGGCGAACTACCGTAGAGCTCAGGGGAAAACCACGGCGACTAGTAAGGGTTGTTGACCTTTTCCCGAGCACTACGACTGACCAATCACCATATGAAAATTCGGCGACATCTAACCGATGAATAACCAAGTTTCCTGCAATGATCAACGATAAGGAAGGGATCAAGAATATTTAGAATCAATGATGACGCACTAGTGGCAGAGGGGGCGAAGTTGTCACTAGATTTTCCCTCTTTTCGCATCGATGTGCATGATGGGCCCTCTCGAGTAGGGAATGTGAAGGGGTAATCGAGCGTCTTGGTACAATCACCTTCTTTCGAGCAAGTAATATATCTCATTGCTGGCCAAGCTACTTATCTCTCGAGCCAAGCTCCTACAGTCTAAGGAGAATCCGACTGCAATTTCGGCTACGGTGATATATTTCACGGGATTCCGTTTCAACGAGTATTCTCGAACCATTTCGAAAACTACCTGTGATACGTTATGAGCAGTCAGGCTGGAGTAGAAAACTCCTGTAGAATGAAAACTTACATAATGGCTACTTCATTGTCCCGGGATCGAGCCGGGATCGCAGCTCAGAAAACAGAAACTTCGGTCAAACTATCTATAGAAGATTTCTCGTTTGCGTAAGATGTAGCTTTGGATCATCGGCTCTACCTCATTCCTTATTCTTCTTCCTCTTCTTCTTTTTATCCCCACTTTGACCAATTGGGCCAGAGGATGTTCCGGAACCGGTTTGTTTCTGATTCGAATCCACGATGTCGTCGTCGCGAGGTCGCTTCTTTTGACCGCCACTCGTTTGCGGTTGTGAAACTGAAGGAAGTTGCGCGGAAGGATTACGAGATTGAGTAGATATTGCAGGCGGAAATTGAGTAGGGGCAGTATAACCCTCAGGTATAACCAGCACGGGCTCTGAGAAGACTGCCCGGTATGTTTTGCGTGTTTCTAGAATCATTTTGAGTACAAAGAACTCAAGTATAGTGGTCTACTTACGTGCACGTAAAATCAAAGATTTCGGAACACTGGTACAAGCAGCATGCGCTGCGTCTTGCGGAAGTCCAAGTAGAGTGATCCTACCAATGACACTGATCAGCAGAGCTCTCGGTCATATTTGACTAACCTACAAGTTCGCCACGTCGCGCGGTGCTCGCATATCTGCTTGAGCAACTACTCCACCACTAACGATCAACCCTTTTCCCTTCGTGACTCGAACCAACTCCCTCGCGGCAGCCCACCAATTGCGCTTCGCGTTACCACCATTAGCTTCTGCAGCACCAGCGTCGAGTAGAATTGAATCAGATTCTCCCCCCAAAGCACCAACATAGTTTATTTCGAAGACGGCACCGTTCTTGATAGCGGTGCGGATCAGAGTGTGTTTAAGATGAAAGGGGAAACGAGGGAGCGTGAGTGGGATGGAGATTATGTGAGTTGTGAGGGGAGACGGAAGAGTGTGTGTAAGGCAGGCCAGAGCAAAGGTTGCTTGAGTAGTCGGTATAAGGGAAAGGATGTCATAAGAGTTGAAGTAGGAAGTGTTTGCGTTGATCTATCCCTTGATCAATGGAAACAACCAATAGACTGGTGGCATTAGCACATACCAAACCGAATCCCTTTTCGCTATCTTCATCCAAAATCACAGAAATTCGTTTCAAGAAGAGGATACCGGGTCGAGGTTTTAGTTTTTCCAACAATTCATTGAGTGGATTTACATGAATTTTTGGATCTATCTTCTTGTTCACTGTTTGGTTGAAACATATCACGGTATATCCTACTTGTGGTTACAAAGATTAGCAGTTTAATTAAAAAAACAAAATCAGGATGTTGAGCTTACAGTGAACGAGTAAATCAAGATGTGCATCTATGGCGTTGAGCTGAGCAACAGTAAATTGAGGAGAGTTCGAAGCCTGTTGCTGTTTGCCTTTGCCTTTTTTAGGGCCTGAACTGGAAGCGGTTGTGTTCACGGGGATATTCAAGTCAAAGAACATGAAGAATATTAATTCGCTTCTGGCACGTGTGTGCAAAATCTCGCTTTGACCTCGTTGAGAAACGCCGCTAAGTTTGTCTCTGAAAACGACAAAAGCAACAGAGATACAATTTTAAATATTTTCACGCCAGTCCTCCAAGGCACAGATCTTTATAGCTCCACCGATATACCAAAAACAAAGGTTACCCAAATATCCTGGAAACAATAAATATAAAGATCAAGTATAATCTCAACCTCATTCATTCATGTTTATATGACCGTTCACAAATCATGAAGATTCTCTCGTCCCTCTTCGAACACCCGCTCTAACATTGCATTAAACTCTCGTGGCCTTTGATAATGAATAGCATGTCCAGTGTTTTCAAATGTTACAACTTCCGCCTCTTTCATATGCGTCTTGAGATATATAGTATTATCAGGAGAGACGAGGTTGTCTTGATCACCCGTAGCTAGAGTGACTTTGGGTATGGATTTGGAAATCTGCCGCAATCTTTCCGCAGAAACATGATGCGTGAGCCCTGAAGACATTTGGGAAAGTGCGCCTATTAGGGTTTGAGGGCGGGTGGTTTGGAATCGCCGTGCGTAGCTCTGTAGAAAGTGAATTGAGTTCATTATTACACGGATACTGTGAAATTACTGACTTCGAATTCGACTTCTCGATTAGTTCTACCTCTCGGGTCGTCTACTGCCTTTTCGTCTATCCAAGGGCTAGTATAAAGGAGATCAAGTAGGATGGGTATCTTTTGAGCGGGATCTTTCATAAATGTCATCCTATTTCAAGCACATATGAGAAACGCAGAGATATCATCATTACAGGGATATACCTTAGCAAAGCTTTGAAGCCTTTCCACTGTATTTGGAGGAAGCTTAGCCCAACAAACACATATAGGTTATTCGATACTTACCGGCGGAAGATTGTTCCAAATATGACCGCCTGCAGTAGTGACGCCAAGCGTTAAAGATATCATGCGCTCCGGAATTCGATAAGCAAGCTCTGGACATACTGATAAGATTTAAAAATACGCCTGAAGAAAATTCCACGTACCTTGGGATATCATCCCACCTAACGATAGGCCTACGACGTGTATTGACCTTGGTTCGGTAAATCCAAGATAATTGAGGAGGGCAATGGCATCTTCTGCCATGCCAGTTGTACTGATTCGAAGCTTGAACCGAAGCTTACTTTTACAATGACAAAATAACGAACGTGTAAGGTCCTTTTGGAGTAGTACTGTTACCGACCCCTCGATTATCAAATACCAACACAGTGTATTTTGGTATACGAGAAAAGTGTTTCACTTGAGGAAGCCAAGCGAAAGAGCTGCTGTTTAATCTAAAATTTCTCCGGATGAGTGAATGCGTCCTTGACAAGATACAATGTTTTCACCCCATGATGAAGATGATCTTTTCTGGACCAAAACCATGTTGTTCGAAATACAAGGAATGGCTTTCTAGAGGATCTCCTTTGTTCCTTATGTCAGTAACTGGACACAGACCCTTGCGAGTGCAGGTCTGAGGATCGAACAGGGTCTGCAACTCAGAGGTCATCGGAGAAGGGAGAGTGAGTTGACGTAATAATCATCACGTGAAATGAATTATAAGCGCCTGTACTATGATAAAAGCGCTGAGATCGCAATACCCGCTGAGGGTTGTTTGGCAAGAGCTTTAGTCGCCGTGTTGCCGTGTTGCCGATTGGTATATCTACGCTTTGATAAGAGCCTGTTTCCAGGCCGAAATCCCTTCGTGAGGGTTCGGAGGTCTTGTGCTTGAGATTGCTGGTGTTGATGATATGGAGGAGAGGATTCAGAGTAAGTCTTAAGAGTCTTTCAGATAAACTTGCTTTGCAAGCACATCGATAACCGCACGGCGTTGATCGGCAACACGGCGACTAAAGCTGTTGCCAAACAACCCCCAACAGGTATTCAAATTGCGATCTCAACCGGTTCCTGTGTTGCTCTCTGAGCAGTTAAGACTGAAGTCGAACCTTTACAAAATCTTTTTGCAAACATGGCGCTATTCAGGCTATCTAGTACGCTGATAATGTTCTGTATCGCAAGGAAACATGGGCTAATTGAATGTTACTTACAGACCTTGTCGCGCTGCTGACATTTTCATCTCTTACTGTTCTCGCATTCAACTTCATCGCAGGACACGGTGATGCGTCCGGGTTTTTCGATAAACTGTCTGCTCCATGTCTGAATATCACTACCGATGAAGCGCCCTTTTCTTTACCATATACAGGGATCCAACCCATAGACAAAACACTTTGTGGCATCATAGTCTTCTTTCACGCGTCCTTCGGCCCAGAGGTCGCCCCATTCCTAATCTACTTTCTCCTCTCCGCTGTTCCTATTACGGGTCATGCCTACTTTGAATCATCCAGGCTCAAAAGGCCTTTTCTAATGGCGTACCCTGTCGTCTTCTTCCAAGTCATGCAACTTCTTTCTTTTGGAGCCACATTCTCTGTCTACTGGATGCTATTCATCCTGTCAGGTGCCTCGAGACTCCCTTCATTGGGGCGACAAACGATGGTCACGAAAGCTCATGCACAGGCTATAATGTTTGGGATATTCATTGGTCTCGTTATCCTGACCGGATGCATGATCATACTCCAAGATCCCTACATTACAGCTATCTGGCAGGTGTTTCCGATCGTAATTTCTGTTGCTACAAGTCTGCATCTTCTTGTGAGGCCTGCATCTTTATACCCTGAATCAGGCTTCTCCATTATTCGTGGCTTCTACATCTTGTCGTTCATTTTGATATCCTCCATGCATATCACCCTCATCACGTCGAGAGGTATCGAGGAGCTGAAAGCTCTCATGCTTCCATCTATAACTGTCTTACCGTCCTCCACCTCGATAGAACTTCAAGCTCTCAATCTTCTTCAATGGGACGCTGCTTTTGGGCTGCTTTCCGCATTATTGGCTACCCTCTGGTTTGGCAGAAACACAAAGGAGACCTTTGTGCTACTTGTATGGAACCTGCTGGCATCTCCAGTTGTCGGTCCTGGTGCAGCCTTCGCGGCATCCGCTCTATGGCGAGAATCATGGCTGCACGAAGAATTGATAAGTGATAAAAAGGATTAGGGTCTTCGATTTCTCGTTGCCAACTATGTAACAAACTTATCTATTTCCTAATATTCTGATCAAGACGTGATATTTGGGATCTCAATAAACGACAATCACTATCGGTCGGTCGAGGTGCAGGGTGCATTCTTCTATGGGACTCGTCGATATCTGCCTCAAAATCGTTGTCAGATCGTAAGGTGTAGTTATTGCAGCCCTTCAAAGCGACCTGCCCGTCATTTACAGGGTTTTTTTCCAACCAGGGTAATAGGGATCCTCGTCTAAGGTTCTGACTTCCCATTTCTCTGGCACCCAACCCTTTTCCTCCTGCTCCTTGCACCACTCTTCCAAGGCAGGGATAACCTTATGCTCGATATGCCAAGTCCCCTTGTAGTCCATAAGGTTCTTCTTCCCTTCTGTGAGCACCTTTAACACGAGGTGAGGGATGTACGGCTCGTTTCGAAAGCTGGAGAATGGTGTGAACAACGCCTTGAAATTGAACACGATAGATCTTGACCGCGGTAACCTTCGAAGTGTCTGCCAGTCTACACGAAGATAGATATCCTCAATCTTCAAGTTGGGATCCTGCGTTGTACGAACAGCAAAATGGGGATCACCGTCCTGTAGCCAAAGTGGTTGACCTATTTCCAAGCCCCAAGAACCTCGTTGTATCGGTTTATCTGAGGGCATCTTGGAAAAGTACCTAGAATAAGAGGATAAGAACAATTTTCCGGTATAGATAGAAAACAGACCTGTCCATGGAAAACTCCATCTTCTCCTTGTAGTCTGGTACGACGTCATGTATTTCCTTCAACGGTTTACCGATCTTCGTCGCAACATTCCACCCAATTGAGGAACAGCACACTCCCGCCACCATCGTATACAGGCCAGTCTTTGGATCCGGGAGCGTTAACAGGAAGTCCTCCGGTACATTGTTATTGAGAACAACCAGCGGGTCTTCTTCGTCCACATTAGACTGAGTATCCAATATACGGTTGTACAGAACACGCCCGTCAAAATTGAATTGCTTCGGATAACGCACGCAAAGGAACTGGATAGCCATTTCCATGAGCTCTCTACAGGCGAGCTCACTACCCGGAAGGGCGTCTATGATCATTTTCCCGTGTTTTGCGTGAAGCACCTTTCGTTGTGCAATACGCTCTTTGTAGGTCGATTCCAACTCGAGCCAATAATCTGGTTCCATTTTCTTCAGAGCTGACAAGTAGTGATACTAACTCAGACTTCTTGAGGTTATTACGAATAGGGAGAGCGCACTAACACATTGTCTGGTGGTACGACCATCTGAAAGGACGATATGGACGGGCTTGGGCCTTATCGACGTTGAAATCAAGTAAAGGTTTTGGAGGCGGAACCCCAGATAGCTTGAAATAATCGATGCTCTGACGTCTCCGGAACGTTGCCAATACCTTATCAAGGAATGATTTCCCGAACTGAGAAACTGCGAGGAGTACAGTGACGAAGCATACGCCATAAAGGAAGAGCTGGGGCTCATACATCTTTTGACAGGGTGGAAGATGCAACCGCGAGAGCTTGTGTTACCCCACGCTTTGCGGAACGTTTAACTCTGTTTAACTTTTATATGTAGTGTACCGTGGTACGGGACGTAACGGATTTCCGATATTTAGTATTAGCGAGGGAGATAAAACCATATGTATAGTGATCTTGTCAGTACATCGATAAGACCTTTGGGATTTGGCTGATTCTCCGCCGACGACAGTCAAGATTATGTAGAGTAATCTTCGACCCTTCAGTAACATCGTGGTACTCTCTGTTGTTAAAAATTCTGTGATACGATGATGCAGAATCACCCCCATAGGCGAGTCTCATGACACTTGGCTGAGCAATTCCATTGAAATCATGAGGCAGTCGTAAGAGGCTACCCATGCATGATGCATGGTTTATCGAACCAGTCTGAATCTCAAGGACAGGAAAACCTCGCTTTTTTGTGCAGTGGGAAGTACTGCATCATCTCTTTCTCCACAAAGCGGGAAGTGTAGAAGACACATGAAGGCAAACTGAAGATTGAGGAGTCCTCAGTCGGCCCACAAGAAGAAAGGAAGGGAAATTTATCTCACGACTAAATCTGCAATGTTATGCAGCTGCACATTTGTTTGGCCAGTGACCAAACAGAATGAGGTGCTCACGGGCTATATGGTTCTTGTTCTTTGCACATTGAATCTATGTATGTGTTTCGTTTTGGAGTAATGTACAATGACGCTGCATAGCGGGGGAGAAAAGTGGGAAGAGGAGGAGGAGTATGATGAGAGGGGAGACGAAGAATTCGTAGCCAACCTAACGTCGGGGGCATGAAATCGTAGGCAGTTGTACGTAGCAGACATCACCGGCCTATTAAGGGGGACGAAAAATTAAGAGAACAAAGCGAACAAAGCAATAATGCAGGGAGCAGAAAGCGTTGTAAGACAAAAGGTACCGAGACAGAAATGTGGAATGTAAAAAACCCAAGATGAAGCACAAAACCGAGAGAACAATATAATCAAGTATGTGAGGAGATATCGCGGTCGATAGATATAGGATAATAAATGTAAGAGACGGCAGTGACAATTGTGATATATGGGCAGGGCAACATGCTGAAGGAAGCGCGATTATCCTAAATCCAATCAAGCCGTTGCTCGAATAGTAGTATCTGTCCCCTCTAATACATGATAAGAAGAATCCCGACCATCTGGCAAGCGTACAGGCAAAGCCATTGACGTTTGAGTGATCGGCGTCGCAGGTCGAGAATCGCCCATCTCTGTCTCTTGTTCAGAGAAATACTCTGAATCCGACATTGTTGGCGTTCCCGAACCCGAACCAACACTAAGGATGCCATGCTCATTCACCGACTCTCTGGCAGTTTCAAAGGATCGGAAAGAGGAAGTGCGGGATTCGGAACGGAGACTGGGCGCAGGGGCTTCTGAGGCTGGTGGGTTGCGGAAGGAAGTCGGGGGAGGTTTGGAAGATATTGTTGGCGTAGAAGGGGAGGCGAGCGGAGCATGCTGAGCTAGAGAGACTGAAGGTGCAGCAGAATGTGAAGGAGGTACTACATCATCTTTCGGAGAGTGGTTTAAAGAAGATATCCGCGTTTCGCTTGATGTTCCAGGAATCTCTACGATGTCTTTGGAAGAGACAGTAGAGTCAACTAAGGGGGAAGGCTGCGTCAAATGTGATACCTTGGGCTCCTTCTGACTAGGTGATGAAGATTCGACAGTAGTAGCTGGTGTATCAGGCTCTACGGAAAGGGATACAGGCCGCGAGCTCTCATGCACCCGGATTTCCGGAGTTTCTAAACTACTCGACCCATTTGTCCCATTGCTTTCTCCGCTACTCTCACTCGAGCGGCCAATAGACTCTCTAGCCATTACACGAGTCTGACTTTGTGACCTTGGTGGGGACGAAGAAGATGTACCCGCTTCGCTCTCAAACTCCGGGGGTGGATTCAGGTCCTGCGTACTAGCAGCGAACGCAATTGCATCTTTCCCATACGGGACTCCAAATCTGGCAAATGCCTCTCTACTCGAGATTAACTTGAGTTGTTCAGGAGTAGGCCCGGCTTTTGGATACGTGAACTCTGTGCGGACGACGGTATGTGTGAGTGGAGCAGATATGGAAGCAAGAGATATTGACGAAGGGGAAGTCAGATGGTTGGAACTGAGAGTCGCGGAAGACTTTTTGCGATTCAAGGGGTTTACAACGCTGAAGACTGAAGAAGATGATTGTGAAGGTCGATGACTGCGACGATTCGAGGTAGACGGCCGAGACATTGTGGACACTAGCGAAAGCGCGCCACCGGAATCAGCCCGTTCATGTGATTGTGCTGAAGTCGATGGCAATCCAGGAGGAGTCATTGGACTTCTGCCACTCCAGCCAAACAGATTACGCAGCGATCGCCTGCTCGATGTCCCTCTTGAAGCTGTGGATGAAGCTGCCGTCATTGAACTATTCGTTGGAGTGGGTTCTGAAGACGGTATAGGCGGAATCGGAGGTCTCTGCTGGGCTTCATCATTAAGATCGACTACCTCGAAATAAGCTGGCGCATCTCCTCGGGGATCCGGGTTTTCGGTCTCAGCGTTAGTTTCAACGCGGACTAACGAACTCGATTCCCCTGTGTGGGCACTGCCGCCACTATGTCTACGTCCGGCATCATTGCTACGGGAACGAGGCTCTTCGTGGGCTTCGGGTAATAGTGCTGCGGCAGAGTCATCTGCCACTGCACCGTCGTCACCATCTAGCAGTGGCATATGTTGAGGAGAGTCAGGCACAGGAGAGTAACGCTCTTGTTCTCCATCTTCGTGAAGAGGTGGCATCTCCAAAGGTACATCTTCCATATCCTGAGGACCCCTGTAAAGTGTGTGTCGGTCGATAGGTGTAAACGATTTATGGGTCTTTACGCACCGAATGATCACCAATTCCTGTTCTCCGGGCTCCTTCATATATACCGGTAGCGAAGTTGTAGATATCTGAGACGGTGTCCTTCGATTCCTACGGACTCTCCTAGTTTGATTAGCTGCATTGGTCGCGTCATTGGCTGAAGTGGTACTGGCGTTTCCAGTCAATTGATCAGCAGTGAGCTCAGTAGTTGTGGGCATCATTGTACCAGTGCCAATCGCTGCAGCACGGCTGAAGTTAGAAAGAGCTCGTGGAATTCCTCCCCCATTGTTCGCTTTGACTGAATAAACATAGAGTGCAATGATAGCCACGACGAGGACAACGACAAGTATTGGAACCTAGTTGAACATGGATTAGCTATCTGAGTGTTCGATAAACAACACCAAACCAACCCATATTCTGTATGAACTTGAGGAACTTGTGCTCTGGTCATCTCGTTGTTGGAATTGCGCGGTAATTGCTGGAGCTGCCGAGACGGGATCTAAGCGGAATATTATACCTAAAAGAGCCAGTAGCCGAAACGAGGAAGCGGAATGGATGAGAAATAGAGTATTGTACAGGCCGGTTCGTAAATCATAACGAGGGAAGGAGGAAACACTGGACATGGGAGGAGGAGGAAAAAAAGGGACGAAGGTGCTATAGAGCCGGTTTGGGCTGTCTGTCATTCGTGATTAGTTTTGCCTATCAATCCCGCGCCGTTACAATCCGTTCCATGTCGGGTTCGGACAAGGACAGTGTTTATTGACTACAATTTTAAACAGATGAAGGCTCAACAACAAGGGCTATGTACGCATTACAGTTATAATAGAATGGCGCAGCCGTTTTTACGACTAGAGACAGTGTGATAACCCCTTCAACTTACGAATGATCCCATAACAAGACCCTTTGAAAGATAGATCAGGGTGTTGATGAAATCCTCATAATGCACTGGCAGCCATAGCCTCATACAAGCCCTCAACGAGTCGTTTTGCGCTCACCTCCAACTTCTCCTCCCTTGCTCTGCCTACCTCAACCAAAGTCTTTTTTGCCTTCATACCACCAGCGGCGGTTGGACCAGTCACACTGACGCTCAGAGCACCAAACGTACTGCCGTTATACGCTGCCACATTAGACGACACAGCCGATATAGCAGGTGTATAAACCAGTGCCACTCTCCGCGGGGAGAATGAAACACTAAGTGCTTCAAATGGAAGAGGATTTACTCGGTATTTGAGTGGCTCGTTTGAGGAATGATTAGGGGATGTAGAGTCCACACTCATAGGCGTAGGAGAAGAAATAGAACTAGAGGCATTCGCATGAGGACTTGTAGGCGTAGATGGAGAGGGAGGCGTGGATGTTCGTCGAATTTTGGATTTTGCTAAGGAGATGTATGACGATCGAGAGAAGGGATTGAATGAGTGTTTTGTTGGAGGTGGAGATGAATGGGGAGAGGGAGGAGAAGTTGCCGAACTGGGTTTTATGGGAGGTACCTCTATACCCGTTACCTCTGGACGAGCTGAGACGACAGCTTCAAGGTCATCAGAGGCGTGTCCTGTTGATGATTGTGGCGGCGGCGGCGGATCTCCTACATAGACTAAACCCGCGTTGATTCCTTCCTCCAAAATCAGATCTTCTAACCTACTCCGAGGCTGCACCATGTCAAACAAATCCTTGTATGCTTCTTCTCTTGGAAGATGTAATGATGTCGCGTCCAGAAGAAGATCCTCATGTGCCAGAAGGGCTATGAAGAGATCAAGAGTAGCAAGTTCACGATGAACAGGTGCTGAATCTGACGTTGTTGAAGTAGTTAGTATAGATGACGAGAATGGATCCGAGGTATATGGTGGTCGTATTAATGACTCATACGCTGGAAGATAAGTGGAACGTAGTATGTGCATGCAAGCTGGACAACAGGGAGGTTAACTGTGAAACAGATATGGTATCAGCATTGAAGGATACTTGCCGGTATAAAGAGCCTTGTTCACCAATCGCAACGAAGTTTCCAACCAATACAAATTCAATCTCTGTCTCTCAATCTTTCCTTCACCTTCATACTGCCCGTCTCGCTGTGGGAATGTCGAATAGACAATCTGCAGCAGGAGGTGTGCTGGTAGCGTCGAGAACGTTGGCTTTGCCAATGCATTATCTCCATTGCTGGTAGCATTTGCTGCTGTTTCTGCGAACGCAGGAGGAGGAGGGCGATAGTAAGGTGGTGGTGGTGGATGCATCCACTTTTCGTCAATGATCATCTGAGAGGAACCGATAGCGATAGATAAGGCAGGTATTTAAGTGATTGTATATAAGAAACCTGCTTGAGAACCAAAACTACGGAGCCGTGCTTACCTTCTCGGGAGGGTTCGTTAACGCGGAAAGGCAGAACTAAGGAGCTGCGGACAGCTAATCAAGGAACCTGTTGACTGTAAGAGCAAGAATAGCGCACAGCTGTGAGACTTGGGTCTATTTATCCACGAAGACCTTGTGACGGCTTCGTAGCTGTGCGGAGCGCTCACTCCGAATATCCGCGCTAGTCGCTAGCCCACGTTCACGGAGGGAAGAGAAAATACCTTAAAGCATACTACACGTACGGTAGTTGTCAATACGAAAGTTTGGAAAGACGAGGAGAGTTAATTTTTAATTTATGTAATCACCAAGTACCTCCACAGTCCTACTTGCAGGCAGGGCTTTACATGTACCTCCCCAGTACTCACAGGTATTAAAGGCCATAGTGCAACTCACAATTCAGCGATTGTTCCTTCCTCCCAAATCCACTGGCTAGCTGATCTAAGCTGATATATGTTGCTGGCCAACGAAGTCGACATCAACGTACCAGATCCACAATAACGAACGCGTATTCTCTTCCTGCAAGACGAGTTATACAGCTACAACAGCTCGCGCGCTCACGATTCACCGATGCTTCCTGACGTCTTCATAGCTGTGTTTGATATCGTCAGTAAATCTTATGCTTTGAAATTCCACTCGTTCTATCATGGGACAACCGCTTCAATGACTTCAAAACCAAAAGACACTGCAAGAACAAATACTGCGTATTACTCGAGATACATACATAAGTACAATAATGGCAAGATAATTGCATTGGGGCATTACGATACGTAGCAAGGCAGCGATCAGCACGTCAACAAAAAGATGATTGGTAACATTGAGCAAGCAAGCACCACAGTCAACAAACGCAGACATTTAGGCTGCAGCCTCCCCAACTCCCGGGCAGTCTCGCGAAATATGGCTGTGAAGATACAGTCAAACCTCGATCTAGAATGCGAAAAGATGATTTACCCAGGAGAGCCGCATGTATAGCATGCCTTCTTTTGTGGCTGAGTGCAGTCTCGAGAGATGTGACCCTATGCGAAGCATTCGGTGAGTGTCCTGACACGAGGAAGCATAAACATTGCTTACAAATTCATTGCAGTTGTAACATTTTGATCCTTGCACACAGTCGCGCGACAAATGACCTACGCCACCGCAAGTGTAGCTAAATAAAGCAAGAGGTGTTAGAAAGGCAATTCCGACGAAGAAAGGTCAGACAGACCAAGTCTTCTGGGAAAATCCTCCGCTATGGTTGTGTCCACCGCCTCCACCCCCAGAGGGGTTTTTAGGGCATGCGCGCGCGATGTGCCCAGTTTCGCCACAGCGGTAGCATTCGCTACCTGATTGATATCCGGAGTTGGAGTTGGTGCTGTCAGGACATTCCCTAGACTGAACGAAAAGATCAATTGCTGATATGAGAGCAGGGTAATTCTACGACGCACGATATGACCCTCTTCACCACATTTGTAGCAGGTCTTAGCCTTTGCCTCTTGCGTGCAGTCACGGGAAACATGACCGTCGCCTCCGCCTATCAAACCAAAGACGATTAGAGAACGGCGGTTACTTGACAAGCCCGAATCTCACAGTTGTAGCTAGATGAACGCAAAACTTGTCAATCTCGGATTCCGACGATAGCGCGAGAACAGCGGAGAGCGGAAAATGGAAAAACAATCACCAAGTAGGGGTCTTCTTTGGGCAATCTTTAGCCTGGTGTCCGACTGTAGATGTTACAATCAAAATCAATATATTACGAATGGAATTGAGTACAGGATAAGAGAAGATCCAGCTTCCGACAGTAGCATGGGAGCCGAAGGAAATGTTGGTGAGCAAGATATTAGCGCTCAACAGCGTTGAAAAATTTCCCAAGAGAACAGGGAGGTAGAAAATCAGGAACACGTCAGCCACGTACATCCTCCGCAGTTAAAGCATCCGCGTCCAGCAGACATTATCGAGATATAATCGAGGTGGTTTTTGAGATAGTGAGTATTGCAGAATGGATTTGGGTCCTATCGAATATCTATAGAGTGGGAATGATCAATGAAAATCAAGGTCTGAATTCCTGAAGGTGGGTACGACGGAGGAGAGGGCGTCGAGAATAAGGAAGAAGATGTACGTACGAACGACGAGAAAGAACCTGAAGGTGGTGAAAGGAGGGAATGAGGGAAAATTACTCAAGATTTTTCTCACTTTGCCGATGAGTCAACCTTCCCACGAGCTTTTCAATTTGCGGTGGGCACTAACCTAAATAGGCAACATACTACTATCTTCTCGAAGTAGTATATGGGTCTTGCAAGTTCAAGGAGCACTGGAGCTGAGCGCTGAACGTTCGAGGACGAGCTCCGAAGTAGACCGGCTTGGCTACATAAAAATTGATCTGTAATTCTCGTACATCAGAATTTTGAAGCTGAGAAGCCTCTTGCATGACACAAACGAGCTAGTGACAATCGCCCTGATACACTAGAGCTAGGTAGGGAACGAAACTCGGTGAATGATATTTTCCTCATTCAGTCTGTACAGTAACACAAGTAATAAATGGATTCCGGTGAGGACTCCTAAGTGCGACGCGCGAAACGCGAAAACCCGTGAACTTCCGCATGTTCCTTCTAGAGAGCTTGGCCAACTCCGGAGCCGAAGCGCTGATAGCCTGCCACCAGCCCGCCACCAGGGCGATAATTCGAGCATCCTCCAGGCATCCTCTTAAGTTGTGGAATGTTAATCAATACGCCAGTCTATACACTAGCAGCAAGGTCGAATGCAAGATGATATTTATATAATAACATACCTCTATGCACAATCTCCTTATAAGCGTTGCCTTCATTGCGAACACGCATTGTCGTCTGTTGATTCCACTTTCAACAACGAAATACTTTCATGAAAGAACAATACGGTCATTGGGGAAACGACTCCGAAGGCTAGTTAGTACAAGTACCATTTGACTTACAATCTTCCTTCCTCCTACTCAATGCAGAATCGGAACCGGAGGAAAGAAACTAGAATCTGAAATCTGAAAGGTGCACGACAGATTAGCTGTCACGAAAGAATACGCGGTGAAAACGCGAATACGGATGGATACTGTCAACGGAACAATGGAGCAAGGAAACGTCAAAATACGGGCAAAGCTCCGCACTTTGGTGCAAGAGATGAATACGCAATGAAAACATGCTTGCAATTGTTCGATGATTGTTTAAACATGGATTAGATTTGAAGGAATGGAAGGGAAAAAATCCAGTTTCGATTTCTAACATGTTATAGCTCTACTTTTGAACAAATCCCTTGCCAGAGTAACCTTCCGACGCAATGCCTGCAATGAACGAGTAAGGAAACCAATTTCAGAGGAAAGGTATGAGATATATACCTGTGATTGGGTTCATCTTCTGTTCTAGAGCCCGTTCGTTGGATGCCTCCTGCCATTCCTTGTTGATGGTCCTTGGTGGAGCAGGACCTGTAGAGCCCGCAGATTAGTCATAAGCACCGCAGTTAGATGAAATATGTAAAACTCACTGAAGATACGGATAGCATAGTAGATGATGCCAGTCACACCAACGAGAGCTGCTGTGCCAGCGAAGATTTTCCAGCCGTCACCGGGCTTGCTCACAGGTGCACGGGGTCCATGAGGTCCAAAGGCCACATAATACGCTGCACTTGATGTAAGAAGAGAACAACCAAGCTACAAAGCTATACAACTCACCAGCTTTCTTTTCGTCTAGCGAAAGCTGTTTCCAGTCCTTCTTCATGATTTCTTCTAGTTGCTCGTGAACCGTAGACTTGTCCTCCGCATTCATCTTCTCCCACTGAGCTTCAACATTGGACAGAGGAATGATAGAGGCTTTAGAGGACGAAGAGGAAGAGGATGCAGAAGAAGCACTGGCAACGTGGGCTGGATTGGCAGTGGTCGCGAGGCAGCGAATGGAGTTCGCTGAGCGCACAGAAGCGCTATGGCGTGCCAGACGGAGGGCGGCTTGCATGAGGTATTTTGAGAATAAAGCGGAGAAGAAAGGTAATCTGTTTTCCAACGGCTGTGTGAAAAAAAGGAGCGGAGGTTTGTCCCTCGGCACTCGGAGGAGACCGGACACCAACGGGCCTGGCCTATCACAATTTTATGATTATCAGATCCAGGTCTCGTAGTCTGGACTTGTTCATTCTTTACTTCAAAGTGGGTATTATAGATAGACGGGTCACAACGGGAACAATGTCAATGTGATTATTGTAGTATACAGTAGTAGATACATATCATGAGCGATCTCTAATGCAAGGATACTTTCTCCTCAATCGAATCTTTCCCCTCGTCGACCGATTGAAGACCAGGTTTCCCAGGTTCGCTCAAAAGCAAGCCAGGATGTGCGAAGTTCAAGGTGAAAATCGCAAGAGTGACCATGGCACCGTCCAGAACATCTACATACACCAATGGTTAGAACAGACACAAAATGCAAACTGCAGAAGATGCCCACTGAAGTATATTTGGGTCGTGATGATTCTGCCAGTCCAACCGTCCGCAAGCTCTATCGTTCGATAAACAGACCTGATGAATGTATGGTAAATGTCGAGAAACATTAGGAGCACAAGATCACTGACCGAATCCACAAACAGATTGTCATGAACATTAAACCACCCGCCTGTACTTGCAATCTTTTGCTCAATGCACCTCGTCGAATGTTTCCTTCATGCAACGTTCCAGGGTCTCGGAGGGGCTGATCCCTCAAGTATCGGTAAAAAAATTCTGCGCCACACAGGAGATACACAGTGATCACGGCTACAATGCATTTGCCGTCAGAACACGTTCTAAGAATTGCGGAAAGTTCATACCGAGTTGAAAGGCAATACCGCCGAGCATGATCTGACCTCCCTGTAGAAACGTTGGGTTGAGTAGACAGGAATTACACAGGAATTACAAAAATTAGATCACCGAAACGGGGCTCGTGTTTTGAGCCACTGCCCCAGCAGCCTTGGCTCCTCCCACAGCTTGAACAATCAAAGAAATCACATCCTATAAGAAAGCCAAAGATGTGACTTCAAGGTAACGCAGACAGCGGGAGGAGTTTACATACAGCACTGAAGAAGAACACAGTATCTGGACGTGACGTGTCAGCTTCATTAGGTGGACAGATCCAATAGTTACTGACACATCCTTGGACTCAATCGGCTGTATGAGGACCCTAGTTGTTCGATGACTGTTCCCAGTATAACGAATGTAGCCGCAATCAGAGGAGTTGGCCCGAGAATGGTACAGGTAATTCTGAGAATATGTATCAGTTTTTCTCGGGACAAAAGTTAGGATCTTTACAACATACTGCATCTCATAAGGCTCAGCCAGACCAGGCGAATGACTAGACCACATCCTTGCGGCCCAGCCCAAGATTTCGAGTATACCACAAACACACGCAGTTGGAATCATCCACCAGACACGATACCAGCATGCTTGACCGAAATGGATTGCTATAAAAAACGTCAGCGAAACAAAATAATTTTTCCGCGAAGTGTTGTGTCCATCACCAGTGCTGAGCGCATACAGAACAACAAAGAGTATGCAAATCCATTCTGTGGGTACATATCCGTAGAAACTGTTGAGATCGCGCGATCTCGTAGCGAGTATCGGGATAAGGGATTCTAGAGAGAAGGAGTAAGATATATATGAGGGAAAGTCAGTATGCTCTTATGAAAAAACATACCCATCAGCGGAAATGAGGTTGCTATTATCTGGGGCCCAGGGGACGTCTTTATACCAAACGGGCCACGATGTATAACCGGTAGACAGGGGGCAGCCGGGGATGACAAATCAAGAATGACGCTTCTTGTGTCCTGATTTAGGATGTTTCCAACGGCTGAACGCCATTTTTGGGTAGTATCGCGGAAAATATTTGAGATGTTGGAACGAATGAAACGAATGGGCTACACTGAGCTGTTCTTGAGCCCAGCATATCGCGTCTATAATCGATACCTACTCGATATACCCTACTCAGGCTCCTGCATTGCTGCATCGGTACAGACCGGTACCCAGGACAGCTGCGGCAGCAAATTTAGCAACATCAAAATGTTCAAGAGATCAGATCACCCTCTTTGCACAGCCTTACACACACAGCGGGGATCACAGTAGTACAAAAACTCTACAGGTCCCTCATGGATCTTCCTTTGCTTCCTTTCGTTGGACGGTTCCGCTCAGTAGGTACAGGTAGTCACCTGTAGTTACCCCTGGGGTGATATCGACGCGTCGTATCGTTGTCGAACTTCCGCAGGTCAAGATTATCATGGATCAAACCGGATATTCTGGGGCCTCAGCGTGCCTCTCTTGACTCTCACTTCAACTTGTTTCGTCTGAGCTAATCTCCATTTTAGATAATCAAACATCCTTATCTTTTGGTATCCGCAGTTTTTTTGATTCCTCCGATGGTTGATAGTGTCTGATCTTCTAGGCTCCGTTGGTACTTAGCCTCTCGTCGCCGTTCGTCCTTCAACTTCATCTCCGACGTCCTCGAATGTAGAATCACTTTTCCAACAGATGAAAGAAAAATAGCGTACATACATAAAATTAATGCAAGTAGCAATGTATCGATCCAGCATCATGTCCTTCGGCAATGATAGTATTTGTGCCCGATAACCTCAACTCTACTAGAGTCTAGTATTTACACAAGCTTTTGACGTTGGTTATTGTTATTCCACTACGCTCAGCATTAGATGTGAACGAAGGGGTGACAATGTCCAAGAAAGTGCTCGGTCCTCCTTCAGAATTCACAATCCATGTAATTCGAGAATTGCAGGTTATCTGATGGATGCGTGTAAGGTGGACTTGCTCCGGCAAAAAGAGGACGAACGATGTCTGACCTAATTCTCCTCCAATGAGCCTACAGCCCTACCCAGATCCCTCACAATGAAAACACTTTCCTCGACTCTTCCTTCCAATATACCTAATTTTTCTTGCTTTTCCTCCCATGCCTTGAGTACTTCTTTCTCGTGCTGAGATAACAGCCCCTCCACATCGACGCTTACGTCGCTCCTTTCACGTTTGTTCAAAACAGCGATAAGCATTGGATCCTCACGTTCTGCCTGCCTGCGTGCGGAAATATTGTAGAGTGTTTTGTATAGGACGTTAAGGATGTATGAAAAGGCCTTCGGTATATCTACCTGCCATAGGTAGAACATCCGTGTGGGATTGCGATCTGCGGATTTGGGAACTTCGACGATGCTGACGAGGGAGGACGCGGATAGGGCCGAAAGGAGAGGTCGGACGTCTTTCAAGGGCATCATAACATGTTTGGATATCTAGATGTGTTCGAGAATATGAACATTGCAAACAGATATAGATGCACACCTGCTTCTCGTCCAACTTTCCCGTATCCATGAGTAATCGTACGACCCTCACACCCTCCGAGCCATGCCTTTCTCGAGCAACACCCTCCAAAACCTGCCTTCTCAATCGCCGTGCAACAACGTCGAACAACATTTGAACCTTCCCGCTACCACCTCCTTTAGAACTAAGTTCCAGGAAAGCTCCAGCGCGCCCCGCAGGGGTGGGATTATCCGCACTCGATAATATACCCAGGTACTCTTTGATACATGATCCAGAAGACATTGTTCTGGATGAAGATTGTATCAGACCGGAGGTCAGTGTTTCCTCGTCTTCTTCTGAAGACAGGTGAAGGGTAATGTTGGATACCGATAGAGGATCCGAACGACAATCCGCCACGCTGTGTTGGGATTCTTCCGTAATTTTGAGAATAGCATGTACGACCAATGCAGCGCCAGAATTGTACCTTTCCTTTGCGGCTTTTTCGATGAGCTAAACGAGCTGGAAGTAAGCTACATTACATTGCAGGGAGAGGTTCATGCGTACGGCATTCCTAGTATGTATATTGAATTTATCGAAGTTGACACGAAAGTAGACGGTCTCCTATAAAGTAAAGTTGTCGGTGGAAGCAAAATGGTGGATAGAATTGGATACACACGTCTACAACCATGTCATCCTCTTCTTTGGTAGAGGTTACCTTTCGCTGAATCGGGACTCAGCAAGCGATATATAGCTGCAGATCTCAACCACACCTTCTTGGTTGATGGTAACTGTGACTTTGCTTTTCTTTTCTAGGCGAAATTTGCGAATAAGATATAGAAGCTAAAAAAGCTAAAATTCTCACCAAACCGATCTTCCATACTTCTTCCTCGTCCGTCCTCAAACGCGCATCCACAGTTTCCTTGGCTTCCCTCAATTGCTTAGATGTCGGGAAACCTGAAATCTTTGCTTTTTCCTCGGCCTCGTACTGTATACGCTTGTCTCGTGGTGATATATGAGAAGATACCACAGAAGGTTTGAGATAATGTAGTAACACAAGTTTGTGTAGAGCTTGTGAGTAGACTACAGGCGTCTTGTCTTCACCGGCAAGGAAGGATGTAGTAGTAGTAGCTGCGTTCAATCGTTGGAGGATTTGAGGAGATGTCAACTTTCCGTGGTGTAAAACAAGCTGAACAATTTCACCACCCTTGAAATACGGTCAAATTGACAGTTATAGTCGATACCGAAGCAACTCACATACCGCAACTCCAAACAATTCTTCTGCCTGATATACAAATGCACCAAATCGCAATCTCATAAGACATTCATCGGCATTGATCTCAAGCACTTCCTCGCCGCTCCCATCAGTTTCCGAGTTAGCATGCCAGATAATATTTTGTTGGATGAGTACGAGGAGAATGTTGCGGACTAGCCGAGGCTTCAATGCGGTGAAACGGACAAGTTGGGGAAGAGTTAGTCTGCCGTGGCTAAGCAGGACCGAGGCTATTTTTGAGGCAAGGGGACCAAAGTGCGTCGATACTATTTGTACACACAGATTGGTGGTGTGGAGGTCAGCCATACAAAGCGGACGGTGAGATGAAGATAAAAATTTCTTCTATCATTACCAACGCGGTCACGAGCGCCAAATGCGCCTTTTATCCAAACCCGTTCCCACTAAAACACACTGACAGGAGTAAGAGGTTCGGTGGATAGGTGTGGAAAGTCGACCCCATACGATCTACTCAAGCCTACACCCTACTAGTAGTACACCGTACCTACTTGCCAGCGTTTCTCTTCTGTAAAAATTTTTACTGCAGAAGACCGTGCAGTCTATCGAAGACAAGGAGCGTATCATAGTACGTATGTATCCTTTGAATGTTGCATATTAAGTCCAGTTGCTACATACTATTAGGGATAAATTTACAGTTTGAGTTTAACAGTTCAAATATTGTTATAATTTATCGGGCTTCCTCTTCCATCCACTCTCTCAATCCTCTAACTACCCTCCTCACAGACACCTCAAGCGCCTCGTCCCTGTCCCGCTGCACCTCGACAATAGTTCTCTTCCTGCCACGAGAATTATATGAGACGCCCAAAGCGCCGTATGTACTCCCTCCATAAGCAGATGATGAAGAGGTCCCAGTGACCGTCAGGGAGCTCTTAGAGCTGGCACAGTATGATGGTGCATACATCAGACTGATTTTGCGTGTGGAGAAACTGATGGAAAGGGATCGGAAAGGTAAGGGTGATAGTGAAACTTTCCTTTCAGCTGGCTGCGATAGACGCTGTACCGCAATCGTTGCCTTTCCCTTTCCTTTCCCTTTAGATGAAAACGCAGAAAACATGGAGAAGGTGGATTTCGCTTTTTTGAGAGGCTTAGAAAGAGAAGATGTTGACGCGCGCGGTAATGCCAACAGACTGCTATTGTTATCGATATCCATAAAGTATGGGCTGTTCTCCTTCCCTTTTGCCTCTGATGGGGTTTGAGGAGTAGTGGGGGTGCCAGGCACGGAATCTCTATCTCCCAAAGTAACCAAACCAGCCTTGACACCCTCTTTAGCAACAAGATCCTCTAACCTGCTCTGAGGCTGCCTAAGGTCAAAGATGTCCTTATAAGCTTCATGTCTCGATAAATGCAAAGATGAGGTATCGTAGAGCAGTTCTTCTTGTGCTAAGACTGCGATGAAGAGGTCCAACGTTTGCAATTCACGATGTTGGGGGAAGAGTCTGGATGAGCCATAGGGAGAATTCCACATGGATGTCGATGTTCCATACAGGGGGACCGAGTTAGAAGAGGGGAAGGGATCTGAAGAGTATGGTGGCCTTATAAGAGCATCGTATGATGGTAAATAAGTGGAGCGTAGAATGTGCATGCAAGCTGAGGTGAGTGAGTCGTTAGCCTTCGTACTTCCACTCAATGACGAAAAAGAGCGTACCAATATACAAATCACGGTTAACAAGCCTTAATGAGGTCTCGAGCCAGTAAAGCGTTCGGCGTTGGAGAACCTCCTTCACGTCTCCTTCAAACTGACCGTCCTCCCACGGAAAGGTACAGTACACTATTTGAAGGAGCAGATGTGATGGTAACGAGGAAAACATGGGTTTAAGTTTACGAGCAGAGTGATAGGGATTGTTGTCTCCGACACTACTGGCCGTTTCACCATCTCTGTCGATCGAGCTTAAGTTGGAATAAGATAGGATGTCATAAGAATACGGCGGTGGAGGATTGAGCAAGGCCTTGTCGTCGAGAATCATGGTACAAAAAACAAGGGAGAAACAGAAATGGTTGAGCTTATAAATACAGTGCTGCGATCTGCAGCTACATAAATGCTGTGCTTCGCTGCGGGCGTTGATACTATAGTTACACCGTCACTGCGGAACGACGAGGTACGGTACATATTAATAACGACATGCTTTACTACATATACAGAAAACAAGATATAATGCGGAGGTCAGATAAAAGACATTATGACACGATGTGCAAAGACCCCTCTGCTACCGCTTGCTCTTGACAGGTTTCTTCCCGTTGGCTTTAGGCGCAGCTTTCTTCTTCTTTGTCCGATCGTCGTCAGAATCATCATCTGACCCCCTACTTTTCTTGATATCTGCACGCTTCTGGTCGGATTTGGCTGCTTTCCGCTCCAGCTCATCCCAATCATCACCTAAGAGAGAATTCGTGAAGGTCAGATTGAACTATAAGTATGTATTTGGCATTTCGCCAGCTCACCCGCGTCGCTATCAGACCCTTCTCCAAAGTCAGATCCACTTTCGCTGCCACTGGCGTCGGAAAAGTGGCTTCCATCGTCGCTGGACGCAGATTCTTCGAAGCTGTCAGATTCTGCCTCAAACTCAGATTCTGAATCTTGCGCGTCGGATAGATCACTCTAATGAAAAACGGATATTAGCCACTACGACCAGTGAATGAAACAAACAAGGCATACTTCTGCTCCTCCTGTCGTCCCGCTTAAGAACGACCACCCACCACCTTGGAAAAATTCGTAAGGTGATTCATTGATATGCTTCATAATGGGTCCCCAGTTCAAATTGACTGGACCCTCAGCCATCGCAATATCTACCGAGCTATCACGACGCAAGGATTAGCCATTATAAATTGTGAAAGGGCTGCCCACATACTCCAGCCAATTCTTCACATCATCCATTGATGAGCTCTGTATAGAGTTGATATGTAGAGGGGGTTTGGTAAAATCCTTGAAAATTAAGCATAAATCAAACTGCTTGAGACTGTATTGCACACGTTCCAGTGAGGCAATCTCAATCTCCGATAGCGTCACGACCAAAAATGGCGGATCCGTCAGATGTATCAAACAGTCGGTTGTCGGTTGCAAGCGAACGGAAGTACGGAAGGGGACACCCTCGAATGACAGTTCACGAAATGGTATGTCAAGTTCCAGTGGCTCGCCGATCTGAAGCGTAGTTCATCTCTGATAAAGGCAAAAAAAAAAATCAGCTTACGGAGGCAGAGGCAGCCTCCGCAATTTTTTCTGCGAAAGCTTTAATTTCCTTGTTCAGGATTTGCCTTCTTTTCCGCTCTGTCTGTTCCATCTCGATTTCATCTTCGTCGCCATATCTGTGCTTGCGTTTTCGGTTCCCAGTCTCATCAAATTGCACGTCGGTGGCTTCTCGGAAAAATTGGACATCCTATAAATTCGACGAACGATATTTGTATCCGATGAACAATGGCAAATGTAGCACCTACAAATGTCTTCTTCTTGCCGACTATGATTGGTGACCTTAAGTGCATATGGACGATGACAAGTAACTCGTGATCACAAGGCTGGAAGAAGAGATGCTTTATGTTGCTGAACAGTACATCTACAACAAGTAAATTGAGTCTCATTGGATTGTAGAAGCAAATAGGATACTCACCGACTTTCTGCCCCATTGGAGATTGGTATCTTACACCGTTCTGGTGAATTTCAACCTCACCTGGAAGCCTCTTACCATCCGGAGCGGGTCGGATAAATGCCTCTGGCATCTTCACTGGCCGTCTGCCTTTCAGCTCGATAAGCGAATCTTGCTCAACAACATCGGCCATTTCCTTCTTTTGCGCCTCTCGCTTGTTGACGTCTCTCTTCAGCTCGTTGATTTGCTTGTTGATGGAATCAAATCGGTGGCCGTCAGTCGTCCGATATGATATCGAACGGACAAAAGTAGCATCAGGGTCTTCGAAAGGCTATATCCAGTAATGAGTGTATGTTGGCTACACGGGAATATCGTACGAACAGTATCTTCCTTCTTGCCGGCTACCTGTCCCGGGGTTTGGAAATTGATTCGAAGATAGGTAAACTCGCCTTCATCGCTCTTGACAGCGTTTTTGATGGTGTTGATATGGAATGGGACTGCGAATCCGTGGATGGGTAGAATGACAGAGAGCGCTTTGCGGTCGACGAGTATCTGTGAACATGTTAGTGATTACTTTTGAATCAAAAAGAATCCATACCCTCAATCTATCAACTTCAGGTGGTAATGCCCCTTCGCCTCTATAGCTTTGAAACTTTTTCCATCCTTTACCTTCCTTGCCGCCTTTTTCTCCACCTCCCTCGGAGTATTTCGCGAGTCCCTCAGCTTGTAACTTTTCATGCAACTCGCGTTGATGCTCAGCTAGTCTAGCCGCTGCGGTTTGGTGGACCTCATCTTGCGCCGCCCGACGATTGTTTCTAAGCATCTTTCCAGCAACGGCGTATTTTGCAGGAGTGCCATTCGCTCGGGGTTGGACAGGAGCTTTACGTTCTGGCTTTTTCGGCTTCTCGTCTTCAGATTCCGGAGTCAGGAAAAAGAGGAAGTCTTTAGTTGATTTCATTCCTTCCGTGAGTAAAGATGACTCGTTTTTGCCGACCTTGATAGTGTCTACGATATGCAGAGCATACCTGTTGCAATGCGTTAAGCGTAGAAAATGACGTCGATACGAGGTGGACAAACTTGGAACCATCTTTATCTAACAGATCGGAAAAGCCGAGCCCAACGTTCAGCGTCATATTTTCCCGTAGAATGTGACCATTCTTAGGAGATAGGAGATACGTTGAATCACGGAATTCCACTCCAGTCTGCGAGGTCCGCTTAGTTATTAAAACTGTCCAGATATTGAATAGATACTTGCCCCGAAACCTAAATTCTTTACGAAGTTCTTCTCATATTCGGGATTCTTTTCCTTAACAAAGGATAACGCATATTGGTAGACGTCACGGGCAGCGACCCCATCAGTAATTAATTTGAGAAGTTCTGCTTGTAAAGACAGTAGCAGGCTGTACTGCGCCTCTTGTTCCTGTACATTTGATTATAAAATCCGAAGAGGACTAGGAGGGTGGGATCACACTGACTGGTGTTGGATCAACGATATATGTTCTACCGACATTGGCGCAATAACTTTTGTAACGCATACCAAAGGCGACTAGCAGGACACCCTTGTGAGCGATGTTGTCTTCCGTAGACTCAGCTGTGTAGCGTAGATCATAGCCGGTTTTGGTTGACCTCGAAATGATGATGGGCGAATACGCAAATTCAACCAGTTGCCAGTCAATCTGCAAAAGACTGTTTACTTTTGGTCCGGCGTAAGATTAACCATAGGACGCACCTTTTCCAGACCCTTGCCTTTATTCCAAACTTTCATGTCAGGACCCTTCGCATTGCTACCTTCACCTGACCCTAATCGACCCTCAATCTGAGCAGCGAGCATTTCGTGTGAAATCTTGCTTTCCTTGTCTAAGATAGTCTCTAGTCGTGGCCCAACATGGTGTTTGAGCAAGGTAGATGTAAGGCTTGACGCTATTTGGATGGTTTTCTGGTCATATATCAGTATATCTTTCTTATGAATTACGAACGAACGACATACCAGTTCCTCCTGATCCTTTTGTGCCATGAATGCAGATACTGCCACAGACATGTCCACCAGTTCAGGTTTACTCGACGCCTCTGAGACGAGTTTGTTCCATTCTGACACTAATTTGCCCACGTGGGTTTCCTTCGACAATATCCCAACACGTTTCTTTGAAGTATAGATCTCAAAAAATTTAGGCAAAGCATCGTTCGGTGGGTCTTTGGCTTTAGCTTGATGGAAGATTTCGACTTGTATGCTGCCACTTGAACCTTCGATTTGTGAAAGAATTTTCGCTATTCACGGTTGTTGCCGATATAGGGAATCGGATTAATGAATGTCGCGTCGCTGCGAAACCAAACACGCACCCTTCGAGGCGGAGCATAATATGCATAATTTTTTCTTCGTGAATAAGAGAAACGTTGACGGAAATTCGTAGCCGAGAAGCCATTGCTATTCAGATGCGAGTGAATTCAGACAATTGCGATAGCACAAAAAGGATAGAGCTCAAGGATTTTATGTACCTGAAAACAAGTACCCTTTTTCATAGGCTCATCCTCACCGGCTGGATCCCCTGCCAGTAGAAGAAGAGCATCTGCATCCGCTACCGAGGTATAGTCTTCATTTTGATTCGCGCTCTAGATATCCGGAATGTGTCAAAAAAAGGTCAAGAAGTAAGACGGTGAGGTGAGAAGACTGTCTCTTGGTTTCCTAGGGATATCGCGAAGCTACTCACCCCCCAGCCAGAGTATATCCGATCTACACGGGAATGAAACTGCGATTTGTTGAGTTCAACAAGCATGGTGGTAGTTTCTAAACAAAGTAGGGCGCGTCGCGAGGATTGTAGATGGTCGGAGCTCAAAAATTTGCGTGACCACAAAGCAATGCCGTTTGCGGCACTAATTCCTTAGATCTACTACGATGGGCTTCCCTCTATGAATCATAGCAGCATTAACAGCAACTCTTTCTACCCTTCCTTGTCCCGCTTCTATAATCTCTGCTCCTGCAGCCTCATGTATGTGTCCAAAGACATGTAATCGACAATGTCGTAGGTCTTCCGAAATCAAACGCTTCTCAAGACTTTTACATCCTGCATATATACCTTTCCGCGTTTTGTCGAGTGTTTTATATGGCGGAGTATGTGTAAGGAGTATTTCCGTATCAGCTGGAATCCTAGAATTAATTTCTTCAAGGTGCGGTGAGTTTCATTGATCACTCATCATAGATCACTTCCATGTTAAGACTGACATACCTCTAGCTTCCTTTGTTCCGTATTGAAATGCACCACTGGAGTGTCGGGGTGATGCCTATATAGGTATCAAGTATCAACATAAGTTATTCGCGATTGGCTTACCGGCGAACCAAAAACTCTCCACTCCTTCGCAATACCTGATTCACGTATTCTTGTCTCTTCGAACTCTAAATATGTCAATCCCAGTTGCTTCAATCGGGGTTTGGCCATCAGCCTTTGACATGTTTTCAGCATTGTTTCTCTCTCCTCTTCGTCGAACAGATTCATTTCTTCGCATTGGTTATCAAGCCACAACTATGAAGGGCTGTATTTAGGATGAGCTCAGTGTGATGTTGTCTGCCTTACGTCGTGATTACCACCTATGAATCTTCATGATATCAGCTCTCGAACGAGGCCTCAATCAATCAATTACTTACATCTTCGTCGCATATCCTTCCAAGTTCCCTAACCAGTCTACCGTCTTTTTCAACTTTTGAACCGTCCCCCAGCTGCTAAGATCTCCAGCGTGTAGTAATACATCTCCTCGAGGCATGCGACCGCCGTTATCCCAATGTGTTGCTGAGTGAGTATCTGAGAGACATACGAACCGGGTCCATCCAGCCTCTCTCGCTGGAATATCGGTAGCATGGTTATATTCTAGGTATACGCGAGCACTTTGACCACAAATAGTGGTTGGTTGGACCATGTTTGAAATTTGCTAAGTTCAAGTTGAACGGAGGCTCAACGAGTTGTGAACGAGGTTGGCAAAACGAATATCAGTGTGGCCCTGCAGCTGTGGCTGTTCACTCTCACTTCCTTGGAAGTTGATGAACAGATGTCAAAAGAGGTCAAAACACGATTGAATTATTTAATCCACAACAGTGTTCACAGAGGATTGTACCAATTAAGTCCTGCAGAATGAACTTTTTCTGTAAGCAGTAGATCAGAATGAATTTGAATGAACGTCGGATATAAGTGTGGCGCAAAAGGACAAAGCAGTACTATCTTCAGTAGGCAGACGTAACGATCGTTGAAACGAGTGGTCTGCAAGAGCTGCTGCAATACATCTAGAAAAAGAATATACATTCATCCCAGTCGCAAATTTTTATTTCGACTACAAGGATTCTTTCCGGATTATTTGACACAAGGTATTCTACAGCTTCAGGGCAAGAATTTTCCAATAAATATGAATCATCCACATGTCGACCTGGATTCCGGATGCAAGGTGAAAATTGCTTCGAACTGGGTAACAATCTGGCAACAATGCTACCAACCTTAATGAAGATTTTTGCAAGGGATGTTTCTGGGCATTTCTCAACCTCTGGGATGTGACAGAGGAGAGCCTTCAACATCAACGCTGGTCGATATGGAGTCTCACACAATCACACCTAGACGGCGCAAGAGCGACATGTATTTCCTCGGGAAGAACGGTGATAAAGTTTGGCTAGACCTTGCGCAACCAGCGACCGGAAGGAGGCGACAATGTACGTCTGCCCGAAGGCACTAACGCTCCAAAAAGAGATGAGAAAGGATTGAAATAGGTGGAGTGATGATTGTTCCTTGGCCCAATGGTTCGAGAAGGAAATATGTATGTAAGTAGTGCGCTGAGAACTTCGCTTCATTTTCTGTCTTTACGTGCGCACTGTCGGGTGCAGTGCGCCGGTTGCAGTCGTGAGAATGAAAGAGAGGCTATGGTCGATGGAGCTAGGATGAGGGGAATTAATTATCGGGGAGGCGTCCAGTACATTTCCGTGACATGTTCGGAGTTCCTTAGCCTGATGAGGAGCTCGAGAACTTTGAGCTTTGATGTTTTATAGGGACATGCATTTAAAAAAACAGTTGGTGTTTTCTTTTGACTGTTGAGACTTGACGTACCATACCGCTGGGCCATACCATAGATTCAGGGACCTACAGGACAGTCCGTAGTCGTTTTCAGCAAGACGGAAATGATTGGGAGAGGATATGAAAGCATCAGGTCAACGGCCAACGACATTTACGGTTTGTTGATTGAAGCTTTGTGACCATGCTTCACGGGGTTGTCACCCTGGACCGCCCATTGAGTAGTAGATGCTGACAACCAGAACCCCGCTTGACTGGAACGCTGAGTGACCACGACGTCGCCATGATGACAGAACAATGAGGAGGAAAAAATTGAAATATATTCCAAGGACGCGTACTAAGGTGTCGTTGTGTGTCACTGCTCGTTGTCCGACGGCAGGCATTTTACCCCGCATCGAGTTTTAATTCATCGTCGACCTACCCGTCGACCCACCACCACTCTGACCTACCAGCATGAAGACGTCTCTTCGACTCTTGAATGCAATTGGCCGCGCTTCTCCGAGATCGCAAAGCACCAGCTTTATCGGGCTAGGTAAGGCTCAAACCAGGAAGGCCGTGCCAGGAGGTTTGATCAGGTCTTTCAGGTCGTATGGGGCACGAAATGGCCTACAATCTGTTCTCCAAACAATTTGCGCAGGCCAACGAGTCTGAATTCGTGGTCTGTGATGCTATCCCGGAATGTGCTCAGAGCTTTCGCTCAAACTTCATGAAACAATACCCCGGTGCCAAGATCAACGTCGCTAACACCCCAGAAGAGTAATGATACCTTTGTAATATGTTTCATACTCTGTGGCTTTTCTCATCATGAATAGTGTAGGGCGACTCTAGCTTCTCAGACAATCATTACTATGCTACCTTCCTCGCCTCAGGTTCTGAGTGTGTATAACAATGGTATAATCCCGATACTTCGAAAGCTCCCCACAGATCAAACACACAACACCCTTTGTGTTGACTGCACTACTCTCGATGTAGATGTTGCGCGTTCCGTGACAAAGGATGTCACTGAGACCGGATCGCAAATGGTTGACGCACCCGTTTCTGGAGGTCTATCGTACCTTTTTAATTTCCTTAAGCTTTGACTGATTATGTATCTCCTACAGGTGTAACCGGTGCGAAAGCTGCAACGCTTGCATTTCTCGTAAGTGTTTCGCTGCCATGAGAATTTTTTCTGAAACAAGACGACGTTATAAGGTCGGCGGAACGATTGCGGCCTTCAAGCAAGCGCAACCAACTCTAGCTCTCATGGGACAGAGAATCATTCATTGTGGACCTTCTGGTGCCGGTCTGGGTGCAAAAATATGCAACAACGTAAATCTCTCATTTGTTAACCCCTGGTTTCATCGTGGTGCACTCAATCACACTTCTCTGTAGCTCGTCTTAGGTGTCCAACAAATTGTTGTGGGCGAAGCGATGTTGCTGGGTATAAAGTTAGGCCTTGATCCGGCAGTTCTTTCCAGCGTAATCAGCTCGTCAACTGGGAATTGTTGGTCTATCTCGGTTAATAATCCAGTTCCTCGTGCTTTGCCCGAGAAATCGCCACCATGTGAGAGAGACTACGAAGGAGGATTCGCCTCGGCTCTGATGCTCAAGGTGATTTTTGTGGAACACTTGATCAGCGGGGGATAAGTGTTTGTATCATCATGATCTGATCCATTTATCGTCAACAGGATATGGGACTTGCCAGTAATGTGGCCGCCATGGCTGGATGTCCCATTCCCTTGGGACAGGCAGCCGAGGCGTTATATGCACAGATGATTGAGGAACAACCAGAGTTGGCGCGGAAAGACTTTTCGTCCGTATACAAATTTCTGCAAAAAACAGCGGAGGAAAGAAAGGCGGTCAAACTGGGCGTAGTATCACCGTGATGAGCTTGTGCCTGGAAGGCTAGTACGTCCGATTGGCTGAAAGACGATCTTCAGACGAGCGCCAGTCTACCAAAGTAAAAACGGAAGTAAAACTAAGTATCAGTGACATGCATATTAGCTCGAGGTTTTCGGAGCCGTTACGCAGCATTTTTCTGCAAAATAAAAACATGTATTCAAATAACTTTAGAGTCATCCTGCTGTTGTATTGAGCATTTCTAAGGGTTTCAATTGACTGAGATATCTCCATAGAGCAGTTAGATACCTGTACATATTATAAAAATCAGCATCGAGCCTGGCAAATCGAGATTCAGGTCGACTAATTGTGCACGTAATCAAATCGGGCTTCACTTTAATCCTTTACTGCACCTCCATCTCTTTTCTTCCTCCCTTGTTCTCGCACCATCCTTCTTCGCTGTCATCCACCGCAATCTGTAAACAATGGCCGACGGGTCCTCGAAGCCGAATGTCCTAATCTGCGGTGAGATTTTTCCCTCAAACAGTTCACATGGTCAGGTCCTTACCGCGAACTTCTAGGTGGTGTCAACACCTACTCGCGTGCTCTGGCAGCATTTCTTGTACCGCTAGAAGGAGAACCCTTGGTCTCAGTGAGCCTTTTCCAGCTTTCACTCGTTCATGCTGGTGTGCTCAGACCTCTCCAGCATCTACGAATCGTAGACAAGTACTCTGTTGTGCCTGCTACAACGTACGCAACACTTCTCGATGCGCTACCGCTGAATGATCTTCGATAATCATATCCGACAGGTATCTTGGTGCTGAGTTTCCCAAAGTACTCGCGAAACCCCAAGTCGATTATAAACAAGCCAATCTCACTGTTCCCTGTACGTCTACGCAACTCCTCCTACTAAATACTTTGTGTGAACGACATGTTCAGCCATTGTACATTCTATCTTCGACCCACCAGAAGGGAAGGGCCCCTACGATTATGTTTTCGATTTGACTGGAGAAGTTCGCCATGATCGGACCGAAATGGTACGTGTCGTTTCTGTTTTCATCGCATTATGAACCGATTGTTCACGGTGCCTCCGATTATCCTGGGCTGTATAGATTTTGATTAATACGACTTGCAATGTTGCACGTATGCTCGGTCAAGAAGCCGCCGAACGGAAAGTCAAAGCCTACGTTCGATTTACCCTGCCCTTCTACGAGACTACAAGCAAAGGTACTCATGACGAGAAAGACGATCCTAAGCCTGATGGAACTATCGGAATTTGGTGGCATGAGACGCTACGAATGTTAGCTGCAATTGAGGAGTGCGTCATTGCTGTTCTCTTTTGTCCGACTTCAACTGATCGCACATTTCCAGCCTGAATTTGGTTATCCTTCGGGTCGGCTTTGTATATGGTCCTTATGTGGAATTTGGAGACAGTATGTTATATCTTCCTTTCATGGAAACGCACTTGACTAGTGTATAATATTACTAGTTACGTCTGCTATCACCGTTGGGTCAGTCTATGGCTATCTTAAGAAGCCTATGAAATCAGTGTATGTGTTCTCGACCTTGGTTCTCGAATCTATCCACTTAATAGAACCCCTTTCAGCTGGTCGCCTGGAAAGAATCCAACCAACACTCTCCATGTTGAGGACTTAGCCGGTGCCGCTTGGGCTTCCGCCCAGTGGATAGCGCGGTTAGGGCGAAAAGAAGCAGATATTTTGGCTGGAGAAAGTATCATCTTTCGCAATGATAAAAGCAAGGTTTCACAAGTTGAAGGAATGCCACCGCACGATAAAAAACTCATCGCCCCTCTTTTCAACCTTGTATGTTTTCTTTGTGTACTGATGGCGTCTCTTAGCTCACGTCCTTGCTCAGGTTGACGATTCTAATAGCACACTCCTCAGCGTCGGACAGACCGTGACATCTTTTTTTGGCACGACCTTCGATTTCTTCAATTTAGGCGAGAGGACAATGTACAAGGTAGGTATTCTGTGCAAGATTGTTCAATTCGATCTCACCTGGATGTAGTTCATGGATGACGCTGTTGAAGATATCAACGAGCATCATGTTGGCGGATGGACACAAATGATTCAGAGCTCAAATCCGCCGATTCCTAATACGCCGTTATCAGCATACATGGACAAGTACGCTCTGGAAAAGCACATCGTCGCCTTCAGTAATACAAAGATCAAAGAGGTTATTGGATACAATTTAAAACGACCGCAATTCAACCACGACGGTGTCAAAGAGATTGTGGATAAATGGAAAGAAGAAGGCAGCTGGCCTATACTGTAATGAATCTGATGTTGTTGTACTGGATGTTTTCTTTTTTTTCTGCTTTTCTTCTATTTTTCTTCTTCCAACGGTATCCCTCGCTTTCTTTTTTTATCAATGTTTTCGACATGGTGCTATTACATATCCAATCATTCCATCAACAATACCCAGCGACCAGGCCCAGAGGTTTTTTATACCTAAGTAGTTACTTGCAATGTTCATTACCGTACAATACAGTCTATATAATAGAGGAACCGCCGATGGTCAGTCCGTTCACGAAATGCTAAGAAGCTCAAAACTTGATGATGGCTTCTTTGGTAGGGTCGACGGAGGTCGACGGAGGTCGACGGTCCATGAAGACACATCGCAAACTAGGCACCATCGGTGCTGAAGGAATTCTTGTGAACACAGACGAGGCTTCTTGTAAGTTGTCTCGCCAGCCAGAGTATCACCTCCGATTCGGGCCGGGATTTCCCTTCGGCCAAGTTTTTCTTGTAGTATGGCATGTGTTTCCCCAAGCAGAGTGCTTAGTGACCATCTCCAGCCGGACGTCGAAATCAGCTACTCTCAATATGTACCTCAAATTCAAGCTCAAGGGTGAATCGGCCTAGATCAATCCATTTCTCATAAAGTTTCCAATTCGCCTACCACCTCCTACCACTGTTCAGGCATCTTCAGGTCTATTAATATTTCAGTCCGACTGCCGGAACCTTGCTTTCTTACAAGGTCACTTCTATTCAACTTCAATGTACCAACCTGGTTTCCTATCAGCTACTGGGCTTTCCAGGCGCCTTGACAAATGACAGCAGTCACTTTGTCATAAGACTCTAACTTCTTCTGAACACATGGGTCCTTGGTCAGTCAATCATCGCACGTTGCATCGTCATACTCCGGATTTGGTTCATTCAACCTTCGAAGTTCGGAGAAACAAATTGGGAAACATTCAGTCAGAGGGTACTTATATCTTCCTGATGCATGAGAACATCCAACGTTCCTGTCCTTTATCCTCTACGACTGTCTCCTGCCTTTTTCCCTTTTCCCTTGCCCTTTTCGTTCTCGCGCCCGTTTGCATTAGTCGAGTCCCTCCTGACTCTTCCTGACTCTCTCATTCATCCAGCACTGTTTACTCTCTCTCCCTATCCACACATCAATCTCACGATTTTCGATTATCTGTTCCTACGATGATTTTCAACGGTATCTCAGTAACCATTCCATCAATGATTCTTCAGACTGTGATGCTCCTCCCGCTCTCATCATTGCTATCTCAGCAAATCTTGATTGAGGTCACTGCTTTACCTTTGTACCAGCAAGCAATGGTACCAACCTACGCATATTCTTCAGTCGACTTTTACAGCCCATTGCTGGGAGGGGGGTCGATGCTTGATGATGGTATGTTGTCACTCCGTTGTGACCCATTCATCTCGTCCGAAAGTCTTTAAACAATATTTTGGATTGTTCAACTGATGCTTATGGTATTGTTCTCTCCTTGTAGCTGGAGATGGTTTTGGGGAACCGTTAAACGTGGGTCACCGGATTTCTGTTTGCACTGCACTCCGCTTCCTTGAAGTTATTCCAATCTTTCCGTCTGATCCTCCGTATAGACCTCGTTCACGTCGAGGATGTATTACTGAATCAATTATTCTTCATCCAGGTAATCATCTCAGGTCTGTCGTCTCCGGAGGTGCTCACCGAAGACGGAATAATAAATTTCGCGAAGGCGATTGGTTTGTGAGTTCGGTTGCACAGATTTTACGATTTATGGAGACATTTACCTTTGCATCTGCACTCACAGTTCAGAAGAATGTCTCGGAATACATCTCGGCGCCCCACAATCTGCTAACTTGGGAGATGGAAATGGCTGGGTCAATCAAACGGTCTGCAAACCTCTTTCTTGTATGAGGGATGGGTCTGAATGGAGCTTAGATCGAACTGAGACAAGATTACGGGAACTCTGAAATTGGGACGTGTTTAGAGACGCTAATCGGTGGTAATCATTTCCGGTCAGTTGTTACTGAGAACTAGTCGTCAATCCGACTGTAACGTTTCTCCTCAGTGTATTTGTGCAGAATGGCGCAGATGCGCTCAGCGGAGCTCTATTCCTAGCGTGAGTCAATTCTCAACTCGCCCCATGATCTCAAATTCTCATTTTTAATTATTTTGACTCGAATCATCAGTGTGTCTCAAGAAGAAGACCTTGAGGAAGGCCACACTATCATCCCGGACGGATACAATATCGGCCGGGATAAGCTAGCGTCGTTGGCTGTTGGCACTACCCACTTCGATGGTCTCACATATTCTACAACAGCGCGGAATATTACTGGGCTTTTAGCTGCAGGCAGCGTCGGGTACGTCTGTCAGTCCTAGTTCTCTCAAAAGCCTTAGCTCACTGAACCGTTTCTCGTCTGATTATCAGAGTCAATCACGGTATGTTCCTGCTAACGCTTTCGAAGGCTGATCGGCCACTGATATATTTTCACAAGGCATTGGCACAGACGGAATCACAACTCTGCTTACAGTAACGATTGTTGACGACTGTTCATGATCATAATCCTACACTCATTCTGCCTAAGGTCGATTCTTTCACTTGGTATTCATTATTCACGACCTTTCACGACGTGACATGCCCTCTTGAGCCGTACTTATCCATATTTGATGTATCTTTGCGACGTGTATGCTCAAATTATACATAAGTTATCCACAGCCAGTGACAACACTTCATTTATGCACACGAGCGAAGCCGGTTCCTCTACCTACCTCCAAAATGGCCAACATGCATGAGTAACTTTCTTGATTTCAGAACATCATTGAAAAATTGGTGTGCCACACAGTTTGATCTTGCTCCTGGTTTCTGCAGGGTTTCTGCCACAGGATTGCCCCTTGAAGCCGGAATTCCTTCATTTTTTATTTAATACTTGACTGGCCGTTCTCAGGATGATGAGATACTTTCACGATTGAATACGCCGGCAGCGCGGCGGCATCTTTTGTACTTCGCACACTTGTTCCCGACCACTAGCAATGCCTCTCTGAAAGCGCAGCTTAACCTTTACCGGCTCCCATCGACGAGCACAACTTTTACGCGTACAAATGCCATCTAACCCCGAAACGCAAACGGAAGATTACCAACTTTTACCTACCGGCCCTCAGGCTGCAGACGAAGATCCTCAGAAAGCTGACATGGGCCTCGCAGAACAGTTAGAGAAAGCAGAGGGAAGACAAGGTGATAATTTCGCTAGATATGCTGCTTTGGTACGTTCGATAAATCATAGTTCCCTTTCTACCAAAGTTAATGAAACCTTCTTCTAGGGTGCGTCGGCGGTAAGAGGATCTGAAAAGAAAGGCGAAGAATCCCCAGTCTTACCGTATATCAGGTTACACTGGTCGTAACTTGGTTGGTGATGCTCATCAATAATCCAACACAGGTTGGGTGGTTCCTTCTACATCCCACCCTTGAATCACTGGCAATGTTATTCTTCACATATGGTCCGTATATCTATCTAACATGGATCTCGATTCTCGACTGGTCCGCTGATGTTAAGCAGGCATCTTGACCCTGCAGCCAACTTCACAGCCCAGAACCAAAGCCGCGGGCCTCTCTCGTCATCAATCTGCGATTCTTTTCATGGCCTTTCCCGCATTATTGATAGGAGTTTGTGCCATTGTCATGAACAAAATTGAATTAGGCAAATCTCATTTCAGAAGTTGGCATTCAGTGAGCCCAATCTTCTCTCGCTCTTTCTTTCGCTCCTTCAGTGAGCAGTGAAAGCTGAATCGTAATATACAGGTTTTGGGAATCATTGCCACAGGTTGGATCGTCATTCAAATCTTGATAGGTGGTGGGAGCATTTGGTTCGGCGGAAAGGCCTTCGGTGGAGGTATGAAAGCAAAATCTGTTTGGAAATACCACCGGTATGTCCACAACACGTCTCTTATTACGACTTCGCTAACTTCGTCGAAGGCTTTCAGGGTATATCCTTTTCCCATTACTATTAATCACAGTTGATCTGGGTGGGGCATTATCTCACTGGGGCGAAAAGAACGTTCCACTTCCTATTCGTCTGGTGGCCTATGTTTTTGCCCCGTTGGTGTGTCTTGTCGCGATTCTATCACGAATGAGGTAAATTCCCCTCCCTTACTCGTATGGATAAATTCTAACGACTATATACATCAGAACCTCCAAGATGAAATTTTTTTAGAAACACTCATATATGTGTATTTCCATAGATTATCAGATGTACAGTTCGATATTGACTTTCACCCAAATATGACGCATCATGATTTGTCTCGACAGCTTGCAGGATTTCTGTTCGGAGGTTTGTCCCCCACTGCTAGTATCTCATTGAACTCATGCATTACTCTAATCACTGGGTCGAGTCGGTCTTAGGTCCCGTCGTCAATGTCACGAATCCGTAACTGTCAAAAGGATTCAGAGAAGGTCGAAAGGGATATCGGATATCTTCTGACCCATGTACGTGGAGGGATGAGTGACAATTCTTAATCGGGGGAACAAGACAAAATTGATGCTTGGGTTCCGATTGGGATGCATCTCTGGAACAAACGCAGGACGCGGTGTCGCCACTTGGCAATGGGACCAAGTCTGCTCCAATGTCACTCCAGAACGGGGAAATTTTCCGTCAAGAATAGTGATAATTCGGGAGGCCACCGAATAATTGTTCATATGTATTGATTACACCGAATGACATATAGAATTCCAGCGGTTCACTGAATGGTTCAATGGAATTTATGGTTTCAATAGCCTATTCGGTCTGAGTCTGTCAAGCAGAATTTTTTCTCTTTCCCATGTGTAACTCATAGCTCTTCTGCTTGTTGTGACACCGGGATTCCCTTATTACTCATACCTCTGCCTTCCATGCATAACTTAACTCTACCTCGGTGTGTCGACGGCAGTTTACCTTCTCCTTGCGGTTTGAGCTCGCCGCCGTTGGATCATCGAGACCTGCTGTCTTGTCCTGGGACTACATCTTTGGATGGAGCCGTGTATTGATCTATCTATTTATCACATCCTGCCGTTCCTCTGTACAACATTTGCGTATTCCTGTCAGTAATTGTCTGTAGCTCTGCTCTATATTGAGTGGACTTTGTCTCATGCAATTGATAAGTGGAATTCATCGGCGTGAGCGAGTCTGCGAGATGTAGTACATCATCTTAGACGGATGCACCGCCCAATCTGTAGTGCTCCCAAGTAACTCACCTTCCTCATACATGGAATTAACGATTTCGAACCGATCTTGTATTGATCGTGTGTACAGTTCATAGAAGCTACAACATAGCAGTATCTACTGTATATGACGTCGAAGTAAGTATCCACTACGCACTAACTGAAGCCCGGTAATTATGCATTCATGTACATAACATGTCCTTTTAAGAAAAAAATACAGACAGCTTGGTTAGCGTATTATGTGCAAGTAGAGAACGGAATGACCTGTGGAAGGTGAACGAGAACATGCGAAAGGAATGGTTATCCATAATGTCCTGGATGTGGAATGCATTGAGTCTGCGAGTATTAAGGACAGACTGGAAATTTTGGTAAGAAAATGGGCGAATAAATGATTCTAGAGTAATTCGAATAAGGGTGGATTAGAATTAAGTGCGAGTTTTTGAAAGCTGATGGGGCGTGAGATCTGGGGGAGGGGAACATGCAAGAGATGACAGGATTTTGATAAACATAGATGCAAGATAAGACGTCCAAATCGCGTAGGGAAATCGAGCTTCAAGTTGGAGCAGCGGCGAGTTCGCTCGAGTCCTTTGTAAATAGACCCGAAGTTGGAAGAGCGGCGTTATCTGGCCACATAGCTGGGGTGAGAAGACACTTCTGACGTCGAGCTTTTATCGTAGATTCTTTAGTTCCCTAGGCAAGCACATTGTGGTGCGCATACACACGAATGTAATTAGCATAAACATCGTGTATACTAGATATCCTCCACACAGGTCGTGTTCTTTGGAGAGGGAGAACAAGGACGTGGCCAACACCGGGCCAATGGTTCGTGCCATGGTTTTAGAAGCCTGACAGAAGCCGTTAGTCGCTCCGAGGGCGGATTTAGATGGAGCGCCATTTATGACAAAGATTTGTGCGGTAGCTGTAGGATAAAGAGATTTGAGGGTCAAGGATGAAACGGGGAGGTTCGATAGACATACCGTAGGCCATCGATCCAACGGTGTTACTCAATAAAAACTGGAGCGGAATCAATGCCCATACGAGCCAATTAGCATATCCAACTGCCCCCGCTAGCACGCTCAACCCCCACAAGCTGCCAAACCCGACCAAAAACGAGCATACACCCACAAAATTGATCGTTCGTGCCCCGAAACGGTTTATGAGCCTAGGTATACAGAATATGGGGAAAGGGATGTTCGCAGCTCCCCATACACTGAGGATGATTCCCACATGAAAAGGAGTGAGCCCTAATCCACCGGCTGCAACGGAGGTAGTGTAGGTAAGGGGAATCAGAACGGTGTAACTGGAATCTAGGAGAGCGATAAGACTGTAGTTCGCGATGGGAAAAAGGACCTCAGGGATGAGCAGTAATTTTAGAGTTGCAGGGGTTTCAGCGTCCACTTTGGAGTCTTCCTCATCCTCAGAGTCGGAAGCTAAAACGGTTTCCTGGTCACTTTCTAAATCCTCTAGTGTAGACGTGCTTGATACGGTCGAGCATAGCGTCGACGTCGAAGGCCTTTTTTGAATCGTCCCATAATTAGGAATCACTGGTGCATTGGGATATAGACGCGTTGTCGTGTCTGTGTTTTGACGTGACGCGTCGGTATCGGCGCTCTTCTGCTTCTGTCTGCGAGGTTCGAAGTTGAAAACGCGCTTGTGACTGATCTTGGGTTCGATATGCCTCTGGACATGGTGGGTCTGGAATCGAATGGAGATAAGGTCATGAATACCAAAAAAAGACTGCAGACCGCTTACCTCCTTTAATCCAATTAACGCGATAAGGAAAAATATCAACGCGAAGAACGCGACAACGGCGCACGGAAGAAAGAACGGATGATCGCGCAGGAGTGATATCTTCCCTAAAGTTGACGGAAATTGTTTTTCTGGATCAGCAAGAACGCCGCCGATGGATGGTCTGTGATGGTCGATGAATGTTAAGATTTGAACGGATTATGAGTGAAGCAGGCGCGTTCGTACCCCATAATAACACCGATACACCATATCATTGGTGCAAGGCTGAAGATTTGGGCAATGTTGGTGGAATCTGAGAGCTGACGGATAATAATCAACACAATGACCTTTTGCATCCCTCTAATCACCTACTTCTGCGAGGATGGTTTTCGACACGCCTATATCGCGATCGATGGTAAGTAAATTTTGCTTTCCGAGGTATGGTAGACGCGACATACCAATGTTACCATTGAAAGCTCCTTGGATACTTCGAAATATTATCAACTCGCGGTATTGCGTGGACAAACCAAAACAGAGCGTCGCGATGAATAATCCCAAAGGGCCTAGCAGTAGGATAGGCCTGCGACCGAAGCGATCTGAGGCCATTCCCCACAGCATCACCTGGTAAGATGACCGTTAGTCTTGTGGTGTCGAACGAGTAGAAAATGTGAATTACTGTGAAGCATTCAGCGAGAAAGAATGCAGATTCCTGAAAGATCGTAGTAGTAAGTAAAAGATCATTTGCAAGGAGACAGTTTGTGGACCGACAATTATCCCGGCATAATAACCAGTCTTTTTCTCGTTCCCTCCAGTGATCCCGGTGCTATTGACAAACGGATTTATGAAAGGGTAGATGACGGTGGCAGCTAGAGGCTCTGTAAGTTGAATCAAGAAGACGATGGCAATCTGGAGTTTTGGTAGAGGAGATTGGGAAGGAGATTGGGAGGAAGAATCATACGAGGCCATGCCAACAGTATGTCCAGGAGAAGGAGGACGAGGACGAGGATGAGGAATGTTTCGTTGTCGTTGAAGTAAGCCAAGCGGCTTAAGTATCTAGTGTCCACAAAATACAAAGGACGGTCGAAAAGTTGATAAGCATGTGCTTACATGGTTCTGAAGTCGGAAATAGTATTCGGGTGTCTAAATGCTGTCGATCTTAACCCGGATATAGCATAGCTCGGCTCCAACTCAATCGGGCTCAAATAATCCGGATACTAGACTGGCTGTCACAAACCGAATTCGAAGCCCTGATGTTTTTTCTCCCCTGAACAGAAGTCTCCAGTCTTTGCACCTCCAAAAAAAAAACCTATCGTCACCGCGCCACGCCATATGTATCTACATACTGTAGATAGGAAAGGGTTTTATCAGTTCAATCATTGATACCTCTGTCAATACCAAAAGTACCGTTTGCGTCAACTACAAAGCTTTGCACAGCTTACGTTGCTCGAAATAGACCGATATTGTTGCGCCGAATAATTCTGTCTGTTACTTTTGACAATTGTCAATTTAGCGACTTTACCTTGTCAGCTATGTATATTTATTGAAGAAACTTACATTGGTGCATAGATTCTCAGTTATGAAGTCTGGATTTGCCCAGGTGTCGCGCTCTAATCCATAAACCAGACTCTGTCCTTGTGATGTCCCTCGTCGTTTCGTTTCCGCTTCACGATCCACGAAGATAGGATTACTGTCTCGGAGGGTAAGAGGCGCATTCTAGAAGGCGAGCGCAGTGTACCATCCGAACAGTGCATACAGCGTAGTACATACTGCCAAGTTCCGCGGCGATTTGCGCGGCTTCCCTTCAATCTCTTCATCCTCATACTACGTAGCATTAGGGCATCTGCCGCGAGAGCTAGGGATGCATCCGGTCAGTGCTGTTGGGATTAAGAAACAAAGAGATGACCTCAATTTGATCTTGTTCACGAACAGTCTAAAATCTGGCTTCCCGAAATTTTGAAGTAAGAACCAGAGTTCCATGCATCCTGTCTCCCCCTTCCGCCCGCAGAGTCATTTACTTGGCAAACATTGCCACTAAGATTTGAGCCTGCAAGATCTTGATTGACGAAACGCGTTCCGTCGAGGACCAGCATAAGACTGAACAATCGGATTACAACTGATCCCGGAGGCTTCACAAGTCTTCATGCATTCTGTCATTCAACATGTTGTTCCGCCACAATTTCAATTTCCCGTACTCCATCCTACTCCATCGCATGAACTCCGAAATAGAGAAAGAAAGAAAGAAGTTTTGGAGCAATGGGTGCACGGGTGAGTAAAGGTCTGCAGACCATCGTATGCTTCTCAGAGACCGGAACTTGGGAACTTCAAAACTTGCACCATGCCGCGGGTGGCTAGTATTTTGGTTGTGATCAAATTTGGGGACAAGGAAAACGATGCTATAGCACTGACCTGGCACTGACCAAACCGTCCCAAAATTAGCGGGATGTTTGGCATCAACTTCCTTCCCAAATAACGTGTCCCAAAATGGTCAGCTTGAACGTTAACGCTATCCCCGCTTTGATGCCAATCAAAGCGATTGGAGTCACCGACTCTGAAAGAGGAGGTCCTTGTCGGATTCAAATGGTCGTGTTTTGTGAGATCATTTTGCACTATTCATTCGTATGTAATCAATTCATTGCTGTCCATTTTGGTATAAGGTGTGGTGAATAATATCTTTCGGAGAAGCTGTATGATGTATAGGTGTCTTATTGTAGTAACAGTGTGAACCGATTTGGAGTTAGTGCGTGTAGTTTGTTTTCTTACGTTGTATAGTTTAACTCTGAATGGTGCGCATACTTTAATGATATTGTTGCTTTTCTGGGCAGAGTACACTTCAGTACTATGTATGTCTATATAACAATGTCCAGGTATTATGACAATACAGGAAAATCAATCTGATCCGGCTTGACCTCCCCTTGTACTTATTATTATCGTCAATGCCAAACTTATCCTGCCAGTGTGGAACCGACCTCTGAACTTACAAATGGAGGTCACTCATTCTTTCATGAATGGATCACTGATCCTACAATGAAGATCTCCAACTCCTTTTCATCCAGTAACTTTGTATATTACAGTGCAATTGCTCATGCTGACAGATAGCCATTTCAGAAAATTCTAGTAGTTTATACAATGCACTAGGTTGACCAACAGTGACCTTGACTTAAATCTCAACACCAATTTTGGCCGCACATCAAACACTAGACTGATTCCGAAGTTTCAGTATACCAAAAATGAAGGAGTTCATTTTTTGCAATCTTGTCATTGATATTCCATGTCAACAGTATAACAAATGTATCTTTAGGCAAAAACAAACTGAAAATTCAACATAAATACATTCTTCAAAATACAAATTACAGACACTGTAAACCGTACCAAAAATCACTACACCACAATGCAAAAGTTTAACAATAACCTCAATCTGTATCTAATCACATATATTCAACAGTTACATACGACCATACTGCATCATATTATTTTCCTCTTGAACATAATTTTGATTTACTTCTATAATCGCGAATAATCAGCATACCTGCTTGTCATGAAACCATTCAGAGTCGGGGATTGCCGTGCCAGCACGGCGCTAAGGATCGATAACTTTCAACCGTCATTGGAGTCCTCGCTTTACGGCGAATGCTAAGAAAAAGTTGTAACAATACAGGAGGGCTTCTAGATGAATCGGTACGAAGATACGAGCTATAATTAGCAAGGAAACTCGGACTCAGATTTACGCGGATAGTAGGGTATACAAGCTCGTATAACTTGCTATGACCTAGTATGCCTCTACCTGTGATCCTCAGCCTCCTGTCTGTCTATCTCAACAAAATACAATGTGCTACTTCCTTTGGCCCCATTACCTACCTGCCTTTCATGACGGTCTTTTCGGTTATGTAGCCCTTCTCCCTGCTGTTTTCTTTATTTGTTCATGTACCACAATTCTGCTCCATCCCAGAGATGTCCGAGATAGCTTTCGTCGTGTCACAGTTATTCGGGTTGCAATCACTAGCCAGACTACCGTTCCAACTTGAGCCTACCTAATCCTTTTATAAGTTAGTTGGTAGCCCTTTCTAAAGAAAACTATCTCGAGGTTATTTGTTTTACACCCTACATACTAAACTGTCTATTCAACCTATTGGCCACGGTAATGAAGTGGTGGCTATCACAGTTTCTATCCATTATGATTGGGAATCTTCCTGCACATCCGTATGTATGCTCAGACCTCCCCGATTGTGCGATCAGACTGGGGGCGAAGTTGAAGTTTCTTCAGCGCGCTGTTGTAGGTGGGTTGTAGCTGACATCGTAAACACTTATCGAAGGGTCACCCCAGATGATTATGATTACAAGTAACAATGTACAGTATGTAACATATATTACGACGCTGGAGCTTCAGCTTCAGTGGGCTGTGGTGTAACCTCGGAGATCTCTGGTACATGTATAACCTCTGTCAAAAATCCGGGGAGGAATCGCTCCATTCGTTCTGCTGTCATCGTCCACAATGTACGCTGTCGTTCGCTCCGTTCATCATTAGTAGAGGGAGGGACGAGAATCTGAGTCGCATTCATAACGAGCAAGACGTTCTTCAAGGACTCGGGAATGGCTTCATACTAAACGTGTCGGGTCAGACGGCCGTTGGATACGCCGGTAAACTGTAAAAGACGACTAACCAATTGTTCGCCATGGTCTACATGCATCAAGTGGTCGAGTAAATCTAGTACCCCAATCCACGAAATTCTAATATCTGCTGTCGATTGACTTTCCCGAACCTCAAAGTGCATAAATGTCTTGCAGAGTAAAGCAGAGGCCCTAAGTCTTGTTTCGGGCATACCCTGAGGATCGCGTTGAAAGACGTGAGGCTTCAACAGATCGTCTACGAGGCGGAAGACGATCTTGTTGAATATTTGTTCTACTTGGTTCGGATCAGCTTCATCTAGAATCGGATGTGAGGCTAGCAGTGTTCTTTGAAGCTGTCCGATTGCGCCTTGCCGGACTTCACGAGCTGCATTGCTCGACTGGTCTTTCAATGACGTTAGCAGCGGCAAGAAAAGTTGTTCCCAAGCTATGATATGTGTATAGGTTAACACTCTCGGTTGCGACGCCGTGTAAAACTAAAACACGAACCATCTTCACGTTGTAGACCAGAAAACTCGATAATGGGCGAGAAGAACTTCTTGAGGCTAGTTAACAATTCGATAGCTTTGCGTCCGCGTTCCACCGCCGGCGAGCTACACGATATCGTCAGTATGAAGGATACTTTTGCGTATAAATCCTCACTTAGCAGCTGTCAAAGGCCCGTGGCGGCGGCCTTGATTTTGATGCGCTTCTACAGTGCTACCAGCCAATGTGGCAAAGTCATTGAGCAGCGTTACAAGAGCAGAAAAATTATCCATCGTTACGAGCTGCTCAGGTCCATCGACAACGAGGCTGCTCAATAGGTTGAATGAAAGTTTGGCCGCTTCCGAATGGGAAATAGTAGATCGTAGTAAAGCGAAAACTAGCTTCCACTCCGTCTGGGACCTGAGAAGATATAAGCAGCCACAATGCAACAACATTCTCCAAGCACACCTGATAATTTCCCTGTATTTCTGCACTAGAGAGATGACCCCCACGACAATTTGTTCTGCCACAGACGCAGCTACATCCGATGGAAGCCCTGACAGAAGATCTAAAGACACATATATTTGATCTCGAAGTGAGGGCTAGAAAGAGAGCCTTATCAGTCGGTGGAATAGTAGATAAATTGATCTCGTCACTTTTTGAGCTAACAGGAGGCAAAGACGCAACAATCCGACCACTGCGCGTTCAATGAGAAGGATGCTGTAATGGCTGGCAGAATCGTGCTGGAGGAGAGCGGATAGATGTTCGAAGAGAATTGGCCTAAAGAAACGTCAAAGGCGCTCCACATATAACGTGAAACTCATACCACAAGTCTTCGATGTGTTGCGGGACTTGGCATGATATACTGACCATAGTCTCTAGTAGATAGACAGAAGCAGGATCATAAGGCATGGGCATGGATGCGTTGTCTTGCGCGGGGTACATAGGGTCCTCAGATTCCTGCTTTAGCTTCGCGACGGTCCGTTCATGCGCCAGTGCTTCCAGAGCACGGACGGCTGCGACCAGAGCATCTGTTTCAAGCTGACTGGAAAAAGATTGGGGTGAGTAAAAAAAAGGTAACCTGGTGATCTAAAATCATACAGAATTTGACTATAGAGCTCGTCGAGTCTGCAGGACGTAATACAATCGATGGTGCAGAGTGTCTTCTCGATATCCGACTCGGTAGCATCAGGCACAAGTGAATCAGAACTTGCACCGTATGGAGTCATGAGATATGACGACAACGTTGAAAGTAGACCTCCATCATTTCTGGAAGCAGTTCGTTGTGGGCTTGCGCCTCGCAATGGAATCATGGATGACCCTCCCAGAAAATCCTCCATTTGAAGCATCTGAGCAGGAAGAAGTGAATGAACGAATAGATTTTGAAACATTTCAAAGATCTAGATAGATGGTAAGAATAAGAATGATACAAACAGGACGATCGATATTACATACCTGAGTCCATCCTTCGCGCAAAGCATTTCCATTCCCATTGACAATGTTAAACAACACAACAGCAGCGAGTTGACCCTTGAAATTGATTCCAAACTTAACCGACAGGTTGGATACAGTAATCTTTTGACCTTCGACTTCGACAGTCGGGTAGTTGGGTATGCTTGTTTGTAGGGTATCTGGAAGGAGACTGGTGGCCTGGGACAAGGAGACAACGACAAAATCGAACACGTCTGGAAGGCGGAAGTGCTTGGCTAGTGTTGCGCATTGTCTGAAACCAGCAATGGAGCGTTGGATGATGTAATCATCGTCGAAGCTGATGAAGGCGTAGGCGATAGCGGAGATGACGGGTTTCCACACGGATTTGAACATATCAACGTCGAACAGCGGAGTGTTGCATGTCACCAAAGGACCTAATAACGATATCAAAGTCTGCAGCCAGTTTTTTTATAAAGAACAAAGCACCGACCTGCTTGCCGTGATCGAGTAAGTAGTTCTTTCCATGCATACTCGAACCCCAATGAACCCGTGTGCTCTTCAGGCATGACAATTTCGCGCTTCCGTATTGTATCATATATCTCTTGCTTGGAGAATGGAGAATTTTTCAACACGCGATTACACCAAAGCATTGATGGCAGACTCATACCAAGAATTCTGGCGAGAAATCACTTCCATCATTGACACCTCGCAAATTTCGCTGATACTCTTCGAATGACATTCGTTTCTAGTTCGAGATATCAGCGAGGCAAATAATGCCAACTTAAGCGTACATACTCTGACTTGAGGATTGTGCAGGTCGGTGTTGAGCAGAATGACCGAATAAGCAAGGACGTAAACTGCATCCTCACTCTTGATTTCAGCTGATTGCATCAACGATTAGCGTTAATCCTCTACAAATGTTATAACGCACCTGGTCCGGCAGCAAAATACGTCGAGGCAAATGTTTCGGTGATTCGGGCAATCTGTTGGGCTTCTCCGGGGAGACGAAAGCTTTCCAGTAACTCCCGCATAGCGTCGGCGATAGGTTTCTGAGAACGATGAATGACAACTACACGTAAGGAAGACAACCAGAGCGTACGTCTTTAAAGTTGGAAAGTCCAATGAAAGCTCTGAGGACGTCGAGGTTATCTGGTCTCGAAATAAAATCTCCAAGAAGACGTTTATCCAAGCGACTACAACTTTTCAAGAATTTGGCTAAGCTAAGCGGTTTATCGACCTGATCTGAAAGGTCTGCATAGATGAGCCCATTTTCCTCGAGAAATGCGAGCCCTGTTTTGGGTTTGATATTGAACCGCGATGCCCCAGTCAAAATGAGCTTCTTTTGGGATTTGGTTTGTAAAAGAGACTCCGGAGACGGACAATCCTGATACAACTATACTGAGACTTTGTGCGCTAGATAGGTAGGAAAGGACACACTGAAGGCCATTTCTGATATTCCTGTGTTTTGAATGAGCACCGGTAGTCAGTTCTGAAAGCAAGATTACGCACTTCCTCCGCCCTTTTAGCCATGTCGTTTACAAACGCCAGAAGCAAGTCCAAACATAGATATTGAGCATTTCGTTGCTGAGCGTCGAGACCGGCGGGATAATGAGTAGGATAAACAGACTGGAGGCTCTCTGAGTGACAACGTCCAAGGATAATGTCGATCCATACCTTGGTCAAAAAGTCAATCAGCCGCTCAAATAGGTTTTCGCAGTTGATGTCACAATCGTAGTTCGTATATAAGTCAACCATGAAGCTCGGATGCCGGGAGATTTGGCTGAGGGTTTCCAGAACAAGATTTCGCGTTTCTCCACGAGCAGGTGCAACAAGGATACGCGTTGGGGTCGAACTTCCGTTCTCGCTATCTTTTTCGGGCTCCATTGGACCCAAAGTCGGTGTGCCAGGTCGAGGAGAGTCCGTAACACCCGCCTTCTTCGATGACGCTCCTTTTGTATTGGCAATGGGTGGAGGTGCAAGTCTGTCAATAGTGAATGCTAGGAATAATTCCTGTTGCATTTTGAGATGTTCGCGCATGGTATCAAACATGGTAGATATTGTGCGCAGTGCCGCGTGAAGAACTGTAAGGTTTCCGGAACGAGCTAGTTGGAATAGGTATTTACATGCTGGATCAAGGACAAGCGCTTTCAGTGACGGGAAGGCGCCTATTCGGGGTCCTGCTTCTTCGAAAGCAGAATTCAAAATTCCAAGTACCACTAGGCGTGTTGAGTCGGTGTGTTGTTGATCGTTTGGATCGAGTACATTTACAAGCACCCTGAGAAGCTCGAGTATTGAAGGCAAGCTAACTGTAAGTGCAATTAATTTTACAACTGATGAATATGATGAACAGCATACACTGTGATCTGGTAACAACGGCAGACGGAGGAGTCTGAGGTCCCTTGGTTTCCTGCTCTTCAACTGACGCGTCAACAGCTGTTTCTTGGCTTACTTCTTCACTGCCGATCTGATTGTGTATCTGAGTACTTGAAACGCTCATCTTGATCTCAGCTTCCTCATCATCGACATCCAATTTGGCTTCTTCTATTTCAGGATCCAAATGATGGAGTCGAGAAAAGACAGTTCTGACGAGAGCATGCATAGTATTTTCCGCGGATCTTCGAAGTATTTCTGCAGGCGAAAATGAAGGAATCAATTGAGGAAAGTAAATGGATATATCTCACCACTGAGCCGCATTTGACAACACGTAGTTAAGACTGTTTCAAGCATTTCACAAACTTCTACATCTCCTAATACATTTCCAACATCATAGGCACACAGACAGTCATGGATGACGGTGAGGATCTTGAGGAGGACAACTTCGTCTCCGGAGGAGTCACTGGGCTCGAATTTGCATCGAGCAGCAGTGGTACTTAGCTCTTTGAGAGCGAGATCAAGAGTATTTGACTTTGCAGAGATTATTCCGCATACAAAAAAGTTGTGGAGAGCGGTGAGAGCAGCCGACGTGATAGGACCCGTTGACAAGGAGGAGCGAATAATTTCGAAAAATGGAGAGAGTATGATGGGTAACGGGAGAGATGATATGTCTATAATGATGTTAGAAAATGAATAATCGCCTGTTGAATTGAAACATACCCCCCACATCCCTCACAACTCTCTTCAGCTCTTGAAAACCTGCCATAAGCTCAGCTTCCCGGTTCCCCCTTGTATGAGATCGTGCATTGAACGAAGGGCTGGATATCCTCAGTCCGAGATTACTTCCAAGCGCAGATGTCTGGGTACTGGTCATGAAATTTGTTGAGGAAGCCCATCGCGAGTTTTTGCGCATAGCAGAGGTAACAGAAAGAATTTCAGAGTACAGTATATGTTTTTGGGAGGCATTTTGACGCGGTCTAGTGGTTGTTGTTGGGAAGTTCATTAAGGAATAATTCGACGTGTCATGGCGCCTATTACTGTTTTGACGCTCGTCGTTCTCTCCTCACTTCACCGGCCAATGCCGGCAGACATACCAAGCCGTAGGGGAATCAAGAAATGTATGCAGATGCATACTCTCTCTCCTATTAACCTCTCTTATCCTTAAACGTACAGCTTATACGGATTACATTACTCATATCAGAAGCACCCCTCCCCCCTCCTCCTTCCGGGTTCTCTAAGGCTCTCATTTACCGAAAACTGAACACAATTCAACCTTGAGTTACCGATGAAGGAGATTTGGATATGACTTTGTCAAATCCAGGCAATCCCGACGATGGTCTGTTAAATGTCGGAAGTGGACCCCAACTGAAAGATGCTGCAGGTGAGGCCTTAGGGAGCCCGGTGACTTCAGGAGAGCCCGGAGCAGGACTTTTTTTGACCGAAGGTGCAGGCCCATGTTTCCTTTGCGGTGGACCGCCTCTTCGCCCGCCAGAAGATGACGGGGTTGAGGGGTGGAAATTGTCCTCTGGGAAAGACAACGTGTCCCACTTCCCTATATCAGGAGACGAAGGTTGAGCAACTCCAGCAAAAAGTGGGCCATGTATAATCGGAGTATCGAATTGTATTCCCACGCCAGAATTCATCGAAGGAAAGCCGCTCGATAGTTTTGGTGTTGTGTAAGCTATCGGAACCTTTTCCCCGCTTTCCACAAGTTCCTTTGCTTTGACATTCAGGAGCGGTTCTTTTCTGGCCTTGAGCAACATAGTTTTAAGTTTATGTGCTGAGCGTTCAGCGTTCAGAGCCGCCGCAGTTGTTACCGCAACATCAGGTGTGAGGATAGACGGTCGGGAACGAGGAGAGAACGAGGGAAGTCGAGGATCTCGAGTGGCTGGAGAGTTATATGTAGACGCAGCTACATTTAACTTCAGAAATCTTGCGCTCAATTGCGCCACCTCATCGGTTTGTTGTTGTAACGCTATATCAATGTTGCGATATGTGCGATGGATTGTGTCCAACGACGGGGGTCTGCAACAGGTATAATGTGAACTCGTGTCGCAAAAATCTAACACAATGAAATTATGCTCACTTCAGGGTGGGCCGGCCAGTATTGACCTCACTGAGTCGCTTTTTATGTGCACGCAGTTGATCCTCGAGTTGATCTACCTTGGTGCGCATAGCCTATGTTTTTGATAATGTGAGAATCTGAGTTGAGCACGAGTGAAAATGAGGAACGTACTCGGATATTTCTTCGAAGTTGCGTCTGATTCTCTAAATGTTCTGGACCAAGCGTCCTGGACTTAAGCATCTTCGAAAATTCATTGTCACTCTTAGCCTTATTGAAACGAGCAATTTCCTCTCTCCTTGTACCAGCTGCATATAAACTCAGAATTCCTGCTTTTCAAGGGGAGGAAGACTACTTGCCTTTGATCATGCTTTTTCCAATTTCGCGTATGTCTGCCTTCTGCTTCCCCGCAAAGTCCTTTAACTCGAAAATATCTTGTTCAAACTGTCGCAACAAGGCACCGAATTGAGCGCTGTCGCACGGTGTCCATTTCTCATGATTGCCCAAGTCTTCTTTCCTGCGGGAACCGCCTGCTGATTTCGACAACAATTCCCTTTTTTTCGCAACCGCACCAGCGAGGGCACGAAGCTAAAAGAAATAGCGGTGTGTATATCAAATTGAGAAAAAGATAACTTAAATTGGGTCACTCACGCGTTCCAGTTCTATGTGCATCATATCCACCAACATATGACATTCCTTCTGCATGCCACTTTCCACGGGAAGTGGAACAGGTGTTGTGCCAGAAGATCTCATGGATACAGCTGGTGCACTAGGTATGGAGGGCCCTGCAGGCGGAGGTGGAGTAAAGGGAGGCGGAAGCGAGAAAAGAGGCTTGGGTGTTCCTGGTGACAAAATTGGAGATGTACCGGGTTGAGAGCCAGCAGGAAAGGGAGGAAGTGAGGGTTGTGGACGACTGCCAGAGTCAAGTTTCTGAGTTATACCACCAAAGAAACCTGAAGGGGGAGGTGTGAACACGCTGCTGACCTTCGGGACAGCTAGGTCTACCCCCCCGGTGGCAGGTTGGAGTGAGAAGGGTTTGTCAAATAGACTATTAGAAGAAAATGAAGGTGAAGGTGGTCCAGCGACTGATGTATTTGACAATGGTGTTAGCTGGCCCGGGGGAGGCTTCAATGGTGTTGCGGGGCCAGGTAAACTTGCAGCGGCAGGTTTGGGCGTGGTTGGTGTACTGGTGCTACCAAAGAAATTTGACAATAGTGGGGGAGTCTTGGGTCTCTTTCCGTCAATCAATTTCGGTTCATCTGAAGAGGTGGATCCGGAGTGCGTAGGAATCATTCCAAATGGTGCTTTTGGAGACGCAGGACGAGCTTTGAAGGCCGCAATCAATTTCGGCTCTTCCGCCGCTTCCTCCTCATCGTCTTGTTCTTCAGCCCCAGTAAGAGGCTTATTTGCCAGAGGAGAGCTCCTCGTAGGACGGGTGCTAGGCCTTCCGATCCCAAGCGTTGTTAAAGGTGCGTTAATAGGGGCCGGAGCAAGTATCGCAGAGGAACTTGTTGTTTGCGATTTGGTAGGAGTGCCAGGAGGTGTCGTACTTTCCTCGCGAATGGTTGATAAGCGGGATGACTCAGTATCTTCGGATGTGGAAGGGGAAGGAGAGTTTGGTTCAGTTCTGGGCGTTTCCGCCTGAGGTGTGTTAGAGCGGGATCGTGAGGGAGGTAAGGGTATTTCTGTAGGTTCTGGTGATGACGAAGGAGAGGGCTCATCCGAAGATTCTTTCCCTTCCACCTCTTCGGATTCGCCCTCTTCCAATTGTTCCTCACCCGAATGTGAGTCAAAACTCTCCGACAGAAAATCCCCTTCATCATCATCATCATCATCATGACCGTGCTGCTCTAGATGGCCTTCGAGCTCATCATCTGAATCGGGAACTTTTTCTTCTTCATCTTCTTGTTTCGCTGGCCGGGGAATTTCAACATAAGAGCTACTCGTTGACAAAACGGATTCCTCATTTGTGTCCTCGATCATTTTGCGCTTTTCTTCATCTCCGGGCACTGTCTTATCGCCATCGCGAATTTGTTTAGCGGCCGCTGATGGTGATGCCGGAGGTGTTGATGAGGCAAACTTGGGTGGTTCGGAAGTTGCTTTGGGTGAACCCTCTTTCAGTAGATCACCAAATGATTTAGTGGTACCTCCAACTGCAGCGAATGGCGAAGGAGTTCCACTGAAAGCACTGAATGGAGTTGTTGTAGCCAATGAAGTACTTGCGGCAACTGGAGATGAGCTCGACGTAGATGCTTTCAAACCAAACCCGAAACCGAGTTGAGAAGTGGCCCCAAATGTAGGATCAGTAGATGAAGATGAAAGGTTTGAAGAAAGAACCGATTTTGCTGAGCCCAAGCTGCCAAATGGGGAGACAGCAGGCTTCTCGTCATCCGTATTGTCTTTTAGGAAAGGAGAAGAGTTGGGCATGGTATTACCAAAAGCACCAAACCCAGAAGCCGGCTTCAAGTACGACGATGACGTTTGCAGGTTACCAGTTGTAGTCGCTTTGACAGGGAGGGCGGAAGGCTTGACGATATCTGAATCAGGAGAAGACGGGAGAGTAGGCGACCCTGGTTCGGATTTGATGAGACTAGCTGGGTGCTCCTTCTCGTGATCATGAGTTGATGGAACAGATTCACGATCTCTGAACGCAACTTGGGACGTCGATGGAGCAGGCTGGCCGAAAACGCTAGATGATACAGACTTGAGAGCTCCGAATGCGCCGCCTGCGCTCGGTTGTTCAAAAACACTATGTGATTCGGATTTCGTTCCGCCGAATACACTTGTACCCATCTGAACGGGCTTTCCAAACACAGAAGGACCATTAGAAGCGAAATTCGAAAATGCGCCCCCAGACGGTGATTGACTTCCAAACGGCGATGGTGTTTTATTCTCAGATTGACCAAAAGGTGAAGGTCCCTTGGACGCGAATGCAGAGAAAGAATTACTTTCAGACTTTTGCTCCTTTGTATTGTCAGTCCCCGACGCGGACACACCACCAAACGCGCTTTTCCCGCTGGACGCCGCAGAGGCAAACGTTGATGGTGTTCCCGCAAAACTAGCAAACCCATCTCCTCCAGCGTTTGACTTAGACACAGGAGATGTCGAAGCAGCGCTCATGAACGAAGTAGGACTTTGACTAAATGCACTGAACCCACCAGAAGATGGGTTGATTTCCGCTGGCTTCAATTGGGCGAACGTAGGTTGCCCAAAACTCGGTTTTCCGAACGAGGATTGTCCAAAGGATGGTTGACCAAACCCAGATCCAGGTCTGGATTGTTCACTGTTGGAAGCGAAAGCAGAGGTCTTAGTAGGCTGTGCACTAAAAGCCCCACCAGTGAACGCATTGTTGGTCGTGTTGCCAGTATTTCCGAAGACACCAAAACTGCCACTGGTGGGGCCACCAAATGCACCAAAGCCTGTCGCAGGTTTGATTACGTTCCCACTTCCAGAGCCAAATACAGACGTTTGAGCTGGTTGATTGGCAGGGTGAGTTGGAGGTAATGGTAGCGGACTTGGAGAGCCGAACATGTTGCCTGTGCCATTGAAAGTTGAAGTTGGTTTTGGGCTTTCGCTTGAGTCTCCGAGAGACAAACCTACAAAAGCAGGTGTCGAGTCAGACATAGAGGCATCTCGAGTAATCTGCGGAGAGCTTTCGATGGTAGTGTTGCCAAAGGATGATGTATTAGAAGCAGAGGATGCGAAGTCTCCTGGGCCGAATGGACTCGCGGAGTTAGACGAATAGTTTGCAAACCCACCACTTGAGTTTGAAGGTCCGTAATTCGAGGTAGATTCGGTTGCAGGTTGAACAACAAAGCCAGTCCGACCAAAAGATGACTGGCCAAAGGCTGTCGTAGCAGATGTCTGACCAGGGGAGGGAGCTTGTGCGTTGCTAAACGCAGAAGATGAAGACGATTGAGCGCCGAAGGCGGGATTATGTTGAGGCTGACTGGAAGTCGAGGCCGAAGTCGAAATGTTTGCGGAACCGCCAACCATACCACCGTAAGGTTTTTTTTCAGGATGATCAACATACCACCCTTGTAATGTCCCATCGTTAAGATATGCGTATATAATTGGATGACCACCTTCATTAGGATCTGTGTCTGTGAAGTCGACTTGCAATGACAACAGGACTGTATCCTCTGACTCTTTATCCAAAGGAATGGACAGCGGATTCTCCTGCGACTGTTGATACCATTCGTTTCCAATATTTCCAATAACCTCAAGATCCGTGCAGGACATGTCACCGACGACAACCAAAAGTCTATCATCAGCATGTTCGTCCCATCTAGGTAACACAGCAGAGTAAGATTTCAGTCGATTTCTATCTGGGAGTTGGAAGGAATATTCCAAGCGCGTATAGACCACGGGAGAATTTCGCTTTTCGGAATAAACGATATGGTGAATGGGTTCAGTCGCCGCGTAGGTTGTGCGAAAGGTATGCCCTGGCGCTAACCAGTCGAGAGAGACTAGTATTCCCTGTGTAGTGGGGGGTATGTGTCTCTGAGGCGAGGATTTAGCGTCCAATGTAAAAGTTAATATGTCGCCCTGACGAAGACCAATCGCTAGTTGTTTGCCCTTTGGGGACCAGGCCACTACAAGGAGTGTTACTTGAATTAGAGAAATTACAGAATACACACGCACCTGCTACCGGGGTAGAATCAGCATTGCCTGCCACCCATCCTCCTTGCGACTCAAGATTCGCGTTGAGCACTTGCACCGTCCCGTCAGCACGTACAGTAGCCAGAAGGTTTGAGAGGTTTGGGTCTTCATCGTTTGGGTTGGAAGTGATATCGAGAATGGGTTGCTGAGAGGACTGAAGGATGTGGAGTGGTGAAATTTCATTGGATCCTGGTGTGAGGACACTGGATGTATCATAGGCAATGATCTGGCCGGACTTGAAACCAACGATGAGTCGTGAATCGTTACAAGCAAATGCCAAAAGATTTGGCTCAGAGGTGGAAAAGGAGAGTGTCCGTTGAGATACAAAGGGAGAAATACCACTGCCAGCCTCCTTCATTGATTTCCTCAGGTCACTTAGAGGGGACAAGATTGCGCCTTGAATGTAAATCAGTAGGATTCAAACGGCTATTCATTACAAAACGCACTGAACGTCCCAACATTGTGTTGTATTGCAGCGATCCACCCTTTCTTATGTGATACCACCAGGTTTCGATAGACGAAGTTCTGATCAGTATTTAGATACTGTGGTGAAAGTAGGATACGAGATTTCTTGTTTAATTGGCGAAATGTGGGATACTAGTCGACGCGTTAAATTCTGCATATCAGACAAAGTGTGAGAACATACTTTGATCCCTTCGGCATGGCGTTCCTTGGACGATGGAGGGGGACCAGATTGGGGCTGCGCTGGTCGCACCAGCCGCGTTAGTTCCGTCATGTTTTATTGTAGGAAGAGTACGTTCGGGAAATTACGTAAATACAGGCAGAAAGTTAGCCTGTTAGGGATTTTAAACTCCGACCAACTCATTCATTCTCTCTCAGCGCTCGCATTTTCCTATAAAGGAGAGACAATTTGGACTAGAACACTTCGGATGACTTTGTAGCTGAGTGAAGTCTTGAAAAAACATGCGAACCAAGTATTACAGTAGTACGACGAACGAATTTACATGTGGCGATATCCCTCGATATCCTCATAAGGCCGGAAGTCGAACTCATTCAGCACTGACAGAAAGACCTACTAATTTCGAAATTTTTAACTATACAAGACAGATGCTAGTTACATTCCACTTTACATTTATAAACGATCTGGTTTCCGCTGTTTTGTCATACTTTAATCTCAGTCAATAAATGCTGTCCCCCAGTAGTATATCCTCGTGCAGGTTACAATTTCCTAGCCTTGGAGCCATATTGCCCAAAGGGATCCAACGGAGGTCTTCCATATGTAGGCTAGAAAAATGTACATCAAAACAGATGGCAATGAACATGTTGAACAATGGCGTACTGGAGCATCTGGTTTGTTCCCTAATATTTTATCGATCTTATTCAATAGCTCGTCAGTCAATTTGGGCACAACTTCTATTGCTTTGAGGTTTTCCAAGATCTGTTCTGGTTTACTTGCGCCCAATATCACAGTTGAAGTGTTCGGATACCTTGCAACCCATGCCAAAGCGAGTGCTGAAATTGTGGTGTTGAGTTCTAAGTGATATCATTTAGTTCGATTTGACTCGAAGATTCGGAAGAGAATCAACCTTTCTCTGCAATCACTGTCAACTCTCTAACCTTGCGAATCATTTCTTTTCCTTTTTCCTCTTGAAGCTCCTTAGACATGTTGCTAAAGTCGCCTTCGGTAGCAAAGCGGGAACCGGGAGGTATGCCATCATTGTACTAAAACAGACATGAGCTTTTCCTCAGGTTTGCACTGATAGGGTATTGTTTCTACCTTGCCAGTCAGTAGACCAAAGTACAGCGAAGAGAAAGTAGTAGTTCCATAATTGTACTTCTGATACAGCGGCCTACGAGGAGTTAAAGTTAGATATGTAGCATCAATGAAAACCTTGCTTACGCGTATTCCTTCTCTGGTCTTTCCCTGGTAAACATGCTACACACATATGATATGTGAATCAATGCATTGATAAGAACATTTAACGCACTTATGCTGGCATTGATCAACTACAGGTGCGATAAGTCCAATTTTGGTAGCGATGTCTGGAGAAGGTCATTGAATCCCTCGTAGATTAATTGAACGTGACGGAACTCACGGTGAGCTTCCTCGATCTCAGTAGCATTCCACTCAGATGTTCCCCAATACATTGCCTAAACGGAAACGCAAGCATCAAAACAGAAATGCACACGACCGCCTGAAATACTCACCCATCCTTTCTCAATCACAAAATTGAAGGCTCTGACGACTAGAGAAAAAAAAATCGCCATCATTAGACAGCAGTTCCGTCTCGAATCACATACCTTCTTCCATCGGGACTAAAGCGAATGGATTGAAACTCAGTCTGGAAAACTCGAGAATTATAATATCTGAGGGGTACTAACCATTTGGATCGCTTCGGTGGGCGAAAATGATGTCCACATAGTCGAGCTGCAGCCGCGCAAGACTTTCCTGCGTCCCCTCGATGATACTAAATTGCTCCTGATGTCAGAATAATCTACGCCATTGCGTAGTCCCTTCAACTTACTGTTTTCTGGACAACCCTCCTCCGTTAGGGTCCTTGCGACCGACTCCCCAGAATATCTTAGTGGTGATGATGATATCAGTGCGGCGCCAACCCAATTCCTTGATGACGCGACCCCTGATATATATTGGACGAAGTTCAGTGTATAAGGAATAATATCGGAAGTACAACTTGTGACTGCGACGAACATTTCTTCCTCCGATTTACCATTTGCATAGGTTTCTGCAGTGTCGAACATGTTGATCCCATTTTCGAATGCAGTTTTCATGATCTCCTGTATATCAGATATGAATATTTCATTGGCGGCGAACCACCAGGCTCTGTCGTATTAGCCGTCGACGAACCTTCACAGGATCGCCTTTGACAGATCCTCCAAGAGTGAGCCCTAGGGCGAGATGCGAGGCATGAGATACAGAGCTCAATTTATATGTCAATGTTAAGACGCGGACTTACATCCTCCAAGAGAGAATAGAGGTACCCTCAAACCGCTAGGGCCAAGTCTACGGAATGGCATACCTTTGGGGTCGTATTCAACTTTGACGTCTGGCTGAAGTTGGAGTGGCATCGTCGAATAGGGAGAGATGAGAATCAATCACTGTGTGGTGGTGGTCGCAGTGGTGAGAGAGATTCAGAGAGTGATGTGGAAAGAGTGCTTACTTTAGAATAAGGATGACCATCAACGGGCCGTCTTCATTGTATTTAGATTTGGACTGATATTTCAGTTTTCGGGCTTCAAGATTCAAGTGGTAAAGAGTTTTGCAGATTGACAATTTGACTTTCTAGACTGCATAAATGGTCGATTATCGATCGCAGACTCGCGGTGCGTGGAGATAATCCAGGGATAATCCTCAAGGTATCCGGAAGCGCCCGGAAAGCGCGCGCGCTGCGATGCCGCTTATGTCATTGTCACGGAGAGAATCGTTCTTTGACAAGTCCCTTCACCGTCGATATTTTTTTCTCCCTTCATATCTCATATTTCTTGGCTGAACTCAATGTGGAGACCCGCCACTCGTCAGATTACAGGCACTAATGATGGTGATTTTGCAAGACGCTTTTTTCAATATAAATCATAACTAACTCAAATTTTCACAGTACCTTTGGGGAACCGTCGTCGATTTGGTCCAGCACCCACCGAGGACGCAGCTCCTCCGCAACTTGCTCAACCGTCTCCTTCTGCGTACCCCAAAGCTCAAGAGAATGAGGGCTCGGGAAAACGCGGCAGAGAAGAGTCGCCGCAAAATGGAGATCCGAAAGGTAAGCACAGAGTGTTGGCACTAACCTATTGGTTGTCACTTTCATCCTCGAGACCTATGGGATATATCGGGCGTCCTTGATTGATATTCATACTCTAATCCTACTACTGACCTTCTGTATAAAACCTAACCTTTCATTTTGTCTTGTTACACTCGTTTCAGTGGATCCTAATGCTCCTCGTAAACGACGAAGTCGGTGGGGAGACGCCAAGACAGAAATTCCTGGACTTCCGACAGCTATATCCGCCGTCGGTGTTTCGCAAGCTCAACTTGACAATTACGCTATCCACTTGCGGTTGGAGGAGATCAATCGAAAACTCAGATTGAATAATTTCGTTCCACCTGAGCGTGAACGGTGCGTTACCCTGAACCCTAATTCGCATATCTTCACTGATAAACTTCTTAGATCACCTTCGCCTCCTCCCACTTATGATGCCCACGGTCGACGAACCAACACTCGTGAAGTCCGGTACAAGAAAAAGCTCGAGGATGAGCGAATCAAATTAGTCGACCGTGCCATGAAAAACGACCCAAACTTCCGTCCTCCAGTTGAATACGCCCAACAGAAACGCTCCCAGCGTCCCTCTGATAAAGTTTACATTCCAGTCAAAGAATTTCCTGAAATTAACTTCTTTGGTCTGCTCGTCGGTCCTCGTGGAAACAGTTTGAAGAAAATGGAGACGGAAAGTGGGGCGAAGATTAGTATTAGGGGGAAGGGCAGCGTGAAAGAAGGAAAGGCTCGGCCAGATCAATACGCGGATGACGCTGAGGAGGACCTCCATTGTCTTGTTCTCGCCGATTCTGAGGAAAAAGTGGCGGCTTGCGTCAGGCTGATCAACAAGGTCATCGAAACTGTCCGTCATGTTCATCTGATTATCTCTTGTACTTTCTGACTTTTTTTCGAACACAACAGGCTGCTTCTACACCTGAAGGCCAGAACGAGCACAAGAGGAACCAATTGCGTCAACTGGCAGCACTCAATGGTAAAAATCCTTTGTTTTCCGTTCATTGTATGTGCTAATCTTCCATTTCCAGGTACTCTTCGTGATGATGAGAACCAGATATGTCAGAACTGTGGTGGTGTCGGACATCGTAAATACGATTGTCCGGAGCAGCGCAACTTCACGGCCAACATCATCTGTCGTGTTTGTGGCAGCGCTGGACATATGGCTCGCGACTGTACGGTAAATAAGGACCCGAATGCGCCTCCTCCTCCTCCCACTCCTCCAGTGGGTCGTGGCGGTTTCGACTCCGAGTATGCCAAGTTGATGGCGGAGCTTGGTGAGCCCGGTGCTGCTGCTCCAGATATGTCGAAGCCTTCGTGGGCTGCTGGTCCTAGATCAGGACAGGATATCACTGGTGGAGGAACGAATATCCCTCCGTGGCGTCGTCCTGAGAATTGGCAATCTAATGTTCAGCCTCAGCAGCAGCAGCAGTTCCGGCCTCAGGGAGGTTACGGCGGTGGATATGGTGCTTCAGGTGGTGGGTATGGCGGTGGACAATGGTCAGGCCAGGGAGGTTATCCTCAACAATCGCAGGACTACAACTATGCGTCCTATTACCAGGGTCAATACGCTCAACAGCAAACTAGCTAAATCGTTCGCATTCCCTCCCTTATGCTGTATAACATTTTACCTCTCAGCTTCGAACCTTCTGATCCGGGTTTTTCCTCATCTCGCTAACCGTTTGCCCAGTTCCAACGATCGAATTTCGCAGACTGCTTCGACTCGACTTTTCTTATTAGTACTCAGTACTCAGTACTCATCATTCACTGACCATTCATCCACAGAGTGATGGGTAGGCGCGATTATTGGCTGACCACTGACCTCTCTAACCTTACTTGAATGTTTCCTTCCGAGAATATTTGATTTGAAGTTTGTAGGGTGTGTGTTGGGTATGTCGTAAATCTATATCCTCATTGATCTGCATGATCCACGTTGAGTAAGCTGAGCGATGTCGAGCTTTCATTGGCTGTAACCTGATGACAGACGTGAAAGTCGGGTTTCGGGTGCAATGCTTCCTAATTTGGAGTAAAGATTTCTATTTAGAGGGATTCCCTTTCTCGGCTCGAAGACAGCCATACCTTGAGACTTGAGTTTTAGACTCGACGTCATTATCCCCGATCCCAAGCTAGGCTGATTTCCAGTAGATATATAAACCCCTTCGAATTTCTGAAATTCCATAACAAATTCTTCTACTCTTACTCCCATCTACTTGACTTGCATAAATCTTTTAACGATGTCTGGCAACGACTCTCAGAAGAACCCCGAGCGCGTCGCCGCTGGTCTTCGAGGAACTCTTCACAACGACAATGCCTCCGATGAAGCCAAGGACCGCGCCACCGAACGTCTCCGCGAAATGGGTGACGACTTCGAGAACAAAACCAGCCGTGGTAGTGCCGGAACTGGTGACGCTCATCAAAACCAAGTCCTCGGTGAGTTCAGCTCGACGGCCTTCGTTGATGATGTTGCTGATAACCTGATGTAGGAGGATACAAGGCCACTCTTCACAGTAATAGGTCTTAATCTTTCATCTATTGCTCGAGCTTAACCGCCTTAGATGACAATGTCGGCGAAGCGGCCAAAGCCCACGCCCGCGAAGTTCTCGACAATGCCAACGCCAGCGAGGAGCCTTTGCCTCAGTCCAAGAATTAAACGGGTAACATTAATATCCTTCATTGTCGCACTTAATCTGACGTCCGTTTTCATTGGTGATTGTAGTCTAAATACGTATGTAGTCTACAATTGCATGTAACTGAAATAAATTTGATTCACGAGAGAAGAAATTGCGATTTCCTTGACCACGTCGATGTAATTATAGAGGGTGTTTAAAGTACACTGTCGATGACAAATTTGCAGACGTTGGGTGTATGCATGTATGCAAAAAGCGAAATTTGAAAGATATAGTATAGCAGATAAATGACAACCGAGTAAATAACCCATGTTATCGTGAATCGTGATAGAGAGAATCAGGCGTTGAACGTTATAGGCTTGATATTGTATAACGAAAAATAAGAGTCCTGCTCCTGTTCAGTTTCAGAATCAGTGATTATTGGATCTGCCGTATCTTCTTGCTCTTCCTCAATAGTATCGGCATATACCGTATCCAGCATACTGGTAAATCCGATCTCCACTACAGACAGGCACTTTGACAAATCGTCGATTGTCCTCGCCAGTTCAGTCTGAGTGCTCTCGATTGATACAAGTGAGGAGTAGTCCAACGGTCTGAGCACCGGCATAACATTGGATCCGGGCAGAGAGGATATAGATGCCAATGATGACGATGGATTATGACCATAGACACGACTCGAAGGGTACATGGACGATGTCATGTCGACTGGAGCAGAGCGGAGGTCAAATGAAGGAGGAGAGCTTGTCCTTGGTAGACCTAAAGAAAACGGGGAACCGGTATCTTTGAAGTTTGGGTGGTTCAACGGTGCAGTAAAGGGATTGATTGTAGTGGATGAATTCAGATGACTTGATGAGGGGGTGTATATTCGATTGTTCACGACGGCCGAAGGCGATGGTGGTAAGAGGTCACTGAGACCTAGTTGGTGTTCTGAAGATAACGAGGGAATCTAAATCACGGGTAGCAATAAACAACCAAGTGTTTAGGGAAAACGGATAACGAACCTTCAAAACATCTTTGAGACCGGGTGTGCCCAAATTTACTGTACGACTAGTCGAGCTAGAATCACTCCCGCTCCGATTTCTTCGCATTGGTTCAGCGAATGGTCGTACAGGGGGTAAAAGGGGTAAGCCATCTGTAAATACCTCTGGGTGGTGCAGTGATGATGATGGTATAGCAGCGAAAGAAGTACTAGGAGGACTTTGCACCTCTGGCAAAGCAGTCGCTGATCGAGTGCGCATCATCGATGGCGACGAACGCGTGGTAGCAGAAGCGGACGCGTTCCGTCTAGTAGACGAGCTCGTATCCAACGAATACGTCGTCTGATGTGATCCCGGCGAAGTCATAGCTGGCGGTGCTGGCTGTGGTTTCGCGGAGGTGGACGACGCAAGCCCGTCCCGAGCATGCGCGCTGCCGAAAGTTGCTGCAGGTTTTGTTGGATTGGCAGGAAATTGGAACGCAGTCGAGGACGCGAGGTTCGGGTTTGGTGATGGGTTCGGCGAGGGATTGGGATGATGATGGTTAGAATCTAAATGAGGGGTGAGACTTTCCTTACGACCTGCCAGTCCTTCTGCTGTACTTTGTGAACGCTTTCGTGGAATGAGAGGTCGGGTTGTCGACGCTGTCGATATGTCGGGGGAGGAGGAGGATAGGCCCGAAGGTGATGCGGAGTTCACTGGGATAGTGTGGGTCGGGAGGTCGGGCATTTTATCAAACGTTGACGGTATGGAAATATCTGGTGGTCCTCTGGTAGAACGAATATCTCGATAAGTAGCAGTAGATCGTACTGCTCCTACCACGGTTGATGAAGAGCTCTCGCTCTTCTCTGTCTCTGGTGATATATCATCCAGATTCCCGTTGTTGTATGATTCCGTACTAGATGGAGACGGAGGAGGTATCAAATCTTCCTCTGAGTTGGCGACGCGGCTCAAATTCAATTTGGACCTCGTTGGTCGAGGAAACACGAATTCGCGAGTTTTCGCGAGGTCGTCTTCGTGCATATCGAGCGGTAAAGGGCGCTTTGTTTGTGCGGAAGCAAAGGGAGGCGTTGATAACGGTGGTTGTGGTTGTGGCGGCGGCGGTGGAGACGGTTCGACAGGTAGACTACGGGTGAGCGGTTGTTGGAAGGTCGAAGCACGGAAAGTATTTTGTTGAGTTGATTCGTCTTGAAACAATAGACGTAAAGATGATGGAAGAGGTGCGGAGGGACCTGGACGAATGGTTGCTTGAGCGTTGACTGGCTCAGTATCGAGTCCATCGTAGTAAGAATTAGTGTCGTCTTGGAAAGGAGCCTGAGGTCGACCTCGAACGGTCTCAAATTCCCAGATACTTTCGTTGTCTGTGCCCAATCTGCAACCGAGATCAATACGACATAGCAAGAGCTACGGTAAAAACAAAACACACTCTTCCACTTCCCAATCCAAAGGGCCTGCCAGACTGTCTCGAGGTCCAGCTTGTTGTAACCGTCGGACCAACTCCTGCAAAATCGATACTGGAACTTTGGCGATTGATTTGACCCATTTCGTCTTCAGTAGCTCGTCTGCAGGAAGACGCTGAGAGAGATGAGCACATGCTCGTCACAGAAAGAGGACGCTTACTTCAATTGGCGCTTCTTTCAAACAAAACGACATGAAGTCGCGCATATCCTTCCCGGCCTCGGCGTCAGTGAGACGTGGTGGTTTTGCCCTTGGGATCAGGTCCATGACTTTGAACTTGTCAAGATTAGAATGCGGCGGAGTTCCTTTGGCCATCTCATATATCATGATGCCCAAGCTCCAAATATCAGCTTTGGTGTCGTATGCTGGTACAGCCTGGACGACCTCCGGCGCCATCCAATAGGGAGTCCCGGTCAGAGTATTTCGCTTACTCGACGCAGTAGCAAGCAATGCAGAAACACCAAAGTCACAAATCATCACTTTCCCTACAGCGGTGACGAGTATGTTGGCAGCTTTCATGTCTCTGTGGATGACGGGAACCTTGTGTAGGTAGCTGAGGCCAACCAAAACTTCTCGAATGATTACGGATATAAACTTTTCTTCCAAACAGCCGTCCCTCGAAGCCTTCATTAACGACAACACGCTTCCTCCTTGCGCAAGTTCCATTACAATCCAAACCCTAGGACCGTCCATGTAGCAGCCATAGTATTTAGTGATATTTGGAGCATCTCTGAGCTGAGTGAGTAAAGCGACTTCGCGTTGTATATCGTCGACATCATCGTCCGCGGTGTCGAGATTTATGATCTTAAGAGCGACAAAGTTTCCGCTAGGTATATGGACTCCTTTGGAAACAGATCCATAAGCGCCTTTTCCGATAGTCTCTAAGCGCTTGTAGAGTTGGTGAACAGAGGGCTGAGCCATGCGACGGAGAGAAAGAACTGAAGAGTCAGGAACATGAAGTTTAGAGCATTCGAAATGATGGAGAAGCCAGAACGCGAAATTGTTGCTTACGCGATCGAGATTTCCTAAACAAGCTGATCAAAAATTTCAGTTCCCTTCTTCCAGTTCTTGCCAATGGCTCGTCGCAGAAAAACTCGGACACACTTGAAAGGAGAGGCTGCTAAGGATGCCTCTGATAGCTCTGCGCCAAAATCCTTCATCATCAAGCATGGTCAGGTTGGATCTTCAGTTTCTCAGCTTGTGAGGGACATGCGGAAAGTAATGGAGCCCAACACCGCGAGTCGGCTTAAGGTATGTCTTTTTTTGAATCTCCCGTCTTCACAGTCTCTGAGTTTGATCAGGAAAGGAATAGGAATAAATTAAAAGACTACTTGACGCTAGCTCCTGCATTGCATGTAACACATCTTCTGGCGTTCACACTAACCGACATTGCGCCCTCATTTCGGATCGTCCGTTTGTCCAATGGCCCGACTTTGAGTTTCCGGGTTGAAAGATATAGTCTTATGAAAGATATTCTGAACACTTCTAGAAGAGCACGGAGTATTGGCATGGAATATCTCACTCCTCCACTCGTATGTTGTTGGCTTCTCTTTATGAAACTCAAATAACAATTTGGAACAGCTCGTCCTCGCTTCATTCCCTCCCCCAGGTCCTAATGCGCCTCCTCATCTTCCTCTTGTCATGAAAGCTTTTCAATCCCTCTTTCCCTCACTATCACCACAGAACTTGACTCTTTCCTCCGCTCGTCGTATCGTACTTGTCGCATACAACTCTGAGCTTGGAACCCTCGACTTCCGACATTACATTATCACCATAAAACCCTATGGGGTTTCTAAACGCGTTCGCCGCGTTTTAGAAGGCGCCACGGTTAAAAGCTCAACTGGATCTGTACTGGATCTCGGGAATGAAAAAGACGTCGCAGATTTTGTACTTCGTAAACGCGGAGAGCCAGGTCCTGATGGTGGATACGAGAGCGCCGCTTCGTCTGCCGAAAGCGTGGCTGGGGACGACGGAGATGCAGTCAATCTGGCAGACGATTATGTTGGACGAAACAACAAAAAAGGTCAACGTAGAGCAGTAAGGCTAGACGAAGTCGGACCCAGACTGGAACTCCGCCTTGTGAAGATCACAGAAGGTGTCCCTGGAAAAGAAGGCGGCGTGTTGTATCACGAATTCGGTACAATTCTCTCTTTGTTTCAGTTTTTCACAATCTTTGATCGCTTCTTCCATTCCTCAGTGAAAAAATCAAAAAAGGAGATCGCCGCACAAAATGCTGTTCATGCTGCGAAAGAGAAACTCAGAAAGGAGAGACGGGAGGAGCAAGAACGGAACGTCGCTTCCAAGAAGGCCGAGAAAACCAAAAATGGAAAAGGTGTTCATCTTGAAAGTAATGAAGACGAAGCTGGAAATGATGATGATGATGCGGATGCCGCTGTGGACGATTGGGATAATGAAGAGGAAATCACCGATGGCGAGGAAAGTCAACTAGATGAGGCAGAAGAAAGTAGTGACGATGAGGAGGTACAGAGGCCGAACAAGAAGGTCAAAGTGCGGGGGAAGGGATAACGACATAGTTTGACATTGTGTAATTTACTGCATGGGGGGTGTCGGTGAAGCTTTGAGGGGGTGAGATCATATCTTCATTTCTTTGCTTCTGTGTGATACATATCCATTCCAGTGTGATTTCGCAACAAGGTAAGGTGGCATTCCTTTTTGGTAAAAATATTTGCGATATAAAAGAGTATAAAATTGTTTGTCCTCTAACTCGAACTGTTACCCACCAACCCAGTGTAGCTTCGTCATTCAAATACATATTACGCATGAGCGGTTATCAAGGTCGAGGCGGAGCCTTCGGGCAGGACACTCGTGGTAGCTACGGAGGACGGGGTGGACGTGGTGGAGGTTTTGGACGAGGCCGTGGTGGACCCCCCTCGATTAACAGGGACCAACCGCTCAGTGTAAGCGTGCAGACAAACTGTTTTGTCATCAAAAAGTAAGTTAGCTTTGTCTTCAAAGAGCTTAATGAAGTTGAGTTCATGTTTTCGTAGATTGCCCCAAAAGGATTACTATCTTTACGACAGTAAGTACTCTTTAACTCATGGGTGACAGAACATAGAGATTGACACTGTCATTTTTTGTTTTGTAGTAAGTGAGAGCAGTGGTTTGACATGTATCATTAATTGTTTTCTTAGATACCTTTTGCACTGTGTCAGTGTTCAAACCCGATGTAGAAGTGTTTGGACGGCGCCAAGAGCTTTTTGACAAGTTGCAAAGTATTGTCGCCCCTCAGATCTTCAGTCCCCGTGCTTTGTATGATGGCAAGGCACTCGTTTATTCGTCGCATCGTCTGAAATTAGCAAGCGGAGATGGCTCTTCTGTAAGTAGTTGATAAGCCTCAAGCTGCAATACTCGCTTATATATCATTAACGCATGAATTCACAGTTTCTCGTTGGATGGTCCGATAGACCAGTGGAGGGGAATCGCGGAACCTTCAGGTTGACTCTAAAGCTCACCGCAGGAGAGATGATTCGACCAAAGTAAGTTCCTGCTGTTGTGCTATCCATCCATTGATGACCAAACACGCATATCAGAAACTTGAGCACTTTAATTCAGCAGAAAGCAGCCGTGGACAATCCTGAAGTGACCACTGCAGTGAACCTTCTCAATATTTTGATTCGCCAAGATTCCAACCAGTGGGTCTTGCAATATTTTATTTCAAACTGCGTGCTCACAATAAATGTACTCATCTAGGAAATATCCTCATAACGCGAAAGCTTTTTTCTCCAGTGTTGGGAAGATGAACTTGCCCGGGATTGAGCTTTGGAGAGGGTTTCACCAGTAAGCCTAAATCAGATATTCTGACACCACGGCGTAGAAACTGTAGGGGTGATATTTATTTAGGTCAGTTCGCCTCACCAGAGACCATGCATTACTAAATATCGACACTACAATGACAGCCATGTAGGCTCTCTCCGTGTTCATATAATACATTTTACTCATGTAAACAGTTTCAAGCCCGGACCTCTCCTTGATCTTTGCATGGACTATATGCAATTCCGAGATACCAGGGAGTTGATGTTTGATGAGCGTGGTGGTCCTCAAGTTCACAAGCTCGAAAGATTTCTCAAAAAGTTACAGGTGACGTTACAAACAACGAAAAAAAGGAGGACAATACATGGCTTGGTGCTCAATGCAGGAAAGCATGTGTTCAGTAAAGATGGAAATGATATGACAGTCGAGGTATGATATCAGGAAACAGTCTTTATTTGCGACACCTTTCAAGCTTTTGATCCCCCAGGAATATCTCAGCATTACTTATAACATACATCTCCGTTATCCCAATCTCGTTGGTGTGCGTCTGACCAAGCCGGGCGCAGAACACCAGATAATTCTCCCTTTGGAGGTCTGCAATGTGATATCAGGGCAATTTTACAAGCAGCGACTTCCAGACAACTTGACTCCAGAAGTAGTCCGATTTGCAACTCTCAATCCTGCAGCACGTCTCAGTGCAATAACTGGCAGTTCGAGTACCCAGATAATTGCAGACTCACCGGTATGTACGATCCCGTTTTCCTTGGCTATAGTCTGAAGAAAGTGCAGATCCTGAACTACAAAAACTCTGAATTCATTGTGGAGTCTGGGATGGAGATTGACACCAATCCAATTACCATTCATGGTCAGCTGTTAGCTTTACCAAAAGTCAAATTTAGAACAGACGAGCTTGTGGGCTTTCCTTGAGGAAATCAAATATAGTAAGCTCATAAATGACCTTACCAGATTCCTGTGAATGGCGGTTGGAATGTCCTGAATCGCATGCTATATAAAGCTGCACCTTTGAATTGCTGGGCTGTTGTTAATTTTATTGAGAGAGGTGGTAACCAGTTGGTTGAAACAGTTATGCGAGGAACCATGCAATGTGCCAAGAGCCTTGGTGAGCCACAATTCTATATAGTATATTCATAATGCAGACCTATTGCAGGTATTGGTATGTATATTTGAGGGTTCAAAAGATACGATACTGAACAACAGATAATATGCAGATATCTCTAACCCTTGCACAGTACAGTCTGGTTCTGGACAAGCAGTTGAGCATGTATATGTCACCACCAACTTGCGTTGATATCATTCTGACTGCAATCATAAGGTTTTGAATCGTACCGTGGTGGAGATGAAGGCAAAATTCCCTGATCTCGAGAATATGAGACCACGTCCATTACTACTTATTCTTCTGCCACAGAATGCAGCTGAAGTACGACAGAGAGTCAAACATTGGGGTGATTTTACAGCTGGTAGGTGTATGCTCGCTTTAGAAACTCCTGATTTCCTGACTTATATCAACAGGTGTGATCACCCAATGTGTCCGCGAAGGCAAATTGAAACGGGCAAATGATCAATACTTCAACAACATAGCCCTCAAGTGCGGATTCATCAACTTTCAATGTTATTTTTCTGACTAGTTTTCAGATTGAATGCACGGCTGAAAGGGTCAAATTTCATAGTCAGTTCTCCCGCAATGAACGCCTTATCAAATAAGGGCCGTTTCATCATCATGGGTATACACTATTCCACAGTCGCATCGACTACCACTGACAGTTTAGACTTCTAGGAGCAGACGTCGCTCATCCTGGTCCAGGGGTTCGTAGACCGTCGACTACCAGTCTCGTATGGTCTATGGATCCTCATGCTGCACAATACCATGCTCTCACGGAGATTCAGAATCCTCGCCTGGAAATTATACAGAGCCTGCAACAAATGGTTTATGAGGCTGTGCTTGGTTTTGGCAAGCAAAATGGGACACCTTCTCAGCTCATTTTTTTCAGGGATGGAGTAAGCGAGGGTGAGTTTGCGAAGGTGGCCGAACAAGAGATCATGGACATTCGCGCTGCAATTGATAAGTTGTGGAAAATCATGAATATACAAGATCCAAAGCCCAAGTTTACCTTCATTGTTGTGGGAAAAAGGTATGTGATAATTGAAGTATCATGACAAGTCTAACTCGCTTTGTTGTTTTGTACATAGGCACCACATTGTTTTCTTTCCTACTCAAAATTCGTAAGTTATCTGCCGGCTCCTTGAAGGAACGGAAATCTTATGACTGTTCGACTACAGTCCTGCCAACGATGGTAAAGGCAACTGTGTTGCAGGTTTCGCTAGTGACCAGAGATACCTCTCGCATCCTTCAACAACGGACTTCTATCTCCAATCTCACGCAGCCATACAAGGAAGTAAGCCTTAGAACCACGTATGTATAACACCAGGTCATTCACTGAAGAATATTTTCTTCCACAGCTTCTCGTTCTGGCCATTACACTGTCATTCATGATGAGATTTTTGACTACAATGCTGAAAGGTGCAGATTCAATCCTGAGAGATATGTCTATGTTAACTTTGATATTTATGACTCTCAGAATTCAAGAGCTTGCATTTTCGTTGTGCCATGTGTATGCCAAAGCAACGAGGAGTGTGTCAATTCCAGCTCCCATTTATTGTACGTTTTCCGACTCAGTTTTGACTTCGCTGATAATTTCCTCTCTTTTAAGATGCGGATGTGAGTGCCTTTATCTTTCCATTCCTTAGGTCATGTCAAGAATAACGGAAACTGCAATAGCTTGCTTGCAGCCGTGGTTCATTTCATTATGCTCCCAATTCAGCTTTCAGCTTAGCTTCTGAGGCAGCCAGCACTATCTCTGATAGTCAGGACTTCAATCTCGATGATTGGAAGGCAAACTTCAGGAGAGTGAACAAATATATGGCTTCAAGTATGTACTTCCTATGATTGCTCGAAATGTTTTGGATTGCAATATATATGTGATGGATGAGTTTGATTACATTTTGCCATGCTAAGTACAGCTTTGACCGCACATAGTATTTCTTGTATTGAGCCAGGACGCCGGAATGTGGATACAAGAAAACGACGAATATAGCTGTACACGAAATGTTTGATGCAGGCAAAACATGGTAAAAGTACGGTGGTACAGTTGTGAAAGAGTGTATATGTTCGTTTCGAACAGAAGAAATTAAAAAATACAATGGAATGGACTGCACCATACGAAGGCTCAAAGAGGAGTACGATTGGTTAGGCAGAGAAGTGAAGTAGTGCAAGAACAAAATACAGCAGTGGGTGGAGATCAGTGCAAGAAAGTGTGTAAGGGAGTGGGTAACAAAGTATCGACACATATACGATGGAAATGATAGAATAAATACCAGTATATAGATGATCAAAGGATACAACGACAGTGATGGTAGGTGATAGTCTGATTGTAATGTGGTGAAAACACGACAAACAAATAACACCGCATGGGTATCAAAACTCGAGGAACTGATATGCGATTGGGTCAAACCTTTGGATGGCAGATGTTGTCTCCTCTTGGATGAGACCTGGTATTTCCGCAGCGGGAGGAAAGGGAAGATGAAGGAAATGTCTAGTATCATCACTAGACGAGGTGTGAGGTATAATAGGTGCCTAAAAGCAATAATCAGTTGGAACGAGACGAAAAATTGGAGAGGTCTTACATTTATTTCCCTTCTCTCTAACGCATCCCAATCAACTCCTCGGAACCATGGATGATCTAAGATGTCCTGTGGCCCTCCAATCATATTCCCCAGCCTCTGCGTCCGGTCGGGATTGAGAAATGCTCGGACCAAGCTCCTTGACAAGGGGTCCATGCCCCGAGGCCAATGTATGTGCCCATTGAGAATTTTCTCGTAGATCCCATATGGAGACTCATCATAAAATGGTGGATACCCAACAAGCATCTCATAGCACAATACTCCGCAGGCCCACCAATCAGCAGCTTTACCGTGCCCATCAGACTGGATGATTTCTGGCGCAAGATACTCTGGTGTTCCACAAAGGGTCCAAGTACGATCATCCACGATCTTTGCAAATCCAAAATCCGTAAGACGGAGGTAACCCCGAGAGTCAAGAAGCAAGTTTTCTGGTTTGAGATCACGATATATGATGTTATATGAATGGAGATACTTGAGGGCAAGAATGATTGTCGCCAGATAAAAACGAGTCACATCGGGAGTAAATCGTTGAGCTCGTCGCAGGTGTGTGAATAACTCTCCACCAGGAATGTACGACATGAGCATATACACGTTCAAGCTATCTTGGAACGTCGCAAAAAGGTCGACGATGAAGGGATGGTGAACCCGGGAAAGGATATAACGTTCGGCATTGACATGCTCAACCTGGCGAAGGCGAACAATCTCGGTTTTGCGAAGCACTTTCAGGGCAAAATGGCTCTGTGAACTGGGATCATTTGAGGAACTTCGATGACGAACTAGAAGAACGCGGCCAAAGGTTCCGGTACCTAGTCGAACAAAATGAGTGGGAAATGTGACCTGCTTTTCTAGGCCGAACCCACCTAAAGTTCCCCTGACCTCGAAATCAGTCAGCTTCACGCCGCCTTTCTGCAGATGTACCTCCTCATCTTCCAGCAGTTTCAGCGGTCGATGTCCTTCAGGGCCTCCCATCGGGTGGGACAAGGCTTGGTTTTCCCTGACCCTACTTATATCAATTGCCTCCCTGGATTTTCTAGGTGCCATTGCAGAGGTAGGCACTGGCGAAAGTGCGGAGTTATCCCCCACAGCAATCTCAGTCGTATTACTGCTTGCTCGGCCCTCATCTGCATTCATGTCGAGGACTTCAATATCGGCATCGTCTTCCATGTCAATATCGACAGGTTCAGTTTGTCCTGGCGACAACGGCGGTGTTATGGGCACGTCCTGCACGGCTACGGAATATGATTCCCGACGTGATAGGCTAGGTGCATTTGCGGAGTCAAAACTGGGATTCCTGCTGGTTGGAAGAGACCGGGGAAGTTGAATGTGTTCTGCGATGGAACCGGAGCGAGGGATCAAATACGGATAGGGCATCATGGGTCCTTCGTCAATCTAGAGCCTACTGTAGAGGGGGACTGGTGGAGGTTTATGAGTGAACAAAAATATAGCGGCGAAATCAAATGCTTCTCCGATCGTTCAGAGCTTTGTAAAGGAGGTAGATCACAGTACCGGACTGATAGCAGCATAAATTTCAGCGATGTCAATTTTTAGTGGTATGGGGAGTCATACCGGATGCAGAAAACAGCACTTTGAAATATCAAGAGCCAGCCAAAGCGCGCTGCGCTGAAGGTAGCAATGGCACCAGTAGTTGGCTGTTGCAGGACTATGGACAGATGGTAATGGAAGAGAAAATAGAATTTGTGAGTCCGACATCAAAATTTCGAAGGACGCATGATTCAATCAGGTGACCGGCTGCCCTGAGCGTTTATCGTGGTGCGCGCTAATTTACAAAAAGTTGAAAAACTCAAGTTTTTCTCGTCTGAACTTCAGTTCATGTTGCACCTGCTACATCTTGGCTTCGAATACGCTATGATTTTGGCCTTTTCGGACAAGGAAATTTTACCAAAAATTCTGGTCCACTCAAAAAATTGTTTAGCTTTCGTCGCTCGAGTAAGGATGACTGTAGAAAAAGATTCGTGCCCACTCGGTTTTACCATGGCGAATGGATGCCTTTGTCTATGTAATCGCTGGGTTGACAATTTCGTACGTTCAGGGTAGGAAATCTCCTCAAGCTGACTCGACGCTTTCTGATAAAGTATTTTCACTGCGGCCCCACCAAGTTTTTATCTACCATACGTATGGCATATCTTGTATCTCAATCTCGTATTGAAGAGCTTGTTGGCTTTCAACCGTCTACAAAGCCATCCTCCAGAATCGCTGCGCGTAAAGAGAAGTCAAAAACCTGCTTTTCTTTTTCATTGGAGAGTTTTGAACGAATATAGATAAATCATAAGAATGAAGAAGGGAGGTGACGGGAGTGAATAAATCACGGTATCGTTAAAATGTCTCATGAGTTACTCACCATTGCTAAAGCCTCTTGCATTTATTGTAACGATATATGCCCAAGATGAGATATAAAGCGTGCCGGTGAAATCCTGGAGGGATGAAGCCTGAGATATAGCAATATTCCTACAAGCCTTATCCTATGAAAACCAACATACAAATATCAATCCGCTCGAATTCAGACTGAATCCATCACCACGTCTGCATCTCCCAACGATTTCGGCTCATCCGACCCAGATAACGGAACAATATTTAATCCTGCTACAGCAGTTAACAAAGCCCGATTCCAGGCCTCCTCTACTTTGTAACCTCCAGCCCTCATGATACCTTCTCGATCCTTTCTGACGGCTTCACTAATTATATCATCATACCCATCTACTCTGACCGTGTAAAGGTCATCATAAGCATACCAATCGTCTTGAAATGGTACATGAGGCTCATCCGGGACGTTGTTGGTGACTTTGTTTGTCCTAGTTTTCAGCAATTTAGCATAATCAGCACCAAACGACATTCCAAGCAATCCAGAGTTAGCACTTGATGACGCCGCCCGAGCCGAGGAACGTTTTGCTGCAGCGATACGAGATTTTGCAACGATTTTATGTGCGTCTTTCTGTGACGTCTCGAGTTTGTCGATTAGTTCCCGTTCCTCACGTTGACGCTCATCACGTTCTTGCTGTTCCTGTTGAGCTAGCTGAGCAGCGCGCGCTTCGCGCTCCCGCCGTTCCAAATCCTCTTGTTCCTTCAGCGCGAGCGCTTCCGCTTCCTCCCGTTGTAGGTTGAGAGATGTGAGGGCGGCGTTTGCAGCTTTGTAAGCTGCGATTCGAGCTTCGGTAGCAAGGATATCGATGTTGTTGATGAGATTGAAGGCAATGTCTTCCACTTCTTCTAGGTAGTCGTTGTACGAACGAAGGTCATCGAAGTCTTCCAAACGCTTGTTAAACCTATACTTTGTATATTAGTAAGAGCAGTCGAAACACAGTAAGGTTGGAAAGGCACTCTTTGGCTATCCTCCTCCTCACTGCTACCTCTTTCTCTACTCCGAGATCCTCGAACGTTTGCGGAGAGAAAGCTAGCTTTCTCAGGACTTTGTTACAAATTGGACATGGCGCGGGACCGAGAGTAAATAAACGGTCTATACATGATTCACACCTATTGCACTGTTAAAAGACAGATAACAGTGACAAAGAGAAGTGAACATACATCTTGTGGTAACATGAACTGACAAGCAATCGTAGCTTGGGATTCAGATAACGGTCACTTTTGCAAACCGGACATTGGTCGTCCATTGACTAATTCTGTTAATCAGGACAAGTTCCATAGAAGATCTAAAAAACGACGCACAAAATACTCTGAAGTTCTCCCTGAAGGATCCTTAATTCCTCCTCCAAATATTGTTGTTGACGTGCTCTGGACCTGTGGCGTACTGGATCGCGTATGGGAGTTCGACGAAGAGTGACCGCCTTTCCTCACTGTCCTTCCTTGCAGCCAGCCATAGTTTGATTTTGTCGCCATTGTTGTCGAAGTCAAAGTGAGAAACTGGAGCTCAGGTTTCTGCCGTAAGCATGATTAGTACTGTGACACTCTGATTACGTTTTTTGATTATTGTGCTTACAAGATGATATTCATTTTGATTGTAAGCAGGCTTACTTCTGCTTAGTGTTTCTCTCGTCTTTAAAGTGCTCCAACTCAAAAATGTTTAAATCTGGACACGGTTATCAGCGGTGAATCGTGGTGAATGGTCTTGTCCTACAAAATCGTATCACTTTCACTCTTGGCAGTCGCTCTATCCACCCTGCTCCCAAAATCATTCGCCTTTCTGTCCAATATCCTTTTTCGCAATACAAGCATGACTTCCGTAGCCGTACCCTCGAATCAGGACGAATGGCGTGCAGCGCTTGAATCACTTCCTTCTACCCCGCAAAAAATACCAGCCTTTTTCTTCGCTCACGGCAGCCCAGCTCTTGTCTACGCGCGGGGGTTCAGTGGCCGCAGCGACTTTGAACAGTACCAGGGTCCGAATGGACCCCTGGCAAACTTTCTCAAGGACTTCGGTCCCACATTGCTGCAAAAGTACAACCCCAAGGCTGTCGTTGTGTTCAGTGCACACTGGGAGACACTAGGAGAACGATTAGGTATCGATCTTTCACAGTTAATCTACCTGCATATATCAATCATGGACTCAATAGTGACTGACTATGGGGACGAAAATCCTCTTTTGATGGATTACTATGGCTTTCCACAGGAGTTCTATCAGCTCAAGTTCAAATCTCGAGGCGATAAACAACTTGCCGAACAAATAGTCGGACTGTATAAGGAGGTCCGTCGTTCTTCTATGTCTTCAGGATCATCTCAACGTTTCTACTCCACACAGGCAGGTCAGCTAGCCCGTATCACCTCTAAACTTGAACCTCGCGGTTCAGATGGACGTGGGTTCGAAGGACCCGGTCTTGATCATGGGGTTTTCGTTCCTTTTCGTCTTATGTTTGGGGAGGAGTTCGGGATTCCCATAGTGGAAGTGTCCATTGACTCAAGCATGACACCAGAAGCGAATTGGAAACTCGGTCAAGTTGTCAAGAGTTTGCGGGAAGAGAATGTGCTCGTCCTAGCCGGAGGTTTACCGATTCATAACCTAAGGGATTTTAGTTCCTTCGCACCGGACACTGCTCAGCCTATTCACCATTCTTTTCACAAGGCCATCCTGGATGCATTGCAGGTCAATAACGTGAGCCAACAGTCGTATGTTTCATTCGTCCTGTCCCAAGGACTTACATACCCGTGATTTGCATAGACACAAGAAAGGAAAAAGGCACTGCAAGATCTACCTAAACATTCAGGTTTCCGAGCATGCAATCCAAGGGAAGAGCATTTCGTACCGCTGTACGTTGCAGCTGGAGCAGCCGAGGACGAGGATCTGAAGATTTTGAATGGACTGTACGGTATCCCGACTGTCGCTTTCGGGGTGTAGGACAGGAAATCATATACTAATAGTTTGAACATTGTATACTCAACCTCGTCACCAGTTCCTGCACATGTATCATACGCCTTCAAACGAATATCATTACATTCATTGCAAATTACTACCCAGACGTGCCTTCTGTAGCACGAGATGTCATGGATGCTTGTCCGGCAGCAGTTGCAGCTAATCTAGAGCGCTTTCTTTCTGCCTCGACCTCCTTTTCTTTCTCTATTTCAGAGACAATGGCTTCAATCTGTGCAAGATCAAGATTCTGATAGGGTATCATATATCAGGGAGCAACGTATATAACAAATGGCAAACTCACCGTGATCTTTCCGTAACTCTCCATCACACTGATCTCGATGTTTTTTGCACCCGTTTGTACAACCTCGAGCAGACTCTTCACGGCAAGCTTGATGCTTTCTTCTCGTGAAAGATCGTCCTTGTGGTTCTTCTCCAGGAATTCCCGTACTGTTTTCGACGATCGTCCAATTGCATTAGCCTATATATGTAAGAGTCGGGATGCAAGTTTGAAATAAAGCAGAAGGGAGTTTTACCTTCCACGCACTGTAAATACCACTTGGTTCGGTCATGTATAGATGAGGCTTGGTGTCATGTGGATCGAAGCCAACGATGAGAGTGGAGATACCAAATGGTCGGACACCTCCGGATTGCGTATAGCGCTAGCAAAGCATAAGTGATTAATATCCAGCGATACAGTTTCGAAGCACACCTGCTGAATGCCTGCAATATGTCTCGTTATGTATTCCACAGTAACGGGGTCTTCAACGGTCAAACGGTGGCTTTGACATTCTATCCGCGCCTTGTCAATCAATACTCGTCCGTCCGCTGTGAGACCTGTTATCCGGAGAGTGAGTGAGCTCGTCTGTTTGTGCAAGAGGAAGCAGATGGCGCACCTGCAAAAGCCAGACACACATGATCATCCAGCATGGCCACCTTTCTGACGGTTCGAGGATCTTGTAGTTGTAAAACCGACTTCTTCTCCACACCAAGAACTACGACATCCTTGCCACGCACACCAACCTTTTTCCAGTTGATCGTTCATGAGATCCTTCCGAGTTTCTGCATGAGCAAAGCAGCTTACAGCACATGTACCCTTCCTCACGGCTTCCAAAGCATATTCGACCTAGGATTATTCGATTGATTATTTGCTATGAGATATGACATCGACGCGGTCCACAAACTTGGAATAGATGACCATCAGGGGAGAAGACAGTAAGAGCTGGGAAAGATATATGAGGAGCAAGTAAGTATTTGCTGTAGAAAGACTGCACATACCTCGATCGTAGGACCTGGACATTGCACGAAGAAGGAGAAGTTCAAGTTACAATGGCGTACGCGCGTCCGTCGAAGTTGGGTCGATTATGTCAGCTGACGCGTCGAAAGTGCAATCAATGCTCAAGCGCTCATCGGCAGAATGTGAGCGCCTTGTGCTGCCTTGACCATCGCACACCCGAAAATATGAGCTTACAGTGTCAGCTTTGCTGGGCGAACATTGATGATTTGTCTGTCCCCGAACGACAACGACACTATGACGCTCACTTGGAAGAGTCTGAAAGAAATCCTTATCCTCAAGCCAATTCTTCGAGCTCGACCACTTCCAAGAATCTCAGGTCGTGGCTCAGTAAAGGCAAATTGAGGAATCCGATGACCGCAAACGTGGAGAAATCTCAAGATGTTTTCTGGTATCCTGCGATGCATACGCCACCACCAAAGAACTTCATTCCGGGTGAGCCCGCATGTTTGTGTCGCGGTGACTTTCATTGAGTCACGCATATTCTCAGGATTGATACCGGTTTTGAAGAAAGCTCTCCTTCAATCCCATGCGAAGGGGACGACGATACGCGCAGTATTATGCTATGAAGGAGCCGTATATATTTCAAGGCAGATGTGGGATGCAAGTTGGGGTTGCGGGTTAGTGAGAGCCGTTTCATGTATGATACTTGCCAGCTTTGATGCTGGAAACAGATATCGCAACTTTCTCATGTCCTGTGCTGCCCTGATGGATCAACCTTATCAGCCTATGTACTTTCCTCTCCTAGATCAACCGATATCTCCTGGAGTACGAAACCTCCAAGCATGGATTGAGGAAGCCTGGAACAGTGGTATGTTATCTGTACTCGTATTCTCCCAATTATTGATCATACAACCCTTGCTAGGTTTTGACATTGAAGGTCGTGTACAGCTCAAAAGGCTCGTTGACACGAATAAGTGGATTGGCACTTCAGGTTTTGCTAGTTTTCTGTCATTCGAGTTTGAGGAATCATCATTCATCCTTCTGACCTGCAATTTGTCTGATTTAGATATTTGCGCTGCTTTTTTGTCAAGAGGCATACCGTCAGTTCCTGTTTTCATATGCTTATCCTTTTGTATATACCCACTCCTTATGTTAGAGCTGAACTCGTTGACTTCGAAGTCAAAGATCCAAAAAAAGGTTGGTCTAAGGAATTATTTACCCAGGCCAGTAGCTCACAGTTCTGCCTCAGGTCTTACGCCGTTGACAAACTGGATAGTTCAGTACTTTAACAAATACAACAAACACAATTCCGGTTCTACAATCAATACTGCATTACTTGGAGCATCCCCTGTTCAGGGTACACCCTGCATGCCGTTGATCGTGCAGGACAATAAGCACTCACGTCTGGTGAGCTCTGATGAAGACCATCGGAAGCTGGATAGAGTGACACAGAACCTTCTAGGTGATAGGCTATGAGATGACTAAAATAGGGGCAGTATCCCTTCTAGTTTTTGATCCTTCGAAGTAAGATTTTCTATATCTCTGCGTTCATGTTGTTGATTGACAACCCTACAGGCTACCTTCAAAACATCTACGGTCCGTGGCACTGAACACTTCAACCAACTCGTTCTCCGTTCGTTCTCAGGGAAGTGACAACAAACGTCGTGAAAGCATATCACAAACCGATGACATGAATAAGCCGATAAAAGTGAATCATGCAAATAGCGAAGATAATGGTAGTGATGCTGCATGGACTGACGGAGACGACAACGAGATCGAATTTGTCGAGGAGCGCATGCAGAATAGATCGGGCGACATTGAAATGAAAAGCGAGGTGCAAAAGGTGACTGAAAAGGGAACGAAGAACACGAACAAAATAGATAAGGATATATCGGTTAATGAACCGTCATATAGAGACGTGTTGAAGCATTTTCGTTGGGATACCCGCTTATTGCAGTAAGTAGCGACATTTCCATTGTCTCCCTATCGCTGACTAGATCAATGGCAGGAGAACTCACAAATATCAGATCCTTTACTTTCCGTTGGACGAACCTTTGTCAAAAAGTGAGATGAAACGGAGAAAGATATTGACGAGTGAACAAATTACCTGAAGGACGATACTCCAGTGAGATTTCTTTCCACCAAGTAGTAATTATATGTATCAAGCCATTTTATGGATTTTAACCCGGCCGTGATAGATACATAGTGGGACATCTTCTGAACCCCTCTGTTTGGAGTTTGGAGTTGGATAATTTCAAGTTGGCAGTATCAGTCAACAACGACAATTTTATGAGTTCCAGTCATGCCACTATCGGCGTTCAACTATTTACTTTCCTGACCCCGTAAATCCTTACATACCACCTAGCAAATAAGGTGTTTATTCTCAATTCTCAAAGCGTAGTTTTCGCAAGATTAAGAAATCTGGCCACGGAATACGGCCCGCATCCACTATAGCTTCTTTTCCAAAACCTTCTGACTTGTTGAGCATGCGCGTCGCAACCATGTTGAACATTTTTTCCGATTACCTTTACAATGAACTTGTTTCGCCCAGTCTTCCTGGTCTTTATTCTGTTTATCCACCAGTGTATCATCGCGTTTGGACCTCGGCACTATAGCTTCGAAACTCAGGAGCGATTTGGAAACATTCGTGCTCGGGTTGTAGATGAGGAAAGAGACACATATATCAAGACAATAGTGGAGGAAATGACTCCCGAAGAACTGAGTATGTTTTCAAACGATTTCATTGGAATGAATGAAACTTATCCTTCATCTCCTAGTTATGCAAGTCCACTTGATGTTCGCTGACAATATTATCGGGCCCAACTCTGACAATGGTCTCTATGGCAAGCTTTCTGTGCTTTCCTTTCTTGCAAAACAAAACATTCCTCCTTAGATTTTGCTACCCGATTTGCACCTACGGCTGGGGTAGGCGTCATGCACGATTGGTACCCGACAAATGCATCGTATTACAACTCTGTCCAGAAACTCAATCTCGAGAAATCGCGTCTCCCCGTCCCATTCATGCAGCTCGGAGAATGTCTTCATGGCGTGGGTTCATTCAAGCAGAGTATGTTCCCTCAATCCATCGGGATGGCAGCTTCCTGGGACACATCGCTCGTTCATCGGGTAGGAAGGGCCATCGGAACAGAGGCTCGTGCCCTTGGAATACATGCGTGTTTAGCACCAGTGCTTGATTTAGGGAAAGATGTCAGATGGGGTCGTGTACAAGGTACGAATGTTCTGTCCTTGTCGCGTGTTGTACTTATTGGATTGCACCTCAGAGGCTTGGGGTGAAGACTTTTTGCTTACTTCACACATGGGTGTGGCGTACGCTTCTGGTCTCTCCAAGAATGGGTCTTGGTCAGACGCAGACGCGGTCATTCCTGTCATGAAAGTGAGCATTCAGAGGATCTCTTTTTTTCAACAACTGCTGAAGATTTCATGTAGCATTTTGCAGGCCATGGAAGCCCTAGCGGAGGACACAATGCTGCTCCGTATAATGGCGCTGGACTTCGCCAGTATCTCATGGAGTTCTTTCGGCCATTCAAAGCTGTGATAGACTTGGGAGGTGCGAGAGGCGTTCTGATGTGAGTGAGCCATGTTGGGTTAGATGATTGCAAATGCATTTCACAGGGCATACCATGAATTCGACGGTGTTCCTTCTGTGGTCAATACAATGTTTTACGATGCGCTGCAGGATTGGGGCTTCGATGGATTCATTATTGCAGACGATGCGGCTTTGATCATGCTACAACAGGGACATATGGTATCAGATTCACCTGCGGATACGCTTTCGCAATGGTTCAATGCCGGTGGGATGATTCAATACTATGATTTTGATATCGAGACTTTCTTGAACGTGAGCTCAAATATCTTCTTTCTTGTGGTAACTGCAAATTGTTGATATCTAATCAGGTCACGAGTGACCTGTTGGCAAACGACTCAGTGCCTTTGTCCACTTTACAATCTCATGTCACTCAAATTCTAAAGGTCAAATATGACATGGGTTTGTTTGCGAACGCTACAAGTAAAACTTCCTCAGAACCAAACTCGACCTCTCTCTATGTTCCGTCGGATATAGTATATCAGGATTTAACAGCCCACCATGCGCCGCTCACTCTAGAAGCGGCGCGTGCCTCCATTGTTTTGCTCGAGAATAGAAACTCTACCTTGCCTATAAAACCAAATACACAAAACATTTCACGCATTGCTTTGATTGGGCCTTTTGGAGATATCTTGAATTACGGAGATTACTCAGGTCCTTGGGGTGCTAGTCCAGCTCAAAATGGTACGACCATTCGGCAGTCAACACTCGAACACATCAAGAATTCGAGTCTTGATGTCGAACTCGTTACAAGCATAGGTTCTAACACGTGGTATTACAATGCTCAATATGGCATTCCTGCATATCTGCTTTCCCCAATCGTTGACCAAACCAATACATCATCAGAAGAGCATGGGCTATTAGGCACTTATTTTGCAGACCCAAATTTCACTGACGCCTGTTTCTCCCAAGTTGACGTTCCTAATAAGGACTGGGGCCTATACCCACCTCTTGGTCTTCCCTCAAACAACTTTAGTGTAATATGGGAAGGAAGATTGACTGTGCCAGTTGAAGGCGAGGTAAAGGGCTCCATTGGTGTTGCCGTGTCTCCCAACACAACAGCACGGCTGTTTATTGATGGTGCGCTGGTTGCAGAATCACCATTGACCACCGCAGGCAATATCCTAGGGAACATTGAACCGTTGTCATACGATACAATGAACGGGACTATGATGCCTCCTGGAGGAGCTCAGTGGACTTTCCAACAGGGCGCAACGCACCATATAAGGATCGAGTATCAGACTTGGAATCTGTATCAAAAACTAGCAAACGTGAATTCGGTGAATGCGCAAGTCGCATTTTGGTGGAATTTGGTGGATCCTGACGCTATTGCGAAGGTACAAGGGGCGCTTTTCGATGCTGCCGACTTTTGATCCATTATCACTTTTCAGGCTATTGACGTTGCAAAAACGTCGGATCTGATCATTCTCGCAGTGGGTGCAAACTGGAACAGCGATGGGGAAAACGGTGATAGGGCGACACTTGGCCTGTCGGAAAACCAAAGTATGTTCTTATGGTGTGAATCATCGGTCACTGGTGATTATCATGTTTTCAGCTGCCCTGGCTGACGCGTTGTTCGATCTCGAGATACCAATTGTACTGGTGTTAGAAGGTGGTAGACCTTTTGCTATCCCGGATTACTATGATCGATGTGCAGCCGCCCTAGAAACGGTGTGTACTGGCACCCACTCGCGCTGATGGGTTTTGATTCAAATGCCCACTGGCAGTTCTTTGCAGGTCAATCAGGCGGTCAGGCTATTGCTGATGTCTTGTTCGGAGAATTTAATCCGGGAGGAAGAATGCCACTGAGTATCCCGTATGACGCTTCGTCTCTGCCGGCTTTTTACAAGTGTGTGGCCCTGGGGTGTGAACTCACCCATACTGACGAAAATGACTAGCTATCACGCTACTGCTCACGCAGTTGACTATACTGATATTTACTCATACCCTTCTGTATGTCCTACTGACGTCCTAATCTGTTGAACGTTGCTCAAAAGTTTCCAGCACTGGTTCGGTTATGGATTGTCCTACACAAACTTTTCCATCTCCGGATTCAACGCAACTTCTTCAGGTGGCGTCAAGACCTTCACAAACGGGGAAACGATCACTTTCCGTGTAACTGTGACCAATGAAGGTAGCCTATCTGGAAGTTATGTCGCTCAGGTCCTTAGAATCCCTATAGCAGTGATACAGTGATTCTAACTCTTCTCAAAGATCTATCTTCTTGCTCGGGTTTCAAACATCGTCCGTGCAGAAAGGCAGCTCGTCGCTTTCACCCGGGTGTACCTCAATGCTGGTGAAAGTAAACATATAACAATGGATCTGGAGGTCGACCGCTATCTTCCAATTGTTAATCGTCAATACAACTGGGAGCTCGAGGCAGGGTGAGATATTCATCAGATTCAACAAGACTATATTCAAGTATGGGTTTAAAGCGATTATACATTTGCTATTATGGATTCTGGAGCCCCTACGGCAAGCACTGCGATGAACGTGACGATGTCTTGCTTGTTCAGATGAAGGCGGAAGTGCTGCGAAAGTAGAACAATTTCTATGACATTGCCAGACTGTGAATTTTGAATAGCTGAATTTACACATGCTCAGTTCAACATACCTGCGTTGTGCAGCTAAACCTCAAGAGACGAAATGATTTTATTCAGAACATAGTAGTTGAGTATGCGCACAACCGCAGAAACAACTAGAAACTAGGAGAGATTTAGATTGATGGTTCAGAAACATATTGAAGACATACCATAATGAGAGCCTGATCCAGAGGGCGGTCAATTTTTTCTTCGTTGTGGCCGCGACCGACCTCCGTATTTTGAGGGGGCTGATTGTGGCTATTAGCGTGCATTCTCGAGGGACAAGTTATACGTTGCACATACAGGGAGCGTATTTGCAAGGGCTACTTCATTAATATGTTCTTTGTGTCTACGAAGCGCGTGTGCGTAAGGATGCATACGGTTATTTCTTGATGAAGATTGAGTGTAAATTTACAAGTATGGTGTAAATGAAAGCCGACGCACTTGGCGAGTTTATTGGTGAACATTGAGGAGGATGTAGAGGGAACACGAGTGATTCGAGTTGAGGGTGAATCCAAGGCAACCCTCGTCCTTTTAACGATTTTGAATCAAACTCCGCGCTGAAAATCCAGTTTCCAAATGTAATTCGTGCGAGTCCCCAGAAAAGGCTTTCAAGAAATCGTGACCCAGGGGAACGGTGCCGCGACTTCCATTCTCCTCCTGATCTTTCACTTTACGAGAGCCTGAATGCCTATTAGCTCTTCATTAACTTTATAGGGCACGACACGCACTCTCAAGCTTCCATCTTAGCTTCCGGTTGGCCAACGATAGATTCTCAAATCTATCCGTATATCGACCAGCTCTCTAACTTTCCCAAAATTTGCTGAATAGCATGGTTTTCTTTCCGGGACGATGCGATCATGCCTATTCAGGTAGGTCCAGCTCGGTCGAAATGCTACGTATCAAGCTTCCATTCTTCATCCTTTCAGAAGGTCCGGGTGGCTGGAAGGTAATATCATTGTGGTGACGAGAAATTGGCATCTTCGCGGCATATTGGGGGTTGAAATTGAACGAAAAAAGATAGCGCGCCGCGTAGATCAATTGTCAAGGGATTGAGCTCCTCATCGAACCCTTATAGTTATTGTCGTCCCTCGAGTTTTCGATAACTTCGGCAGAGGAAGTCCAATATCGAGTCCGTATGACTCATATGCACGTGACGTGTATTGCGCAATTGACACAACTAGCGGAGGCTACAGGTTCTTCCACCTTTCCACCACCCTCTGGGGAACAGAAATATAGTGCTTTAATATATGAGCACAATGCTTTGAAGTATGAAAGCGACCGAGTGACTCAAGGCCAACAGAAGCATCAAAGCAGCAACATCAAGAATCAAGGTCCTGACTAGTTGTGCGCCTCGGAAACGCGACCCAGTGAAACTCCAGACATTACGCAGAGCCAAATTCCAGCGAACCGATAGTCCGTGGAAAGGATCCAAGGTAGGGAGGTCGACGATTCGTCTGAAAACTGCGGCAGCCCTGAGGTCATCTCAACACACGCAATTTCGCAATTTCGTCTATGGAAATGCATGAATATCCGGTTGGTTTACAAACCGAAAAAAATTGATCGCTGTAATCATTCTTGAAGCCATCTCGGAACCCTCTTAAAATCAGTGTCGGTGCGGGGAGGCAGACGACGGCCGGACAGTAGAGTTGAAGCCAAAAGAAAATAATGGAGATTCGAAGCTCCACGGGTATATCTGGCAAGGTAGGAAGTGGAAAGCTCCTGCGGAAGAAGCATTGTGATCGCAGCGGTGGCAAGGTAGTCGAAGCAACCAGGATAGTCGTAGCGGTGGCTGCCTAGTTAAAGGCTGACTCGTTCGATAAAATGATGGAAGCGATAGGAACCAGTTGCCGTCGAGTGGTCTACACTACGAACTTGAAGGCGAAGTTCCCGCAACTGCAGAAGAAGGTATATATTTTTTCTGACTGCAGTTGTTTCTTTTGAACTCGAAAATTGTCAGCCTCTAGCAGGAGCTCTGACATAATAACTCTGAGCCCCTCCGCCACCTGGTACTACCCATGAACTGTTCCCGGCTCGACTGTGCTGATGCTAGATGTCCAGGTTCCTGCGGTCAAGGTTGACCAGTATATTGTACTCGAGCCAGAGCTAAGGCTCAACGAGGGATAATCAACTAGCTGCTGAAAATGCTGAACCAGAAGGGCAAGACGTCGGGCGCAGAAAAAAGAACATGATGGTGGTTTCTGTGAAAACAGCGAACCGCAAGGCTTGAAACAGATTTAATATTTGGTTGATAAAATAGCAGAAAGCTCGAAAAGGTGAGCTTCATGCTCATCGTTGGTGGCAATCAAGAAAAAATGGGATGGTAGATGGTGGTACGGCGGAAACATTTTAGCAGGCGCCAAATATTATTTTCAAATTTGGCCACCCCCCTCATCGCTATGCAAAATTGGACGTTTGGAGCTTCAAATTCTATTCAGTGATGGTCAGTTTTCGTTCACCTCGATTAATCTTCTAGTCGTAGAAACTGATACATTTCATAGAGAAGATCATCATCAACTGTAAATAATTATATGCCACCGCTCAAATATCGACCTGAACAAGGAAATGACATCTGTTGAACTTCAAGACCTCTCCCATAACTCTTCTGGGAGTCAAACGTAGATTTGCCATTTGTTTACTTCACAGAAAGCTTTACTGAGAATTTCTCGCTATTTTAAGGATCCAAAAGTTGCTGAATCACTCGCATCACTCTCCACTCCTTTCTTCCTTTCCACCCAATACACCAGCGAACACTCTATCCACCTCTAGCGAATGCTACATAGTATTAGTCTCCAACGGGATCTTGCGCGTTGTACACGGCAAGGATATTCGTGGATCTTGAGAATGGCTGCTAAATTGGCCGGTCGTGTAAGTATGAAGATAACCGCTACGGCGCCTTATTTCGGGAGAATACGACTTGTCCGACGATGTGCAGTGACATGGGCCCTGGTTTTTCCTCAATGGGACCGTACCGGTTGACCTTTCCTCGAATATTTCGAAGTGATCACCCCATGTGGGGATTGGAAGGGACGATTCCGACCGAAAGCCTCTTATAGCCACGTAATTCAGGCGAACGACGAAGTACTGCAACTAACGAGCTGGTGTCGGAAAATTGTCGGACACATTGTTGATTGACGGACCGTGATAACCCAACCTTCTACTTATTCTTAGGCTCTCTGGCTACTCGTTGTCCCAATGATGGTCAGCTGTGGATTACGACGTGGCTGGGCATCATATGGCAACTCCTTGTACGGAAAAATCAGCTTGCTCCTCATTACTTATAAAAAGGCACTGATAATGACGTGAAGTACCGACCTTCATAGTTAGATGCTGGTGCTCTCCATATTACTCCTTGTTCCCGTAGCGTTCTGCTCCATTTCATTTTTGGAGTCACGCGAATTCTCATTAGTGGCTCGTGGAACAAACTCAGATGGATCGTTGCCGACATACAAAAATCCCAACGCGTCTATTGAAGACAGAGTAGCAGACTTACTTCCGCGAATGACGTTGGAGGAAAAAGTAGCTCAGATGTACGTTTCTCGGCTCTTACTATGATTGATGCATCCCTAATGTCTAAGTCGATAGCATACAAGGAGATATAGATGGTAGGCGCATGCATGTAGGCAGTTGCTATAATTCCTTACTGAAATATCCTTTCAGGTTGGATGAACACTACCGATCCCTTAGACAACACCCTCGTTTTTAATCAATCTGGTTTGGTATGCATGAGCTTTCGGGATCTGCGTCTGGCTCATTGTTCGCGTAGGAAGATATGATGAGTACTAAAGCAGGCTCAATTTGGGGTGGTTATGCAATGCCCTACGAAAAATTCGTGTTTGCTTTGAACGTGGGTCAGAAATATCTCATGGAGAACACGACCCTCGGTATACCAGCAATGTTCCAAAGCGAGGGTGAGTTGACATTCAATTTTACCTTACCATTGCATAGGTTTGAGTTCATATACATTCAGGATTGCATGGATTTACTAACAATGGAACAATCTTTCCTTCACCGATTGGACTGGCAGCGTCTTTCAATCCAGAACTACTGTCTTCCGTTGCGAATGTTATCGCCACCGAAGCTGAAGGGCTTGGTCTGTCTCAGATTTTCGCCCCGGTTCTCGACATGTCCAGAGAGCTTAGATGGGGTCGGGTGGAAGAGAATTTTGGTGAAGACCCATTCTTGACCGGTGAAATGGGACTCGCATACGTATCTGGTTTGCAAAACGGAACACGCAGGAATGTCACCGCAGATGGTTCTGGCGGTATTCGCAAACGAATGGCTGCCACTTGCAAGCACTTTACAGCTTATGGAAGTCCGATGGCAGGCTTGTGAGCAGATATATCTTCTTATCGCACAGAAAATGTGATTTACTATTGGAAAATAGAAATACAGCCCCTGTGGTTGGCAGCGAACGTGATCTGCGTACGATCTATCTTCCGGCATTCCAAAAAGCCTGTTTAGAGTCTTTGGCTATAATGACAGCATACTCTGCATACGACAGTGTTCCTGTAAGCAAACGTTCTACTATGTGCAATTCACTTAACCTTATTCTTCTTTAGTTGGTCGCAAACAAACGTACGTCACCCATCCTTCGCTCGTCTACTGCATGTCATAATTCAACTAACCGGCATGACAGACATTTTATCTGACATTGTAAGATTTGTGTCTCTCAGGCCCGGAATAACGGTGGATCTTATATATTATGTAGCTTCGAGACGAGTGGCAATACCCTTACTGGGTTACTACCGATGCAGGTGCGGTAGACTTATTGATCAGTCAGCACAAGACCTGCGACACGTACGTCTTTTCACTCCAGCCCATTCGTTATTACACTGATGTTCCTTTCTTAGTCGCGAATGTGCAGCCAAGGCAGTAATAGAAAATGGATTGAGTGGGGAAATGGGTGGAGGATCCTACACATATCTGACACTACCTGGTAAGAACTGGCCTGTTTAGCCACTCGGGAAGACGAGACTGACTACTTCCGCTGTAGACCAAGTAGCTGCTAGAACTGTCAATGAAAGTTATATTGACGAAACAGTGAAAGCTATGCTACGGACAAAGTTTACCTTGGGTCTTTTTGAAAGTTAGCCCCGTTTCGCTTCTTTGCTTCTATCGAATTCATAACAAACGTACAGGTCCGTATCCGTACTCTGACTATCTGAGCACCATTCGTACACCCGAGTCTCGCCAAGTCCTCCTGCAGATGGAAGAAGAAGCGATAGTTCTACTCGAAAACCGCGACAACGTTTTGCCTCTTAGCACAGATATTAGCAGTATTGCATTAATTGGACCTCAAGTCAATCGTGTCACTGTGAGTATCCGACAAGCTTCTTTATTCAAATTATCTACAACTTCACGTCTATGTGCATAGTTCGGAGACTACGTATTCTTCAATGCTTCTCTAAACGGGATCACACCCCTCGCTGGCTTCCAGGAGTTCTTGTCCAACCGATCTAGCTCGACAAGAATCAACTTTGCTCAAGGATGTGAACTCTGGTCTAATGATCAGAGCGGCTTTGACGAGGCAGTATCAGCTGCTCAGCAGTCCGATGTGGCTATCGTCATGGTGGGAGAAATCTGTCAGATCAGCATATACGCGACTTAGTGCGTTTCAGGTCGGGACTTGGTCCTTGGACCAGACATTATTGTGGACTCCAGGAACAAACGCTACTACCGGCGAGCACGTCGACTTGTCCAGTCTTTCCCTGGTCGGCGCTCAGTTCCCCTTGGTGGAAGCTATTGTTAATACAGGAAAGCCAACCGTCGTGGTTTTTGTGAGCGGAAAACCTGTTTCCGAACCTTGGATTCAAGCTCGTACGTTGTCAGGAATGGAATCATTTTCTGAGAACTCAACCTATGGTCTCTTTTAGATGCTAACGCGGTGATCCAACAATTTTATCCTGGAGAATTAGGTGGTTTCGCCTTACCGGAAATCATATTCGGGGCAGTGAATCCTTCAGGTGTGTTGCTTTTGCTTTTATCGTATAAGTTACCACTGAGAAGTGGATTTACCAGGTAAATTACCGGTTTCATTCCCTCGATCTGTTGGGACTACGCCAGACTTCTACAACTATCTGAATGGGATGCGGCCCGTGGACGCTGGAATGATCACAGATAATGATACGTTGGTATTCGGCCATCAGGTGTGTTGAAAACTTCCTCCACTAAGTAATGTTTAATTTGATATTTATCGCCCGACGAAGTACGTTTTGAATAGTCCGATCCCAATATGGAGTTTCGGTCATGGATTGAGCTATACCACCTTCAATTAGTGCGTTCTCATTAACGACGGGAATATGATATTGGCCTGAACAATCGATCCTCATAGTACTGATCTTTCGCTCAACCCTACGTCAATCGGGACTTCCGACAATTTCAACGTGACGGTGACCGTGCATAACACCGGTCTAGTAGACGGCAAAGAAGTTGTTCAGGTCTGTCGGCTCAAACCATCTGATATTCCTTACTGGTTCTCATCTTTTTTACTAGGTGTATCTTTCCGACGTCGTAAGCTCCGTAGTCACCCCTGTACAAAGACTAGTTGGTTTCCAGAAAATTGATTTACCGTAAGTCGATGGTATTTGATATGGAAACAAAGCTAATGTCGTCAGCAGTGCGGGTAGCTCACAAACAGTCTCGATTGAAGTTGTTTCGTCTCAGCTTGCACTTTGGAACCTGGACAACGAATGGGCAGTTGAACCTGGCGTGTTCACAGTGACGATAGGAACGAGCGATGAAACTTTTTCTCAGGCAACGCTAACAGTGACTGCTTGATAGTATATACATGCGTGAAAGAAGCAAGAGCCTTAAATTACATCTATCCAAAATGAGTTTCACAAGAATGTTAGTAGAAGATATTGATACAGATCGACAGAGGCGCAATGTAAATCATAATTTATAGCTTGGCCTTTGGAGAAACTATCAAGCTATTCGAGGCTTGGAGGGTTTTGGCAGCTGTGATGACCATTTCGTCGACGCTAAGAAAAGGATCCAATTAGTTTATTAAGAGGCGCGCAGTAATTTCAACGCACATTTCTTTTGCGGGTTTGATTTCCTGTATGAGATTTGAATGATACAGCATGAGATTATGCGATACTTAAACTTGAGCGTAAGACTAACCTTGATGGCTCCGGCAACTCTACCCATAAGCCCTGATGGAAGAAGGTCGATTGATAAGTGCCCCATAACGTGGCAAGTATAAAAAGGACGCACAAGTCATTCCTTGAACAGATTTTTCGGGATGTGCTTCAATCTAGAATAGGTGCTTGTTTTCAAGAACAGGACATGCAATAAAACCGAGGAAGCCCACCTCAACTTCGTGGGGAATGAGGCCCTTAGCTAGGAGCTGCTCCTTCTCTTGCGAACGCGTGGTCTCCCTATGTGTATAGGTCTATGAGCAATGTAGTTAGAATTGAAGTCGGTCTGGCGCTTACCAGTCCAGGACATATTGGGTCCTCCTCACGTTCAAAGGTCGCCCGGTGTATATAGTAGTACGGAGGACATCATCCCAACCTGCACTGACAACCTGTTGTTTGTGCATTTTCGGTGCTCCAGCTTCCACGCTTGCAACGAAACGAGTGCCGACCCAGACTCCGTGAGCGCCATACCTACATGATGATTATGATACGAATGAGCTTTCTAGCATCAATTCAAGAAGAGAGCGCGTACGTACGCTAGGGATGCGGCAAGACCTCGGCCATCGGAAATACCTCCTGCAGCTACGACGACAATCGGTTCGCCCGTGAGCGGACTTTTCGCGTCTTTACACAAATCGACCACAGCAGGGATGAGTATGGAAAAAGGCGTGTCGCCAGTGTGTCCACCTCCTTCTCCAGCTTGAGCACCAATAATATCAACCCCTGTGAGCAGTCCAGGGTAAATTCCGAGATTAGACGAATTGAAATGAACGCCGACCGACCTGCCTCGATACATTTGGCAACATGCTATGTAATATGCTTCAGTCGAAAGAGGATGATGGTTAACAGATATTTCAAATTACCTTGGGGTGGCCGATCATGCTACGGAGAAGGAGAAAGGTAAATCAACGGATATGGGCTACGAATTCGCTCGCACATACTTCATTACCGGGATCCCCGCTGCGTGGAACTTGTCAACGACCCATTTGGGAGGGACACTTTCAAAGAGAGAAAATCAAATTCCAATGAATCAAAAGAAGACTAGTTAGGTGACCTTACCCAACCGCGCACACGAACAGTTTGGCGCCGCCCTCGATGATAACGTCAATTAGTTCTGGTAGCTGACCGTCCGTGTAATCCTTGTTGGTTTTTCGTGCGTTCCCGCCAACCTGGGGTAGCAATAAATCTACACCGAACGGTGCATTCTTGTCCTCGAGGTGGCTCTTGAGCTCCTCGATCGAACCCCTCATGAACTTAGGAGACTGACGGACACCGCCAATAACACCGATACCGCCTGGAAATACCATTCACATACTTGCACGTGAGACGAAGGGTTGTACCCACCGGAGTTCGTTACCACTGCAGCCAGTTTGGGACCTGCCGCCACGTTCATGCCTGATAGAATCATGAGAGACTGGTCGAGCGACTAGAAACATGATATTCACCTGCAAGCATTACCGGGTGGTTGATCTTGAAGAGCTTAGTGAGTGGCGTAGAGAATATTTGTTCTGAGGATGGCATGATGATGGAGAAGAAAAAAGGAGGAACTGTAGTTTAAATAAATAATTTAGTAACAAACATCGGTATTCGTTGGATCCGGTAATCACGCTGAAGACAACCTCCTCGGAAATTGAATCCGGCTACTGAAATTAGCCGGGCCGTGGAAAAACGAGTTTCCTTTTCAACCGTCATGGCCTCCAAATGTCCAGTTGACCACAGCGAGTCTCAAGAATCTTGTCCAGTTGACCATAGCTCTCAGTCTTCCAGCACTTGGACACGGTTCTTTTCCACCACAAACAAATATTCTGATCATAATTTATCCTCAGAACGCGAAGTATCTACGATACCCAAAGCCAGCGATGGCAATTGGGTATACCCTTCCGAAGCGCAATTCTTTGCGGCAATGGCGCGTAAAAATCATAATCCTCAGGTAGCGGATATGAAGACCATTGTACCGATACATAACGCCGTCAATGAGCGAGCTTGGTTTGAGGTTATGAAGTGGGAGTCCGGCAGAGGCGGGGAGGCTTGTGGAGGAGTCAAACTCGTGAATTTCAAAGGTAGACCTAATGACAAAAGCCCACGGGCCAGATGGAAAATGTTCCTTGGGTAAGTCATGCCGTATATTTCAGATTCATCTTCCTCACTCTAAGCAGGTATGCCGCCCCTTTCGATAGACACGATTGGGTTGTCGACCGTTGCGGTTTGCAGATGAGATACATTATCGACTTCTACACTGGCCGCACGGATCCTGCCACAAAAAATGTCTCATTTTACCTCGATGTACGACCAGCCTTGGATAACTGGGAAGCAGTCAAGATGAGAGTTGAAACTTTCTGCAGAAAATGGCTAGGGTCTAGTACGACCCAATCATGACGAAGAAATGTAGAAGTTCCGTACTTGTTCAAATTCTAAATTCGGGTTTCACTTTGCTCGATAAGTTTTACTTTGGCCTCAAGTGTTGGGTGCTTAACTAGGCGTTCTTCTGTCATTCTTCCCCTGGAAAACATGTTGCCCAAAGCAAGTCATTGGGAGAGGAGATTCAACACACTATGCTGACATTAGTCCACGACAGGTGCGAAAAGTCCGAGTTTCCCTTTCAATGCGTCACAGGTCAATTAGTGGAAGGTCAATTCGTGGAACATACATGACAGAACATCCGATAAAGTTGAAGACTCAGTTCCCCAATACATTGCCTGGACAAGAGCAAAATCATGTGTAGTTCGTAGTGTTTGAGCTAATCGAAAAGGAGAACCTGAACTCAAAGAACATCACCTATAATGCGTCGCGGAGAAGGGGGTTAGATATCGATATTACTATGTAGTATTAGTTCAGTCAGTTGACTCGCCGGCCCCATTATTGATTGACGGACCTCTTCTCAAATAACGGCAACGGCTACTATCGTGCTTATCATGGCTGGACAGGTGACTGCAGCGCAAGATGAATACGAAAGATAATTGTCTCTGTAACTCCCGCGCCTGACATAGTACGTCTCCCTCGCATGGTAAGTAGTATGCCTACAAACGAGCAAGAGGACCCTAGAACTTTGACTTTGGACGATGATTTGAAGCTTGTTTCCATTGGATCTCCGACTTCCATCGACAATTCTCCAGCCTTAATATCAAATATATACAACACCGAATACGAGAAGGCGGTCTTAAACACATCGCTCAATCCGTGGAACAGCAGGGCATTCAAGGTGAATTATCTTGGATTGAAGTCGCTGCCATCCAGTTGACGTCTTCCAGCTTTACTTGATAGTAATGATCGGGTTTTTAAACGCTGTTTCTTCAGGCTTTGATGGTAGTCTGATGAGTGGGATCAACGCCATGAACCAGTACCTCGACTACGTACGTTAACTGCAACACTAATAAGGCGGCCTTGAATCTCCTTGAATCATACTAAATATTCTGATGTAGTTCGACTACAGTGGTTTGGGAAAGTCGACAGGCATAGTCTTCATGATATAGTATATACCTTGATAGTTTTCCGAAGCTCGAGTATTTAATATCTTGCAGTATCGTTGGGAACTGTGTAGGATCCTTTTTTGCAGGACCTATCACCGATCTTGCAAGTCGAACCTCAATTCTTATCATGCACATTGACTTACCCCTCATTTAAAACTTTCAGGTCGGACGGAGGGGGGGCATGTTCACGGCGAGCAAACAAAGCTTATATTAATCCGATTACGAAAGAATAATTCCAGGAGTATCATCATAGGGTGCAATTTTCGTCTTAGTTGGTTCTGCTGTGATCGTTTCTGCGCAAAACATCAATGCCTTCATGGGTGGTCGAGTGTGTTTTCTATTTAGTTATATTGAGCGTCCGACTCATACCCAAATGTTATCAAAGTTCATCTTGGGCTTTGGCATCGCCATCTCGACTACAGCTGCTCCGACATGGATCACCGAATTGGCTCCTCCACAATGGCGAGGAAGACTTGGAGCATCATACAACTCGTTAGTCCATTTGGCAGTTGTCACGATAAAATTAATTCTCGTCAATAGCTGTTTCTTTATCGGAAGCATCCCCGCGACCGGCGCAATGGTAGGAACAGTAAAAATGAATTCTACCTGGGCTTGGAGACTTCCTTTGATGCTGCAAGTCATTCCTCCGGTATTTCCTTCTCCGGTTCGTACTGAGAAGTCGAAATACTGACTGCATCTCATGTAGGTCATTATAATAAGTTTTGTCTGGCTTCTACCCGAGTCTCCGCGATGGGTACAAGAGTTCATTTCCCAAAGGCCCTTCTTGCTAACAGTGTGACTCTCAGCTCGTTCAGAAAGGAAAATTCAACGAGGCACGGGATATCTTGATCGAATATCACAGCGACGATGGCAAGATGAATCCTATTATTGAGGTATGTTCTTACAACAACAAAAAAACACCACAAGCATGACGAGAACCTCTTCAAATCCAGCTTCAACTACGCGAATTTCAAGAGTCTATCGAAACAAAAAAGGCAGAGGCGGTATGGTGGCAATTACTCTGCATTCATCCCATCTGAACGTGTAGATATCGTATCCAGTTCTGGGACTATCGACCTCTTTTCAGCAGCAAAAATCGAAGTACGTGAACCAGATGACTCTTTTTGGGGCCTCAATGATTTTGATTTTGTCAAGGGTGGCGAATGTTGTGTCTGGCACTGATGGTAAGTTCTTTCCAACTATCGGAGGTTAACGGAGTTCTGATACTTACCGAGCGCAGTGTGTAAGTGGATTAGACTCAGACCCCTTCATCCATTGACGATCAAGCAAAGGTGAACGGTCAATTAGCTGGAAACGGATTGATCACCTATTTTTTGCCCGCAATGATGGCGAATGCTGGGGTCACTTCGAAACAGCGTCAACTCGTATAGTATGTTGTTCTCCCTGAATATCAATCATCCGGCGCTGAGGCAGACAAAATTTTTCAGCAACTTTGCTAACTCTATTCTCTCCGCATTTGGTGCTTTCACGGTGATTAGGAGAACAAATATGGTTGGTGGAGATAATTGATGATATTGCGCACACAGGGTGCTGCGATCACAGACAAAATTGGGCGACGTAAGAGGCTTTACCTTGGAAGCTTTATTTTAGCTTGTCTGCTAGCGATCGTTGCAGCACTGACTGCAAATTGTAAGCACAATTTGTTTCAAGTAATAGCCTTCGCTCAAGTTATCTCCGAGTCAGTCGGAGAGGTTGGAAACAACAACCTCAACGGGGCCAACGCTTCAATCACTTTCATATTTTTATTCGGCTTGGCATATAGTTTCACCTACACGCCTTTGCAGGCCTTATACTGCGCCGAGTATGCTTATCCTCATTTCAGCCAAACTATCTTGTGCAGCTCACGCGAATGATCAGAGTCATGAGCCAAGACATGCGAGGGAAGGGAATGGCGGTTCACATTCTCATCTCCAATTGTGCAGGCTTCATCAACACGTTCGCTAACAGCGTCGGTCTCGGGAAACTAGGATGGAAGTATTACTTTGTTTTTGTAGGGTGGGACTTCATCGCCTCGGCGTTGTGGTTCTGTTTTGGGGTTGAAACGGTAAGTTTGTCTATCATTTGACTGCACCGTGACTGCCTGGAATAATGCACCAAATCTATGCAGCACGGGCGGACTTTGGAGGAGCTGGACGAAGTGTTCAACACAGCTTGGCCTGCTAGAGAAAGTACTCGGAAGACTAGACTAGCTGCTGTGAAATGAAGTAGGGAACGGAAGCTTGGTCAGTTTCCATAATCTGACAGATAGTCATCGCTTTGACATCCCCAGTTTAGCAACCTATGTACATGGATGTGATAGCACGTTTAAGTTTCTTCACCTACGCGAATGAAATATCAATCTGAGTTAAGCAACTCATCGAGTTCTTGCTCTTCCTCGAGAGTCATAGCGAACCCAGCTTGTGCTTGGGGAGGAATGACTGAGACCGGAGGTTCAGTTATTTTGGGTTTCGGTACGAGCAATTCTGAAAGGGAGTCCAGAATGTCAAGAACGAAGGAGAACGAGAACTAGCTTACCGCTCAGTCTCCATCTTCGTACAGTGCAATCCAGGCTGGTAGTGATAATCCACGGCTCTATCCTCTTTTGATTGTTCTTTTCATCTACGGACTGGCGCATCCAAAGTCGTATATGGGTAATATCGCGCCAGTGAGCGTCAATTTCATTCAAGAGTTCTGGTTCATTGGCAGACGAGACATCATATACTCTCATGAAGTCGCCAGAGCCAGTGATGATATATGGCTCCTGCAAATCGGTTAGATGGAGAGGCAAGACACATCGAACAGCAGTAGAGTGATGGATCGGGGGAGGAGTTGGTCTTTTTTCTGCTTCGGACAAGTAGCGAACCTGTACTGTTTCGTCACTTGAAGCTGAGTGTTTGAAAACAAACTCAGTACAGCGGTTCAACAAACAAAATATTTCTCTTACCAGTCCATAATTGCTCTGAACTGAGGTAAAGTTCGGTGATCTTGGTACGATGATGATTGAATTCCGCCTTGAGAGTGCTGGTCCAACGTCGGTCATCATTAGTTAAAGTCCACAATCGTATGATACCCATCGTATCTCCAGTACAAAGTTCCACGTTGCCATTAGGTAAAGCTCTACCATCTAGGCATTCGACAGGACGCGTGTGGGAGGACAGGGACCCTGCGCTTTGTAAAGGTTGTTGTTCGAGAGATAGATTCCTACGAACAATCCATGACTGAGAGTGAACGAAGGCAACACATTTCTCACCAGAACCTTATAAGCTTGTCTGAACTCCCAGAAATCAACAAGTTCACAGATGGTATAACAAACAAACTTTTGACAAAGTCCGAATGGGCGTCAGTGGAAGATATGAGCTCTTTGGTCTAGGTCATTGATGAGTAGCAATCGCAGACACGATCCGGAAAACATGCATTTGCATCCCATAGCTTGATGGTCTGAAAGAATAGTTCAGTCAAGATTGCCAAAGAGTCGAGGTGAGATACTACAAACGTTGTCCCAAGAGCCTGTGATAAGAATCTGTCTCGAGCCCGAATGCCAAAGAGTTAATGTTGACACAGGTCCTCGATGTCCTCGATAAAGCTTCGTAGTCTTTCCTGACTATGGTCATTCAGTATTTTGGCTGGCTAGAACCTGCCATAGTACTCACAACAAGATCGATACTCCGAGCAACTGTCGTATTCTCCGCGATCCAGGCGCTATTCCCCAGCACCTCAATTGCCAAAGCCTTTCCTGGAAGCTGCACCGGTTCGCCGACGTCCTTGAGCCTTTCCGACTTTTTTAGCCGCGCCTAAAAACCAAAGTTTGTAAAGGTTGTGAACAAAGGATAGTGTGAATACATCTGCTAGTTCCAAGTGAGAAGAAGATATCAGGTATTCGGAATTATTCGGATTTGTCATTGAAAAGAGAGGGCTGGTGATTCAAAAATCCTTGAATAGCCTTGAATGGTGATACGAATTCTGCGATTGCTCGTGTTATTCGAAGTTCAGGAAACTTAGATCAATTCGGAAATCCGAGCGGATTTGAGCTACAATAAAATCGACCCAACGAAGAAGAGTCAATATTTCACGGAAAACTCCGCTGCCAGCCCACCTGGTCAATACGTATGTAAGTAGTGTATTATATTTTATGATATACATAAGACGAACGAGTCGTGCTCCACGCTAGTAACGCATACCCACTGGAGCACTGGCAGGCTAATTTTGAACGTTTTTCATATCACTCGTGAATGAAGGCATTCCAGTGGCCACATGCGGCACAGTAGTGAACTTGCGGGACTGTACACTAGTAGAGAGAACATAGAGCCCTAGTACAGCCTAGTACATACTAATACTAATGTAACGAATTGGTGCCCGAACGTGAATGACAACAACCTATATCATCCCAGTCCAAGTAGGTCCGAGTGGGCCCATTCGAAATCCATTCAAGGACAGTGGTGACTTATGCGGATGTGGCGACCTGATATCAGTGGCAACCAACAATAATTGATCTGAAAATACCCATCGACTCTCCCCTCATAATTACACGCAGGAGTAGGCACTAGCACAGATATAGGTCTGCAACAGAAGAAGCAAGTCATGAGTACAATGTGCTGCAAATTTGGGGTCCGACGAGAAGTCTGTGAAGCAGCACTCGATTTTCGGCAATCCAAACGCAGTAAGAAGGGAACCCAGGAAGTTGGCTGAAGGCGCACCATTATACAGCATGCCAATTCATGAGACATTTTTGCTAGGATTTTCGGCAGTCCACGCTAGTCCACGTATTATCTTGTCATGCGCGAATTAGTGGATGGATCGAATCATGGATCAATTTGAATGGATCATGATAACGGCCCACGGGAGATAATGATACAACAGGGGCAAACACGCTTGACCAGGTATAAAAGGGCATCCAAATGAGTGGATTTTCCCCAACCCACCCAAGTTTAACCCACTTCGAAATTGTACCAACTTGATTCTTCTCACCATCACAATGTCCACTGTGAGTTGTCCTTTGGTCCAGCACTATTGTTGAAGTGCTGACTGTCAGCCTTGTTTGATATAGACCACTCAGACTCCCGTTTCTCAAGCCAACTGTGGCAGTAGCAGCTGCAGCTGCGGCGACTCGCGAGTTACTTATTGTTGTCATGATTGTAACTGCTCTCACCATGTTTTTCAACAGCTGCGCCTGCCAGCCTAATGAGTGCAAGTGCTGAAAGCATTGCACACCAGTTGACATGCTTGTACTGTTGTCTCTCGTCTATGAAGAGGATCCATTTCTTGTCTGTATGATAAATACTCATAAACCATAAACCAAATGAATTGCCCCATTTATTGTAAAAATTACTGCGGGAGTAAGCCCGCCTACAGCCGAGTTATTTCTAACTCTGCCTCAAGGAATCAGAAGGAAAGCACTATTGGGGTTGATCAGCTCACCGATCTCATCATAACGAGCTCTTCTACCCGGATCCACTTTACGAAGCTGTTCGAGAAGATGAATACAATCGCGCGTCAAAGCGGATTTGTCTACGAGGGCAGCGTGGTTGTGAAGTAAGAGTCGCTTGTAATGAACTAAAGACTCCATGCACCCTGCGAGGTATTATGTGAGTGTATAGTATGTTAACGAAATGAAATGCACCTACATTTACTATGCGTTTCTTCCTCCAATAGACTCTGTATGACTGCGATTTCGCGGTCTAGAATCTCTTTGTTATCGCCTGACCCGGTTGTGACTTTCTTGTTTGTTTGTGAAAGATCAATGCATACCTGAGCCAATGAGCCATCGATGATATATCCAGACGCTTTGATCTCTTGGGTCTGTATACATTGCGTTTTGTACGAGATCAAACTCTTGAAGTCCAGTATTAGAAGCAGCATCATCGGATATGTGCATGACGCATACCTTCTTCCTTGGACTTGGTCTGATCTAGCCGACCTGTCGACCACAGAGAAGAGAGAACTTTTGAGCGTTGGTGCCAAGCGCTGAAGTTTGAGAAGTTGGACTCGATTTTTCGAGTGGTGTAAGCCAACTCAGAAGTTTCTGGTTTAGAAACGGGCAGGCTAGCGAGCACAACCCTTCTGTAGCTCCAAGCATGAACTAACTTCGTCGTAAGCAATCATACTTTTTCGAAAAAAAAGAAGAATATTTTTACAGTTCCTCGGATCTGCATCTAGTAATTTCTCGACTACGAACAACTCTTGATTCCACAATTCCTTCTCCCATCCGCGAGGATCCCCTTCACCGTCGACGCCCGGTCCACTAGGGACATTGTTGAGACACCATCCACGGTGGGTCCAAATCCAGTACACCTTAGGATGAATCTTTAGTGCGGCCATAGTCAACGATAGGTCATCTTTGAGAAGATCTTGAATTTGCTCCGGGGTACTACATCAAGATCTTTCATATAGAAACAGCTAGTTGAACGATAGAGTGACTTACCTCTCCGGAAATATACCGTTGACGAGAATATGCCGTCGATAGTTCCATATAGTGTAGAATTCAGGATTGACTTGCAGCAGTTGAGTGGTAGCCCGCAAAGCTTCTCGAGACCAGTCCTTCTGTTTCTTCTGTAGACCACGAATAAGATGATACCGAGTTGAGGGCATAGAACGAGACGAACTCTGGCAAGAACATCATCACTCAAAGCAAGATAATCCCGGAGTTTGGATTCATCTTTGAGTCTCTTGGCTTCGAGGGCCTCTTGAGTTTGACGAGCTCTCCTGACACCGTGCTTTACGAGACGATGAGAACGCGTACAGCAAACAAATATGGCACTCCATACCGACCATGATGTTTGAGACCAAGTCCGTATTATTGATACACGTGATAGAATTTGCTGCTTGAACCTTCTCGTCCAACATGCCTTCGGTCGCCTCCAAAATACCGTCTGCGGATGAACTAAAAGCCCTTTTCCCTTTAACCCTTCCCATTCCAACGCCTGACACGACTCCCGACCTCATCACCCCCAAAGACTTTTATCGCGAAGAAAATCTCCTCCGGAATCCTCAGTCTTTCCAAGCATGGTGGTCGGCAATACACACTGCACGAGAATCTTATGCCGCTGAGATCAAACTTGAACGCTCAGATCTTCCAGAGTCAAGCGTCGCGTTACTGGGTCCTCTCGCGACACCGCTTGCTAGAATTTCGTTCCAACGACTAACTTACTTGTACGAATCAGCACTAGTACACTTTCCAAACTCGTTCAAGATGTGGAAATCCTATCTAATAATGCGTATGTCCTTTGTGCTGGGCAAACAAGTCGTCAAGAAGAGGGCCGGCGGCAGGAAAAAGTTCCCTGAAATGAAGGATGCTCTGGTGGATGAGCGGGAGGATCTTGAACAGTGGGAAGGGGGTCTCAACGGTATAATAGGTTGGGAGGAATGGAAATCACTGATAGCAACCTTCGAGCGTGCTTTGATGTGGGTACCAAATGTGCGTTCATTCGTCTTTCGTGTTTTCACCGAGAACTCATCTGAATGACAGCTACCCCGATTATGGCTCATGTATCTCTCAATTTTTTTTCACCCAATGTGTCCGCCTATCGTCTCCTATACCCATGCACGGCATACATTTGATCGAGCTTTACGAACCCTTCCTCCATCTCTTCATTCCCGTATATGGGTCCGCTACCTACTATGGGCAGAATCCAGAGGCGGCCCTACCCTTGTCGCAGTCTATCGACGCTACATTTCCGTCGACCCAAGCGTAACGGAAAACTTTACCCATCTCTTATTGCATCCCATCGACGGAAAGGCACGTCCGCTTGAAGCCGCCAAACTACTACTTTCGCTAGCGCGAAAGGCTGCTAAGGGAGAGTATCAAAGCCCCGAGGGTAAAAGTCCATACCAACTACTTGGTGATTGGATCGACGTCGTTGAAAAGTTCTCGGACGAAGTTGGCCTTGATGTTGAAGAGACACTGCAATCCAATGCTGCTGTGGCTGAGACAGATGCGAAGGAAACTGAAACTGAAGCCGAGGCTGCACCCGCTTCTGTCGATGGAAAACTCATCCGAATGGCAGGCCCCGCTGTAGCAGTTGACGCTGATGGGAAAGCTCTACCTCCTTACGATGAAGATACAGACTTCAAGAGTCCACGAAAGCTTAACATTGAGCAAATCATTCACAAGGACGGTTTCGCCGTGTACAAAGATCAGGCAGGGCGGCTTTGGACTGGGCTTGCAACGTATTGGATCAAACGTGGAGAGTTTGATCGTGCCAAGGAGACGTTCGAGAAGGGACTTGATTCAGTCCTGACGATACGGGACTTTACGCAAATTTTCGATGCATACGCTGAATTCGGAGAATCGTTGATCAGTGCTATGATGGAGAGTCTTGCAGATGAGGAAGATGAGGCAGAGGCTGCGGAAACGGAGAAGGAGCTCGATGTGAGGATGAAAGAGTTCGAAGAGCTCATGGACCGGAGACCATTCTTGATCAACGGCGTGTTGATTCGACGGAATCCTAACGATGTGCAGGAATGGGAAAAGCTGGTGGCTCTTCATGGAGACGATGACGAAAAGGTAAGGTATTTCTGTGTCTTCCTGAATTTGCCGTCCTATTCTAACCACTTATCAGGTAGCCAAGACCTACACCAAGGCGCTAGAAACCGTCAATCCTCGGAAAGCAACCGCCAACCTCCACCGATTATATGTAAACTTTGCTAAGTTCTATGAAGAGGGTGGGATAACTGGCCAGGCAGAACCAGATCTTGATAGCGCGCGCAAAATTCTCGAAAAGGGTACGAAGATCAACTTCAAAACAGTAGAAGACTTGGCGGAAATCTGGTGTGAATGGGCGGAACTGGAGATCCGTCATGAGCAAGTCACGCAGCAGGTTTCAGCATACTTATTATCTGACAAATTATATCTAGTAACTACGATGAGGCGATCCGTGTTATGCAGCGTGCTGCTGCTATCCCCAAGAACACGAAGATAAACTATCATGATCATGTAAGTGGAGCGTTTTATGTTTCTAGCACTCCGTTCTAATTAGTATCCTTAGTCTCTATCTGCACAGACGAGGTTGTTCAAATCTCTCAAGCTCTGGTCATTTTATGTTGACCTGGAAGAATCTATCGGCACAGTGGAGACCACCAAGATGGTCTATGACAAGATTCTTGACCTTCGAATCGCCAACGCCCAGATAATTGTTAATTATGCTGCATTCTTGGAAGAAAACAAATACTACGAAGAAAGCTTTAAAGTACGTTCAGCGATCATGGGATGACGTTATGCTCACTCTCTTTGCAGGTTTACGATCGAGGCGTAGAGCTTTTCACGTTTCCCATCTCATTCGAAATCTGGAATATCTACCTGGCAAAATTCGTGAAGCGTTACGTGGGTGTTGTTTGACTAGGCCCGTTACTGTCGTTCATAAACTTTCTTAGAGTGGCTCTAAACTCGAGCGTGCACGAGATCTATTTGAGCAAGCGCTTGAAAAATGTCCTCCAAAATCTTGTAAACCTATATTCTTGATGTACGCCAAGCTGGAGGAGGACTATGGGCTTGCTAAACGCGCGATGTCGATATATGACCGTGCGACACAGGTTGTGGCGGATGAGGATCGGTTTGAGGTATGTTCGCTTGATGCGTATATTCGAATACTGTTAAATATCAACAGATGTTCACGATATATATCGCCAAAGCTACCGCAAATTACGGTCTACCTGCAACACGTCCTATCTATGAACGAGCTCTTGAAGGTACATGTCGAAACCCCTACCCATAGGTAATGGTCACTGATCTTGGCTTTGCAGTTCTACCCGATCGTCAAACCGCCGAGATGTGTCTCCGATTCGCTGCTCTCGAGCGCAAACTTGGCGAAATCGATCGAGCACGGGCTATCTATGCTCACGCCTCACAATTCTGTGACCCCCGCGTAAACCCACAGTTCTGGTCAGAGTGGAACGCGTTCGAGTACGAGACAGGATCGGAAGACACGTTTAGGGAGATGTTGCGAATCAAGCGGAGCGTGCAGGCACAGTTCAACACAGAGGCGAGTTATATCGCGGCGCAAACTATGGCTGCTCAACAAGGGACACGTCAAGCTGACAATAATGCAACGGAAGAGGCTTCTGATGCGATGGCGGCTGCGGAGAGAGAGGCTGGTAGTGCGCCATCGTTTGTTGCTGCTAAACAAACTGCTTTGCATCCACAACCACAACCTGATGCTGCCGCTTCCGCGACTGCGACGACAGCTGCCAATGTAGACGAAATACATATCTCAGATGAAGAAGATTTATGATTCATTCCTGTGTCGTTGTATTTCATATCTACGTAGTGTACAACTTCATATATTTGAATCTCAAGCGATGATGGGTTGTTGCAAACAAGTGAACAAATATTGAATGCTGGCTCAAAGAACCTCGCCAGTTTTTGACGTGATATTTCTCCCGCTCCACTTCGTCCGCTTTGACCGCTGTTAACACACCACATCTTTTTCAGCGGTTCTACACCACTTGCAACCAATCCCCTCCGCGAGACCCTCATTCATTCTTGTCCTCGTCATCCAAACCCTCGAGTCGACGACGATATAATGTTCTCGCAAGATCCCTCTTTGGATGCCCTCCGGAGGTGAGTGACTAGGGTAAATTCAAAGTCAGCGACAACGATTCTCAGCATCCCTACGAAATCTGTGACCCCTGAGATATTGGTGACACCATTCAAATTTCTCATACTCGACGGTGCAATAGATCGCGAGAGCAGAACTTCCCAGAGCAAGACAGCCAACAAAAATGAACAGAGATGCAACTGGATGTTCGGTGATTACTCCGAGCGAGCTGCCCACCACCACTTTCAAGCTATTCACTGGTGCCTTTATCTTGGCTGCTATGATGTCTTTTGCCTTTTCCAGGCAGTTACGACATGGTGATCGTTGTCGGTGTGCATCGGGGTTGGCTGCTTCTTCATCTGGAAAATAGATTCCATTTTCATTTAAATAGAGGTGTACAGGCGCAGGGTACTGATGATTGATGTTAGTGAGAGGGATGGAATTGCTGCCAGGACTAGGACCAGTCGCAGCGACACGCAAAGCGAGGGTGATGAGGGGAAGCAGCGATGTGAGGAACCGCATAACACAGAAGAGACGAAGAAGACCAGAAACGAAGAGTGTCGCCGGTCCAGCCGAGCGAGGTTAGTATGAAGATGGTAGGGAAGAAGAAGGCTGAGGGAGGAATCAACTCTACTTCTACTTTTTTTTCTGGTGCCCTCCCCCCTAGTGAATCTTGGTCCAAGTTTAGGTTATACCTGGGTTTGGAGGGGGGCGCCGAAGTATATTGTGTAAGCATCTCCGATGGCTCCCTCCATCGAACGTATTCTCCCTGTCCATCCAGGTCCATCGATGCCCATTCATGTGAGTGCTCGAATTTCAGCTAACAAAAGCTGTCAGCCCTTAATGAGCGAGTTGTTTCAGGTAGTTAGTTCCTCAGGACCCACGTAGCCTGTTAGTGTAGATAGCTGATCATCGGAGTACAAGTGCTAGAAGGCTATACTAAAATGTTTGATGCGATGTTAGTCGCGGGGAATGTTGAGGCAAAAGATGCTCCTTCATCTATTCCATCGATCTATCTCAACAGAGCACAAGTCTTCCCATCCGGCGTCCCACCCGTGTTCTTCAAGCCATGGTTGTTCTGCCCACTTTAGGATTGCATCCCGAGATTCATCGAAAGATATTGAATGACTTTTGAGAATGTTCACCAGTGCGGTATGCCCACTGAGTGCACGATGATATGGTACTAGAATCTCAGGTACCCTTGACACTACATAGTCAGAACCTGTGGTGAGTCATGTTGTACGATTTCAATCATAAGCAAACATGTTGTAACACACCAAATTTCTCCAAGGGCCAAGTCGTCCAGAGAGGTTCCTTTTCGATCCATTGCCATCCTTTATTCTTATGAGCTTCAATGACCAGTGCATCGAGACTCTCCACTATAGTATTCATTTTGCGAAACTGTTTTTGCTGAGCATACATCATCAACACCTTTATGTTTGCAAACAAATGAGGAATCATCACCAGTTTCATCAAGACTATGTCAAGTTCAGATATTCTTTGGTCCATGGCTTCTAGCGTTGGGCCAACGATGCGTGTCCGAGGTAGGCGATTCGGGGTACGCGCTAGAGAATTACTGCAAATCGTAACACGCTACAGTTGAGATGCATATGCATACAGAAGAGGCCATGAGTAGCATACTCAAGCTCTGTGCGCGTATCAACAAGGCTTTTGGCTGCCTTCAAACCATCGATGAGGACAATATCATCCCAGGTTTCTGTTGTAGATCGTAGTTCTTGTAGCAAGGTCCTTAATTTTCGATGATAGGTAGATTCAACGATCCTTGCAGGAGAAGGTGGGGCGCTACTATTGGCTTGTCGCTGTTGGACAGGTGAGGACGTAGGAGTGGAAGGTCCTTTGAAAGATGCCAGTCGACTACTCATGGTGGTGACTTTAGTAAGTGCCGCCCGGCAATTTCACTCTGAAAAGTCCGAGTCACACATTACAGGAAATCTCCTTCAACAACCCCTCGTTATGGATCTCGGCGTCGCGACTTCTGGACCTATAACGCGTGAATTCTCGGCAGTAGTAATAGCAGGCTTTGGAAATGAGTAGAGTCTACGTTTCTCTTCTTGCATTAGGCTTCGATCTAACCTCTGATAACAGACTTGTACCTCTGACCAGCAATAACGGCGCTGAGCCGTGTCCCAAAGCCTTAGTTCCTTTAGCAAACAAACCGATGATAGACTATGTGATGTCGTGGATAGAACAAGCCGGCGTCAAAGGTTCGTGAATTATCCTTTATTACTTCCCAGTGATCAACAATCCTTCAGACGTCCTGTTGATATGTCCCTCAATACACCGTCCTATGATTTCGCATCACGTTCATTCCGGCCTTTCTACTCTTCGTATCGATGTACAAACCTACGACGAATCTCCCGAGGGTAACACAGGAACATGCACGCTTCTTAGGCATTTCGCAAACCGGATTTCAGAAGATTTCATTTTGCTACCTTGTGACTTTATACCTCCTCTTTCGTTGTCCCTCAGTACCATTTTGAACAAACATCGTACGGAAAGCGTTAGTGATGGATCTGTCGCTACTGCTTGTTGGTTTGCAGCTCAAAAACCAGACAAGAACTCCTTGGTTGAAGACTGGGGATCAATACCACCACCAGTACCCATAGTTTGGGATGATGCGACTGGGACGTTGCTTCAAGTGGATACTGCCGATGACTTGGACCGAAACTCGGAAGAACTGGAACTACGGATGTCGCTATTATCGCAGTACGATTACTTTGTCCTGTATATATCCCTTGTGGTTAATAGACATACGTCAGATATCCGCGAACGAAGCTTTCCAACCGCTATCAGGATTCACACGTATATGTCTGTCGAAGATCAGTATTGGACTTACTGCAAGAGAAGAAACACTTTGATTCGTTCAGAGAGGAATTCATTCCTTGGTTATGCAAGGTGCAATACCAACGAACGAAACGTGAAAAATACGGGCACAGTAAGCACGAAGCATTCTCACAACAAGCAGAAACAAATTCTCTCCAGTTCTGAATCCAGTCACAAATGTAATCACTCAGGATGTTTCACTGCGACATTCCACCCTGCGCGCGCAAGCGAAAGTCTACAGCAAAAGTGTTCTTCACCAATCCGACGACGCCGATGCATCATCTCCTTTTGACCCGGAATCTACAACAGACTCATCAAGCTTGAGAGTGGGTATCGTGCTACATCCAGCAACTGCCGGATTCGCGACGCGTGTCAACAACATCCACTCACTGTTGGATATGAATCGACGCGTATGCGTTCATTCTATGTTTGAAAAGCCTTCCCTAACCCGATCCAGCTCTTAGCAGAAACTACCTATGCGTTACCGACCGACCCACAAAACCGATCGCTTATCGACCCCAAAGCCCAGATTTCCTCTGACACGATAATTGGTGCATTCACTCAAGTATCCGAGCGTACTACAATCAAAAAATCTGTCATAGGGAAACACTGCGTGTTAGGAAAGATGGCGAGGATCACAGGCTGTGTTCTTTTGGACCACTGCGTTATTGAGGATGGGCAAGTCTTCACTGTGACATTCTATTTTCCGCATCTGACATCGATCCTTTTTAGTGCGAAGATAGACGGATGCATACTGGGCAAAAACACAAAAGTCGGCACAAAGGCAGAATTGACGCGATGTGTCACACAAGCCGGGTATGAAGTTGGTTCAGGGGGTGAGTTCTTTGCAGGTAATCATAATCATCATTAACCGTCATGCACAGAAACTTTCAAAAATGAAAAACTTGATGTTTCGGATTGGACAGCTGGCCCAGATGAAAGTGAAGAAGACGACGATGATGATGAGGAAGAAAACGACGACGATGATGATGAAGACGATGATGATGAAGACGAAGAAGAAGAAGAGGAGGAGAAAGATTAGTCTGCAAAATTGTAGACGAAGTTGAAAGCAACAACTATTGGCATCTACTGGATTACGTCATAATTCTTCTGTGCGATAGTAGAGGTCGGATGATATCGCGCGTTTGGCACATTCGTAGATCTGGTTTAGTCTGGACGGAGATTGGGGGACCAGAAGGTGGTGAAAGTAATTTACATGAATAAGGAGAAAGTTTTTGAAAAACGTAGGGTTGAAGCTTAGGTGAGGGAAGGTTGTGCATGACAATGATGACATGTCGTCTTGTCGCCTTGTCGCCAGTGGGTGGAGGAACTTGTCCCCGTCTAGGATCTTCTTACTCTATATCATTGTACAGTTTGCATTTGTATTTATCGATATCCTTCATACATATATTTAGTAGCAATCGATCGTTGCAGTTTGGTCGATGATCTCCATTCTATTAGTATTGCAATCTGAAGCATGTTCCGAGTCATCAGGAGGAGATTACTCCTTCCTGAATTTTTGATAGTAGTGGATGAGACCAGTGGTCTGTGGAAGGTAGATAACGAGATGCGAGTAAATCCAAGTAAGATAAGTGGAAAATTGGAGATGGGCGGAGCAACGTACGGAGCTGTCATGTCCAGTGACGTCCTCGGGCTTGTCGAGCTGTGCGAGGATGTTCTTAGCGAGAACCTTACCAAGTTCAACACCCATTTGGTCTACAGAACACGTCAGAGTCCGTTTGACGAAAGTAGCGCAATGAAAGGATGTACCGAAAGAGTTGATACCCCAGATAACACCCTGCACGAATATCTTATGTTCGTACATTGCAATGAGAGCGCCTAGAAGCGGTATAGTAAGTAACACAGTCATGTGAATGCACTGATCTCCTCACCAAGAGTCGCAGGTGTCAACAGCGGGAACATAATCGAGTTACTCGGCTTGTTACCCTCAAACACCTTACTCTTGATCAGTGCCTCACTCGCTCCACTCCCCAACTCCTTCTTGACCTCCTCCTCGGTCTTACCGAAGGCCAATGCCTCCGGCTGAGCAAAGAAATTGGATAGGAGAATACGGTGATGCTTCGAATGTGCAATGGGGTTGTGTGTGGTGGCTGGGGCAATGAAGTCAGTTGGTATGAGTTTGGTGCCCTGATGGACAAGTTGGTAGAAAGAGTGTTGGCCATTGGTGCCTGCTGCACCCCAGAGAATGGGCTAAATGGATGATGAGAAAGTAGATCACAGAGAGCTATATTCAACGACGCACTCCCGTTTCATAGTTTACCCGATGTCCATTCTTTGTGACAGTCTTTCCGTTTGACTCCATATCTCCCTAAAAATATCAATACATCAGCCTCGTTGAGTCTGGATCGGCCAGTATCAATCCTTTTACCTGCTGGAAGTAATCGGCAAACTTGTGCAAGTACTGGTCGTATGGTAGCAATGCATGCGTTTGTGCACCGTAAAAGTCGTTGTACCAGATCCCGACAACCGCTAACAGAACGGGCAAGTTCTTCTCCAAGGGAGTCTCCTTGAAATGCTTGTCCATTGCATGCGCGCCCTTCAACAGCTGCTCGAAGTTGTCATAACCAATTACTAACGCGATCGACAGTCCGATTGCGCTCCAGAGGGAGTACCGTCCACCAACCCAGTCCCAAAACTGGAACATGTTCTCCTTGGCAATGCCAAATGCAGTAACGGCCTTGGTATTGGTACTCAAAGCGACAAAATGCTTCGCGACGTGAGCTTGGTCTTTAGCCGAAGAAAGGAACCATTCCTTTGCAGATTCAGCATTGGTGATCGTCTCCTGGGTCGTAAACGTTTTGCTGGCGATGATGAAAAGAGTCGTTTCAGGATCACAGGCTCGCAGAGTTTCTGCTATATGCGTGCCATCGATGTTGGACACAAAGTGCGCAGTGAGGTCACGCTTGGAGTAGGGCTTGAGCGCCTCAGTGACCATGACTGGGCCAAGATCGGATCCACCAATGCCGATGTTCACGATGGTGTTGATCGTCTTGCCAGTGTATCCCTTCCACTCGCCGCTTCGGACGGATTCGGAAAAGACTTTCATGTGCTCCAGCACCGACGCGACTTCGTCTGTGCCAGCTTCTTGAATTTGGAAGTCGTTGAAGTTTCGGAGGGCAACGTGAAGAACAGCTCGGTCTTCCGAGGTGTTGATGTGCTCGCCAGCGAACATTTTGTTTCGGAAGGACTCTACTTGAGCTTCGCGGACGAGGGAGAGAAGAGTGTCGAGGATGGGCTGGGTAATCAAGTTCTTCGAGTAGTCCAGCAAAAACGTTACATCTGGCCCGCTTGTAGAAACGTAATCTGTAGAAAACTTGGAGAAACGATCAGGATCCTGAGCAAAGAGATCCTTCAGGATCAGCTTCGACCGCTCAGAGTCGTAGATGTGCTGCAATTTCTTCCAAGAGTCATATTCTGGAGCAGTTATAAGGACACAGTTGTGCTGGGAAGAAAAGGTATTACCTGAGGCTAATTTTCCAGACATGATAAGAGTACAAGACTTAGATTGGTAAAGGCGGGATCATTGACATCGATATAAGTATACGTCGTGGTGGTAATGTCGGGCCGGCAAACTCCCAGACGTTTCTTTCTCTCGAACACCGGTGTGTTGCCATTGCATTAAGCTTCTCACATACGCTAAGTATTTCATACTAAGCTTGCATCCGGCTTCCCAGCTTGACGTGAACCGTAAACTGCTCGATGCACCTTTATCAAGGATGTGGGGACAAAATCCCCTCTTGAGTTCCGGAAGGTTTTGGAAAGCGTACTTGGGAAAATAGGTTGACAGCAAAATTTTGGCGAACGTTTATAAGATCCAATAGCAAGTGCCAAACAATCATTATCAACTCGTCGTTTCCACCAACCGCGATACTGAAGAGGACCATCGGGCCCAGGCAATCATAATTTCATTCCATTGAGCCCTTGCAACAGACTGCATTCTCTTGTCGTTTCCGCAGAAGTATCACGTTTCCATGCATATATGATGTTATTATCACCCTAGACTGACCACAAGGAATATCTATTTACATATATTATATGAAATTATATGCAGAAGTAGTCTCAAAGTATCGTACAGTTAGCTATATTTTGTAATGTAAACAGAGGTTGCTGCACCGCAATTGGTGTGGTGCTTTTGTGAGAAACGCGATGGCATGATACAATGCATCCTGCTAATCCTGCGAACTACTAATCCTCTCCGGTCAGGTCAATCGTATCCATGCTGACCATTGTGCTCTTCTTCCGCTTGTTGGTACCTGGAACTGTGAGTGCGGAGCTGCCAGTCATCATGGGCATGGGGTTCGAAGACCCTGGCGTCATCACAATGGCAGGAGTAGAAGCAGACAAAGCGTGCTGATACGGCCACATATAGCTCGTACTTCGAGTGGATGAAGAACCCGGGTTGTGAAGATGCGGGGGAGGAGCTCCATGTAGAGAAGTGGTCATAGGAGCTGCCGTAGGGTTGGAATTGGTGGTTGAAGGGGTCCTTCCCGTTGCACCGGAGGAAGAATGATGGGTACTCGCGGAAGTAGAGGCAACGCTATTCCATGGTAACATAAACTGTTGTTTACCCTCGAAAGCCGTCAGGACATCTCCATACCGGTGGCCAGCGATCTTCTGGAGCATATTTCCATCCCCGATTGTGCCCAAGAACGTCTTTGTTTGGCTCTGTCGTTGCATCCAAGACTGATAGTCTGAAACCTGCCGGTTCTTCTTCACAACAAGCCCATGAGGACTTCCAGATCGAATCGTCGTAAATGAAACCAGATCCCGTCCAGAGTACAGTTGTCTCTCCAAATGAGTTCTTCTTGCCTGCACGAGCCGGAAAGTTTGTTCAAGAGATTTCGACATCAAGAAATTGTCCAGAACTTGACAGTCGGAACATCCACAGCCAAGCTTTCGAGCCGGAACAAGGGCATTGGGATTAGGTCGTGCCCCCAAAACGAACCGCAAGTAGGAACCCAGCACAACTTGAATCAACTCTAAAAATGGAGACGAGGAGATATCAAGGTTCTTGGTCATCAGAAGTTGACGAAGTTGTGGAATCAGCGGGTTGTAGATGGTTTGAAAGTTTTCCTGCAACGTTAAGGGCTTCGCTTTTGCGAGCAGTGACCATAATCTGGTCAACGGATCAAGAAATCGCGCCAGGAAACAAAGTTCGACAAGCTCAGTGATGCGCGAAGGGGTGGAGGTAGATGGTGATACAGCAGTAGGAGCTTGATAATAGGGATAGGCGCGCGCACGAACTGGGTCCGTCAGCCCATGCTCCCAATTTGTGACGATTATGAACAAACAGCGTTCGATGAACTTACGGACTGAGTTTTTTGAGTCAGGATCAGTCACCGTCGACTTGGTCACGATGACTGTCTCGTCCTTGACGAGTGTGGTTATGAACTGGTACCAAAAATGATACAACGCTACGTTTTTTTCGAGACGAGGTACAAAACTGTTACAAAAAAATATCAATCGAAGAACATACATAAAATTCTACCAAAGGTAGCGACTAACCTTTGAATCATGTATGGTGCACCTTTTGCCCGTACAATATCTATAATCCAAGGTACATCCGCGCTCGACGGAGTTTTGAGCGTCTGTAGGATAAGCCCCATAAAGTCAACAAAAACGTCTGAGTTGAGGGAAACCGAGTCGTTCGTGGTCAAGAGTTTTTGTCGGATGTGAGATATAACGGGGCTATACAACGTCTGGAAATTGTCAGACGTCGGGGGTTTCTTTTTCATGACAAGTCCGAGCAATACTTTGCATGTATCCAGAACCCCTACGTCGATGCAAAGATCCAGAATCTGGATGACACGCGTTGTGTGATTAACTGGAGATTGAGGAGGAGGTCGAGGTCTGTGGGAGTAGTATGGCGTATTATTCACAGGAGGTGGGTCGGCAATACCGTGTTCCCAGTTGCATACGACGATATCTAAGCAGCGTTTCTTCGTATTCTCGAATTGATTTTGAGTCTCGGAAGTGGAAGAACCCTCCGCCTCCGGTGGTGAAACGAAATAAGTCCGATTGGACTCTAACTCCTTGATCATTGCCAACCAAAAATCATGCAGACCAGATTTCTTCTCCAATCGGGGAATTAGTCTGAGGAGTAGTGAGTTGAGGTTCAACCAATGCGTTGAACGGACTCACGTGCAGGTGAGATATGACAAGCCCTGCTTCCTCGCCGTCTCAATCAAAAGAGAGACATCCTGAACCGTGGGTGCCTCTAAAGTTGTCAGTAATTGTGAAATCACTTGTTCAGCCCATTGTTGAGCGATTTGACAATCTTCCTGGGGTCCGTTTTCAACCAGGTCGCGAATGAGAGAAATTCCCCTTGAAATCTGTGGAGCTTTCTGCACTATTTGTTCAAAACTAAAAGCAAAGAATTAGCTTCCAGAATCCTAGCCAGTTTAAGAATCAATCACCTGCTGCGGACACTATCAAAGGAAAATACCTTCCACCCTGTTACAAGCTCCTTGGGAGGAAGTACCGAAGAAGCAGTCCAGTTTCCAGCTCTGAGAACCTTCTTCCACAATTCTAAATTATTCCATGACACAGCGTACTGCGCCATTGTAACAAGTGTTGCAGGCGAGTTCTGGGAATTATTGAGCACCAAATCCGCAAACAATAAATCCTCCGGAGAAGGTTTTCCTGGCCTTTCGAGTGCTGCGCGATGTAAAATTCCTAGTGCATAATCGGAAGTATAAAGGATGCTGCGCGCGCTTTCTTCAGGCATGATAATCAGCACCGTGCGTCTGTACCCTGTGAGTGATCACAGTGATAATCAATACTGGGGGTCAAGTTCGGAAGTGCTTATATGAAAGACTTGCATTGTTCCACCTCGCCAGAATACTGCATGGAATGAGATCAGTGTATTGGAAGAAAGTAGGACATAAGCAACAACTCACGTTCCCCATATATCCTTCGTAGTGATCTTCATCAGGTTCAACATCCTCGAAAGCATCTTGTTGCACCAAATTTTCCAGATCTAACGAAATCTTCTTACTCCCTGCAGGTTTGTTTCCCGCCATGTCGAACAGATTATCCACAGTAAGAGTTGTGTCAATGACCTCGTCAATTCCCGGCACCTCCTCGTCATCATCGTCATCACAGTCACTATCACCGTAGTACCCGTACCTACCATATCCCCGTCTGCGTTTATAGTAGTTACCATAGCCTCCGTCACCATCTGCTGTCCCGGTCTGGTGGTACGTCAAATTTGCGAGTCCGACGAAAAACTCTTGTTCCGCAGCAAGGGGCATGAGCTGCGCGACTAGGTATGAGTCTTTTCCTTTGAGAGCCTTGAACCCGGTACTCAGTCCCGCTGGGCTATACTTATGACTGAGAATATGGCACATAATATTTGGCTCAATGTCAGGGTATTTATATGTCCGCCACTTTTTCAAAACTCGGCGGAGCGATATGATGGAGGAGTGCATATCCGGAAGGATGGGAGGAGGGACACCAGGGGTGACATGAACAAGGTTGTAGGAGAGGGCGAGACGATAGCCAGAGGTAATTGGTTTTACCTCGTGTTGGACGTCGGTATACCAGGCCATGACGGCGGTCGAAAGAAGGGAATTCGAATCGAAGGAGAAGACTTGCTGGGAAGATGAGTGAGAGACGTGGACTTGGCCGCCGGTATATGGGGACGGGAGTACGACAATGATGGTCGCGAACATATTTTGTGCTTTAACTGTACTATTGAAACTATAAGCAAAAACGGAAAGAGGTGCGAAAAGTCATATATTCACTCTTGATGTGGTAAGAAACTGAGAACATAACTAAGTATATTTCTTCGGATGCATGAGGAAAGCAAATAACCCACTGTGAGTCCTGTTCATACAACAGCAGTTTGTACAATTCACACTTTGGGGGTGTTGTGGAAAATGGGACGCCTAGTGCTGTTGCAACACCCCTGACTACTGTCTCCTCCATCCACGTTTGCCAAACCGCATTTCCGAAACTCACTCTCGCTGGTTCAATTTCCCAAGTATGCCTGACACTCGTATCAATTTTAGTCTCAGTCCCATGCCCGAACGGGGCCTGCGTCGCGGATGTTATGATCAACTGGGCGTCGCGTGGACTAAGCGGGAGGCCTATGGGCCCGACGCCGGTGATATCGAGAACAGGATTAGGGGCATCTGTAAACAGAGAAGAGTATGCATAGGAGCCTTTGAAATCGAAGTCCCCTTCGAGGACTTCTTCAAGCTCCTCTCGTAGATCATCGCCCTCAGACGCGGAGTCATCTTCCTCATCTTCCTCATCATCTTCCTCGTCATCATCTTCCCCATCGTATTCTAGCTCTTGGACACTCTCTACTGATGCGCCTTGGGGAGCTGCAGTTGTGTCAAAATTAGTATCTCTCGTTGCTGCTTCCACCACATTGTGATTCTCATAAAACATTTCGCCTACACCTTAGACCCAAGTCATTTTGTATGAGTATTCAGAGGAAAGACACATACCTCGAGGCTTGGGCTTGTATTACAATCAGATTACAATACGAGAAAATTTTTGTGGCGCAGAACCGTGAATTCAATATCGCGAAGTCACAGACGCGACACAGCCACAAATCACACTTTGGTGTGACTATCGACATATTTTGACGTATAGACAAGCGTATGTAGACATTGGCTCAAAATTCAATCTTCAAAGTCTACTCATATGATATCAGTTACTGCAGGATAATGCCGACAAGCTAAGAACTCCTCAGTGATTTCCTGTCATGGGGGAGCATTGTATCACTTTTGAGAATCTAGAAAGTTCACATGGGAAAGGGTTAGGTACTTACCTTAAGGAGAATGGATTGTACAATGCGTATACATGAGATAGACTGGCTCGTAATAGAACCACTCATGGGAACGGTTAAAGAAAGCAGAAACGACTCGCCTCGATGCATATAGTGGGCTTTTAAGTGCTTCATTTCTCCCCTGGGTGGTACGAAACAAGAGAGAAAATTACCCTGGTTCCCCTTCTTCTCTGCTGGTGCATATCAATTGCTGTTCATCAAGTTCATTCATGTGATCACCCAGAGAGGGCCTTGATAGGCATTGACATAATGCACATGTGGAGGTCGAAATGTATATACATCTGTAGCGCAATCGCGCAATCGATTGTATAGCATATGTATCACGATCGAGAAAGAAGCAGCTGGCATAATGAGTAGCCCAGTCGTAAAGATAACGGCCATAACCTACGTGGAGATGATTTACAATCATCATCATATACAACAATTTGTTAAATGAGGAAGATCGTCTAATAAAGATAACTTGCATTGTACATTCTGAACAAAACGAGTCAGATCCATGAAACGAAGGAAACGAATTTCAAGAAAAGACCCACCGTCATTCCTCTGTCCCAGCTAGTTAGTCGCTGCCTGAGAGTTCTGAGCAGCACCAGCACCCGTAACACCAACGACCAGGCCCTTCAACCAATTATTCTCTCTTCTGAGCGTCTCACATTCTTTCTCAAGCCCAGTAACCTGATCCTGCAATTCCTTTGCCTTAGTTTCCAATGCAGCCTCGCGTTCCTTCTTCTTCTGACGGAACCGAGCACTGGCGGCAGTGTTTCGCCGACGCTTATCCTCAGACGCAGATAGAGGTGTAGTCGTGGCAGAAGTAGATTCAGGAGACGCTGTATAGTCGACAGGAGTGTCGGGTGAAGAGACGGACATAGATGATTTACGAGATCGAGCACGTTTTGCCGGAGGTGGGGGAGATATTTCCTCAGGGGCAGAGCGTCTCGTGGATGATAGTTGAGCCGTGGGTGCAGAAGCAGAAGGAGGTGCAGGTGCCGAGGAAGCGGCAGTAGTAAGGAAGCTAGGAGGAAGTCCCAGTGACTGCTGTTGGGCCATTAGCTGAGTGAGAGACAGATTCCCAAGCTGGGGCACCTGCTGCTGCTGCTGCTGCTGAATTAGAGTGGACAGAAGAAGCTGGATAGCATCGACATTGCCTGGCAACGCCGGGGCAAATGAAGGTTGAGTCTGGCTGGGCGGTTGAGTATTCTGCTGTCCCCACACAATACCATTGAACGAAGGGAAAGCAGAGCCTTGGTCCAGAGAATGATGTTCCTCTTCCCGTCCTTCGCTGCTCTTTTTCACCTCTTGTTTCTCCTCCGATAAGCCTTGTTCCTGTGCGTCTTCCAGATTAAAGGGAAGTCGGTCCCATATTTCGAGAGAAAGATCAGATTGGGGAGCTCCAGATAACAAGTCGTTGTTATCAGTAGCTGGTTGATGCGTGTAAACGATGTTTAAACCGTCCAGGGAATATGGCATCTTTTATGTATGGTTATGATGAGAGGAAAATCAAGTAAAATTGCAAAAGGGATGAATGGTGTGGTCTCTCTTCCGGAGATGGTGGCGGTAGAAGAGTAGGAAGGAAAAAACTTCACTAATTTGAAATCGCTCGGCGGCTAAAAGATAGTCCGGAAAAATGGGCGGACGGGAGTTCGGGACGAATTGAATGCGCACAGCCGCTGATATTTCGATCTGTGAGGAACAAACGCTTTGACATCAAATGACAGAATCCGACATGAACGCAAACGTAAGGAGCAATAAATTGAACAAGTATAGACAACAGTCTATCTACTACAGTAAGTATGTGCATAGTGAATTGGGATACAGAACAAAAAGACATCTCCAGAAGCAATGACAACAACAGTTGAAGAACATGAGCACAGATAAATAGCTACTTGGAAAATTCGTAAAATCGTAGAAAAAGGAGGGGCAAAAATTCATTCAAGCAAGAGCGACCTTTCTCCTCAAATTGTCCTGTATGTCAGATATCGTCCGCGCAACATCGACAGTAGGAGGCACTCCAGGAATGGGAATCGTAAGGCGTTGTTTTGTTGTGTTCAATGAGACCTGCACGTTCGGAATAAGACGAGGAATAAAATCGGTGATCAGTTTGTCCTAGAAGACCAGTCATGTGGGTGTTAGAATCTAGACTTGGTAACGGTTCACGACATCGTACCTCTGGACGTAAAATTGACACTAGTCTCTGAAGCCACCACAAAGATGTCTTGAAAATCTCCTCGCTGGCATTAGTCTCTCCAATAATCGAGGATAGCTGGATCATCAACGATCAACACGGATGAAAACATGTACATGTTAAGAAGTGGAAAAATCACTCACCCGATGAACCAGAGTCAAGATGACCGCCTGTGAAACCAACGGCGTACCATTCAATGGTATGATAAGTTCCGGATCCGTAGATGCTATCAACTCTTTCAGTTTGTTCGTGTCCTGCGTGTGTAGCACACTCAGATACATTTCGTCCCACTGATCTGGAGGAATTGAAGGGGAAGGTTGAGATTGTGGATGTGCCGGGGGAGGTGGGACAGCTGGATGAGAAGCTTGCGGCGCCGCAATTGGATGATTGTACCACTGTGGTTGAGGTTGAACAGCCTGAGGTGGAGGATATGAGCTACCTTGATTTCCCATCGAATACGAGGGAGGAAGCTGTGACGTCATTTGTTGAGAAGAAAGTTGTGAAGAAAGGTGAGATGGCAATTGCGGGGGCAATTGGGAAGGCACCTGGGAGGTGGAAGATTGTATTGATTGCATACTAGCTTGTCTGTGGTTCGCAGGCGGCTGATTTAATTGAGTCAAACCGCTTTGTTGAGACACGCCCGAAGCCGGAGAACCATGAACAGGTTGCTGGTGTTGAATTTGATGAAGCGCAGAGCCAGTGAGATTCATGCTCATAAACTTCACTTGGTCGGATAACGCCCTCACGTTCCTTTCGAGTTCACGGATAGACGACTATAGACAAGTGAGTTCAAAGAGAAATGTACATTCAAGATGGGCATACTTCTTGAGTCCTGATCATTTCATTTTGCCAGCTGTTCATTTCGCTCTTGAATGAGTGCAACTCGTTCTTCAGCTCGCGTACCAGTTCTTGATGCATAGCGGTTGTTTGTTGAGAATAAACTGGTATAAATGTCTTGTTAACAGCCTCTTTCAAGTGGCGTTCAATCATAGGTGTAAGTTGAGACGAGAGGATATGGGAGTAGTGTCCACTAATATCAGGTCGAGTGAGGAGCTTCTCCATTTCAACTGGAATCCTCTAAGCAGACAACCTTTCATCAACGACAATGACTGAACATGGAAAGACGTCAAAAAACATACTTGACTAATGACATCGACCAAACCACGTCCAACTTGATCATTCAAAGCATCTCTGACTTCCTTCCTTGTGATAGCTTCGAGCGAAGGAAGCACCGAGGTCTGCACTTCGTTCTTCACTGCTACCTCAACAACCCTCGTTGTATTCCTAGTAAGCTCGGAAGATATGAGTTTTAATATCTTCTCTTGACGAGCAAAATCAGCTTCCTGTTCATGAATGCGAGCATCCTCGAACCGCTGATCTATTGAGGAGAAAACAATTAGATGATATGTGAACACAGGTGAATGTATGACAATTACTTTGTTTGTCCATCTCTTTACTAAGAAGACGTGAGATCCTCGTGTGCAGGTTCTCCTCGGTCCTTTTTATTTCTTTGCTCAGCGCCTGCCCCAGCGCTGACTCGTTGATGATAGCGCCGTCCCCTGCTTTCGAGTTGTTCTTGTCCTTACCACCAACACTTTCTTCCCTTTCTCTCTCCCTCTCTTTTTCCTTCCAATTGACATTTTTCTTCCCTCGACCAGTCTTAGGCTCTGGACGCACCTCCTCTCGAGTGACGTCAGCTTCGTTGTCTTCGTAGGGTGGCGTCCTTACCCGGGCTGGAGGGGGTGGATTCGGTTGACTTGCAACATGAGTCGGGCTGGGAGGTCGCTGCGCTGCAGGCCGTGGTTGGTTCTTTGCTGACTCCTGAACCAGCGGAGCAGGTTGAGGAGGACTAGGTGTATTCTGCACAGCAGTGTGCTGCTGTTGAACTTGTACGTTCGCCGTCGCTTCAGGCACTAGCTGTGCGGGCTGATGCGAGGGCATCTGGGGAGACGTGGCATAAAGAGGAAGTTTAGCCTGCGCGGTTATCAACGCATTCTCGTACCACTCCTTCCTGATGAGAACCTGATCAACACCACTAGAATGAACTGCGAAAGCAGCGAGAGCGAGCTCTCCCGGAGGTACTTTACTCGCTACACACGCGGCGTAAGCTTCGTCTCCATTCGGATCTGAATCAGCGGTAAGGATGACAAAATGGATAGAGGCTTTAGTTCCACTAAATTCGAGGGCCTGCTCGAAACAGCCTCGGATGGCTTCCTCGCCATTCACAGTGACGGTTTCAAGGTTAATTCGCAACCCAATCATGCTCTCTCTACGGGAGTTGGCAACCCACAGCGTCTGGACCCGTGAGTCGTAGCAAGCATGCCCGAACATATCAGGATCCTCGAAAGAGCCGTTGATGAACTTGACCGTAGAAAGTACAGTTTTGTCCGTCATGGAAAGCAGTTGGAAGATGGTACCACATTTCCTCCCCACCACGATACCCCCTTCGACGAAAGTGAGAGAAGAAGGGTAATCTTCTCCGCGGACCTTGTGAGTAGAGTACGGAACTTGATCTTGCACGTTCCAAATGGTAAGGGTGGAGTCTGCGCTTAAAGTGGCGATAGCGTAATGCAAAACATCAAAATCGAACGCAACAAGGGGCTTTGACTTTCTTCAGCCAACGTCAAGTACTCTAGATTGCAAAAATTGACTCACAGACGACATTGGGAAAATTTGGCCAATATGCTGAAGCTCGGACTGCGTCAAGACCTGCCCTCTTAGCGCTGGCGCATTCGCCAGATCTATCAAGCATAATTGGGACTCCGAGGCCACTACCAGTGTGTCTCGGTCCTTGGGATGCCATTTAACCATCGTCAGTGCACTTTCCTGATGGGTCGAAGGTCCGATGCATAAGAGTATTTGCGCACTGAGGTGGAATCAGATATTATTCTGATGACGGTCACAACAAGCACATACGGAGCGTCATCAGTAATAATTTCCGGGAACTCCCAAACAACAAAACCTCCGTCCATGGTCACCCCGGCGAGCCTGTTCCCGTACGCAGCCATATCAATGACGCTTGATAATGGGGAGAATACAGATGGAAGTTGCAGCAGAGTACGGTCCCCGCTTGCTCTGGAGATGATACGTAGACGGCCTGGAACATCATTAGATAAATTTAAAGACGCAAATGAGCGGGCCGTGTACCCTTTGTCATCGCATACGCTACCCAGTGAGTCGCACCAATGGTCGAACCAGGAAGAAACACTGGGTCTTGCTTGACTAACGCGATAGGCGTGCATTTAACGTAATCGCGAGGAGCCTGAATCTCTTCCAGCGGTTGGGAAACATCGAACACGACATTGTGGAGTTGAGGCCTGTAACATGCCATGAGGATATAACCAGCAGAATTTTTTTTCCATGAAATCACGCACCCAGGACTGTTCACGTTGTTAACACGAGCAATATTCTTCCCCTTGCCACCCCGTATACTTCCCCTCGCAGTCAAACCAGGACCAGGTGAACTTTCCTTGTCCCTGCGGTTCGCGTTGTTATTTCCGGTAGAACCTTGTTGACTAACAGGAGATTCAAATGCACGATTACGTTGAGCCTGGGTCTTGGAAGGAGAAGGAGACGCCGCCCGATTCAGAGATCCTGCAGCCTGCTTTTGTTGTGGCGGAGGCGCTGGAACCTGGATCTGCATTTGTTCCGGGTAGCTGTACTCATGATATGGGTCGAATTGTCCCCCAATTTGAGGAGCGAGCTGGGGCTGAGGTTGCGACGGCGGTGGGATATGAGACCTGGCCAATGTTTCTAGCAGATTATCCACCGATTGTCGTTTGGGATCTGGGCCAGAAACTGCAGTCCATGAACCAGAATCATCATTGGCGCTAGAAACGCTTGGAGCTGGTTGAGATTTCTTTTTCATTGGCCCAGATCCAGTTAAGGCGTCGAACGGAGAAACAAAGTCGAACATGGATTTGGGAGGAGAAGGTGGCCGGTTTTGCGGCTGTGAAGCGGGTTGAGGGTAAGGGGCTTGGTAGGGTTGGTAACTAGGCTGCTGCACGTTCCGAGCATGCTCAACTGCAGGATCGTGTGCTACATATTGCCGGAAATCACTCTCTCCGGAATACGGAGGCGCAGAAGAAGTATCAGGAATGGAACTTTGTTGAGAGCCAGAATAGCTGGATCGTGTGGGTTGCCTGAATAGAAGGATTTCAGGAAACCAGTTGAAAAAAGTACAGATATGAAATATTAGCGATCAATACCAGTTCAGATCTCGCGTCGAGACTTTACTGTAATGGACCAAGTCAAGAAAGCAGAACTCACCCCGTCATAAGCTGTTCAAGCAAGAACTTTCCCTGAGCCTCGCTATGCGTAGGGGCAGAGCCTGGCGGAGTAGGAATCTGAGGCTGCGATGGCTGCTGTTGAGAACTAGTTCCAACGTTCCCAACGTTGCTCTGGGTAGCTGTAGTACCCGTAGCACCACTGAGCAGATTCAGCAAAGCACTCTGTCTGTCAGCAGCAGAAGAATTGGAAGCAGTAATATTGGAAGTAGGGATACCGGAAGAAACAGGCTCGTCAGAAAGGGATATAACTGAAGTTTCCGGCATGGAATTACTGAGACTATCTGCAGAAAGATGCTCAGCAGGTGAGGACGAAGACAGTTGTTGGAAAAGAGAGTCGATCTGATGGCCTGGAGAGATATGATGAAGATGAGGACCCTGTACAGGAAGTTGGTACTGTTGGGGCTGAGCTGGCTGTTGCATTGGCGGCGTCGAGCCACGAGAGAAGAGATTTTGTCGATTATCCATTACGCTCAAGGAGCGAGATGAGAAGACGGTGGATGATAGACCTTCCCAAATTTCAAAGCTGGGCTTAGATTCACCACGACGCTTAACACGAGCAGACCACGAGGCGTTTGATTCTTCGGCTATTCCCGGGTGCGATAAGTATCTTCAGAGAATTTATTTAACGCCACGAATCCAGGTGCATATGATTTTTGGATTGTCAAAGCTCAAACCCAAACAGCCCTCTCAAGGAGAAAATTGTGAGTTGCTGAAGGATAGGAAAATAACCGGCACAAGGAGTGAGAGACGGCTGGTGCCTTACTTACAGCACGCGGAATGAATGTGTTGTACCTCCGCATCGTGCCTAATGGAAGCATTCTAAAAAGGCTCCGATATCATGTACGAAAAGCTGCATTGCGACGACCAACAATAATTGGATTCGGAAGAATTCGAAACATCTTTAAACGTGCCAAAGTTTAAGTAGACGTGCCACGAACGAACAATCTCTTTTGAAAATATCAAAATTCTATAACTGTAATCCATGTCGCGGAGTTGATTGCCAGGTAAGTAGGATATAAGGTATAGATCAGGTTTGGGTATCACCTCGAGGACCGTGTACAAGCTGAAAATATACAGTCCTGTCCTAGTCAAATATCGTTGAGACTAGGGTCTTTGCCAAAGATGCAAACTTGCCAGTGTTACTCTCGCTGGATCTTAGCAAAACTAGAATTTGAAAAACATGTCGAAGGGGCGAAGCCGGGGTCTTCACCGTTTTAGCGCCGCCATAAGCGCCGTCTACTTGCTCGTGAACAGTGAACACCTACAAAGTGCAACTATATTCAACCGCTGCTGGCACAGCACGCCCTTTCTCTCTGAGCTAATCCGCAGAAAAACTCTTCCTAAAAGAAAATCATCGATCCCCAACTCACTCACACGCGCAAAATTCGATCTTCTCTTACACACTTTTACTGAATAAATCATGGCAAACAAAGGATGGTTCAACCTAGAATCCGCAGGAATAGGGATTCCAGAGACGCAGTTTTTTGAAGGAGACTCGGCGTTCAAGTTTTTGGGATTGTCGAGGACTACGAGGCTGTATGGATTTATGGGCTGGTGCGTTTCATAATCTACCCGGGTGTTGGTCCGACTAACGTTCTTCTGCCCACAGTCTGGCGATCGGCTTTGTGCTTAGTATCTTGGGCTCTATCGTCCTATTCTTGGCTCAGCTTGCATTGTTCGCGATACTTTATGCATTGGGAACTGTCATCTCTCTTGCTGGCACTGGATTCTTGATTGGTGTACGTGACCTATCACATCCTCTTTCAGTGTCTTTTACTCAAGATGCTCCTGTACGCTAGTTTGGTACCCAGTTGAAGCTTGTGAGCATTTCGCTTCGGTGATAGGTTCAGAGACTGAATTATGGGTGCATAGATGTTCAAACCTGTGCGGATTGTCGCGACACTTGTCTTCCTTGGTTCAATAGGCCTTGTATTCGTGGGCGCATTTGTTATACGTAGCGATGTATGTTTCTGCCTTCTGTGATCTCAACCACTGCAAGTAATTGACTTTCAATTTACAGGTCCTTTGTATTAGTACGCGTGTAGTTCCAATCCTGCATTGCCCTAAAACAGCTAACTTTTGGTTCTGCTCCAGTTTTCGTCATCATCGAATATCTTGCATATACGTGGTACTCAATTTCGTATATTCCGTATGCACGTTCCGCTGTCCTCAAAGCCGTTGGTCTCAGTTAAACACATCGATTTCAACTGGAAGTATCTGGGCTGGTAAGGATGCTTCGCCTCTATGTCTTTCAGAACCCCTCTGTAATTTATTTTGTGGGTAGTCATCGGAATACTTCATCTTCCTATTGATACTGTGTGGATTGTCCAACTATATCTTCTCCTGCCACTCCTCTGTTCTTTTCTGTTTCTTTGTATACTAAAACTTAGGAGTTTCATGTGTCCATCTGTCTTGTAAGCTGGATAGTGGGACATATTTCATATCATACGATACAAACGACGCCCTAAGTAGAGTATACATGCTTGAAGTATCAAGTACGAAATTTGTTCGAGTTGTGTGGTTATTCAAGCCTATAAGTTTACATTTTATTTGGCCTAGTAGCCTACCCTCTGAAATTGTTCTTCTTTTCTCTGAGTGCATCCATTACAACGCTAGCAGAGGCTTCAGCAGACACTCCGGCAGCTTGTCTGGCGAGGAGAGTCAACATCGAGCCAAGACTGAGAACCTTGAACACATTCTGAATCTAAACTCACCTTACTGTGGCATTACCAAGACGCATGAATATATTCCACTCTTTTTCTTCCCTTATTGTCGTGAGTCCGGTAACAATCTCATTGCTTTTGACTAGTTCATCAAGTTTCGCAAAAGCCTTATTCTCTGGTTCGATGGTTTTGGCAAATGCAAGACTTCCATTGGTATATTCATGGCCATTGTAGACGATTGTGCTGTCAGGAAGAGTACCCAAATAGGATAAAGCTGCATCCATCTCTGAACCGACGCCTTCGAAGAAACGACCGCACCCGGCGATAAAGAGTGTGTCACCAGTGAAAACGCCTCCCTGATGATTCTTGTTTACAGTATCGGTGACATAGTAACAGATAGAGTCTTGAGTATGGCATGGAGTCGATAAGCACCTGGGAGTCTCGTTAGGTATGTTAAACGGAGCCGAAATCCCGAACGCACTTGATATGGATATCACCGAGCGTAAATTCGTCTTTATCCTTGACCAAGTTGGTTAATGCAGGTATCTTGTCACTGCCGCCGTAGATAGGCACACCAGGGAACTTTGAAACCTAGGTAAAGAACAAGTTTGATTCCTACCCCAAGCGACGCCGAAACACCACATACGAATTCCTATTTCAGACAAGAGGGGATATAGTCAAACGACCACGACCGGAAGAGACGCGCAAGTACCTTGTTTCCTCCACTATGATCGAAATGATGATGTGTAGTAATTCCCGCTACGAGCTGAACGCCTGAAATTAACATTATGATAATCATTATCCCAACATAACGATGTAATGAATTCATACCAAGATTATCTGCTGCAGCGACGACCTTGTTTACATCATAAGGGTCTACTGCAGCAGCAGTCTTTGAGGCATCATCAATGAGTAAATATGCGTAGTTATCTTGACGAACTGGAATTGGGACAATCTGCATCGCGCGCCTGATTGTGGAAAAAGAGAAAGCACGACGCTGAAGTCTCTGCATAAAACTTGAAGCTTTACTACTGGCTACAAGGGTCCTATAATCTTCAACAATCTAATCGCGCGGACAACTGACTAAGCAGCCGGTCTAGATCTCTTATCTGATGATTGATTCCCTTGATACAGATGCTGTCCGCAAATTTTGATTGTTGGTTTACTTGCTTCCACCACAATCAGGCCTGAAATCATTCACTTCAAACATCCGATTTGTGCTGGTCACATCGGTATCATCATGCCTCCGTATGAAAACTCTCTTGCTGGTCAAAGTATATCGGTAAGCCTTCGACACTATTGAAAGGAATTTACATTCATGTTATATGCCCATCAGGAGAAAAAAAACATGGGCCATCCCTTTTCGAATCGACATCTGGGTCCAGGGGGCTCTGGTGACAGTAGCGTTACTTGCTCTGAGTCTGGAACCGTTTCTTCTCCGTCCGCCTCATTCAGTTCCATCCTCACCCCCGTTGTCACACCTTCCTCTTCATCCGCCCCTCTGAGTGCCCCAATCACTAGTACTCTAGCCACCTCTGTTACGATGTTGCCCTCGGCGTCCGCTGTACCTAGTAGCGCTAGCAATAGTTCCGCTCTCTCTCAGAGTAAAGTCAATGCAGGAGCTATCGCAGGCGGAGTAATCGGTGGACTCGTCTTTATCGCGTTGGTCATATTGGGGGTCATCCACGTACGACGTCGCCGAAGGCTTCACACCGCGCCCTCTGCAGAATTCATGTCAGGACGTGCGTTGATAAACCCTTTGGGATCCGCACCTGGTGCTGGCCGCTCCACGTCACAGTTCAGCACTACGAGTCAACTGTCTGCGACTCCCCGTGATGCATTTGCTGCTGCCCCGCCCGCGTTTACACCTGGTAATTATCCCTATCCATTTCCAGAGAAGCTCGGTAACATGATTCCATTGTGATGTTGGCAATGACTTCAAACTGTGCATACATTATGAAGAATACCTTTGGGGTGACACTCTAGTTTTCAATTTCAACTGTACCTACGCGCAGGAATACACTTTTTTCTCGATCTTTCATCATGGCTGTAATTGAGCTACTTTTACGATTAATATTATTATTATTAAGGCTAGTTGTACATGTGTATGTATCCGATATGCATGCATATTTATGCTACATTAGATAAAGTACATAACTTTCACGAAGTTGGGACAAGTCAACAACGCTCATGCATGATGGCAATATGCCCTATCTGGTCGATCTATTGATAATACGTCTCCCTCTTCGCGTCGCCTTGGTGAGGATGTAAACTGATTTGAACCTCGTCCTCAGTTTTCTCTTCCGACTTGGGGATCACTTTTCCGCGCGCTTCTCTCTTCAATTCTGAGTACTTCTTGAGATAATGCTCAGTAATGCTCGCACGGAGCCGCTCATAATTTTCTGGTGTTGCACGCTCATTTCCCCGCAGTCCCGCACTTTCTTCCAACCGCTGGAGATCTTCCGCTGTGAGCATGGGACGACGAAAAGTTGGGAGAGGGGTGGTAGACGGCCCAACACCAGTCGGTGAAGATGTAGACGATAGGGAAGATGAGGCTGAAGGCCTGACTCTGGACCTCTGCCACTCCTTCTCGACCTTTTCTTTGAGAGCTTGAACAGCGGTGCGAGAGAGACTCATGTCGTTGTTTGAATAAACCGTAGAGTGATTGTTACTGGGAGTGTTTACTGGCTCACGACTTCCTTCGCCGTTCAACTTGTGAACCTCATTCACAGCATGGTAATAAAGCCCGTTCTCATCCCTAAGGTAATGGACTGGCAAAAGTCCTTCTTGATTCGTTTCCTCTCGCGCGCCCCAGTAGAATTGAGGTTGACCTTTGGAGACCTGCTCTGCTTCAGGGAATCCCGGATCGTTTTCGACCAGCGACATCCGAGTTTTGAACAAATTATCCAAGTCCTCCACAGTGTAGGCTCCTGATCGTGGAATATCATTTTGAAGGTAGTTGGCGGAATCGAACGCGTTGGAAGTGAAGTCGTGTGCCTGTGCCTCCGACATCAGTTCTTGCCTGGACATAAATGATGTATCGGGGTTCCAGGTAAGAGAGATATCATTAGTCGAAGTCGCACTGGGAACGGCCCCAAAGGGATTTGTAAACGTAGGGACTCTATCATAATTCCATTGAGAAGTGAGATTCGTGAAATCGGTGTTCAGATCGTTCGGACTGCAGAGCTATCAGGTACATGAAAGCTTAGAACATTATTGCCTACACTCAGAAAATTGTGCGACTTACGGCCATAGGGTTCATCGCGTGCGGACCTACATTTCCCTCAGACCATGTATACCACGTATTTGGTTTTTTTGGAGCAGCGTCCCATCCTGGAGCATCTCCAGGAGGAGCGATAGTGTACGGTCCAGTAGTTAGCGGGGAACCGCTACCTGGGTCAGTAGCCCACCATTGTGCCGAAGATAGTGTATTACCTGTCGATGGAGGAGTTGTGTTTGCAGGGTTGGAATCAAATGAGTAAAGTGGCATGATAGACTGATACATGATCGCTCGACTGGGGCGACGGGCAAGATCGTCCCTCGTCATTAAAGGGGCCGAGAGCCCCAGCATATCGGATTGGGTCAGGCCAAAGGAAGGACGACGAAGAACCGGGAAGGCCCCTGGGGGAGGGCACGAGGAGGAGCGTCTTAAGGACGCAGTGGGAGGTGTGAATGAAGGAGATGGAGTCCAGTTAGGGCTCACGCTAGGACTAATCCCTTTGCCACTGATTGGTTCTGTGGTAGAATAAAGAACCTTCCTGATTTGTGATTCCCTGCCTCTACCTTCACACCCAGGATGATATTTGTATCCCGGATGCGCCTTAGCGTGGTTCTTCTTTTCTATTTCTGCCATCGCGATCCAGGGAGCTTTCTGGCTAGCGCTCATACTTTTCCAAACGGAACCAACAATGCGCGAGATATTTCGATGATTTGCTTCAACGTGGTCGGGCACCTTTTTCTGGCGGACAAAGTCGCATCTAAAGAGAATGAAAGCATTCCGGGGGCGAGGTATATGTCCCGCGGGTTGCTTTCGAGCGTGAGATTTTTTCTTCTGTCCCGGTGGAGCGTTCAGTGAGGAGGTGTCCGGATAGGGGAGTGAGGAAGAGAGGACGCCGGGGGAGCTTTCATGTTGAACATGGGTATCGAGGTCATCATCAGACAAAGGCAATGGAGATGGTAAGGTCATATCAGTAGGGACACTCATCCTACGTCGAGGTATACGAGAGCGTGAATGAAGGCGTTACAGCGTTAGTGGTCGTTCAAGGAGTAGTGGCTTCGTAACTGTGTCTGATAGTGGTAGTGGAAGGGATAGCAGAGTAAAGACGAAACAGTGGTGGCGATCTTAGATGTAGAATCTAATTCGCCACGAGTGAAATATCAAGAAAAAGGGCGTCTTTGTAGACCAGGATTTAGATCCATACACGTTGCGAAAGAAAGAACATACCGATAATTTTACAAAGACTTTCTTTTTGCGAAAAGCCCTTCAAAAATTTGGTGGGCTGTCACGTTCGTGATGAATGGACGTTGTGTCGCGTCGTCGACCTGGTTCATGAATGATTCCATGCCTATAGGAAGTCAAAGGGTCAAGAATCAATGTTTATTTTATTCCCAAAACGCGTCGAAGAACATATCTAATGGGGATAAGGACCGGAGACGCGAGACGCAAGTCTACCACATGCCTTCTGCCTATTGTTCGACTGAAAAGGAAAGTGTTGTCATGAGGTTTTTGTCAGCGCATTGAGGTTTGATCATGAGGTCTTCATCTAAGTTTTCCTGGTATTGAGGGCTGGTGATTCAGAATATCGAACCACAGCTAACTAAAAGTTAAAAAAAGAATGAGTGCAGTCTGTGCAGGGGGGTCACTCAAAGGTTGAAGGAACACTGCATGCAGATTAAGAGGTAGCAAATGAGTATAATATATAGATCTGGTACACTAGAATATTCAAGAGGCGAAAAATACACGAGTCACCGTACCCTAATCGCTAAGAATAGCTTGTACAACGTTGGAGACCCTTAGTTGTCGTAGGTCAGTATAAGTCTACAGAAAAGTCTTAGGAATATTGATTGTGATGGTGGAGAGAGGCTTCACCTGGCCACAGCCAACGAATATGATTGGCTGTCCAGTAACGTAGGTCATTGACAGAGCGGCACCGACCTAGAGATCACCACGAAGTGAGCCATAGATATGTACAAGGAAGATGAACGGGATAAAGAATGAGCACATCTAAGAATGATACACAAATACACCGTACCTTGTCATCTACAGTATCCCACTTGGTAACCAACATCCCATCTATTCCTCTTTCCTTCCCAGAACCACTTCCAGAAGAAAAATCGCGCATCGCACGGTCGAATTTTTTGAGTTGATCAACAGCTTCGTTTCCAACGAGAGCTTCACCAACAAAGATGATTTTGTCGGGATTGTTCACTGTCACAAGCTGAAATGAAAGCAATGAAATTCTCGGCATTAGAAGATAGGAAGGACGTACTTTGGCTAAAGCACGCATGAGGGGCTACATATAAAGCGCATTTCAGCATTTGCAGCTAAGCTTCCCTGGAGACATACCTCGTTGTCTTGCATACGACCAGCAGTATCAATCAGCACAACGTCGAAATTGTTGTCGCGAGCTGAACAAGCCTTGAATTGAGTAATATGCGAGAACACATCATATCTTACCGTAGGAGATGGCTTCCTTAGCAATACCCGCGGCGTCCTTTCCGTAACCGCGCTCGAAAAGCTCCACTCGACCTTTACTATCAGCAGCACCATCTAAGCCTAACACACTCAGATTACGGACATGTACCCGAAGCTGCTCAACAGCGCCGCTCCTGAATGTATCGCACGCGGCGATGAGGACTCGGAGGCCATTCTGAATGAGCCAAAAGCACACTTTAGACAAGTTAGTGCTCTTGCCTACTCCATTAACACCGACAAACGTCATCGAGTATGGTATACGCTGCTGTGTCGATGTGAGAGGTGAAGATAGCTTGGTTCGAATGGATAACAGTAGGTCCGTCGAGGTTTTAGGCGTCAAAATTCTTGTTATGGATGTGGAAAGCGCCATTCGAACAGCATTGTTAGTCGCTACGAATCAGGTCAGAGACGATGTTATCGTGATAACATAGAAGCCATCGTTACTTTGAAAACCTCCAACCTTTTTTCCGATTAAACTTTCACCTACTCCTTCGCATACCTTATCTGCAATCTCCTTCGCAACATTCTTCTTCATGAGATGTTGTTTCATCGCTTCTAATACAGGCTTAAGGTCCTGCTCGGTGAGAGTCTTCGATCCAGTTAGTCTGGAGAAGAGGGAGCCTAGAGTTCCCACAGTGCCGGAGTTTGTCGACATTGTTTCTACTTCTGCCGTTTTGAGGGCGGCGGAAACAGTATTGTCGACCTCGAATTCCCAATCCTTTACTTCGTAGAGCCCATCTTTGTTGCGAGAGCCCATGGAGGCTTCATCGAGAAGTGATTGTATATTTTTTGAGGAACTCAGACCATTCACGTCGGCTTTCTCAGCGCTGTAATCCAGGGAATCCATGTCTGCTTCGGTCGGAGCTTCGTCTCCCCATTTGCGACCAGCTTTCTTCGTAGTTTTACGTTTGGGGGTGGTCTCAGATCTAAAGCATGTGAGAAGATGAGGACGAGGACAAAAGGTTCCAGCTGACGCACTCTGAATGATTGACGCTATCTCTGCCGCTTCCAGACTCCACAGACCGCATGCTTGGCCTTCCACCCCTTCTGCCTCCGCGACCTCGTAAACGAGATTTGAGGGCTTGAACGTTTCGAGCAATTTGTCGTTCGTCCTGTGTAGCATCTTCCGATTGTGAAGGCTCTGCGCTGGGTTAGTCATGGCGAAAAAAAACTCAGGGGACTGCATCACCCGTGCTTTGGTCGTCCGAGAGGGGGGGAGACTCTAGAACCGGTTGCGTATGAATAGGACCTCGCAACCTCGACTGGCGCTCCTAAAATTGTAAGTATATAAGATATGCAGAGCTATCCAGAAGTAGGATGAACCTGAGCGGCTTTGTCTTCTAGTTTCTTGAGAAGCGCTTCAAAGTATGTGTCCCAACCTTCAAATGCAGAAGCTAGGTTCAAGGATGTAACAAGACCCGCAGCAGACCCTTTGCCCCTACTATCAGCATGCAATGACGCTACGAATGTAGTCAGGAATGGTTGGAATAGTTTGACAAAGATAGCCTTTAGTGCAGCCAGCAGCTCATCAACATAGGAGAGTTGAAGGATCCGTTGATACGCGACCTGAATTTCGGAAAATTATCTACGAGGGGTTGTTTCTGGAATGAAAAAGACGTACGACGAATATCAACTCTAGATCATTGACGAAAGTCCATTTCACTGCATACCCGTCCTTTTCGTATTTCTCGCCAGTGGTTCTACTTTCAATCAAACCCTCCCTGATGAGTGAGTTGACCGGAGAAGCCGCGGAAGATGCGATGTGAGAAGCCTCCGGAGTAAACGACCGTGACCATAAGACAATTCCTCCTGGAAAGATTGGTCGGAAAATTATATGATTCAACAAAGAGTGACGTGTGGACCTTTATGTGATATCGAACAATGGTCGAGCATGATGACAGGAGAGAGGAAACTTGGAGATTAGACCCGGGTTGTGGACGGAAGAAATTATTGGAGTTTCGGTATTGATTACGTACTCAAAGTTCTTTGTCCTCGAACTATCATGAGTGCCCTCGCTGCGTCAGTATCCCACTCTCTTTTCCCTTTTGAAAATATTCTGACGTTTGCTTAGTGCCCTGCCAAAGCCTCTGCATACCTCTGTTGAAGATGAAGAGGACGAATACGCTCAATATGCTCGACCTGCTCCCTCTACCTCTCAGCAAGTAATAGCGAGGTTCATCGTTCCACCGTATGGGCAGAGGAAAGGTTGGAAACCCTCAAAGGTAGAGGACTATGGTGCGTTAGTCTGCTCAGCTCAAAATTGCTCGTTATTGACCGCATCTCTACAGGTGACGGAGGTGCATTTCCTGAATGCCATATTGCTCAGTATCCGCTAGAGATGGGCCGTAAGAAGGTAAGTTTCAGCTCTTTTACTTGCCTTAATTCTCTCAGACTCTGGTTAGGCATCATCTGGAAATACACTCGCCCTCCAAGTCGACAGTGAGGGTAACGTTCGCTACGATGCTATTGCCCACCAAGGGCAACGACCAGACAAGATAATCCAGTCTCAGTTCAAGGATTTGGTCCCCCTCGCTCAACGAAAAGACCTTGATGATTCGGATCGTCAGATGGAACGTCCTCCAGACGAGGAAGTTCAGGCAACGGCAGACAAGACACGAGCTGCTCTTGAAAAATTGGTTAATGGTAAAATCAAAGCCGCACAGCCGAAAAACGTCCCAGGTAGTCTGGCAAAAACCTCTTTCATTCGTTACACACCAGGACAACAAAATGGAGATGGGCTCAAGCAAAGGATCATCAAGATGTCCGAGATCGTTGAGGACCCTCTTGAGCCTCCCCGTTTCAAACACAAGAAGATTCCTAGAGGTCCTCCTAGTCCCCCACCTCCGGTTCTTCGCAGCCCACCTAGGAAGGCTACAGCGGCTGAGCAGAAGGAATGGATGATTCCGCCATGTATATCGAACTGGAAGAACAACAAGGGTTTCACTATTCCCCTGGATAAGCGGTTGGCTGCTGATGGACGAGGTTTACAAGACGTGAGTGCTAATATTGCCACTGAATGAGCGCTAATTATGGTTTTTCAGGTTCATATTAATGATAACTTTGCCAAATTTTCAGAGGCCTTGTTCGTCGCTGATCGTCATGCACGGGAAGAAGTCCGTCAACGTTCCTTGATGCAACAAAAACTCGCACAGAAGGAAAAGGCATCGAAGGAAGAAAACCTCCGAATGCTTGCTCAGCGCGCTCGCGAGGAGCGAAATGGCAGCATTCCGAAACCCACGGCCGCCTCTCAAGCTGCTCTAAAGTCCTCATTGGCTGCATATGGAAGCGATAGTGATTCCGATGGTGAGTCTGGATCCGAGTCAGTTGATAGCGCGGAAGATGAGGAGGCAAAGAAGATTCGTGACGAGATGAGAAGAGACAAGAGGCGTGAGCGAGAACGAGAGATGAGGATGAGCAACATGGGTCAGGAACAACGTGCTAAGCAGCTCGCACGTCAGCAAAACCGGGACATTTCAGAAAAGGTGGCCCTCGGATTGGCGAAACCAACGATGTCGAAGGAATCCATGCTTGACTCTCGGCTGTTCAACCAGGAATCCCTATCAGGAGATTTTGGCAACGACGAGTCATATAATTTGTATGACAAACCCTTGTTCCACGGTTCAACTGCTGCCGCGGCAATATACAAGGCTCGCGGGAACATTGAGCAGGGCAACGAGGAGTCGTTTGGAGGCGGAACGGATGAGGGTATCGGGAAGGCTTTGGATAATGACCGGTTTAGCCTTGGTCGTCCCCAGGTTGGGTTCGAGGGTGCGAGCGACCAGGAAGTCAGGGAAGGTCCCGTGCAATTCGAGAAGGATACGTCGGATGTCTTTGGTGTCAATCAGTTCTTATCAGAGGCTAGTACGGGTAAAAAAAGAGGTTTGGACTCTGCCGGGTAAGTTGTTCACTGTCCCAAGTCGTGTCAGTTGAACTTATTTGTCTTCTCTTCAGTGGAAGTGGTTCACGGAAACGACAACAGTTAGACCGTGCAGAAAACCAAGACTAGTCTTCCCTGATGTCTCTTGACCAGACCGTCTCCTCGTACGGTGTTATGTATCTGCCACATTATCGTGTATTATTATCCTCAAATATCAAAGGATGCTACCATAACTTCTAGACGCTTGTCGACCGGCCTTTCACAGAAATTCTACTGGAATTCGAACAGTTTGAGTGAATTGGGCTTTCACGGGAAAGGTAACATTGAAGAGGTAGAAAGTTGGTGCGGTGTGATTGATGCTCAGAAGCCCAACGATATTCAAAAAGAACGAGATGCATGATTGAGGTAATCTCATATTCACAGAGACGTCTCCTAATTGGCGTTGATTGTAAGCAAATTGGTCTATGTCGCTGTGGCTTTATGCTCATCGTAGCTTCAGGGGAGAAAGCCTACCAGTTGTCTTCAGGAAAACCAATCAAGATCACAGAAATCTTGACCCATCCTGACCTACCTCCTCAATAAGCTCGGAACGGCTGTGGCCGTTGAATGTACTTACCTAAAGATGTTCATCATATCCTTGAGAATCATTCTCGTTTTCACTTCCTCTCCTTCTCCGATCTTCTTATACTTCTTAGGTTTCGCGTCGGGGTTATTACTCTATGGATTCACTTCGCGTTTACGTTGTGACTGTGTCCAATATGGCCATAACGCACTGCATTTAGTATTTCGGTACAATTCGGACGTCGAATTACTTTGGTAGAGGTTTACATTCCATATAAGTCTTTCCAGGCTCCATAGGTAACGAACAATAGAAACCAAGGGACTGTGAAACGAAAAATGGGGTGAGACTCATGAATCCGCGAAGAGGATGAAGATTGTTCAGAACTATTGAGCTCATGTACGATCAAACACACCTGCATGGCTGCAAACATTTGCTTTGAATTCATCTGAAGCTATATATCGCCAGGAACAGGAACCAGGTTCAAGTAGAATTTGTATGTAGTAACAAGTTCAATGTGCGTTCATGAGGGAATATCATGAGGACCCTGGAGAAATTGGAGAGTGATAGATGCTGCACACCGTTATACACTCGTGGTCTTTCGGGTCATCTCTACAAATTTCTGATTGAGGGGCATCCCGTTCGCTGTCGAAAGTGTAGTTATTATTTGGAGTGCGCTGGTAAAAAGATCCCATGAATCATGAGATACTATGGGCCGGCAAATACAGCATTCCTTACAGATATAAATTCCCGTAGAGCTACCTGTGGCTCTTCGGCTTCACTTGCTTGCGATTTTGCAGTAGTAGGATTTGTGAACATCGAGGAGAAAGAGAAAATAATAAAATGTCCGTGACATCATAATCATATGATCCATATCGCACAGCCACTTACAGCTACTGGAGCAGCGCCTACGTAGCAGCGCTTCAACTTCCTGTGTACAATTGCAGAACAACCTTTATAAAGTAGTAATAAAATCGCAGTGTTGTTTGAGCCTATATAGTTCTCTATAACAATCTACCATCCACGGGTAGCAAGTCGTCCACCGGTGAGACTGTCGTCTCTATTATGAAGATGTAAAGACCGTCGTTTTGAAAGTGACATGTAATTAATATACTCACATTGTGAGTCCTACCATTGCTGGGCCCAGGTTTTCCGAAACCTAAATAGCGGTAGAGTTCAGTTCAATGACGATAGGTGACACATGTAAGTCGTACCTCTGCCAGGATTTTGGGGTTGTTGTAATGTGTCACCTAGCGTAAATGGATATCATTTGTTAAAAGAATGAAAAAGAATGATTTCTTTGAAGAACACTGAAGTGATGTGGGAATCCTTACCGCTTGAACAATTGCACGAGCACGCTTGGCAGCATCCTGAGACTATTGGGAAAACATTAGCATTAGCCGTTTGATTAAGAAAATCATAATGGGACATACTTTGTAGATTCCTGATCCCACGAATACTGTAAGGGACGGATAGCAAGTCGGGGCTCAGAAGCTGTCGAGAACACAACGACTGAAACACCGATACGCACCTCCATCGCATCCGAGTTGCATCATCAACGCAGCGTCAGCTGAATTGAAGGATAAATATAAATTTTACATTCAAAACGATACAGGATACACGTACCGGGCGTAGCAATCCCTCCAGCAGCGAAGTTAACGACAGGAAGGCGTTTAAGCCTCGCAGTCTCCTTGAGAAGATGGAATGGAGCTTGGATATCCTTAGCATAAGCGTATAGTTCCTCCTCGTTCATCGCACTAGCTTTTCGGATCTCGCTATTAACAGTGCGTTCGTGGCGGACACTAAAAGAGTTGAAAAGCAATAAGAACCAGATAGAGCGCTATTGCATATAAATCCTGTCAGACTGACGCTTCCACTACATTTCCGGTTCCTGCTTCGCCTTTTGTACGTATGAACGCTGCACCCTCTGAGATACGGCGCAGCGCTTCGCCGAGGTTACGAGCACCACATACGAAAGGAACTTTGAAGTTGTGCTTGTTGATGTGATGTTCCTCGTCAGCTGGAGTGAGGACTTCCGATTCATCGATATAGTCAACGCCAATAGCTTGTAAAATCTGCATTGCAAACCGTGTCATCTCTGGCCGCAAGAACAATATCATATTATCCCTACCTGGGCCTCTACAAAATGACCAATCCGACATTTAGCCATGACTGGGATAGTGACTGCGTCTGAACGGTAAAACTAAGTGTCGTGCGGGTGGTGTACATTGTGATACGGATTCTTACCAACGATTTCCTTGATCATCGCCGGGTCACTGAAAGAATTGGATTTAGCGCCGATTTGAAACAGAAGCAGATATATCTCATCCAGACCTCATTCTGGCAACACCTCCTTCTGCCCGAATATCAGCAGGAACTCGTTCAAGAGCCATAACAGCACATGCTCCAGCTTCTTCGGCAATACGCGCCTGAAGTCGAAATCAAAACGTGAACTATTTTTTCCCTATGGATTGAAACGAACCTGTTCGGGGTTCACAACATCCATAATGACCCCTCCCAGTAAAATGCACAAGAAATAAGCGGTTTGGAGACGGGCTCAAACAGCTTGTACTCACTTTGAGCATCTGTGCAAGCCCGGATTTTACCTGTTATGAAACTTGTTAGATGATCTATTCTTTCTTCCCTGAAACACATCGCGTACGCCGAAAGTGCCCAGAGTAGAGCTTGCTGCGCCATCGCGCTGAGCAGTAGAACGAGTAGGAGCGATGGAAGGTGTACTGACGCCGCCTGCAACGGCACCTTGAGGGGTAGGCGAAGGAATGGGGCTGGTCATGATGACTGTTAGGGAAGAAGAGGCTTTTTTTGTGACTCGGTTTTGCCCTTCGAAAACTCAAGCCATATCGATCGCGGAGGTCCGAGCCGCGTTAGGAAAGTTGGAACTTTACGTAAGCAGTCCGTCGGCTTTCGAGTTGCAGATAATTGCAGTTGCGCATAGCGCGTTCAGTACATACGTAGCCAGCACAACTAGAGGCAGCCAGCAAGCCGCAGTGGGCGTTGCGAATCAGAACACGAAACTTCTAGCTGATTAAAAAGTCAATCTGCATACATCACGCACGTTGGAAATTGATGAACGAAGAAACTGCTGAGAACTGCTGTTTCCAAAGTGATGCTGTTATGTACGAGCCAGAACACAAGTGCAGATGGATAATTAGACACATAACATCGCGCGGTAACAAGGTCCATCAGCGATCTACTTGCGGCAACCATTGTCCACAATTCACTTGGGGGGCAGGAAAAGAAGGGAAAAGATACACATCTCATAGGGAACAGTTTGGGCCTGGAGTCCATACGTAGATAATCTATCCTAAACGCAGGGTTACATGTCTAAACGGGACGGTATCTACTCAGTGAATCCACTCCAAAGGGACAAGGCAGCGCCCCATATCGACGGTAAGCAATCAATGAATCATATACATATGTAGGTGAGCTGTTTTCAAAAGCCCTTTTGTAACAGCCAGTCAATGATATTGTGCTTCCATCTACCGGTGCCACCCTGAATTATCAGATGCTTTGAGCGACTAACGCTAACCTTGAGTCTCGAAGCTTCTGGAGAACCAGGGGGAAACAAGCCATCGGAAAGCTCTTTTGCGAAAGCCTTTCCAAGAGGGTTTGGTCAGTTCTTAAGGAGCTTCTTTAGCGAACAAAACCAATTACTGTAATATTGCCGTCTATGTTACGGATGGTAAGCAAGAGACGCGTGCCGCCATTCCTGATGTCCGTGTAGACAGGAAGGCTTCCGTTAGAGTTTCTTGGGACGAAATACGGTTGATGTACCACAGACTGTTGGGTGGGAGAAGACAGAGAGCGTGTGGCAGCTGGCAGGCTTCGTGGCAGACCGAAGGACTTGAGACGAAAAAGCATTCTATAAGTGGTTTGGAGTAAGAATTATGCGTGTGATCCAGAATATTGGAAACCCCGGAAATACGCCATGACTGGATTCCGTGAAGAATACTTATCATGGATGAATGACACTGACCTTGAAGGAAACGGAATCAAAGGACGAAGTTTGATGACAAGTTTAACCGCGTGGAAAACTTCTAAATTTGCTGAAAAAAAATATCCCCTCAAGTCAACATTCTTTGTTTCAACTCTCACTGTGCAGCTTGCGAAACATGGCAGGTAACTTTCAAAATATTAAATATCTCTGAAGCTGTACGAATAGCTGTATGAAAGCAAGGGTTCACCGGCCACCGCAGTTGCTAACTTCGGTATTGAATGCGCAGGTTTTTATGCTGTTGATCAGCAAAAAATGTATGGTGGAAGATCGGCTAAGTTGTTGTTGTTCTGAGGAGCAGCACCCGATGTACATTTTTTGCATTTGCTAATTTTACGCGCGGCATGAGTAATTCATTAGCTTCAAAGATATGTTACGTATCACACCAGGGCGCTCCCACCAAAACGCCATACTCCGTTTACGGCCCATCGGAGTCTGTTCTGTCACTCTGTCTCACTCCATTCCAATATAAGCCAGATATAAGCCGACATGCTTCCCGCTTCTTTCCTGTTACTTTCTCCCAATGTCTACCATGTCTTCTGCAGAATACTATCCACCGTTGGCCCATCTCTCGTGCTGGCCACAACCTTCGACTTCTCATATCCGATGGATCCTCCCAGCCTGGCAGTGGGTTCCCCCTTCGTATCCTGCCTACGTTCCAAATTTAGAGTGTAAGTACAATCAATGTAGTAAGTTTTCTTGTCTCACAACTCGTATAGTTCCCCCTTCTCCTTCGGATAACGGCTCTTCAGCCTCGTCCGAGCTGTCCTTCACACCACCGCCTCAGCCGCAGTCTCTACACGTCATCTGCAATGCTCCTCTTATTGCTCCAAAGCCTCTGCCGTACCATTCACCCACTTTCCTGAAATTCGAGCTTCTACCTGAATTGGATGAAGATCTATCCCATCCGCCGTACACGCAACGGCCCTCGAAACGGAAAAGGGAAGATTGCGACGAGTCTGCTGACTTCGTGCTGCGCAAGCGGCGTGCAATGGGCACCTCTTCAACCGCCCTACCACCTCGTCCACCAAGCGTGTCTTCTCGTCATCGCAAATCCATGTCTGTCAGACACCATGTTCATCCATATCGATCCCAAAAATAACAGCCTGAACTGATCAGCCAAATGCATTCTACCTTCACGTCTGTTCTTGCTACTATTAGGTTTGTTGCTCCCCTTTCTGCCACCATCTACTGTTTTGACTCATAGATCACACGCTTGCCAGTCCGCTGCCTTCCTTACGCTCGATCGCAAAAACTTGCGACCGGATAGGAGAACCCTTGATCATTCTCAATGTAAATACGTCTTGTCTCTAGCCTCTCTCGGACCTGGACTTCCATTTTACTCGTACTTGCTATCTGTGTCCGGGTCATCTGGACCTAGTTACTGGTCCAGAGTCCTTTTTTCTATCCTTATCTTCGCGGCTTTTTTTGCATGCATTTGTATCAATATCGCAACCCACTCACACACAGCACGTATTCATTCATATGCATTTTACATATATTCCAATGACCCTTTTTAGGTTGGACATAATAACACTACATTCTTTGACGGATAAATCAATATTGAACAGAGCCAAATCAGAAACCGGATATCACTGCTGTTGCGAAGATAGGTCCTCACTTTCATATGTGGATCCTAGGCATTTTTGTATCATGGTCAAATACGGATACGTGTGCTCCGCATATTGCTGTTACCTTGTTATTTCCTGCTGTTCAACAGGCGGTGAGCATTGGACTTCTCGATCTCAACATGACACATGTCGATGCTCTTCTCGGACATTTCAAGTTGCCACCAAACAATTCGGAAGCTTGGCGCTCCACTACGTCAATATTGAACAACGGTAGGCATTGGCACTGGCCCCAAAACGGTCTCCCTTGCCCTTATTGATGTGAGAGAAACTAAGCCATGTATAGTGTTGTCTCAGTCTTTCAATCTCCAGTCAAATGCTGAATGTGAACGTTGAATCCTGACATTCCTTCCACGCCTTCCACGGTAGCACTTGTATCAACTTTCCCGATAACAATGCTCGTTAACCGATATCATGATTGTGATTTCGTAGACACTAACTCTCGAAGGTCCTTGAGACTTGAAGTTGAAAAATCAGATTGCATCAGGCACTTCGTCCAAGTTTTCCGTGGTGAGAGCACCTGCTACAAAGTATTGAACATGCTTACAGTATAGGATGTCACTAGTCTTGTTGAAATCACGAAGCCCGCATGCGAACGGCGGACACGAAGGATATTCGAATCATTTCAGGGGGACAACGCCGACAATATTCTGTACCAATCAGATTAGTATGGTCCTCACGGAGAAGTCGTCAGTAACAGATGCGGGAAACCGAGTGACCGGAAACTGGAGTATTCGACGACTGCGCTTGTTGCGTACGTTGCTACTATTGTGCATAACAACCTCAATTATGAGATTCGATGGAAGTCAAAGGAGGTCAAGGCCTTATGAGCATATGTATCTCTAGATCTGTACCTTGAAATATACTTATGCAAAGAGAATAGCTGCATAAATATTCCTCACATTCGAAATCACTCTGTTATCTCTTCGGAGATTTGAGACTTGAGCAGCGTGAATTGAAGACTAGAGCGAGAGTGATAGGCTTCGGACCTACTTATGATAAAACATGTAGGTTCCAAGTAGAGAATGCCGTCCGTCTCCGAGACCGAGTTCAGACATGTGAGCATTAGCAGACGTGTCAGGATGAGCGCGATCAAGAGCACCAGTACCAGTGAGTTGAACGACATGATATTCGAGCTGTTGCGAATATGATACCGGGACCATGATGACATCAAAGAGAGGCTGTATACTGGTAACAGTACGGACTACCCTGCGACCCCAAAAGATCCCAACAGATACACTTGAGCACTAATAGTTCCATTACTAGTAGTTTGAATCTTGTAACTAGTAGTCACTGCTCTGAATAGTTAAATGACAGAGAGGTCAACAAATCAGTCCAGACTACGATTCCATATATGGACCTGTGTTCGATGCTGTCGAGCCCTGCATGACAGACATTAACGGATGGGTCTTTGAAAGAATAATGGGTAACTCTCCTTTGATTGCCTCTGCTCAGTCTCTATTCCCTTCGGGTTTCCTTTATCGACTCAGTAACCCACTCCTCAGCTCCTATCAGACTTGATATAATTACCTCACTAAGTCTAAAGCATTGCAACACTGATCCACAATCATTTTCATGATTCTGATTACACGAGAGGGAAGTGAAAGGGAAGCGGTTTGAGATAGCGTTCTCTGGAGGTCAGGGAAAGGCAGGGACGAGAGGGTCACCAAAAGGAAATGTGAGGATCGCGCATCGACTTCCAGGCCTTTGCATATGTGAAATGATTATGCCCACTGGACGTGCTTGACAGTTTTGCTGACTTTTTAGTCACGGGTCTAGTCTCCCTTCTGATGCATGATATACCCAAGATTCACGTAGATTGTGCCCGGGTGTGTACATTTCGACCTTGAATCTTCCCTTTGCTGCCCACCTCCCTTCCTACCTTCCTTAGAAAGATAAAGTGTAGAAACTGTATTTATTGAAACCTTGAGGCAACAATTTTCATCAGTATTTCTCATCTCCTTTGCATCTTCCCCCCTTGGGCCTTAGGACCTATACATTTAAAAAAGTCAATATCAAGATCTGAGGTCTTCCCCTTCTGCCCAAAGGACTTGGGAATTTGGGATAGTGGAAAGCTATCAGCGGACTGGATGCTTTGCGTATGCAAATCCTGGTAGCGCGGGAAAGAGAGATGATTCTCCGAAAGTCTTACCACTCTTCTTATTTTCGGCTCTTGTGCGGTGAATTCAACAGAAGAAGGACGCGCATAGAAGTCAAAGGGTCACAGGGCTGCCCCCAGAAAAATTTTCAGTGAAATCGTACGTCCTTGAAGTCTCCGGCGCCCACAGCGGGACCCTAAAGAACTATCATAACGTCCAACCGTGGTGGTGATGTCTTCAATGAGATAAACATTACTGGAGGTTATGGGGAAAAATCAATCATTCGGGGAATGGAAGTAAGCTAAATGGCCTCGTACCCTCCAGTCTAAATGCTTATATGAAAAGGCTCGAGTATCTGGAAAGAAAGTGGACTGCCTTGGGAGCGGGCCAACGCATCAACGCGTCATTTTTTACCGTGATACGATGGCAGCACTAAAAGCTCCAAACTCAATACCTGAACGATATGTAATTGCTTTCAACATTCGAAGAAAAAAGGTCATTTGATTAGAGCATCTCGTGTTGAATTGGAGCTCTCTGATAAACTAACGAATTAAATATGATGAGGGCCTCTTCAAGTGATGATTTTGAATAACTGCAAAAGCATACGCTGGAGGAGTCAAAGGATCCAGAAGTCTGTATAATGAGATCTTGAATCGATTGTGAGCTTAGGACCTAGATAAGCAAGTAAATAACAGATCGTGAGGAATAATGAATGGTTCACGATGAGACGCACAAGAGACTCAACGACAACAGAGGCCAGTCAAAGTTTCCCATTGTCAAATGGTAGGTTTATCGACCCGGGGTACTAATGCTATTCCCATCCGGCTCATAATCCATACCGAGTAAACCCAGTCTGGCAAGCTCTTGTTGTTTATTCAAAACCTGCCGTCGTAGCTGCAAATGCCTCAACTCCTGATTGGCCATTTCATACTCGTGTAGCGCCCGATGGGCTTCGTTGGTAATCTTGTAGTGGTCCATCATTAGTTGGTGAGTGTATTGGTGCGCGGCGAGATACTATTTGTATTGAAGTGAATTTTGATTAGTGGGTATAAGGACAGGGAAGCAAAAGGAGACAGCGAACAGCAAGATGATAGATTACACACCTCATCACGTAAGACCTTGGATCGATCCACTATCCTCCGCTCTTCCTGTATGATATCGGTTACAATTAGTTCCTCGTTAACCCATTTGAGTAGTTGTTCGATAGACTCCTCAGGTTCGACTGAAGGATGAATGGGAGGTGTCGCTGCTTTTGAATTCGAAGTATCTGCAGGTGATGGTACATTAACTCCAGAGGGCGCCACAGTTGTTTCTTCTGAATTATCTGGCCCCGTAGATTGCTGGGAAGGTCCACGATTGCGCGGGGCTCTAGGCGCATCTGGCGGGCCCCCTCCGCGATACGTTCCGCCTCGATAGGAACCTCCGCTGCCTCTCCCTCGGCCTCTGCGGATGGAGGGAGGTATAAAAAGAGAAGATTCTGTGGGACGAGATTCTGACCAATTTCGAGGATGCTTTGGGGGTGATGTTGAGCGGATAGATTGTTGTGGAAGTACTTGGGGTACAGGAGGTAAGGAGCTTGGCGGAAGTGCAGTTGAAGCAGGATCTGCCGCAGGAAGTACATGGGGTTTAACATCGTTTTCGACAATATTTTTGGCAGGAGTAGGCGGTGTTACTGCTTTGGCGCCCAAGACAGAGGTTTTGGATTCTTCCGGCACTGGCAGAGTGGAAGGAGGCTCTCTGGACAGACTCGGAGCTCTCTGATTTTGACTTAAAAGTTTATCTCTGTCTGGAGTATCATATTCGCGTATTTCTCCTTCATCCCTGGGCGAATCTGGATCGCGAAGCGGGCGTCTCTCCGTTGGAAGCCCAGGACTATTGCGACGCTGGTCGCGTGAAGGAGCACGAGAATGACGATAGCGGGAATCCCGCGACTGAGAACGGTATCGAATGCGCTCAGGTGAGCGTGTAGAAGGAGGAACAGGAGGAGGACTGCCTATTGAGTGAGAACCAAGTTTTATGCGTTTGGGAGGTGGATATTTTGGAGAGCGACTTCTAAAGCGGCTTGGGCCCGGACCGCGCATTGGAGAGACTGGGCGCGCATGTCTTCTGGGAGGTGGAGACGGGGTAAATCTACGAGGCGAACGTAAGGGCGACCTTGAACGAGAAAATCGTCCTAGAAAATTTAAGCTTAAATTCAGAGAGGATAACCATTGACTCACTGCCTCTATACGGTGGTGGATTAGGTGAAAGCCTATGCCTCGGGGGAGACCTGTAACGATTTCCTGGCGGATACCTGTCTCTATCTCTGTCGTAAGGCGGTCTTGGAGGTGATCTTGGAGGTGACCTCGGTGGTGGTCCACGCAATCTTCCTCGTTCTCTACTAAGATCCCGGTATCCTGACGGCGGAGGTCCCCGTCTATCTCTATCTCTATCCCTATCGTCCCATCGAGGTGGCGTCCTTCTTCCTCTATCATAATCTCTGTCTCTGTCTCTCCTGTAATCATCTCTCTCTGAGTAAGTTCTATCGTCTCTTCTCCTCAGCGGCGGCGAAGAGCGTCTATCGGGAGTAAAGGCAGGTCGAGGAGGAAGACCTGCCATTTGGTCGTGAGAAGAATGAATAAAGAATGAATTTCAATCAAGTCCAAGCTGTTCATTTTTCATCTATCATGACCCCTACCTTTTATCCTCTTGCATCTCTTTCTCAGATAGAAAAAACTCCCTCACGAGCAGATGGTATCCCAGAAGATTTGGAGGAAGATTTGAGAGCTTATGGCTGCAAATTGATTCATGAAGCTGGTATCTTGTTGAAACAGTGAGCGTTGTACAATACCTATAGGAATAAAAACAACTCTTTCTCAAATGAATTCTCGGGAACAGGAAACAAGTCGCGGTGGCAACAGCTCAAATCCTCTTCCAACGATTTTGGTATGTTTCCTCCATGAAAACATTTGGAATCGGGGTACGGCTTCCATTCTCATCCTTTACCTTGTCAATTTCAGCCTCCTTGACACAGATTTGACTATCAACATATACACATATTCTCATTACTAAAATTCGCCTCGGCGCCGTCAGGACGTTGGGATGGGCGCCCTCTATCTAGCTTCCAAACTGGAAGAATGCCCTCTCAGAACCCGAGACCTCATCAATGTATACGACTTGCTACAACAACGTGCAGCTCATTCTATCAGCTCTAAAAATGGCACCGACAACTCGGAATTCAGATACGCACCCATGTCATATTTTGGGAATACTTTTTATGACATCAAGGATGCTATCGTGGTGCATGAGATGCAGCTTTTGAAAAGACTGGGGTTCAATGTACAGGTGGTGCTTCCGTACGGGACATTGATTAACTATCTCCGCTTGCTTGGTCTTATGTCCAGAAACGATGCCTGTACTCGTGCTTGGGGATACTTGAACGATGCGTAAGGCCATTCTTAATCTCGTTATTAGAATTTCCCCTGACAATTAGCAGGCTTCAAACCCCTGTATATGCACTCTACCAAGTTCCAACGATCGTCTGCGCCGCGATATACCTTTCTACGCGTCACTTGCAAATAGCGTTACCATCACAGTCTCCACATTGTTGGTGGCATTTATTTGATGCTGATTGGGAGGATGTATGGACCGTCTGTGGATATGTCATGAGGTTGTACCGGGAACAAAGTGATGATGAAAAAGTACGGGTAGTAGCTATGATCAGCAAGAAGGGGGTGAGGAATTGGTTAGAAAAGCACGCATTGGATACAACGAGTGGACAGCAATTATAGAAATTCTGAAGATATCCCCAGCTGAACCTATTCACAGTATGTACAATGGATAACTTGTATTCAAACTACGGCATGGAGTGCCCACTACAAGAAGTACATTTCACGAGCTGCATGCTGGTTGATCTGCTTGTAGCATTTTTGCCAGAGAGCCAAATCAAACGTTTGTTGTCCGGAAACATTACTCGCCGTGTCTGACTCAGCCAGCTTCAGCCCTGAGTCGTCGCACAAGTAGATGGGACCCCGCGCGCACACCAGCTGTGGACAAGCATGAAAAATATCAGATCGTTTGTCATGCTCAAGGGGGGGAAGGGGGACACAAAGGTAATGATCGAAAGACATACATCAGCATCTGCCGTATGAAAGAAAGTGGAAAGAAAGATAGTTAGCGCAAGAGCAATGGAAAGAACGGATAAGTCGCACAATAGACCGGAGCAGGAATAGATACGCTTCTCGTAGCTTTAGCGTAAACGTGGCACAGCGTGAAAGCAATGTCTTGGATCCTTCGGCAGTTACAAGAAAAATCAGCATTACAGCGCTCATAATAGATACCGAACATACTCCTGTAGGTTCCCGCCGTAAACCTCGTCCACCATGATGGTATAGTGCGCCGAGCGAGAGGCTTATAGACGTTTCGAGTCAGCTAAGCCACAAACATTACATGAGCACAGCTCACTTCCTTGGATAGCACCATGACTCTGCAAGTAGAAGTCGTCCGTCACGGGATTAGAAAAATCATCGATGTTATTGACAAAACCAGCGATACAGTTGCCTCTCCCGTCATTTGCTTCACTTGATTAAGGTCAGTCAGAGGGAATGTCATCCATAAGAAATACTCACGTTCCGGATTCAGGATAGAAAGTTATATGGTGCCTGCAAAATGAGGAGTTAAATTCGGGAAGAAAATTCTCCAGTAGTAGAGAACCTACCGTTTTCCAACAATGATGTATGTCAGCTTAGGCATTTCACGGTTGACACCCTTTTCCCGCATCACAACCCTAACACCCTCTGTAATAATGAATACATTAAACAGCTACACGGATGAACACGAGCAACTAACCTCGAATAGCAGATATTTCACTTCCACTGATTGACTCAAATTCACCTTCGGAAACACCATCTCTGAAGAATACAATTCGTTCTGGTAGCGCATTGAGCTGTGCAAAATTCTTAATTGAATCTGTCACCATTTCCTGGAGATCTTGGATGAACTCTTGACGAGGGTTTTGTACCCGGGTGAATGCCATATATCGTGACGCATAGGCATCATGAGAGGCAACGAGAGAGGCGACTGAGGGCTTTTGAACGCCGGGTCCTGGATGAGATACATCTGCACCTGCCCAACGTAAGTCTTGATTAGCCAAGAATGCGAGGAGTAATATATAATATATGAACTGTTACCCATCACAATCGTCATCTTTTTCTGAAGAGAGGTCATCGCCGGTGAATTGACTAGAGAATTGTATCCCCCAAGACGTGCATTAAGTCTTAAAAGGCAAGTTAATCGCAAGTTTGAAGCGGTATAGTCCAGATTATAGTTCTAAACCTACTTGACAGCGACATTCCCCCAATACTGTAGGTTTGCATTCTTGATTTTTTCGTCTTGAAGGCATTGGGTAAGAATTCCTGATACATTGTGTGTATGATTAGAAGACGGCAAGCGTACTAATGAATAGTGATAATGACTTCCTACCTGTTCTAACATCAGACCAATGCTTGACTTTCCGCCACAACTCTTGCGCCATTTTAGGTAGAATGACGATAATCAAAGGCTTCGGATTTGGCAACCTCGATGCTTTGATTTTTTCCACTGTGGCCGGATTGATATTTTTCCAGGCTGATTTGAGGGCAAATTCGGCATCGTCAAGGATCTGGATATGCATGCCATCGAGAAAGTAAACAAAACCTCGAACTTGTGCGTTCCACTGCAACATGACTTACTCGTTCCGGAGCATGATCAGGACCATTTTTGGTAAACACCGGGGGTGTCATCTCTGAGAAAATAAAGAGTCAAAAGCTAGAGAATAGTCTCATAAATTCGACATACCCATTCCTAATGAAAAAGACAACGGGATATATATATGAGTGTGATGTAGTTGAGCATGAACTAATATCCTCACCGAGATCGTTGCAGCATCTTGTCATGTCGGACATAAGGTTTCTAACACCATGACCATTCACCGTTCGCGAAAACGTTATGATACCCCAACAGAGAAGGGAGGCTGGTCTAGCAAATTTTTGTTTCGCAACGTTCCAACTACCGTTACGTGGATCCTGGCCAGGGTTAGTGGGCGCATATATCTTCGCAGATTAGTAACTTACAACACTTGAGTGGTTGCCGAAAATGACCTTGGGTAAAGCGAGTAGTTCTCCACGAATTCGTATAGGCTGCGTGCCCACTTCCATGCTCGCTTCCTTCATAAATTCAGAATCCAGATACCCATTTATCTTCAATTCAATATAAATACGTTATGCATTTGTTAGTCTGAAACGTTGACCTACCGGCGAAGGCAGCATACGTTCAGAACCTTTGCCCATAATGGCATCCAGTCTCTTGTCGGGTTTGAGCGTGCTGAAGGTGACCGCGTTCTTTGTGAATCGATCGGGGAGCCTCTGGCGGTAGAATTGACCAGGCTTGACCTGACATATTTCAAGGGGGACGATGACAATTTTTTCTGCGTTCGGTGGAGTTAGACGAACACCAACGATTGATCCATACTTGATCTTGATGTTGGACACCATCTCTATGTACTCCTTTGCAAAAAAGATGTTCAGGTTTTGTTTTGACCCGCTATAAAAGAAGGAGATTTACCCCTACGCTCATATCCTGCCCGTCTTTGGAGAAAACAAAATTCCCTGCATTCGGGACAAGTCCACGAATAGTCTTAGTCCTATTTTTGGAACCTGGGGTGTTTACAGTGACCTTGATGTTGTTCAAGAATTTCTCCAGTTTTCGAAAGTCTACTGTATTTGTTTGAAGATCCAGCTGTCTAACGTCACGATAACCTAGGAATTGCAGAGCTAAATCGATGACAGGTCCACTCTGGTATCTGAGCGAAGAGTTGACAACCCTTGAATGTGTTGATAAGCCAGGAAACTATACTTACACTGCGGCCATCGTCGTATCAATGTTGACCAGCATTTTTCCAATATTCGGTCGTACAGACCTGATACGGGCGAAATTAGGACAAGCGAAGATCCTACTGCAAAAGCAAAATTAACACTTACTGGAAAAATCCTCTCCATAACTCCAGTCCTTCTCCTAGAGTCATTTTATGAACCTCAGTAAAGTATGCTTTCGTATTGTGAGGGTACATTCTATCGATATCACGACAGGTCATATTTTTTTTACTTCAAATTAACAAGTCAAAATGCGGAAAGAGATGGCTTACTGGTTAGGTGCCTGTCGTATGAGTAATTGCAGAAGATTTGTGGCTGTCATGCTTTTGGAGTTCGGACGACCACCCTGGAGAACAACAGCAAGATCCCTGACAAGTGAGCATTAGTGGTATACGCTACGCAATTTGTGAAATATGTTCGTTACGAGGGACGAATCGGATCGCTACTAGTGAGCGTCAGCTGCACTGTATAGACGCCACGAGCTCCTGGCTTGGCTTCTCTCCTCGAGTCTGATGAATCGACATTGAACTACGAATTCTGTTTCTGAGTAATGTCCTTTTGAACATCAGCGGAAGTTAGACTCACCGTAGCAGAGCCTCCGCCAGCTAGACTAAGCATATGTGAGCTATACAAGAGGGCATTGCCATCATAGAGCGCGCGAGGACTAAATATTATCGGGGCGACGGTACCCTGCAGCTTCTTTATGATCAACTGACGGTCCTCAAACCTTTTCCTCTCTGGTCGGATGACTATGAATTTTCAGCATGGTAGTCGGGGAGAAACGAAACTAAGTCCACCCAACTAACTGAATATCCGTGGCATTAGTCATAGAGATACTGAAAGCTTGAAACGAATGAGAGACGCACTATCATATAAGTAGTATTCTTTTGATGGGAGCCTGTGGATTACACAAATACATCTTAGGTTAGGAAAGAATCGGATAAACATGACGACCTACTTGGTAATCTCGAAACAGTTAGTGTTTACAACTACCGGGGTACGTTGGGTGCGGTTCAGTACGCTGGGCAGAAAGCCACCACTGGCACCCCCGGGCCCGCTCCGATACGATCCTCGACCGCCGTCTCCGCCACCTCGGCCTCGGCCTCGATCTCTACTACCAGTCCAGCCACTGTCCTGAGCTCGACCTTGATACATTGGTGAAGACAGGTGGTTCTGGGAACAGAGGGAAACGAAGTAGCTTAGATTTTTATAGTTGTTCCCTTTTCACTCCTTTTCAATGTGACTCAACCAGCGCCCTTAGACCCCTCGAAGATCAGGATTGAGAGATTCATTGCTGTGATACGAAGTCGACTGTGATGGAAATGTGATATATGGGTCAAGGTAAGCGTCACAGAAGACTTTCCTTATCATAATTGGGCATGAAGGGCGTTTATAAGGTGCGAACTTACAATTTCGGAACAGCTTCAGAAGCAATTAATTGGGTCATGGACACAAAAAATAGTAAGATGCTATATTCACAAGGGTAAGGAAAAGACACATAACTTCCATGATCTAATGGAAAAGAGAACCCACACTCAGCATGCATGATATCACAACAAATACGTGAGACAACAGCAAGGGAAGGTGCAGGATAACGTCCAACATCATAATGTAGCAGATGTATAGTGGATGATATTCGTAAGAACAAGAACTAAAGTCAAAAGTAGACTTGATATATGGGAGACAGGGAGAAATGAAACGAGCCGTTTAGCAGCAGCCACTCGATTGCTGTTGTTGAACGTTCTGCCCGACGGGGACCGAAGTTGACTTTCCTGCTCCCGGTGCCGTCGGTGTGGACCCCATTCTAGAATCAGTTGTGAGTTACATGTTGGCATGAGGTTCCGGAGCTACATACCGGTCTTTGATCTGCTTTGCCATAGTCAAAAAGGCTTGTTCGACGTTGGTGGCATTCTTGGCCGATGTCTCCAGGAACGGAATGCTCAATTGATCCGCAAATTCCTAGTTAAATTATGTGAGCGTCGTTCAAAAAACAAGGCGAGAAGACACACCTTAGCAACGCTGTACTCGACAACTTTCTTGCTCGTCAAATCCGATTTGTTTCCCACAAGCAATTTATTGACACCCTCAGAAGCGTAACGGTCAATTTCTTGAAGCCATTGCTTTACATTTGTAAAGGTATCTGTAACGAGATTTAATTGAGCGACCACAGTTGAATGAATTGGCAACAATACCATTGTCGGTGACATCATATACAACGATGATACCGTGGGCACCCCTGTAGTAGGAGGAAGTAATGGTTCGGAATCGCTCTTGACCTGTATGAGGACGCTGTTGGAATAAGAACAGGGAATAGAAACAAAGGAAATACCTGCTGTGTCCCACTAAAAACCAAAACGAGGAAAGTGTGTCAGCAGGGCTGGAATTTACTCGTCGGAGTTGTAGAAAGTGGCTCCTTCCAAGTAGCATCATCCTCTTGAATCTTTCGACCAAGAACCCTTTGTACAGCATACCAGAACGTGGTTCTGTGCCACATAACCAAGAAAACAAGGCAGTATGATTGCCCACTCACAATCTGCAGCTTCACTGTCTTTCCTTCGAGCTCAATCGTACGAATCTTGAAATCAACACCAATAGTACTAATGTAGCTTTCTGTGTATGTGTCGTCTGCGAAACGCAGGAGCAAGCAGGACTATTGAAAAAGAGAAAGGAGTCAGTCGACGACGGAATGACCTGGGCCCTTGTGAAAGTAAGCACCTTGCCGACACCAGAGTCTCCAATGAGCAGAAGCTTGAAGAGATAGTCGTATTCGCTCGTGTGCATCGTGAGGGAAGAAGTTGTAAGACGACAAAAATGAATTCAAGGTACAGCGGAAGTGGAAAGTGGGAAGAGGCGATACACGCGTAACGGGAAAGGCGACAGCTATCGGTGCTCGCCGGTGCCGAAAGCCGGGCGGGCGCCGGGAAAACTAATATTTAATACAAGACCCTTGTCCACTGCTACATAGCCCCGACTGTAGTTTCCTGAGGAACAGTCCTCGTCCTGACCGGTACTATCGTGACACTGAATTGAGTAGTGGAGCTTCCCAGTCCGGTCGCGGCAGGCTGCATTTCCGCTCGCTGGGCTCCGTCAATTACATATACAGTACGCTTTGACCGGAACATTTACTTTCCTCACAATGAACCTCTCCTTATCGGTTCTCTTTATTCTATGGCAGTCTTCATCATCTCCATCTCTTGCTCAGCAACTAGGATTCAGACTTCTTTTGACACGTACCAAGCGTCCACTCATGAGAGTTGATTCAGCAGATACGTCTTCCGGCCCAGGTGTTAGCGATACGATTCCAATACTGGATAGAAACGACTAGTGCGTCTATCTTCCAACATTCAGAGTTGAGTTTAAATGGTCGACAGCACATATATTGTCAACGTTAGGTATGTATGCTCGAGCGACTGTTACGGAGGCTTAGCATAATCAGTGGGCGCAATTCAAGTGTTGGCGCTCAGAGTTTTCCTCTTACACTGGACACTGGATCGTCAGACTTGGTACGCGTTTCCTTATTTTACCTTTGTAGAAACTCGATCTGTTTCATAGTGGGTCATATCCAACGAATGTGATTCTGCAGACTGTGCCAACGTTGCAAGATATTCTCGAGCGTTCTCATCGAATCTTTCAATATCTCAAACACCTTTCCACATCGATTACATCTCTGGTTCTGTATCTGGCTTGGTAGCCTCGGAAACTGTCTCACTGGGACCGTATCGCCTGCTTTCACAAGTCTTTGGTGAGTTTCATCGGTGCTTTAGTATTCGTGATTGATTTATTCATTCGTCTGTGTCAAGGTCTTGCAAACAGCACCGATAATATCAACTTTTCGAGCGAAGGCAATTCCGGTATCTTGGGTCTGGCATTTCCATCTGAGGCGTCTATGTCAGGAATGACTGTGTTGCAAAGCATATTCGGTGGTCTGGCCGACCCGTATTTCACAATCACCCTTGGTTCAAAACTCAACGTCAACTCTCCTTCGTCGTTCACTCTCGGGCAATTAGACAGATCTTACGCCACCGACTTCTCTGCCTTTTTCTCTATCCCAGTATCAAAAGCAGGCGCAAACGATTACACATATTGGAAAATTCCACTTCTCTATTTAACGATCAATTCTACAAGATTATCGCTGTCACCTTCCTCTATACAAGGCATTCAAGGATCCCAAATTGCTGTTCTCGATACTGGCACGACTTTAGCTTTGGGCCCGACTCGTGATGTTCAAGCATTCTGGTCAAGTGTAGGCTCTGCAGCGAGGAACGATCCCATCACTGGAACATGGCAAGTCAGATGCGAGAAGGCTTTGATAGTTGGTTTTGTATTTGGACAAGGTAGTTCTTACAAAGAGTTTCTCTTGGATCCGGCGGACATCAGCTGGGAAGAAGAACAATCAAATAACGGCTGGTGCTTAGGTGGGGTTCAAGCCAACGATGAAGTTTGTATTTCGTTCAATGTCCCTGGCACTAGCTCTTCTTACTCTGATGTTCCATTCTAGGTCGACTCAGGCGACTGGCTACTTGGGGATGTATTTCTTCGTGTAAACACAATCTGCTATTGCGATATCACCTCTGACAACCTTTCTTAGAATGTTTACTCGCTCTATCATGCTGCTAACTCCTCGAGCGGACCTTGGATTGGTCTCATCAGTACTACCAACAGGGAAAATGCGTTGACAGCGTTCCGACAGAATCGTGGACCAGATTCAAACAGTTTGTCTTCGCCAGTCATACAGATTTCAAGCGTTGTCGCTTCAGGAATTCGATACAAGCTCTTGTACGGGATCTCCACGTTATGTGGATTCATTGGTGGTGCAGTGCTTGTGACTCTTTTTCGAGCTCGTCATAGATTATCAGCTGCGTTTGGTAAACGAAAACAGAAATGATTATATGGACGTGTTGTAGTACATACTGTAATGTAAGTCAAATATGGTGGATATCAACAGGAATTCCTTCTAGGCACGATGTCGCAAACTCGTCTGGGAGTAACCTGTTGCTCTAACAGCAAAACACAGTTGTTAGTTCAACAATAACTCCTTCAATTTGTCAAAGAGTTCCCCGACGTGGACCTTCAGGTTCATTGAAAAGTGAGTTACCCTGGGTGAATACGGTGTGCATGTATACATAAATCTTCAAGAAGAGGATCCTCTTTGTTAGGAAACCGTTGAATCCAGAACAAGAATGCCTCGGTGTGCAATCTATGGTCTAAGATGCGTGAGGTTTAGAAGGGGGATTGCCAGGAGTCTGTTTCGGGTTTGTCTGGCGGTCCTACTAGAAACACTGATCCTCACTGATCGCCTTGGCGTCAACTATAGAAGTCATGTCCAGGATCTGTAGCCATGCTCCAGCTGAGCTGAGCGATACTTATACGTCGCATGAAAAATTGGCTGCACGAGTCATATGCTGTCATAAGGGACTTTAACGACTACTCTGCAGATCAAAGGATCGAGAATCGAGATGTCTTTATTGCTATGTTCAACAGACCTCCCGCATATTCTCATAGGCAATATCCAGCTCTTTTGGAAGAGTCATTAGCATCGTTGATAAGAACCGCCAGATATGTTATTTATGTAACACATTATAAGCGCCCTGATCAAATTTTATGTCCTGGTGGATTTTCACTCCCAGCTCTTGATGAGCACATCTCGAGCCGACTCTCAGCAACCTCAGTATGGTCGAAGACGGTCCAATACAGCTCAATCAATTCTAAGGCCTCCGCCTTTACCGACGCTTCCTCTCAAATATGGCGATTTTACAATATTGAACGCTTGGGTTCATGACTCGGACACCAAGGAATCGCCTGCTGTGATCTTGAACTCTATGTATTGGCCTGGAGTAGCTGAAGGAGATTTGCTTAGTGTATCAGCGGGTATAGAGACGTTAGCCGGGGCTTTCATATTTGTGGTGTCAAAGGAGGATCCTAATCTAAAGCCTCAGCTCCAGGTGCGTGGCCTCACCACACATTCGTGTTCTGTTTAACTGACCATCTCATAAGTACAGATATCCGTACCTAAAGCAATAGCTGAAGCGTTCGGCATAAGGAACAATAGCGAAGTTACAGTGACAAAGGTATTCGCATTCTTACTTCGTACGCATCACTGTCCTCAAAATAATTCTATAGGTTGACAAGCATAAATATGCCGCAGAGTATGTGGAACTTTCGTTTCAGGATCAGTATCTCGGAAGGAACGATATGTGGAGAATGGGAAAGTACCTGGTGGATCAATGTATATATGCAGAGCAGGAGGTTTCGTTTATTGGTTCCATTGCTGCAAAAATTAAAGACATATATATTAAAGACCAAAAGGTGTGTCTTTTCATATTCCCAACTATTCTGAAATTGAGGATTGCTACATGTAGGTTCCCGCAGCACTTATGACCTCTCACACCAAAATCGTCTACCGTTCCTTATCTGCCAAAGTCACTATTTTTATTCAAGTATGTCGCGAGCTTTGGGAATTTGCTGGTGACGGCGAACGTTACAACGAAAAAGTCGTACATTCCTTCCTTCCTGCACTTTTTGCCAAATGGAAAGAAGCCGGCACAAATCATACAGTAACGATTGTGCTTATTTCTCGTGTATATTACGATTCAAACGAGATCGAATACGCCGCGGGCCCTTTGCGTCGCGACGAACGTGGAGACTGGTATAAAGACTTTTATAAGGTCATCACGGATCTCGAGGTGATTCACGAATGGAAACCTACACTTGTCAGTTTGAAAAACTCGTTCTGGGACTTCCAAAGAGACATTTTACTTACCCATCATTATCATCGCGCGTCTCTGGACTCTTCGGCTGGAGGTGAATCAGAGCAAGTACGCCTGGTCGGACGGCTATCGTATGCTCATGATGGGCCTATACTAGAAGCTCTAAATCTCAACCTTTACCCCAGCGAGACGCACTATATCGATCGATCGTTGGTTCTTACGGGGACGACGACTATTCTCATAACTCCAGGAACTGGATACTTCCGTGTGTCGAAACAATTGTTACGTTTGACCACGAATCGCATGTTGGATCAGGGGTTCGGACTAGATCTTGTCTCCCTCACCAAGACCCCTTTGCATCAGAGTCCGATTTTTAGCTTTCAAGGGAGCGAACCTGAAATTCGGATGGAGAAAGACAACGGCTACGGTGTCCGTGCAATGGATCCACTGTGGGGAGGCGACGACGAACCAAGCGGAGAAAAGACAACTTTCTGGTGGGAGCCGTTCTGGGTTTCTATGTCCTTTTGGGATGAGCAAGTGGTAAGTTTTCGAGCAATCTATAGCGAGAAGAATCATTCAACTCTTTTTCCGCAGGACCTCCCGTTTAGGCAAGATAGGCACGTTTCCATTCATTTCAGGGCATCAAATAATCGTCTGAATTATTTTCCTAGGTTTGTTGCACGAGCGAAAATGCATGAAATTCAAATGCTGGGTCTCCTTGAACACGATGTGCTTGCAACAATTGATGTTCCATTTTTGAACGACCGTCAATCACCAGCAATACAACCGACTGTCCTTCCGACTAAGGCAGAAGCAGACGCATTCGACCTGGACATCTTTGCGTTGAAAGCTGAATCCAAATCCTTGGCGGCTGCCAAGCGTCCTCCTGTCGATACAGACAAGAATGCGCTTGACAACAGCAGTACACGAGTTTCTCAACGGAGTTCCACCATGACACAAATAAATACCATCGAAGAGAGTCCTGTACGGACGTCTCACTTACTTCCTGACGTTGACAATGCTCTCATTGCGTCTCCTTCTGTTTTGAAGGTTCCACTTACATCTTCCCCTCGTTCCACGTCGAGCCGTCGTTCTATTCGATCATCAACTTCGTCAATGCGCCGTATCCGGGTCGAAGATAGCAGTCCCTCGCGCAGCACTCTGACGTCCAAACTCACCCCATCTTGGATATTCAAACCATTTAGGAGTGGTCCCGTTGAACCACAGATCACCACAGAATCAGCTTCAGCGTCTGTGGCTAACCTGAGCAGCTCCGCATCTTCATCTTCCACAGCTGCCTTGAGTGCCTCTGTTTCATCACGTGCTACAAACCCTTCATTATTCGCTTCTCCATCTAAAATCTCCATAGCTCAAGCAAGCATAGCTCAAGCATCAACAGGTAGCTCGTCTGCCATTGCGACACCGATGGCTATCAAACGCACAATCTCTCGAGGTGGTACCTCCAGAGTCCTTGACGATGAGACAATCTTGAATGCCACTCGTAATGGCCTTTGGCGACGATCACCCTTGAACACTCCCCCTCGCGAAGAACAAACCTTTGGTGGTAAGCGGCGCAGTGTAATAGGCTCGCTGACAGGTCCATTTTCCTCATCTTCCTCATCTTCGCCGAGCTCCCGTCCAAATCCATCACAGCCACAAACCACGTTATCTTACTCGCAAGCATCTTTAGCTGCACGATGGCAGCATACATTTCCTGTACCTCCCTCCAAGCACGACATCAAATGGGGTTCCATCGTCACACCCTTTTGCCTCCCTTTGACTGTAGAATACTTCCCATCTTCGGCAGAGTTAGAAACGTCTTACGATGTATTCTCGTATGACTTTGTTGTTGACCCTCCGGAAATGCGCTCGTTCTTAGTGCTTCTCCCGAGTGATAAGAAGGGTTCTTCAGAAGGACAGCGAAGGGCATGGGCATTAGTGGTCATGCGTGGTATGGCTGCTGTAAGATTAGCACAGGGTTTTCAGTTTGTCATTCAGCCGCCTAAGAGCGGATCAAGCAAGGCAGCTGCGATTATCCCTTTTCGGCGTACACAGTCCTTCCTGAACGCAGACGAGGAGATGTCCCCGAAACCTATGGGTGCCGCCGAAGTGCTCCAGAACACGAATGATCCTGTATATCTAAGCATGAGTAATGAGATTCATCGCATTTCTTATACGGGTGAAGCAATACAGGTTCGAAGGTATGTGCGGCGTATGCCTTCAACACAGCCTTTTGATTACCAATGCCTCATTTGGCCAAAACTCGGAGTGGGTTATACAGAACACAAGACGACATTCACACCTCATGGACTTGAGAACTACGGATGGAACAGGTTCGTGGATTGTAAATATATGTCTGAAATGTGCTATCTGACCCCGCATTCGGCAGGCTGGATATGCTAGTTGCAGGATATGAGCATCAATTCAACGAATCTCTTCGGTATTGGCGAACGCGGTTCATCATCATACCTACATCAGAGCCTCCGACGTTGAAGACAGGACCTTCTGGAGAGACATTGAATGACGAAGAAGCTCGTATCCTCGGTATTGATAAACTTGCCGAGTCTTTCACAAAACTCCGTTGGCAGTCTCCGGAAGAAAAAGAAAAGGGAGGATCCTCACATCCCCCGATTCGATTCTTGCCCACAACTCTGAGTCCAGCCATGTCAGTTCTTGACGATGCTCTCATGGATCAACTAGATTCAATACATGCCGCTGGCCCGCTGAGAAAGAAAATGAAAAGCGAGCGGGAAATCGCTGATATGACATTGACTGCAATCGCTAAGGCCATGCGAGAAGAGGACGGTGTACCGATAAAACACAACCAATGGCATAAGTCTCACTATCCCGACTCATTTACTGGATTTGACTTCGTGTCGTGGCTTGTTCGAGAGTTTAGGGATGTCTCTTCCCGCGCACAAGGCGCGGAATGGGGGTCAAAATTGCAAGAACAGGGGCTTTTTGAGCATGTGCGAGGCCACCATAACTTTTTAGATGGGTGAGTTGACCTATTCTCTCGTTTGATTGGGAACTCATTCTATCTCCCAAGACATTATTTCTATCGGCTGAAAGGCGAATATCAGCAATCGTCTTCCACGCCTCGAAGGTGGTTTCGAACACGTACAGAAGACGTGATACCTCGAGGGCATTACCCGGGAAACAGTTCCCGGGCGTCTAACTCTAGCCCTCGCCGAAACAAAAAGAGGCTTATTCTGAGCCAGAGCATGGTCATTGATATTGATCCCAACAAGGTAACTTCCAGTCGTTCAGTGATTGTTTTCCGCGCACTTATTCCATTTCAAGCGGAGCGATCAAGCAGAAACAGTCCTCCTTCACCACGACCTAATACAAAATCCGGGTACCGTATTTCACTTCGAAATACAATGGATCGGTACAACTCCTCGTTACATTGAAGACCAACTACGTCTGTGGAGTCGTACCATCGAAAAATATGGACTCAGACTTGTTGAGGCCTATGTTGCTCAGATAGGTGACATTCGTAATCGCAACGCGTTCCAATCATGCTTCCCCGTTCGTTTGGCCGTTGCTCCGCCTATTTTAGCAGGGATCCCAGACCGTTTACCAGAGGGATCCTCCTCGACTCGGTACTTCGAATACGCCCTGCTTCGAAAATTTGGCTTCATCGTCGACGTCGAAGCGGCGGATCTTTATCCCAACAACGTAGACGTTATCTACTCTTACCGGCGTTCGCCCTTCAAATATTCGCAGTTTGTTCATCGTACCGGAGTGGCGTTTGTGCAATTGCTGGGTGGATCCCAAGGATTTTTGTTTCTAACCAATCGATTAATGGGTCCAGGGCGGTTGGGCACTACTTCAAAGAGTAAGGAGCACCGCCCAGCAGTGGATGCCGAGAGGATCCGTGTTGAAATGCATGGATTTTGTTCCAACAAGGACATGCTTGTGAAGTTTTATGATGAGGAGCTGTCGAAACTAGGACATGTCCCAGAAGAACCTCCCCCCTTGATAATTTAGACATATGATGGCAAGCTGAAGATTATTGGCTCCCGCGGCTTTTTTGAATTTTCGTCGAAGAAGGTCATAACTCTACAGGCTCACTCCGTGGGGGTGGTAAATATAGAGAAATTCAAGTAGGTCGTGACAGTAGTACACAAGGGAAGCTTGTATGAAGCTTTCTACCGAATATATCATGGATGAACGTACTCTAATTTTACAGTTCTGACTAGCATGAACTTTTCTTACAATCCAGCTGCAGTTCTCATAGCCGCATAATTGGGTGATCCCATACCTGACATCAGCCTCTTGGTGAGGAAATAATGATTCGAAGTTATAAGCATACACACCAGTGACGGGATCCCAACCTGCAATGAAAATCAGGAAGGAAGTTTCTTTCGATAACCTATAAGCACTAACCTTCGTTAGCTGAAAAACCCTCTGTTCCACAGCCGGGATTGTTTCCTACGAAATCAAAGTTCAAAAATATTGTCGGGAAGGGACCTCAAGAAACGTAGTACAGACCAATCGTTATGTCATTGAATGCCTGTGGGTTTGCGTATATCCACGGGTTCAAGAAACCCAGGGGCGACTTTCCGGCACTCAACAACTCGTCGTTTAATAACGCGATGACAGAGGAAAAAATGGGAGAAGAGCATGACGTGCCGCCGACATAATCGACATGACCATTGATGATGATTTCAACAGTTCCGCCTTGAGCTGAAACATCGGGGTAAGCGCGCCCCGATAACGAGCTTGCCTCGTTTTTGTGTGAAAGAGAAAGGAAGGAATCTAATGGGCACTCCAACCAACCAATCTAATACACAATATGCGAGTTCACTGCTATCAAATTTATTTAATAGCAAGGGGTAGCGTTGGCAAAGGTTCCGCAAAGCTTTGAGAGCTAAGTACGAAGCTTCGATCAATCAATTTGAATCGTTCTAAGGATTCGATGTATTCCTTTGATCAAGGTAGATTCAGCACGATTTGTGCTTTGGTTTGTATTGATTTGGGTATATCAAGAATTGGGGGTTTGAATCAAAGTAAATTAAAACCGAAACACACAGACCCCTACGGAGGGCTAGAACTATGTGCTGGCACAACCACACAGCGTGATTTGCCCTTAAGACCAACGACTGATCCTAAGTTCGAAGAATACCCAACAACTGGATATACTTCTCGCAGTCACAAGGAGCAGAACACAACGTTCCTATACTCACAAGTGCCGGGCCCGAATGGCTGCTAGCGAAGAGGTTTCAGTCTGGCGGGAGTGTGTCTTTCCTTTTTACGGATTAGCACTGCAACGTCGTCCCAAAATCACTTTCCATTCCAGATACATCGGATCGCTATTTATACATACAGAATATAGAGGCGCATAGTACAATCAATTTAATACAATAAACGTTCGGAACCGCAAGGAAACTTCTACACTCAGTCAGATACCATTTAATTTGAATCTACATGTCCTTATTTGGTCCATATTGGTTCCAAGATTCTAGTATACCTCCAAACATAGGTAGGTACTTCAATATTCATTTAATTTAATTGTTTTTAGAGAATGACTCGAATGGTGTTCAACTGTCATTGCGGTTCAACACTTACTTCGATCGTTTGTCATCTCGTCCGGAGGCAAATCAGCTCTCCTCGATTCTAATCCTATCAATCTGATTCATCTGGATTAAACTAATTGCTTCTCTCTTTCAACAGACACCCATTGTGCCTATACTCTATCAAGGGAGTTACGCATAGTATTCATTTAATTGCATTCTTCAATGTTTTCTACGTCAGGTCTCTTTGACATCCATTTGATATGTCTTCGGAGCCTCGCAGTACTTCGATCGTTCTTCTAGTCATTTTCCTTAACCATGCAACTTGATTGGTCTATTAGACTAAATCGCAGTCTTTTAGATTAATGCCTGATCTTGTTCTAGAAGGAGTATTTGATAATTCCTGAGTTCTAGAAAGTCATTTCGAGTCAATCCTCGGTTCATGGTCACTTGAGTAAGTTCTTCCAAACTCCTGCCAGTGTAAGGTCCAATAAGAATACCCTTGGTATGTCATACGTGAATGGTCATCCTTCGGATGTAGTCCGAGTCTGGTATAATCCTGCTTGACAAACAGGTAGACTGCTATCCGTAGGTAGTATCGGGGATGGGTAAACTGACCAACTTGTGGTAGTATGGGTATATGGTCCCTTCAACTTATTAGACTGATTCAGTATCGACTTTGACTGTCAATCTGGGTCTCAATTACAGTCCTCTTGATACAAATCTATACGTGAAAATGTCACAATTCACAGCATAGACGTCTAGCCAAAATTTAGGCGTGTCATCCCCCCCAAACTAAAGAATTTGACCGTCCTCGGTCATTCGTAGTTTTGTATCGGGAAAGGATACCCAATCTGTTATTAGATTGATTCGACAAGACTATATCTCCTTTTAATGTAAATCACTGGGTTTGGATCTCTACTTCTCCGTGCTCTCCAATCAATTTGGATGCCCTCAAATGGGTTTCTAGCGCCCATCTTATCAATTTATTCACACGCCTGCTACGAATCGCAACAGTTTAGCGCTCAAATTGAATTGAATGCTTTTGCGGTATTTGTATCACATTTCGAAATTTTAATTCACAATCTCTTCATCATCTAGTCACAGAACGAGCTTCCATTTCACGGAGAGCTGCTCTGACGTACACGCTGATTCATTGTGTACGTTTATTTGGTTCGGGGCACGGGGTTCAATGAAATTTTTCGTTGAAGTCCGTTTTCCCTCTTTATTCCTTTCTTTCATCTCGTTCTTATCAACTCAAAATGGCTGCCACTTCGAGTCAAACTCAGGCTGCAGCTTCGACCACGCTTCTTCCTACCTCTCTTATGGAGGCCCAGGTAATTCTGGCGGGTCTCTCATTCAAATCAACACTCCTTCTGTTCTTCGAGAGCGCTGTTTTTGTTCGTCTTCAACAGGGAGATTACTCCCCTCCTATGCTTGATTCTCAGAATTCCCCGGATTTCGATGGATCTACTGTTTTTCCAGCCTTTTCATATCCTCGTCCTCTGGTTCCTTTCTGCTTTCCTTCTAACACTTCGCGTCCTCTATCTGTTGCCTCAGGCCTGGACTTATATTGTTCAGCCCAAATGGCCGTGCGGACGTTACAAAGTGAGGATGAGGACTCCATTGACACCGATCCGATGGAGTTATATCATTTATTTGAGGAAGCCGCCCCGTATCTGGTGCGTATTCCACTTCTCATTGTTTTTATTTTATTTTAATTGTTCTTATTAGCTTTATATTCATGAATTCTGGATGGGAAGGGCGAATTGTCCTTTGTTCGCAGAACAAATACTTCTAGTTGCCGAGTTTTTATCTGCCCGTCTCCCCGCATTTCTTCGCGATAGCTTATTACAGCAGTGGGGAATTCCCCCTGAACATCGGTCTTCTTCTACGGTAAGTCTTTCTTGTTTCCGAAGCGATCCTTTCATTCATTTTAAATCGATTTGTAGGATGCTTCTGTTCTTGAACACTTCCCCACCATTCCTATTCCTTTCTGTCTTCGATTCCGCGAAGGGAGCGCCATGATGCGTCTGGCCCCTTCGAAGGATCTGGATGTTTTTGCTTCGTTACGTGGTAAGGATTCACCGGCGGTCACATCGAAAATTACTACTCCTTCACCACCTTTGGAGATCAAACCTTCGACACCTGCTCCCAAGGCACCTGTAGCTCCTCCTCGATTAATTAGAAGGAATCGGGAGTTAGAGAACCTCAAGACCGATGCCTCCTCGTTTCGTGAGTTATAAATTTAATTCATAGATTTTTGTTTTATTTATCCATTCTTTTCACTCAGTTGCTTCTCCCCGTTCCGCCCGTTCGAAAGACTCCGATAATGAGCTTTTGAGCGGTTTTCCTTTAGTAGACGCTGCTCCTCGAGCCTCTTCGTCTACCAAGGTTCCCGTTGACACGCCTAAATTTTGGCTAGACGTCTATGCTGTGAATTGTGACATTTTCACGTATAGATTTGTATCAAGAGGACTGTAATTGAGACCCAGATTGACAGTCAAAGTCGATACTGAATCAGTCTAATAAGTTGAAGGGACCATATACCCATACTACCACAAGTTGGTCAGTTTACCCATCCCCGATACTACCTACGGATAGCAGTCTACCTGTTTGTCAAGCAGGATTATACCAGACTCGGACTACATCCGAAGGATGACCATTCACGTATGACATACCAAGGGTATTCTTATTGGACCTTACACTGGCAGGAGTTTGGAAGAACTTACTCAAGTGACCATGAACCGAGGATTGACTCGAAATGACTTTCTAGAACTCAGGAATTATCAAATACTCCTTCTAGAACAAGATCAGGCATTAATCTAAAAGACTGCGATTTAGTCTAATAGACCAATCAAGTTGCATGGTTAAGGAAAATGACTAGAAGAACGATCGAAGTACTGCGAGGCTCCGAAGACATATCAAATGGATGTCAAAGAGACCTGACGTAGAAAACATTGAAGAATGCAATTAAATGAATACTATGCGTAACTCCCTTGATAGAGTATAGGCACAATGGGTGTCTGTTGAAAGAGAGAAGCAATTAGTTTAATCCAGATGAATCAGATTGATAGGATTAGAATCGAGGAGAGCTGATTTGCCTCCGGACGAGATGACAAACGATCGAAGTAAGTGTTGAACCGCAATGACAGTTGAACACCATTCGAGTCATTCTCTAAAAACAATTAAATTAAATGAATATTGAAGTACCTACCTATGTTTGGAGGTATACTAGAATCTTGGAACCAATATGGACCAAATAAGGACATGTAGATTCAAATTAAATGGTATCTGACTGAGTGTAGAAGTTTCCTTGCGGTTCCGAACGTTTATTGTATTAAATTGATTGTACTATGCGCCTCTATATTCTGTATGTATAAATAGCGATCCGATGTATCTGGAATAAAGAGGGATTTTGGGACGACGTTGCAGTGCTAATCCGTAAAAAGGAAAGACACACTCCCGCCAGAC